TATTCTAAATAAGATTAATTATTTATATATTTAATCTAGAATTATTTATTATAATTAAGATAGATATATTAGATTATATATTAAGAGTATAATTTATATAAGAAATTATTATTAATAAGATTAAAAAATCTAAATTAATTATTTTTTAGTTATAAAAAATAATATTAATAAAACTTAATTATAATATTTATAATAAAAAACTATTAATTATAATATTAATATTTAAGATATAGAGATTATATCTAAAAAAATAAAATATTAGATTTTAATTAAATTAGATTATATAAACTTAATATTCTTTATTATAATAAAAATATTTATATAATAATAAGTATATTAAACTAAGATATTATTATAATTTAATTATAGGATTAAATATTATAAAAAAAGAATAAATAACTAAATAGATATATTAAATAAAAGATTTAATTATTAGATTAGAGTTAAGAATATAATATTAGTAATATTAAAAAAAGATAAAAAAGAAATCTTATCTATAATTATTAAATACTTATAATAATAAATAAGCTAGAAAATATTATATAATTTAAATAGACTTAAAAAACTATTAAAGATAATTAATATTTATAAGATATAATTAATAAAAAATAAAATAGAAAAATAATCCTAAATAAGAGAATATTATTAATTTATAGATTAATATATATTTTATAAGAGATATAAGAAGAAATTATCTAATAATATTATAATATACTAAATAAAGAATATCTAAGAATAAAAAAAATAATTAAACTAATTATAAAAAATTTTTATATATTAAATATATACTAAAAAGTTTAAAACTATATTTAGTAATATAATATTTATTAATAAGATAAATCCTTATAATATTAATCTTATAAAAAAATATAAAACTTAAAAATATTAATAAAACTATAAGAATAGATTATAATAGATTTTATTACTAAATTACTAATCTTAGATAAATATAATATAATTATAGTTATTATTAATAAACTAATTAAATATATTTATATAATCTTAATAATAAAGATTATTAATATATAATAAATAATAAATATCTTAATTAGGAATATATTTATAAATTATAATTTACCTAAAAAAATTATATCTAATAAAGATAAGCTATTTATATTAAATTTATAATATTTATTTATAAACTAAATTAATATAGAGTATAGACTCTTAATTATTTATTATTTATAAATTAATAACTAAATAAAATAAATAAACTAAATATTAAAATAATATCTAAGATATTATATTAATTATTAATAATTAATAAAATTACTAAATAAGATTATTATTAATTATATAATTTATATATAATAATATAATATATATAATAACTAAGGAGTTATTATTTTTTATAAATTATAGATATAATCTTATAATTATTAAAAAACTAATTAATAATTATATTATAATAAAATTATTATAGATTCTAGCTATAAATATTAAATAGCTATATAATTAAATAATATAAGATATTAACTTTTTTAATCTATAGATAAAAAATTATTATAATAAAAATTATAAAAAAGGGCTTATATTTAAAAAAAAAGAAAGAGTATATCTCTTATAAAAAAATATTAAAACTAAATAATCTAATAAGAAATTTAATTATTAAAAATTAGGATCTTTTATAATTAAAAAAAAAATAAGATTAATTAATTATTATTTATAATTACTAAAAAATATAAAATAAATATATTTAGTTTTTTATATTTTATTATTAGAAAAAATATTAAAAAATATATTAATTATTATAAATATTAAAATTAAAGATATTAATAAATAAGAATATAAAATAGAAAAGATCTTAGTAAATTAATAAAAGAATAATTAATAATAACTCTTAATAAAATAATAAGAATATCTTACTAGAGAAAATATATAAGAATTAATTAAGAATTTAAGAGATTATTATTAATTAGTTTAATAATATTACTAAAAGATAAAAAGGATCCCTAAAAAATAATAACTAAAAAAGAATTAAAATTAATATTATTTTAATCTATAAATATAATTATTTATATTATAATAAGATTCTTTAATATAATAACTAAAATCTAAATATTATTTATATTAATTAGATAATCTAATTTAATAAGATTTTTAGGTAAAAAAGGATTCTTAATTATAAGTTATTTTATTAAGAAAGAATTATAATTTAATATCTTATTATTTTATATTTTAAATATTTATTATTATTTATAAAGATAAAATATCTTTATTATTAGTTTTATTTATTATTATTTAATTTCCTTTATTTATTTATTAATTATTTTAGATTCCTAAAAAACTCTCTTTTACTTAGTTTTATTATAAAATTTATAAATATATTTATAATTATAATAGATATACTTAGTATAATTATAACTTTTTAGATCTATAATATAGATTTTTAAATAAGAAGTATAATATTTATAGGAATAATTAAAAAGAAGTCTAATTATAAGGATTATTTAATATTAATAAAACCTATTTTATTTATAAGTTTAGTTATTAAGAAATATATTATAAAGAATATATAATTATTAAGAAAAATTAAAAAAAAAAAAAAATAAGGATTATATTTATCTAAAAAGAATAATAATTATTAAGAAAAAGTCTTTAAGAATAAAGATCTAAGAAAAAAGAGAATAATATTATAAACCTATTTAGAGTAATCTTCCTAAGAAATATTATAAACTAATTAATTTATAAGAAAGATATTATAAAACTTAGATTATATAAACTTAATAATTAAGAATAAATACTTAAGTAATAGAATAACCTAAAAAAGATAGATAAAGATAATCTTATATATATATAATTATATAAATAAGACCCTAAGGCTTATTACCTAAGATTATTTATAATCTTCTATCTATTATTATAATAGATACTCTTTTATACTATAAAATAACTAACTATATATAACTATTAACTCTTATAATAACTCTAGGAGTATATATAAGAGTATATAATAACTCTAGATATACTCCTAAGAAGTAGATCTAGAGTAAGAAGGGCTAGATATATAAGATAGTTATTATCTACTTATATTTAGTTCTTTATAATTAATTATATATTATTACTTAAAACCTAATAGTTTATTTATCTATTAGTTTTATATAAGATAAACCCCTACTAAAAGAGATATCCTTAGTCTCTAGTCTCTTAACTTAGAACCTAAGTATAGCTTAACTAAGTAATACCCTCTTAGATATAGAACCCCCTTTAAGTCTATTCTATAGACCTAAGTATTATAGACCCATATAGGGTATACTAACTTAAGAGTCAGTAAGACCTAATCAACCAGTCTGACATACAGATCATATAAAAGGTATGGTTTTAGGAACCATAGCCATTCCGCTATACCTAGATAATATAGAATAATAGGTAAGAACCATAGGCTATTACCCCAGGATAAGGCTTATCATAGGATAAGGAGTTTCCTATAATAAGCTATAGTTTATAAGGAAGAAAGGGGATCTTAGGAGAAGGAGTATCCTATAATAGGTAGCATCCTATAATATACCATAGTTCCTAGTAAACCATAGGAGTCCTTATAATACCTATAATCATAGGATATATATAATTATAGGAAGACCTATACCTTAGGAATAATAAGATTATAAGAATAAGGGGATCCTAGGAACAATAGGATCTTATAAAGATAAGAGTTATATAACTATATACCCCTATATCAACTCTAGGAGTATATATAGGGTATATATAGTAACTCCTAGATCTACCCCTAGAGTTACTTAAGGAGTAGGAAGGACTTAGTATATAAGGACAGTCATTACCCATATATATTTAGTTCTTCACAATCAATCATATATTATTACTTAGAACCCAATAGTTTATTTACCTATTAGTTTCGTACAAGACAAACCCCTAACTAGAAGAGGTATCCTTAGTCTCTAGTCCCTTGACTCAGAACCCAAGTATAGCTTAACTAGGCGACACCCTCTTAACCGCAGAACCCCTTTGAGTCTATTCTATAGACCCGAGTCCGTATAAGGCCTAACATTAACTGGTAACGGTACGGTTACGAATCGACGACTCAAGGATTAAGTGTCTACTTGGTAAGTAGAAGCCCTAACGAACGATACTTACTGTGACCACAGAGCATTACGTAACACTAAGCCTATATAAGGCCTAATATTAACTAGTAATAGTATAGATATAAATTAATGACTTAAGGATTAAGTATCTACTTAGTAAGTAGAAGTCCTAATAAATAATATTTACTATACCTATAAAGTATTATATAATATTATAAAGTATTATATAATAATATTTAGATTAAACTTCTTATTAATACTTAGATCTATATAATAAATAACTTATCTAAGTCTAGTAATCCTATAATATTATATATATAGGATAATAAAAGTATTTATATACTTCTATATTTCCCTATAAAAAATAGTAAAACTTACTATCTTTAATATTTAATACCTCTATAAAATCATATATAGACTTTTTTTCTAATTATAGCTAAGTTATAAATAATCAGTCAATAATTACTTCCTATAATTAGAACCTCTAGTATGATTTATCCTAGTAGAGTTATATGACTTTAAAGTTAAGGATAAGAAAAATTATTAAAATTTATTAGCAAACCAGCCATATCCCTATAGCAAAAGTTCAGAAAAATATCATATCTATTTTCTAGGCCAAACATTTCTATAATATAAGCATTTAAACCGGATTCCTAATTATACAGATCAATTATTAATTGTTTATTTAGAGTTAAAGTGATTTAAAAATCTTCTTTTACATATAAAGTTGTTAGAATAATTATAACCAAACAGGGTGAGTTTCACTATTTTTTACGGGGAAAAATAGAAGTATATAAATACTTTTGTCACCCTATATATATAGTAAATAGGTCTATAGCTTTATTTAACTAAATTTTTAACTAAATCTTCTTTTTTTAAAAAATATAAATTTTTATAGAGTATCTATATCAAAAGTATATTCAATAACCAAAAATAGGGTTACCAATTCATAGTCTAAATCTATAAAAAGTTACCCTTACTAAAGCGGGAGCTATAGTCACTAGCTCGATTAACCATTTCCCGCCGCTGTGCACTAGATATTTTTGATGAAACCCCCATATCCTTCTCCCGATCAAACGCACGTGTGGACGGATCATCTTCGACCTCTTTAGGATCATGGGTTGGTTTCTCTAGTCGAATAGCTTTCCCAGTTTGATCCTAGAGAAAAACAGAAATAATCAGTCCTATTCCTTGATATAATATAGAAATTTGCTGATAGTCATGGCTTACATTAAACTTCTTGATCCTCTCTTCCATGGCCTGAGTCCGACGGGAATCAGAGTTAGAGGCTGAGTTGCTTGAACCTTTTGAAGAGGCCCCTACACCCATCATCTCGTCCCCGAGCCTCCGTATCCTCTCCTCGGGAGTTTCAACCCACGAAGCATCGACCTTCTTAGAGGCTGCTGTGCGGGCAGACTTCCCGGTCTGAAACTTTCGATTCCGTAATTGTGTCGGGTCGATCTTGGTAGCCCAATCACTTTGTTCAGGTGGATGTAGCATCCACTGATCCCGTTGGCTCTCCTTCGTGGCATGATCAGACACGAATGAGTTTTCCTCGGGCAATGTTGCCTGCTGGTGCCCCACGGAAGCACCATGAGGTGGAGGCATGCTAGGTCCAAAATCGTCATCACTATCCGTGTCGCTCTCAGCAGATGAGTCCTTGGATTCGGGAGACTGTGCTATTGGTGGTAAAGCGGGGCCGATGACCCTTTTCTTGGAGGAAGAGGGATTTGATGGATCCCCCTCATCGGAAACATATTTTCGTTTATCGGGTTCCATTTCTGTAGGCGATGGTGCACCGGGGGAAAGAAATGACGAGTAGTTAAAGTAGTTGAGCTATTCATGTTCATTGAAGTTCATATTTCATTATCGCCTTATCGGCTTATCACCCCACCGCCTTATCTCGTTCATGTCATCATTAAGGCTGATGTCATCATCGTTATCGATTAGTTAACACCGCCTTTGTCCTTTGTCCTTTGTCCTTATCTATATTATCCAGGCGACTTCTCCCATGTTCTACTTTCATTCCTCATAATAACCCTCTCTCGAATTAAAATTATCCAAGTCGTCGGGTTGTCTTTGAACGCTCTTTATAAACCTTTGACCTTCTCTTTGTTATCTTGTCTTTTTCTTATTTCCAAACAGTTGGAAATATATTAAGCCTTAAACAGGCTAGAGGCAACTTGCAGATCTCGGGCCACACAACCCCGCCCGAAACGATGCTATCCATCAGAGACTGAATTTCAATCGCGTTTCTCTTATGAAATTATAGCATGGTTTTCGTGGTGTACAAAAGCTCGTTTGGAATTGAAAATGAGCTACCAGTCTCTCTCGCAAGAATACCGATCATTATGGGAGGACCGCTCAGGAACGACCGAGCTGGAGACCGCCGCCCCTCCAAACCTCGATTCTTCCTCGAAGGATGATAAAGAACAGAAAAAAGTTACAGGCCAAGAGGATGTGTCATTGAAACGTCCCCTGAAAAGGTTCTTGGCCCAGCCAATCGAAACCTCTTCACGAAGTTTTAATATCACAACGACCAGATCAACTCCCGAAAGTAGAAATAGTTCGGACAAGAGCCATGGCCTCTCTCACAAACATGAATATCAAACCGACGGTCAACCACGTCGAAGAATATTACCTCAGCCGATTGAAACAATCACGGGCAGCCGCCGGGGTCCGCTGCGACCGCAAGAAGAGAATCAATTCCCTATTGCTACTGGGCCAAGAAGATTTAAACCCGACTTGATTGGAACAGATCACCGCTCTGTCAAAGGCCAACCCGGAGATACCACTCGTCTCAATTCTCGGGATATTGCTGTAGAATCGTTGGGTTCTGCTTCGTGGTTAAGCCGTCGACGAAATACCACCCCACATCCCACTGAGTCAAAGTTCTCGTATGCAAACCTCCTTCGTCGTCAAGAAATACGAAGGCATTCCTTCCGTGTTCCAGATCTGCCATCTATCCCGTCAAACAGCAGCGAAGGCTCTGAAGGATCTGCCGGCTCACCCATGTCGTCATCCCCAACCAGCCGGTCCCAGAGAGTCACGGATAAAAACCTACATGCATTGCTTCGAGAAAGCTTTGATGGGGACCTTTCCGAGCACTTACTTTCTCTGGCCGCTCGTTCAGCTCAAAGGCAGTTGAAGGACCAGACTTTAGCGGCTTTTCCCAATGAACAAGTATACGAGTCAGTAAATCATTTTGGCATTGAGGATGACGAGGGTGACTCGGAAGACCAGAACTCCATGTACCCTTCAAAGCATCATTTGAAATCTCGACGGCAGTCATCGGCGGATCTTTCTTGGGAATTGGAGTATATGCGACAGCACAAAGAGGAAGCGGAACAGCGTCTGAGGGCGATGGGTACCTCGGGTAAGCCTAAATCGGCACCGATTAAATCGAGCCCTGAACCAAAGAATTTGGGCCCAAGCCCTCCTATGCTCGGGGGTGACATTGTCCTGCCATGGAGCCACTCCCCTGATGGGACGCTCTGTGAAAATACAAGCACCAGCAATGAATCCCCCCAGACAGCTGAAGATCGTTGTATTGGCTGTGGGGGTCTCTGGTGCGCGGATGACCAAGCAGATGGCGGGCGAGGGGCAGGGTTATGGATGGGTACCTGTCGCAAGACTGATGGCCCCGATCGGGATTCGCATCTCATATCTGGCATAATGACTCCAATGATTCAAGATTACGAGATTGAGTCAAATGCTAGCCCTCGGCCCAATGTTCCCTCAAGTCAAAAGGATGATAAAGGCCTACTGAGGTCCCAATATGGTGCTAGTGATGCTAGTCCCAAGCTTTCTCAAAGCCTAGATGATGAATTTCATGATGGTTTCGTCACACAAATTTACAATTACCTATCGCTGGGTTACCCCTGCGTGGCGCGTTACTATGACTATGAATTAAGTCGAATTTCCGGGATCAACGTGGAAGATCTTCGACGAGATGATGTCCAAACTAATGCAACGGGCTATGTTGTTGCCCCCGAGAACAATAACAATGCAGTGGCTTGCATGCGATGGAAGGCTCTTCGTCGCTACATTCGGGAATGGGCTCGGCAACAGCCCAGCATGGCGGAGGATGAAAATGGCCTAGACGCTTGGGGAGTGCCTGAACGTAGAGGTAGCTGGGCTATTTGACCTACCCTCTATGACTCTGAGCATTCTGCATGTCTGAACTCCCTCTTCCCCCTCCCCCCTTTGTTTTCTTCATTTCTCCTTCTTTTTATACTATCATCCATGAACTGTTAGCATTCATACCCTAGCGTGGCGAAGCAAATAATTTCTATAGATCTCGAAAGCGTGGCCAGCGTCCCCCCTCCTCCCTTTTGTAACTTTCTTTTTTCTTCACACTAGCTCTAGACCCTTCTAGTCCCTCTACCCTATATAGACCAGGCAGCTTCGCTCAGTAGGTGGCCCACACGAATATATGGCCCATACACAAGTGCGCAGCATATGTATGTATAAGCAGTGGTGCCTTTTAACCCATGAACACAAACTAAATCCCTTGAATAAATATAGCCCCAGGTGCCACCAAGGCCGGCTCATAGGTGTGTTTTACGTGCGCTCTATTCATTGGCACTTATTCCTTAAGAATGGATTAAGGTAGGCCCAATAGCATTTGTGCAGAATGCATACTTGCTTTGCGAATCATCTTTTGTAAATTTCTATAAAAATAGGACTCTACTATCCCAACCCACTCGAAAACTTGTGTTCCCATAGCTGCAGGCCATATCTGAGCTACATTAATTAGACCGCAACAGTAAATAGAACGATCAGCATTGCTAGGGCAGGATTTTCAGTGTTGGTGTGTATGACTTCACATCATCGGAGGATAGATTAGGGCGAAGCTAATTGAGGACCAACCGAAGTAAGTTTACTATGACATGCAGACGTGTTTATGGAATGAAGCCAGTTTAAGTGAACAAGGACATACCATGAGGCGTAGGCTTAGCAGATGCCTGATTAGCAGTATGCAGCAGACCTGGCGCTAGAACGGGTTGTTCCTCCGCAACAGAGCCTTCGGCATATCGCGCAATTCTATGATTATCCGACATCAGCAATTTGAGATAATTTGACCATATGACAAGGAGATGACTTACAATGACAGCTCAGACTGAAGCGTCTCATGCCGAAACGCTTCACGGATATCTGGGACATTGCTTTTGGCGACATTGTTGCCTGCAAATCCTGGAAGGTTGCAATTTGACCCTAGCCAACGCTTCTTCAACGAGAGCTCAAATCCGCTTTGAATAACAGAATGTTTAGCCAATTCGCACATGTCGACTGCGCTGAACTTATAAATTTGAGCCGCTACCGAATACTCCTCAATAAGAGGTTCTTTTGTAAACGCAAACTGCAGCGGGTCATCGGTAGATAACGACACGTTAAGTCCACGCTTGAAAAAGCTGGCGCAGGGATTTTTATCGTAGGTCAGGAACAATGCATTGTTGCTGAGAGGTGACATGGCAATGCCGATCTGGTCCAGATAATACAGGTACTGCAGCAGGGGTACCTTACGCAGCAAGATACCATGGCTGATACTGTGACAGCAGAGGAATCCAACGGCGAGATGATCGGGATCTCCCGCTTCTCCACAATGGGGTCGAAGGACGAATGTATTGAAACCCCGCCGTTGCCGCCAGTGGTTGAGTGAGGCGATATTGGCAAACATGAAGTAGATCCAATAGGTATATGGGGGGTTCTGTTTGGTGTTCCAATCCCGCGGGATGGGATACTTCCGGTACAATCGCCGCTCGGCCTTACTCTCATCGTCAACGCTGTCAAATCCCACCACACGTTGAAGGAAGACATGAAGCTTCGGGTGACTAGATGGATCCTTGGTCACTTCAAATAGTGGCCGGAAGACATTCGAGATGACCTGCTCAAAGTTTTCCATCATCCCACTCGACTTATACACATCATATAGCCGTGGAACCTGGATCAGCCAGCGAACATTGGGTGAAAACAATTTATTGTCAACTACCCAGGCAGCGAGTTTGTCCCACTCGTCGGCGGATCGTCCGTAGATCGAAATCCGCCATTCAACCATTTGATACTTGCTGGACTCTAGATCGGAGATGACTTCCTTGGTAATCTCTGCCAGGTAACGGCCATTGATGTAATTATCCGTTTTCAAGAAGATCTCACGAAGACGGGACTCGCCTACAGGATTGTATTTGAGGTTGAATTTGTCAAACCGGTGGAAGGAATCAGTATGTGCCTATAGACCGTTAGCATTTTCCCCTACCTCCCCTTCATAATAAATTTCGACGGAGCCGGGAAAGACTAACGTGCATATCCAATGTATCGATGCTGAGGTCGTAAGCCGTCAGGTTGATACTCTCAAATACTTCCCGCAGAGTCAAATGTTTGCCATCTCGAAAGAGCACGACTTCGTCAGGGGATTTTCGCATCTTGCTTTTGATGAAACGCAGAAGATGTTTCTGATTCATGCATGCTGAGTGGTGAACGTGAGTATCCACCTTGCGCACATTGTAAAAATCGCGATGTGGCACCTTCTTGCTGTCTGCAATCTCTTGATACTCATTCAGCAGCGTGTACAGTTGAAATTTGCCTTCGAGGTACGAGAGGCGCTTGAAAGCAAAGCTTTTAGCCGGTCCCTCAGAAGAAACATCTACGACAGCATCAAGGTCCATGTAGAAATCACGCAGGGATGGAATCTGGACCATCGGTTCATGCCGATCTGCTGCTGATTCCGACTCGAACACCTGGTAAACACTGTTGCTATCCAAGCGATACGTCCAGGAGGACTCGGCAGGCAGGGTGAGTTCGTTCATGTCGAAATCTTCGCCGATATCTTGGCCTATCTTCCTCTTCCTCCCTGTTTGATCGGCGGGTCCCCCGACATTTTCAGGCTGGTACTCTTTGCCTTCGTGCCACGCAGGCTCAGGCGGAGGTGGGTATATTTCCCAGTCTTGGTGGTCTCTGGGATCATCATTGGGTCTCTGTAGTGACAGCTCTAGATATTTAGCACGTCGGTCCAAAAGCCCCTTGATCTTGCGGTAGATGGCATGCAATTCAGAGGTGATGGCGTCTCCTCCCGGCCCCTGGGAGACGATTCCAAGACCAGATCCGTGAAGATTCTCCCCACCCGATACGTGCAGTCCCTGGCCATGCGTTGTCCCCAGGGGTTCAGCATGACTGTGGACCGAGTGGTCGGCCAGCTGGCTACCACGGACCGCCCCATCGGTACTATGATCTGCGGGGGAATCCAAACTCCAATCGGACTCCAACACCATGGAGCCCTTGCGTGTCGGATGGACCGAATGCCGTGGACTAGCCTCCGTGACCATTGCTAGACTGTCGTCGTGCGAATCGCCCATGGGACGCCACGAAGGCACCGGGCTTACTGGCCCTGTGTTGTCACCACTCTTGGACGCCAGCTGGTGGTGTTGGTAGAAGAGCTTCGCCTCGGCGTGGCTCAATGATTTTTCATAGGCATAGTCGTAAGTGGCGGTCTTCTGCTGTTGATCTCGAGGCAGGATGCCGGCCGAAGCTTTTGCGTCGGGATCTTCAAGAGCAGGGGAGCTTGCACCTGTGTGATCAAAGCCCGGCGAGGGGAGCGGATCACTCTCGAAAGCGAGACTGTCATGCTGATTGGGAATGTGACCGACTTTGTCGGACTCGGAAGACCCCATGACTTTGGAAGGTCAGGTTTTGTGATACACCGTAGATGAGGGGAGTGGGGGGAGAAGATCTGATTCGATGGTTCACAAAGGGGCGAGAGTTCGAATTAAAGCGAATAAACAATAAGATTAATTGAAAATTCTATTGAATCATATTGAAGGAAAAAAGAAATAAAGAATAATCTCCTTAATATTCCTTATAAAAGGAAGATGTGAGGGGGGTGGGAAGTCCCAAAGAAGAAGAAAAAAAATTCACGTAAGGGACATATTTGTATGTAAGTTCCACTTCTCGGTGAGTCAGTACAATATTGATAACCCGTGGACTTGTAGTAATAGCCACAACATGTACAATATCATATGCTTCAATTTTGTTAAAAAATAAAACATTTGAATGAAATGTTGAATTCATCAAATCCTAACATAATTAATAATCGACATATTTATCAAAAGTTGGGGTATGAGTTTCCCATATACATATGTATAAGAAACACGTATTGTAAATTTGTTTCTTTATGACGTATTGTGACATTTAGCATAGATGTAGCTATAGTGGATCTTTTGTCTTTATAACGAGGGTTTGTACGGAACAAGGCTTCAAGGTCATGTATCAAATAATGTAAGAAAAAATATTTAACTAGAGGTGATACAGTATATATATATTTAACTAGTGTACTTTTGAACTAGATAAACCCCATCTCTATTTATATCATTAAGCTAGTGCCTTAGTCAAGTTAGTGACGTGGATAGTTAACTTAGTCATGCTTTTCGTCTCGAAGCTTTGGAATCCATTACCTACTTAGTTAGTGCTAGCAGGTATTATTCATTACTGGGACTAGATTACACCATAGCATGAGCATAAGAGTATTTAAAATATTATCAATATACTGGTAATACACTGGAAATGGAATAAGTGGTTTATTGCTTCTATAATATATATATGTTGATTTTGATGTATTGATCTATTCAATGTTGATGCCATTGATGTCATTTGCTTTCCTTTATTATGATGTATCATGTAATTCAAGAGAGGGGGGGGGGGGGGGGGGGGTTATACATCATCAATGTATATAACTCCAGATCATATCTTTACTTTGCTTTACTCTAATTATCATGTATATATCTCCCGATACTGATTTATTATTCATCTTACTAGCAAAAAGTAGTGTAAATTGTGGGAATTTGATTATATAACTTGGCATATATTAGTCCTGGAGAGATCCTTCGTTGCCTAGTTAGTATGTGGTCACTTACTTCCTTTCCGCCACTTCCCCCTCTTCTCTTCCCTTCCCCTTCTTGACACCTCTACATTCCGAGCCGACAACTACCTGTACAAAAAACCCCCATCCAAGAGATCTCATCGTGATTATACCCGAAAGGTCTACCAAGCCATTGTGATCTCCTCGAAACTGATAATTGTGGATCTATCAATAGCTTCTCGAACTCCCTCCGCCCCTTTTCCTCCCCTTCACTTTCCCCCACCAATCTTCTTCCCAACCTCGTGCGGGCATTGATCATTTTATTGACCAACAAATTTTCGCCGCTATGGCATCTCTCAATCTGTCGGCCAACGGGCCATCGATATCAAAGAGCTATCAGTCTGTCGTGAACTCGGCCCCTCCCAAGAACGGCTCACCGACATATGGCCAATGGGCCGTCTTCTCCGTCTCAACCCCACTGGTCAATGCCTTCCAGCAGGACGCTGGAAACAAAGAAAGTGTTTTGAAGGTTCAAAACACTGGCGGTCAGTTATTCCCCTGTCTCTTCAATTTGGCGCTACTGCTCACACCCGCTATACAGAGGGTGAATTGCTTGACCTCATCGATGAATTCTCCGAGGGTCGTGTACAATTCGCGTACGTCAAGGTGACCGACCCCAACACCGGCTTACCCAAGAATGTTCTTATTGCCTGGTGTGGCGAAGGTGTTCCCGAGAGAACCAAGGGCTATTTCACCAGTCACTTGGCCAGCGTATCGAAGTTCCTACACGTGAGTACCTGACTTCTCTGGTTGGTATACCCCACACGGTTGAGACTGACCGTTGTTCAAACACATTAGGGCTACCATGTCCAGATAACAGCGAGAACAGATGATCATCTGTCCCCGGAGGGCATTGTCCAACGCGTGGCAGACTCATCTGGCTCGAAGTATTCACCAGAATCGCAGGCACCAGCTCCGACACCCGCACCTCGCCCACCGGTTGCCAGTAAGCCGGTTTTCACACCCTCTCGATCAGGAGGTATTGCCCCATCCCCAGCCCCGGCACTGCGCCCCAAGCCATCGGCGGCTGTAGATGGTGATGGCTGGGGTGAAGATGCACCCCCAGTCACTCGTTCCCAGCTGGAGAAGGTTCAGTCTGCATACCAACCCACAAAGGTGAACCTGCAACAGCTTAAATCAGAGAACCAGGCCCCCGCATCTCGACCAACTGCTTCGGCCTTCACAGAAGATGCGAGTAATGTAGTCCGCGGTGCTTACCAACCGATCGGCAAGGTCGATATTGCTGCCATTAGGCGCCAGGCCGCGGATTCTGGTCAGCTGAAAGACGATCGTCCTGCTCCTGTGAAAGGATCGTACGAACCAGTAGGCAAAGTGGATATTGCCGCAATTCGTGCCCGATCGCAGAAACCCGATGGCGCAAATGATGATGTTTCAGCCCGGGGACCCGTTCCTCACAATGAACCCACGACACTCCCCGAACGACCGGCTGTTAACCAGGAGGCGGAACGTCTGACCAACCTGCCAAAGCCCAAGATTGCTAACAAGTTCGGCTCCGGCTCATCATTCCCCGGAACTAAACCGCCCCTTCCCACCACCATTGGCGCGTCATCCACTACCCCGAATGTCCAAATTGGAAGCGCCAGTCGAACCTTTGCGGACAAGGGAGGTAAAACACCTGCTCAGTTGTGGGCAGAACGCAAAGCCAAAGAGCGTGATACTGGATCAGCAGGCGATGCACTGCCGCCGCCTCGCCCGATTCAGAGCCAGCCAAGTGGTCCCAGCGAGTGGAAGAGTGGGTACACGGGTAAGTCTTGGGCGACCGTCCAGACTGTCCAGGAAAAGCCGGTCCCTGAGATGGCGGACGTGAAGGCCTCCGACTCGTATGGTGCGGAGACAGGTCACCCCTCTACCCATATTCAAGATGTGCGTGACCAATTCGCTCAGCCACCCACCCAGTCAATCGATATCGAAGCACCTCCAGCTGTGCCCCAAGCGAGTCGTCCTGTTCCCGTTCCTGGTTTGCCCTCGGGTCCCACTGAGCCGGAAGAGAAGGAGCATGATGTGCAACAAGAGCTACCTACCCCACCGCCCCAGCCGCCACGCTCTCCCACTCCCCCCACTCCTCCAGTGCGTGATAGCTCCCCTATCCGCGTGGCAATTCCTGTGAGTCGCGGGTTGGCCGATGCACACGAAGAGCAACAGGCCCCACCTCCAGCCTTGCCGGTGCAAAGCCTCCAGGAAGCTGTGCCAAACGAGCAAGATCTTGAAGATGAGACGCATGACCTGGGCCGAGCTACAGCTGAAGCCACAGTTCCTGATCAACAGGATCAGAATGAACTACGCGCCGTGGTGCAATATGATTATGAGAAGGCCGAAGACAACGAGATCGATCTCCGCGAAGGAGAACTTGTAACTGAAATTGAGATGGTCGACGATGATTGGTGGCTGGGCGTGAATGTTCAGGGTGAACGTGGCTTGTTCCCTGGAAACTATGTTGAAATCATTGAGGGTGATCACCTTACTTCACATGCCCATGAGCAAGATTTGGAGCCTCAAGCCGAGCCCGAGCCGGAACCCGTTCCTGCGCATGTTCCTGCGCCTGCACCTGTTGCGGCACCTGAGCCTCCCTCTGCTGCTGAAAGCCACGGTCCGACTGCATCCGCACTATATGACTACGAAGCAGCTGAAGATAACGAACTCAGCTTCCCGGAGGGTGCTACAATCGTCAATGTGGTATGGCACTAAACATATTCATCATCATAAACCTCGAGAAAAGCCTTGCTAACTATCTTTTCTAGGAATTCCCTGACGATGACTGGTGGCTTGGTGAGTATAAGGGAGCGCGAGGATTGTTCCCGGCCAACTATGTACAGTTGGATGAGTAGAAAAGAAATTCCCCAGACCCATGTGTGTGTAAATAGCTTTCTCGCTCATCATCAGCTTTTGTGTTTCTCTCCCTCTTATCTCCGTTCCTCTACATGATATGCGATACACTTCAGGTGTATCTTATATCCAAGGAAGCACAAGATGTAACAAATCAGTCTCCACAAAATATCATCAATTCAACTTTTAAAGTAGTATACATGAAAAGAAGAAGAAGAAGAATAATAATAATTTCTTAAATTGTATAGATATACTTGTCTTAACCAAGTCCTGATATTCTCAAATTGGAAGACGTCATGAGCATTACATAACCTGCCATCAGTCAGCATCACGTGCCTCGAAAAGCGGCATAAACAAGTGTGAGACTACGAGAGGTGCGTTCCCCGTCCACGCGTGAGGTATCTTCGTTTACAAACCTCCCTGGCGGTAGTCTGATCCTGCCGATACCTTGCCGTTTGGTGTACGTTGTTGACACTTGGGTGTCAGTCCTGAATCCTTCTTTCTCCTCCCATACATATTATACGTACCAAAATGGCGTCGCTAGGTGAGGATCTGCTCGTCACTGTGAACAAGCTCCAGGATCTGGTGTTCAACACCATTGGAAATGATTCCCTTGATTTGCCTCAGATTGTGAGTGATATGAATCCAAGTTCCGAGGAGATTGGAGTCAAGAGACTAATTTGCCTCGGGATTTCTAGGTTGTTGTCGGCTCGCAATCTTCCGGCAAGTCATCAGTACTGGAGAACATTGTCGGACGGGACTTCTTACCACGTGGAAGCGGCATCGTTACTCGACGTCCCCTGATCCTTCAACTGATCAACATCCCTAGCGAGCGTGACGACCTGCCCGATCACGATGAGGTCCATGTTCCGCACACGGCAGCCAGTGTGGCCGGCCAGCACGAATGGGCAGAATTCCACCACCAACCGGGCCGCAAGTTTGACGACTTTGCGTCAGTCAAACAGGAAATCGAAGCTGAAACGGCACGGATCGCAGGAAGCAACAAGGGCATCAACCGCCAGCCAATCAACCTCAAGATCTTTTCCCCTCATGTCCTAAACTTGACTTTGGTCGATTTACCGGGTCTGACCAAGGTGCCGATTGGTGATCAACCTTCCGACATTGAGAAGCAGACTCGAACTCTCATTTTAGAATACATCGCCAAGCCGAATAGTATAATTCTTGCGGTATCCCCGGCCAACGTGGATTTGGTCAATTCAGAAGCCTTAAAGCTCGCGCGCCAAGTGGACCCCATGGGCCGGAGGACAATCGGAGTTTTGTCCAAGCTGGATCTTATGGATCACGGCACGAACGCTATGGATATTCTGTCTGGCCGGGTATACCCTCTAAAACTGGGTTTCATCGGCGTGGTCAACCGATCGCAACAGGATATCCAGTGTGGAAAGTCGCTCTCTGACGCTTTGCGTGCAGAGGCAGACTTCTTCCGTCACCACCCGGCATATCGCAACATGGCCAACCGGTGTGGTACCCAGTTCTTGGCTAAGACCTTGAACTCCACCCTTATGACGCATATTCGAGACCGGTTGCCTGATATCAAAGCTCGTCTGAATACGCTGATGGGCCAGACCCAGCAGGAGTTGGCTAGCTATGGCAACAAGCAATTCAGTGGCAAGGAACACAGGGGATCGCTGATCCTACAGCTCATGACTCGCTTTGCCTCCTCCTTCATCTCATCTATTGACGGAACCTCCTCAGAGATCTCCACTAAGGAGCTTTGTGGTGGTGCCAGGATTTACTATATCTTCAACGAAGTCTTTGGCAATTCTCTGGAGACAATTGACCCTACACACAATCTGACGGTCTCGGATATTAGGACAGCCATCCGCAACTCGACGGGCCCCCGGCCCAGTCTTTTTGTACCAGAGCTCGCTTTTGATCTCTTGGTGAAGCCGCAAATCAAGCTTCTGGAGGCACCCGCTCAACGATGTGTGGAGTTGGTATACGAGGAGCTTATCAAGATCTGTCACACCTGTGGCTCTCAAGAGCTATTGCGCTTCCCCCGTCTGCAGGGTAAGTTGATTGAGGTAGTCTCCGATCTTCTTCGTGAACGCCTGGGGCCATGCTCTAGCTACGTAGAATCTTTGATCTCCATTCAAAGAGCCTACATCAACACCAACCATCCCAACTTCCCTGGTGCCGCAGCCGCTATGCAATCTATCATTCAGAATCGTCAAGAAGAAGAGCGAAAGGCTATCTTGGCCGAGGAGAAGAAAAAACGGGAGAAGCGACGCCAGAAGGAGCTGGGCACGGCCAATGGCACTGCTGGCATGCCAGAGGACGAGGAAATCCAATCCGAATCCAAGTCCCAGAACCTTCCCCTCCGAAACCATTCTTCCAAGGGTGCGCGCAGTTTGTCTCCCAATGTGAGCCGCAACGCAGAGAATGGTATCGCTGCCACTCTGAACGGTACTTATGCGGGTCAAACAGCTGGTTTCGGTGGCTCGCACACCACGCGTGACTCCTTCTTGAACTACTTCTTCGGCAAGGAAGGCGTTCAAAACCCAGCTTCGCCACCCCAGCAAATGAATCGAGCTGCCCATATGAGTGAGCCTAGCATCAGCCAGAGTATTCGTCGTGCAGAAGTACGGTCACCAGTGATGCCAGAGGAGTATACTGCTCCCTCGGAGTATGGAGGTGATACGTCAGTTTTCGTAAGTTACCTATCAAAATTTCCCAGCATTTACTTATTTATATATTCCGGGCTAACGTTTTTGTCTTCTTTTTTTCTTGCGCTTTTTAGCCTAATGAAAACGCGGAGCCTACTCTTACTGACCGCGAAATGCTGGAGACTGAACTTATCCGTCGTCTGATCTCTTCATACTTCCACATTGTTCGCGAGACCATTGCCGATCAGGTCCCCAAAACCATCATGCACTTGCTTGTCAACCACAGTAAAGATGTCGTCCAGAACCGACTTGTCAGCGAACTCTACAAAGAAGATCTGTTCGGGGAGTTATTGTACGAAGACGACGGCATCAAGGCCGAGCGCGAGAAGTGCGAACGGCTGTTGGATACTTACAAAGAGGCCGCGAAGATTGTTGGTGAAGTTTTATAGATGTGCCCGGGGGGCGTTTTTTGGCTTCATCACCCCGTGAGCTTGTTTTAAGTATGGGATAGTTTTATGTTTGTTTGGAAATGTACAATTATTGTTCTTTTTTCTTTCTTCTTCTTCTTCTTGTTTGGGGTGGAAACTGGATGCACATGCTTGCGATGTATCTACTCTCTTCACACTTGGATCTCACTGTCCTGATCATCATCTTGCCGCTGCTACTGTACGTTCAAATACCAGGGCCCGGCATACTATCGCTCTTGGCTATTATTTTGGCAATAGTAAGTAGTAGACTGGCTAAATAAAAAGGACATGTTCAACCAATATCCAGTGTGGAGGTCGAATCCTTCTTCTATCCACGCATGCAACCTCGAGATTGATTTACATACTGATGTTTGTTTTCCCTGCGGTTAAAATCATATCGATTTAGACCAGAGCTGGTCGTCCAAGCTAAGGAATGCTTCATATGAGTCATAATACATATACAATGCTCTGATCCCTTTTTTGCTCATCTCAGTGCTCATTGAACTTTCTTTGTAGCCACTTTTCTCAGTCTCGTCCCTTCAAATCCATACAGCCCACCACCCAAAAAGACCAAAATAGCGCCTGCCAAAACCCCGGAGCCTAGATGATTTCCGAACAGGTAGATCGAAAGCAGGAGTGACACAAGCTTGCGAATGTTGAGCACCACAGTCACCGTTAACGAGGAGGACTTGGCCGACAAAAGATGCACACCCCGGATGCACAGATACTGTGTCAACGCATTCATAACCAAGTAAGCCACTTGAACCGGAACATGTTCCAGCAGTGACTGGATTGAGGCATTATTCTGAACGGCCGTCGAAAACATCGAGAGGGGGGATCCAGACAAAGGAGGGGCTGATACATCTACTATTTTGGAGAGCAACGATGGTGTGGAAGATACCACTTTCCACTGTGACGAGAGCTGCGAAAAGCTAGTCAAGAACAGGGGTAGGGAAAGGGTGTGCGAGTAGAACAAGGCCTCCTTCCAATGATCACGACCATAGGTCGCGTACAGTCTGTCAGCATAGATGCCCTGAAAGGCCGACAGAACCATTGCCAAGGCAAGAATGGTGAATCCAATGGTGGTAGTCATGGCGGCTGCGTCTGACTCGGATGTCAACTCCACATTCTGACCTTTGGCCTGTGCATCGGCCAGAGCGGCGGCCACCACTCCTGCTGTCAGCATGACCACAGCAAGTATCTGGCCGCTAGAATAGGTTTTGTTATTGAATATATACCCGACAACCATGGAGGCGACGGGGCCACCGGACCGGATGATAATGTGAAGAGGCACAGAGATTTTATACGCAAAGGCCCAATTGTTCAACATGTTGACTGAGATGAAAAACGCGGTGTATATCAACCATGATTGGAGTGGGATCGCCCGAGGATTCAAGAACAGATTTCGAGGCCCCGCAGATAAGGAGAGAAAATGCGGAAGGGTGAATAAAGCACATAGGACGAATTGTGCGAAGGTGATTAAAGGACCTGTAGTAACTGTTAGAGACAAGAGAGACCAATATATACCTGTCGATTTATAAGAGAGTTTACCCAAGGTGGATTGTTCTCTGCAACCAGTATCATTAGTTTCTTGTCTTCAAAATAGTTGATTCCCAAGAGTCTGTATGGGTGCGGTGACTTACTTGATAATAGCCTCGAGAGTGAACACCTATAAGATAGAACAAGTGTTATTAGATACTATTTCCGGAGATCTTTGTACACAAGGCGGTTCCATTGCTGATTCTCTTACATTTGCACAGCAGCCTCCGAATATGAGTGAGATCATCAGGGTCATGTTAGCCCAGTCAGGCACAGTAGCATGCGCCGCGGCCGCAATCAATCCGTCGGACTTTGCTGATCGAGGTTTTCGGCCAGAAATCGAGACCGCTGTACCGTTCTCAGAGCTTTTATTCTTGGAGCCGTTAACATTGTAGGAGTCGGGCCTCCGTTTCAAGCTATTGCCATCATTGATCATGTTGAGAGGGTTGCTGGTGCGGGACGAGTTTGCGGGGGAGGAAAATGTTGACAGCTGGCGTCTAGAAGTCGTCTTGTAGTGCAATTTAGGTATCTCCGAGTCAATTCTTTCGCAATTGGGTCCTCTTTTGTTGGTAATTGGCGGGAATGATTGTTTAAGTAGAGGAGAACAAACGGAGCGAGGTGGTATTTACAATGTAGAAGGTAAGAAGGGAAAGTTGGAGAAGCAAGCGTGGATCCCGTGTTGATAACCGATAACCAATCTTATCTTATCGGCTTGTTTATCCGATCTATATAATTTCATATACGTACATTGATTGCGCTTGCAAGGTTTCATTGTATACTCCAATGTTTATAACGACGCTTGAAGTCCCTACATTTCTCAATTATCTTGACTATCTCAATCCATTTAATCATCCACAATATCGTCGTCACTGAGGTATAATTTTTCTTCTTTGCGGGGTAATCGAGGCCCAAATGCACTGCGGCCCATCTGTCGAGGTGGCTGCGATTGCGACTGCGAGGGCAGTTCATCCTCATCAACATCGTCAAACCGACTACTTCGTATCCCAGTAATTTGATTCAATTGCCAAGATTCGGGCTCATTGCGTCGGATTTGAGCCATGTACGGCAATTGGTGGAGGAGCGTATCAGCGCGCGACATCATCGTCACCGTAGTAGCTGACTGGTCTGCACCAGAAGGTCCCTGATGACCGACCCGCACATTTCGCCAGCTCTTTACACCTCTAGGTTTTGCGGGCCCCATGTCGTGGGAGAAATTATGTGGATTGGCAAAGGGATCCAGCCTCTGGTTCATCCATGAATCCACAAGGCCCTCGATCTCCTCGGTCTTTCTCCATAATCGTAAAGATGATGGATAGAGCATCTTATGTGCATCGCTCGGGCGGCTGCGGCCATCGCCAGTGGCCAGTCTTCGGTTGACAGGATACGGAAGACCAAATAATAAGCCGCGTGCGGCAACCTGATAGCTGATCTCATCTTGTCGTAGCTTATCAACTCCAGCATTTAGAGGTGCTCTTCGATCGGCACTGAGAATGTCGCTATCAGATAGTGCCTCAATGCACGCATTGATGCTGTCGGTGAAAGAGCCCCCGTCACAGGAGGGCGGATAGTTTTCATGAAGACCACAAATAAACGTGGTAATGTCTGTCCCGGTCTCATCTGCCAGCGCATCCACTGCTACCTGGGAGACCTTGCCTCGGCGATGCTGTGATAAATAATCAGGTGGTGAAGGAAGAACCGTCGTACCTTCGGGGACGAGGCTTGGGTCGAGGCGTTTATTGTACACAATTTTGCCCACGGCATGAAATAGCCCTAGACTTGACTCTCTCTGAGATATCATTTTAAGAGATTCTTCTTCCATTGGAGTTAAAGCTGTGTCCCCGCGAGCCTTCTTGCCTTTGGTCTTGGCAAGAGTGCCGCTCCATTTGCCGGTACTGTCACCCTTTAAACATAGAAACTCTAGAGAAGACACCGCACTGCGGATGTCTCCAATCTCGGAGATTGTCTCAAGAACCACTGGACCGGGGATTCGGGCGCGCTTTGAACTGCGCGCCTCTTTCTCAAGGATCAGACGTAAAGCCTTTTGCATGAAGGTTGGGGCGATACTGTTAAAGTCTATGATTTTGGTACCTGGATGGTTAAACAATGTCGGTCCGAGTAATCGATGGACTGTAAAATTATCCGTTATCGATGATGCCGAGCCTAGTAAGGTCTCTGAGACAATCATCACAACTGGCGGATGTATCTCCCCAAATGGATTATCTGCAGCAGACGCAAGATAGCGTTGTAGTGATGTCCGGAAGGCAGCCAAACCGGCATTTCGGTTCAGCATTGTCGGGAATTCTTCCACTAGGAGTATTCGATGGTCCCGAGATCGAGGAGGGATATGATCGTCGTCTCCAGCCGTATCTTCTAGATCGAGTCCCCCAAAGCGATCGCCCCGATCCAGAAACTCCTCAAACTGCGCACCCACAGAGACATAATCTTGGGCAGTAAATTCGGAGACCGACGGATTCTTCCACTCTACAATATCAAAATCTAATGATTCGGAGAGTAGCGAGATCGTAGTCGTCTTTCCGGAGCCAGCGGGGCCTCGTAGGACTAAAAGTCTCTATTTCTTGTTAGCAATCGTATACGAAGCAATTATCATCTTCTCCTCAGTTCAGTTGAAAGAATCCATATAACTGGAATGAAGGAGGGCAACACACCTCTCTAGCTTGCCCTGCAAACGCCTCTTCTAGCCATTTCCGTACATCCGCAACCTTCCTCATGTGAACGGCCAACTCGTCTAGATTTAAAGGAGCAAACCGCTGGGCCCACGGGCGACGATCAACCGTTTGGATCAGGGGTTGAGGATCTGATCGCCGAGAACTATGGCTCTTGGAATCCGGTGGCATGATAAACCGCTTAGCAGGTCGATTCGTCTGACGCCCCGCGGCTTTAGGTTTGGATACCGACGCGCGTGTTTGTCCATTATTTGAAGATAAGGAGGACTTCGTATTGAAGCTAGAGGTTTGGCTAGCAATATGTTGAGAGAAGATCTCATCGTATGAATCATAGTCATCTTCAATTTCGTCCGCGTATGTTTCTTGCGTCGGTACGAGTGACCGCTTCGTCTCGAATTTCTGCGATGACCATCGTTGACTGTCCGTAGCCGGCTGGAAGAAACCGTGAAGAGATTTAGATTTGTTCAATTTGGGGGAGGATGCAGGTTTGGAGGGAGAGAGCGAAGGGGAAGCGGATTGTCGAGTCGGTGGAGCTGGATTGGGACGCGCTCGTGTTGATTTGGGGTGTGATGCGAGCGCAACTGGCTTCGGAATAGATTTAGATGAGTCTCGTTTGGAGTCATCTTCACGGACTGATCGGCGTTGTCTTTTCGGAGGACGACCGTCCATGATCAATTGGAAGAAGCGGGGAGTTGAGGAAAGGAAAAAGCGCGACTGATAAGGTTGATTGATGACGCCAAGGGTTCCACTTCATATCTAAACAATACATGTATACACCACTATACACATGTGCATGTATAGATAGATACCTTTATTATATATGCAGTACAAACCTATCAATTGATATACGATCTCTTTGAAATTTGTACATGAGCAGATTGAATTACAGGTCGAGATCATTCAATTGATCTTCTTTGAATAGCTTTATAGTTATGCCAAAAAAAAGTCCGACTCCAATTAGTGTATATTGTACACATATGTCCAGCCACGGGTATATCGACAGGATTCCAAAACCAAAAATAACCAAAAAGAAAACATTATGTACATGGGAAGAAAACATCAAAATATCAAAATCAAAATTAGAACGTCCAGTTCCCCAATACCCCTTCAATGCATCCCGATTTATGCGCCACCAAAGACATCGTAATAGTAATCTTCATCCAGGCCATCTCGCGCAGGCACTGGCGGGGCCTCGCCAGCAAAAGTGGCGTCATCAAATCGAACATTAAGAAGGCGGATCTTAAGCCCATAATTGCTGACCAGATCGATCAGCTTGTTCGTTTCCGCGGTGATCGGTTGCTGACTGAGAAGCATAAGCAGTCCATCTAACCATTCTGAAGCCACGCTGTGAGATGCTGGCCGGAGCGTAAGGAGCACTGTCTCTTTTTGTGTAGACCGACTACCAGTCCGAGCGTGTCCATGGCTTTTTGATTGGCTTGTTGCTGTTTGAGGCTGTGCATGGCCATGGATAGTAATTTTAGTTGAAGCTTGAAGTGGGGCGGTCTTGACGGTGGCCGAGGAAGAGTGGTCAGGGTTAGTGGAGATGTTGGAGACGACTGATGAGACAATGGAGAGATCGACTAATAAGAAGACAGCAGTTAGTATGAGTGTAGTATAAAGATCCTGTCTAGTAGACCGTCTCCAGGAGCGCTTGGATCTAAGAGATAGACTATAGTAGAGTAAGGGCTTCTTACTCTTCTCAGGCAAAGCATCCAATTCCGGAGTTCCATCTCCCATAGAATTAAACTCTCCAAAATGCAGATACCGGCGATTATGCGACAGCTGAACATATTGAAATGAGGCTGTAGACCGGGTAGAGGTGGAATCGAGCTTGGAAGTGGGATCAAGCGAAAACCAGGCGCCCTGCGACAGGCAGCGAATGCGCTGTTCCTTAACAAACTGAAGGGCTTCATGGTGAAGTTCTTCGCGCACCTGCCGCAAATGCTGACCCCAGGCATCTTCGTAGGTGAGTTCCAGGAGCTCCATTTGTAGTTCCCGTAACCGATGATATTCAAAGTTGGCTAGTTCCTCTTCGACATCTTGGACATCTTTGGTTCGACCAGCTCCGCCAACCACTGATTCCATGAGAATGCGAACCAACTCCACTAATTTATCGAGATCCTCCGTCTCAGCCGCCGTTGCTTTCCACATGCGGAAAAAGGCCTGCAGCCCTGCGACGTGTAACCGCGTCCAGTGGAGAAGAAGAGGTTTGAAAAGCTTGTCCAAGCTGGACCGTGATTCCATGAGCATATAATTCTTGGAATCGTCCATCTCGGACTTGTCTACCTCAAAATGCTCATATAGGATGGACGTGATTGCGAGAGATGCTCGCGCGATCGGGCAGCGTTGGCGTGAGGGCTTCGTGGACTGCTCAAGGAGCATTTTCTGAAATTCATCCTGATGGCTGCGCACATAGTCTGCCAGGTCCATCATGCCCAAGAAGCCCATCTCATAGAACTCCGTCGCAGGGCTTTCAGACTCAAACCCTAGTCGTCGCCATTTTTCCGGATGGTGTTTTTTCGAGCGCCGGGTCTCGTCGCCGTTTTCTGTCGATTCTTCTGGTGCCTTTGCAGAGGTACTAGCGAGGTAGATACCCTTTAGGGCGCGACGGTGTTCGGGCTTTTCCTGCTGCAAGGGAATATCTCTCCACTTCCGGAGAAGGACTTTGGTGAGGGATTGGAATTCGATGAGCGGGGGTGCAAGATCCTGGAGAGCCGAGTCTTGCATCAGGACATAGACAGCTCGAATCACACCCAAGTCCTGCAGTTTCTGAATGAATTTCGGCCATTCCGCCTCGGAATCGTAGGTAACGGAATCGCGCATAAGGGAATTTATCAATTGGAGCGCATTGGCGCAAAGAGCATGGTCCGCCGAAGAAAGCCGACTGACAAGCATCTCCAAAAACTGAGGATAAATAGCGATCGCTGGTTTGAGGGCACGGAAGCCAAAAACCTCCGCTTGTGATGGGTCGCCTCCGGCGTGTGGATGGGAGACCACCGATACGAGTATTGACATGGCGCCTCGGAGGATGTTGACTAGAGGATGGGTGACAATCAATTCGACAATCTAGATAATTTTGCGACATGATTGATTAGTGGATTTGAATTGAGAGCGCGGCGACAGGGCAGGAGAGGGTTAAAAAGGAGGGAAGGTTTGTTTCTTACCCGTTCAACAAGTTCCTGATCAACACATTCCCATCCTTTGTCAACCTCTAGTAGTCTTGCAAAACTGGTGAGACTATAAGCCAATGTATTCCCACTCGCATGTAAAGTCAAGTAGCGTAGACGCGTTAATCCGCCCTCAATGATAAATAAATCAGCGAATGATGGATCCCCGATATTGCCCTGGAGCTTAAAGACGGCCATTTTGCGAACAGCATCTTCGTCACTCCCAAGGCGCTCGACCAATTCAGGAACATTGACAGTCTCCATAATGTGAGGCCTCCTCTCCTTTTTTTTTATTAAAAAAAGAGAGAGAACGTGGGCCAAAAGGGAGATGGGGGAGAAAAAGAAGGTGACGGTTGAAAGGGAAGGCGGGTTTAGGGGGTCGAGAACTACTTGGGGTATTTGGCCCAGTGGGGAACATTGGGGGGAACATTGGGATTCGAACTATGAGATTTTTGAGAATTTCAAATTATTCTGCAAAGCTTTGAATACACAATACATTCTTACAATTAATGGAATATAGATAATTTCAATCATTCATGTATTCAATTAATATGATATTTCATGTCATACATCACGATAAAAAATCCAGGGATTGTATTTCCTGGAATTGGTCCACTCTATCTACTTGCTCCATGAACATTCAAAAAGATACCCATCATTAAAACCAAGATAATCCACCCCAAAAAACAAAGAATAACTCCTGGTAGATGCAAAGTACCAATGGTACCACGAGCCAGACGGGATGAGAAAAGGCGAAAAATCATCCGCTGACTTATTTGTGTATGAACAAGGAAGATCTGACTCTTTCTGGTCATGAGTCGTAGGATCTTTCCTCTATTCTTCCTTTTGCCTCTCTCTTTTCGCTTTTTTTCGCTTTCGTTTGATGTTGCTCTTTTATAGAAATTGGAAGTGGTGGGAGGATGAGATGAAGATCAAGCTTGGAAACCGGCCAGACTTGGGAGGAATCACGAGTCGAAAGATAGAAGAAAGGGGGGCAAGATGAGAAAAAAAAAAAAGGTGATGCGTATGAGGTTATCATCGTCGCCAGCCGACATTCCAAATGACATGGGCAATATCCCGAGCCGTATTGACCGTATCAACCACGCGACCTAGAATGGTGTGCTGGGTAGTTTCTCCTTCCGATTCACCATCCGGCTCACCGTAGGGTACGAACATGCCGGATGTGGACAACCGCGGGGGTCGATCAGCTAGCTCGTCTTCCTCCTCGGGAACGAACCAAGCTTGACGATCTCGGTAATGGCCAGTAAAGTCAAGGGTTGGATCTTCGTCATCATCCAGCAAGAAGTTGGCAGAAGGTGGTCGGAGAGTCTCCACGGATGGGGTGGGGGATAAGGATGAAGAGGTAGGGGTGGCAGAAGGGGATGACGTTGATCTGGATGAGAAAGTGGCCCAGCGATCCAGTATTGAAGGTTCAACACGAGGCTCGGGAGTGTCCCCACGGTACTTGAGGGTAGTGGATGGGAGGGGAGCGATGGTTTTGCTTTCGCTGCTGAAGCTGTTCCGAGAGGGGTGCTGCGGCTGCTGAGAGAGGAATCACTGAAGACCCGAGGCATCATGACGACCCCATCATCCGAAGATGACTCTTCGTCAAAGGTCACGGGCCAGCCTTCATCAGTTTTGGCTTCGACAGCGATGCATTGAACCACCTCATTGTTAAAATGGATATGACGACGCTCGCTGGGGGAGGTCATGCCAGAAGAAGAAGTGGTCAATGTGCCTCCAAGAGAATATGTCGAGCTCCCCGTTCGATGATGGATGTGATCAAGGTCCGTATTGGATCGAGGGAAGGATGGGCGAGTCCAGCCCTGTTCGGCTTCTTGTGCCTTGAGGATAGCACCGGCATGTTGGAGAAGAGTATGTTGTGATAAGGATCGCTGAAGCATGGTCTCTGAAGCGGTCTTCTTTTTCAAAATGGGCTTTCGATCCCGATAAGAGTTGGGGGTTTCCAGGCGACTGGGTGGCGGAGACACGTCGGATGCTATGGCGTCGCTCGAGACGGACGTCTTGAGTGGTCCATAGAGCCAAGTCACGTCACAATCTTTTAACCTGGAGGTGGGAATTTCCGTTAACTTCCAAAAGGAAGGAGGGATGGAGGGAAAAGAAAAAAAAAGACGAGGTGAATGGGTCAATGTTACAAAGGACATACCAATTCAAGGTCTCTGGGGAAATGGTGCCGAGGTTATTCTTTGCTTTGGCCCAGGTTCTCCAAGAGGCATTTTCCAAGCGTACACCATTGCTGTAGTCATTTTTGCGAGCGGCGACATATCTCCAAGAAGACCAAATATCCTCCTCTCGCCAATCATGAGAGAGGTAGTCTACATGGCGAGAAGGTTCATCTTCAACAGAGGTATCGTCGGCAGCTGGGGTCCCACAGGTCCACGGGGTTCCACTTTCGGACGCGTCGCTCAGGGCATCGGAATTCTTGCGGACCCTTCCCTCGTCTCCCTCTCCTTGGTAGGATGGGAGAATCAAATCCTCGTCGAGCGACAGGGTGGTGGTTGGAGAGAATTGATCGATTTCGGTAGGAGAGAAGCTTGGAGATGGGGGAAGGGAGAGTGGGGAGCCAGGGGAACACTGGGAGGGATAAACATGGTGCATGGGGGATTTGGAAGGGAGGTCGAGGAAATAGCGCTGTGCGGTGGGGGCTCGCAACGGATCCGGGGAAAAGTGCGAATGTTGTTCGCGGGGGGCGAGAACCACAGTCATATTTCCCCGAGCTTTTTTATGATGGGTCACATACAACAAGTTGATTTTATTTCAAGAATAAAATATAGAAAAAGGGCGAAGAGAAGAGAGAGAAAAAAAAGAGAAGCTGAGAAAAGAGAAGAGAAAAGAAGCTGGAAGGGAAGAGTTAAAGAGGTTCAAAGGAAACTCTCCATTTCCCTGATGCGGAAATGCCCAGAGTGGAGATAGAGATAGAGAAGAGGAAAGGGAAACAGAGAAAAGATGGAGTAAAAAAGAGAGAAAAAAAGAGAGAGAAAAAGGGAAATACGAAGACGTTTCCAAGTTTAACCCAAACCAGGAAAAAAAGAGGCATAGATAGTAGAGTTTATCTAAAGATAAAGGGTGTGGTAACACAGTTTTGTTGTTCGCCACTCTTTTCCTCTTTCCCTCTTTTCCTCTACTTTTTCTACTTTTTTACTTCGCATCTGAATGGCATAATAAACGACCTAGACCGGACGATAATAGCCCATATGCAGGTTTCCCCACTTCCAATCCGAGTCGATCCAAAGTGGAGTTGAACCGTTAAAACAAGTTCCCTTGTGTCGGAGCATCGCGGAGGAGGAGGAAGAGGTACAAAGTCCCCAAACATTGGGTCTAACAGGAGTGCTAACATGGGTCTAAAGGTCTAGAGTGGTGAGAAAGTGTGAGAAGGTCTGAGAAATTCTAGCAAAGTCTACACTGCATCAAAAACTCTACAATGCACAGGGTCCGACCACTTAACCTAACGCCTTCGACGCCTTCTCAAGTTTCTCAAGTGGGACAAGTTGGTCCAAATGGACACTAAAATGGACCCCACTTGGCTGCGTCTCTCCTGCACGTCAACGTCGCATATTCCCCAAGGTCGGACATTTCTTGCCTCAGAGAGAGTATGGGGCTTGAGAGAATTCTACGGATCCTATCGCATCCAAGCTGTTTATTCTCTAGAGATACATTTTTATGCTTGTAAGTTTGATGTATAAATTGCCTCTTATTAAATATTAGAACGTATTATTAAATATGGGGTATTTTTTTTTAAATCAAACTTGGGAATTACCCTCATGTCTATACAATCTTCCAAGTCTTCCCAGTCTTTCAAGTCTTCCAAGTCTTCTATGTACTTGAAATATTCTCAGGGTGAAAAGGGACCGTGCGGGAGAAGAGAGATCGATCTCTAGTAGTACTCTACTTACTAGTAGTCGCCAACTGGAGACCCATTGACTTTCAAGATAAGCGCGCTTTTCAATTGGGGAATAAAACAATTGAAGTCGATGATTTCAAGAGAAAAAGGACCAGAAATAGATGTTGCCATTCCTACATTTTCCTTAAAACAATGTACTCAAGTGCTTAAGCAAGTCGCAATCGTATACATCATTGTGGCGTCTTAAGTGATAAAAATGGGGTCTAGTCTAGTCTGTACTTTGGTCTCTAGCAATCTAGATTCAAATGTTCAAATGTTCAAAGCGTTCAAACACAGTCTCTTTTCTCTACTTCTACTTTTCTATTCCCCTTCTATACCACATTGTATCTGCGACAAATGACTTAGGTTATGAATACAAACACATTAACTTTGTCTATGATGAATGATGATGATATCTCATGTTTGACGTTTATGTTTATATTTCAATGTTATATTTATTTCATTAAAAAATTACAAATTCTCCGGGATATCCTATTTTCGCAATTTTACGATGCCCTATAATTATTATTTCTGTTTCAAGATTAGGCAAAGAAAGCGCAAAAGCACCTTGTAACACCCTGGACCTTTTTTTTTTTTTTGGTTTTTTTGCCCTTTCGGTCTGTGCGTTGAGCATGATTGGCCTCGACATTTGACGCGAGAAGAATCCCAATTCCTCTAGGCCAGTGGTATCGCCGCATCGCTGCATGTTACCGATCCTCGAGTTCAGGCCTCTTGAACACTTTTGGTATATGCCTCGATGCAAATGCATGTAATCCAAAAGTTGCCATTGATTGTAGGGGAAAGCAAATTCCCCGATCTGGCTATTCCGTGTATACATAATACGCATGTACGTGATTTCAAGAGAGAAAGAGAGAAAGAGAGAAGGCCACGGACCTTCTCATGTTCCTGATTTCTCGGGATATCGACTTCGGCTTCGTTATTGGTTCCCACCGCAACACAGAAAACGGGAACGGGTTGCTGCACTCCGGACTCAACGGGACTTTTGTACACTTTTTGCCCCGGTAAGTGGACGGGGATCGTCAAGTTTCTTAGCTTATCGTTACTCTCTAACGGCCGTGCGGATCGATTGTCAACCGCCAATAATCGGCCTCCAATGCCCTTCTCGCTATCGTGTTTGGTTTTCTTTTTCTTTTTTTCTCTTTTTCTTTTTTTCTCTTTCTCCCTTAACTCTTGATATACATATGCAGCTAGTTAATTCATTAAATTCATTATCCCATTTCTCCATCTCTCCTTTCCCAGCCCTTCGGTTCTGGCCTGCATGGCCCCAATTTCCAAGTCAAACAATGACAAGGCTGCGTCGACAAAAGACTAGGATCAACACGCAATACCCTTGGAAGTCCCCCAAAAAGACGATAACGACCCCTGGAGGTAACTTTGGCTCTGACGCCACTAAGGTGTGGATTTCATGCACTGGTGATTTGGTCGCTTTGGCGCAAAAGCGCCAAAGCGCCATGCCATATGTCTTGACCCGATTGCAATCTGCAGCCAATTTCCTCATTGCATACGGACAGGGCTAGAATGATGTAGTATGTGAAACATACCTTTTTTTTATCTTTCTTCCAGGGCGCTTCCAGAGTTCTCTTTGGATGAGGTGTTACCAGATACCGGAGTGATATGCTCCTTTCAATGTTATATCTCGTTCTTTCCAAGGTTATGGATTGGAACTAATGCAAGTATGTATGCAACTCGGGAACCTTGGAGTGTCGAGTACGTAATGTACTTACATAATCCACATTCATAAAAAATATCACATGACCCAGAGGCCCTAGCGCTGCTGACGTAAATGCCCCTCATGTTATCGAAAAAGAGTGAAACGGCTTCAATGGTCGAGAGTCGAGACCCCCATTATTCACTCCTCATCTCATCCCGCAATCATGGCTGAGGTGGCAGATTCAGGCCCGGTCGAGCCGCAGGCCCGCCATATCGTCTACTGTGGAGGTAAGTACCCCGTGGCATCCCGAGTGCGAATTTCGTTGGCTGACCGCGAACCCCGCGCAGTGTGTACACTACCCCCCGAGGTATGAGAAGACTTTCCGATCCTATTCCCCGCCCTCCCTTTCCTCCCCCCAGCACCGAAGGAATTTTATTCATTTATTTTATTTTATTTTCTTACTACTTTCCCAACCCCCTCCTTCCAAATCTCGGCCCCATTGACCATTTCTGGATTCCACCCTCTTTTAGTACTGCAGCTTTGGAGGAACAGCCAAGAAATGTGAAGAATGGCTGAAAGATGAAGAGCCCGAGCTCTGGAATCAATTACATTCCGAAGGTATGCCAATCAAATCGGACTTGTTCGGAAATCCCGGGACACGCGGGGAAAGTTGTGGCAGCCACTAACCATCTCACCTGCTGGATTATGGCAAACAGATGCTTTGAATGCCAACTTGTCCGCCCTCTCCGTCTCCGCACAGGAGCGTGAGGCCAAAGACGCCAAGAAGAAGGAAGCCAAAGCTGCACAGAACGAGGCCCGAGACGTCGAGCGCAAGGCCGCTTCCAAGGTTATCATCAAGCGGGTGGAACGCAACAAGCGCAAGTACGTCACCGTCATCTCCGGTCTGGAGGTCTTTGGATTGGAGAACAAGAAGCTGGCCAAGGAACTGGGCAAGAAGTTTGCTACCGGTTCCTCCATGACACGATCCCCCGCCGGTACGGAAGAAATCACCGTCCAGGGTGATGTGAGTGAGGATGTGGAGGATTGGCTTTTGGAGGTCTATGGCAGCAAAGTGCCCGGTGCCAACATTGAGTTGGTCGAGGATAAGAAGAAGAAGAAGGACCCCGCCGCTGTCTAAGCTGGTCCTCTTTTTTACTATAACGATGATGAAGAAACATTGGAATGTATTGCGCGGAGAGGGTATCATGACATGAACACAAAACAAAAGAAAACAAAGAAGTAATACATATGGCAAATGAAACAAAGCGCTTTGTACAGCATAGGCAACACATTCTCATTCCCGCAGGAGAGTAATGCAAGGCAACGTAGTCTCCTATAACTCATCAAGGACCCGTAGCGGGTCAAGATCGGTCGGTACAGCATCCGAGCTAGCCCGAGAACTCGTGGCCGTGATGCTGTTCGCCTGTTCCAAGCTCTGTCGACGATCTGCCAGACCAGATGGATACCAGGAAGCACTGGTGATGTCCTCAGCGTCACTCAGAACCGACTCCCAAGTATCAGATGGAGTGGCACCGAGTGAAGTCTGATTCAGTTTATCGCTCGGCTCAGCAAACGAACTCGGAGACTGCAACGCGGGCCAATTCTGGATAACGAGAGCCAAAACGAGAACAAGCAGACTGCTAGATATGACAGCCCAGAAGATTCGCAATCGTCGACTGACTCGAGACTGCCATTCCGACTCTCGTTGATCCCAGCGGTCAATCTCGCCTCGAACGCTCTCGAGACGTTTGCCGAGATCCTCGACTCGCTGCCGCCCGGCCTTCATTCGTTTATCCAATGCGTCGGCCTTTTGAATTTGAGGCTGGAAGCCCTGGAGATCATTAATCTGCTTGCGGATCTCCTGATCGAGTCCAGCAGTCTCGCGCTCGAAATCATTGAGAAGAGTCGACGCTGAATCTGAGAGGTCCTGGAAAGACCCGATCGTCGAGTTGAGAGCGGTGATTTTCTCAAGCAGGTTATAGTAGGTGTAATCAAGTCGCCGGGTGACGTCGGTAGCCAAAGTCGCAATGGAGGAGAGTGCAGAACGCAGGTATCTGTAAGGTGGGTTCTAGTAAGCATGACGGATCCCAAGTACTGACAGTGCAGTCTATATAGCTTACTGTTCTCCCTGTTTCCTTCGCTTTGTAACCTGGCCCAATTCTTCCAGCGATTGAATCTCCTGTCTGCGAATCGGACCCAATTGTCCCTGTTGATCAGAGGGATCCAGAATACTGCCCTTGCGACTTCGACTGCTACTGCCTAGTCCGGAGGTAGAATCCGACCCCCAGCGCGATCGCGTTGTCTCCCGAGTCATGGGCCGCAAGAGCCCATCTTCCTCGCGATCCTTTTCTCGACCTCCAGACCAGGTGGGCAATAGGCCCCGAGCACTTGCGGAGGATGCAAGATGGCTCATGTGGCGTGGGAGGCGGATCTCACGAGATTTGCTATGTTTATGGCGGTGACTGTGCAACTTGGCGCCGTCGAGGTGCCAGTCAGTCAGATGTCGATGTGAGGAGCGAGTCTCGGTTGGTTCGAGCTCATTGCGAGAAAGTTGGTCGCCAGCTTGCGCCAGCGGTTCTGTGGTCACATTGGGCCGAGTAGATCCATGGGTCGGAGGGAAAGTCGCCGAAGGGGGTTTAGCGGAGAGTGGTACTGGAGTTCTGAGATGATCCATATTTGAACATATCTCCAACCACTTGAGGAGTTGTTTTGTTCCTTTTTTTTGGTGTTTTTGTTGTTTTACAGGAATGATGTCGGATGTCAAAAGCGGAGTGTTGGGGAAAAGCGATGACGCCAAGGCCATGATGCACGGGGCCGCGATCAACATGGAATTATACTGCATACATCAGTGGCCTTAATACAAATCTAGGGTAAACTGATCAATTTTTAATATCAATTCTTGATTGGTTCACGGAGTATGTACATATGTCAATTAGTATAAACGACATTGACCACTGTAGACCTAATATATTATCAGATTGAAAACCCTACGCTATTACATCTCCAAAAGTGATAATTGATAGCCAGAACTAGAACTGTATAATCGCTTTTTTGATTGTTTTTAAACCGAGTCCATGCATTCATTCATGCAACATCATCGGAATTCTGAAATCTATCTTTGGCTCCCGATAGAATCAACTGTCTTAGAACAATACATATGAAGAACAAAATTACATAGATATCAATGCCCAGGAGAAACGCCAATGACCCAAAGCCCCTCCATCCTCTTATACATCGATAGCTTCATGGTAAGTATATGAATAGACACCAACAAGGATTGAAGCCATCGACGATGAGGGGAGGAAGGTATGGTATATGCTGGAAAGGGAACAGAGTCACCGAGTACGAGCTCAGGAGTTGAGGAGCTTGTTGCGCTTCTCGCGGCGCTTGAGGCGCTCGACCCGCTTGTGGTGCATCTTTTCTGCCATCTTCGCGTACCGGATCTTCTCCTCCTTTGCAGCACGACGGTCCTTGATGCGTTGGATGTGGGCCTGAATACGGGTCCGGTATTAGTCCACGTTTTCCAAGGAAGTGGAGAAGAGGCTGGGGGGCGGATGAAGAGAGAAGCGAAAAACGGAGAAAGAGGAAAGAGGAAAGAGAAAGAGAACATGGAAAAGAAGGGAAAAAAAGAAAACAAGAAAATCAAAAAAAGGTAAAGAGAGAAACAAAAGAACAAAAGTGATTAAAATATAATGAAAGAATTCGAAACTCACCTGGCGTTCGGCCTCTTTTTCCTGCTTCATCTCACGTTCGCGTTCCTTAACGGCATCTTGGTGCTTGCGGAGCTCTTGACGTTTGGTATAAGATGTCAGGCCGGCGGTCGGGCGGAAAGCCCGCTTATTGTCATGCCAATTCTTGCCTAGAAAAAAAGAAAAGCGACGATCGGGTTAGTCGGGCCTAAGCAGAACCGAATACAGCGAGACTTGAAGAGTGGGGACTGCGCGGGTTTCGGGAGTTTCGTGGACTGACCATTCTTGCGCATACCCTCAGCCTTTGCGATAGGCGCGGGGACCGCGGGTGTCTCGACGGAGGTTGACATATTGATTCCCTGTGATATCTCCTTGTTCACCAAGTTGAAAATTGGTGGGGGAGAGTTGGAGGTGTGGGGGGGTCGGGAGGTTGTAAGAAGTTCCAATATCAGGAAGTTATCACGGGATGAAAATTTCAGTTTTTTGGCAGCGTAAAAGTCGGAGATTATCTGATCGATAACCGGCCTTGGCGGACGCTAACACCAGCAAAACCGGTGAAAGATGATGAATATTACTCCACTATGGAGTCTAGTTTTCTCTCATTTGTTTCATTTCGGGACTCTTTATTACTCATAGTTATCTGATCGAGACCTTTTGATCTGGTTACCATCTTTCTCTGGTAATATTGAGGGAATTAATACCTGTTTATTACTTGAGTGCTTATTTGCCTCTTAGTTACCATGCATTTTTTACGCGTATTTAATCTGGTCTTGGCGTGAACTCTTCTAACACACCGCCCCTCGTTTCCCTCGTTTTCCCTCGTTTCCCTCCGGTTTTTTTTCCCTCAATTTTTCCCTTGACGTTTTTTTTCCCTTGCCATTCCCCACTTTCAAGCATCTGTACTTCTGGTTCCATACTGAAATTCAATTCTCTCATAAATTCCTCCCCTCCCTCTCCCCCTCTTTGTCCCTCTCTTCCCTCTTTTTTTTTTCTTCTTTTGAACCATGCTCCCCCGATAACCCGTCTTTTTGCGTCTTGGGTCTTTGATATAACACATTGTTGCATGCCTTGATGGCGACAGCCGAGCATGCAATCCCCGTCAGTGAGCAGGTGATGGAGCTCCCATCGCTTCCCCCAAACCAGGGGGTGGAAGCCATGAAAGACATCGTCTTTGGATCGGTAAGAAGCCCTGAGCCTTGAATCTCGGATCTTACTTCTTGGGACCCTCTTTTGGTTGACATCCCGCTAATCTAAAACCTCTTCATATTATAGGTGGCTGGAATGGCTGGTAAATTGATCGAGTACCCATTCGATACGGTCAAGGTTCGACTGCAATCACAATCCGAACACCTACCCCTCCGATACACCGGTCCCATGGACTGCTTCCGTCAAGCCTTACAGGCCGACGGCGTGCGTGGACTTTACCGAGGCATCAGTGCCCCTATGACCGGGGCCGCCGTGGAAACTAGCTGTCTGTTCTTCAGCTATCGCCTTATCCAGGATGCCGTGCGGGTGAACATTTTCCCCAACGTTGAACAGTTGCCCTTGTGGGTGTTGGTGGCCTGTGGAGCAGGGTCAGGCTCCGTCACATCGCTTGCCCTTACTCCGATTGAACTTATCAAATGTAAGATGCAAGTCCCCGCGGCGTCCGCGGTGGGTCACAAGGCTCCCGGACCCCTTCTCCTCATAGCGTCGATCTTCCGCCATGAGGGTATCAAGGGATTCTGGCGCGGTCAGACCGGCACATTGATTCGAGAGACCGGAGGTAGTGCAGCCTGGTTCGGTAGCTACGAGGGAGTCTCGGGTCTTTTCCGGAGATATGCCCCTCGTTCTCAATCGTCCACCGACAGTCTTCCCGTGCATCAACAGATGATTGCAGGCGCCACCGCGGGAATTGGCTACAACTTCTTGTTCTTCCCGGCGGACACCATCAAGTCTCGAATGCAGACCGAGGATATCTCCCGGCTCCCAGCCAACGGAAAACGAAAGACATTCTGGAGCGTGGGTCGTACCTTGTGGCAGCAGCAAGGCCTCAAGGGCATGTACCGCGGGTGCGGGATCACCTGTGCGCGATCAGCCCCCAGCTCCGCCTTTATCTTCGCTGTCTACGAAGGATTACGATCCTACTTTTGAGGCATTCAAAAAGAAAAACAAAACTCCCGTTGCACATATCATTTGAATAGATCAAGTGTTGGATCTGGGATATTGCATATATATATATAGATTTCGCTTTTTTTTTGGTTTTCTTTTACCTATACCCGTTTATGCAAGTTACATACACAGTTAGAAATCAACATCTCGTTTCTTTCAGTCATACTACATGAAATGTGCATGCATATATACCAATCTAACTATGTGCCTAATACTTGGGGTGGGTAGTACTCAGTACCTCTAATGTTAGATGGGAGAAAAAAATTTGTACTTAAAAGAGGTGGGCCAGCGCCCCTACTAGTCTACCATACCCTAATCTCTATTGATTTCTCTCAGTGTAGACTAAGAATCCATTCCAGCTACTGCCACAATACTCATACCACCATACTCCCCCGCCGCCGCTGCATCCAGAAAGTCTTGTGCTGTCAAGGCCAATCCCCGCTCACCCAGCAAATCCTCCTGATCCAGTGTTCCCCGCCGCAAAGGTCCATTCAAGCCTCCATTAAGCTCCCACACCACGCCATCTTTGAGGACAAATCCAATGAAGTGGTGGTGATTATCATCGTGAGGCGACGGAGCCGCCGAGGAGCCCTTGGACGCAGCATGCATGTGTGCTTCCTCCAAAAACACAGAGTCATACAAGAGCTGTGCCCGCTCAGCCGGTCCAAGCTCGATAGCCCGCTTCAAAAGGTTCCCCAACGCCGACTCTGACCTGACATACCGCCTCCTATCCAAATTGAAAACGCAGTGCAGTAGCGCCATCAGACCGCAGGCATGGCCGATTGTCTGTTTGATCCAGATGACCGGCTCGTCCGGACCAGATCCCTGGTATTCCGGGATCGTGGGTACCACGGCAGACCGGGCTGCGTTGTATATGGGCTTGTCTGCCAGTAGGATCATGGCGTGAATAGGGCGGGGTATGCACGCCAGCATCTCCGGTGATGTAGAGAAGATATCATAGAAGGTGAGACCTGGAGCTAGGCCTAGGTTCTCACTGAGAAGCGATAGGACTTCGGGGTTGTTTTCTGGAGATTGTTTGTAAGCCATTCATCTGTCTGCCTTCTAGGTGACTGTGTTGACAGACTTACCCAGAGGAATAAATGTTTTGCAGCCATCTACAATCTCAGCTTTGGGGATGGACATATTGGAAGTGAAGTTAAAGGTTGGATTGATAGCTATGAATGTACATTACTGAGAAAAGAACGTAAACCAAAAAGCGGGGGAAACGTGTAGGGCTGAGATCTGCCACTTGCATTTCTTGCACTCCAAAATTTCCAGTTCATGACTTTATGTCCAGAATATCTAGAGTTCTCTACTGCTTCCATGACCAATTCCTCAGAGACTGGAAGCTGCCCATTTAGGTGCTTGAAAAGTAAGCCCATAATCTCAACTCCACGGTGCCCATGGTTTCTTACTGCCACTTTTACCCTCCAAGGAAGAAGTCCAGCTCAAGAACTTGAAAGCATTTAATCCCTCGCCACTAATCATCTTTCATGAATAAGATCCATCCCCAGGCGATACGCGAAGGCTTGCAACACTAACTCCCAGGGTCCCCAGGAAATCAAGGAAGCGGGTCTAGTTCTTCTCCAAAGCTACTGATTAGCTTCTGACAAGAATTATTTATCTCTGCGGATATTCATCTAGAAACCAATCATTTGAAGCGCTGGAACTCGACTGGTCGTGATACTAAGGGACCGGGAGACGCTCTGTCATAAAGATGTGTGCTCTCGTCCCGTACCTTGTTCTATACGGCTACGACTGCCACAGGGAACCTCAATTGCTTGATTAAATCACACTTCTCCACTCCAATTACGGGCGAATCTCATAAATGCCAATCACGAAGCTCCAAAATGTCATCCATCAACACCAACCCCACTTTTCTCAGCCCTATGGGCCCGGAGAATCCATTTGAAGCCGGTACAACCTGCATAGTGGAGATTCCAGCCCTATGGACATTCAGTCTGAACCGAGGGAGAGGCTTTCCAAAGCTAGGCAACAGTTTCATGAGCTTCATTCCATCCGAAAATCTCAGAGGAAGTGCTCAAGAAAACACCAAGGTCCTCACCAAAGTTCTTCTATAAGATGGACTGAAAATACCGAGAGTTGAAATGAATTCTTCATCTTGATTACATTCAGAGTCGACACCATGTCTTCCTTTGATCCAACGAATGTCAATCTGAACACCGCCAGCGAAGAAGATGTGCTATGCTACCTCGCCATCTCCGAAAACGACTACAACGGCCACCTCGGTGCCCGCATTTCCTCCATCTTCGTGATTCTCTTCGTGTCCTCGGCCTTCACCGTCTTTCCCGTGGTCTCTAAGCGGATGCCAGGCTGGAAGATTCCATTCAGCGTGTACATCTTCGCCCGGTACTTCGGAACAGGTGTTATTGTGGCCACGGCCTTCATCCATCTCCTGGACCCAGCATACAAGCGAATCGGGCCGAAGACCTGCGTAGGGCAATCCGGATACTGGGCCGAATATTCCTGGTGCGCAGCGATTGTGCTCGCTTCCGTGGTCATCATCTTCCTATTGGATCTGGCGGCGGAGGTCTACGTCGAACACAAATACGGCGTACATAAAGACGAAGAAGCAACCAGCGCCTTTGTTCAACATGAGCACCACCTGGACGTACAACCTGCCCCCGATACCGAGAAGGTAGTCGCAACGCCTACCTCCAGCGAGAAGCGGGTGGATACATGGGGCTCGGAGGGCGACTCGACTATTGCCGAGAAGTCATTCCGTCAACAGATCTCCGCCTTTCTTCTTTTGGAGTTCGGTATCATCTTCCACTCCGTCATCATCGGTCTCAACCTTGGAGTGACAGGCTCAGAGTTCACAACTCTCTATCCAGTTCTTGTCTTCCACCAATCATTTGAAGGACTGGGAATTGGTGCTCGTATGTCTGCTATCCCGTTTGGACATCATACTTGGCTGCCGTGGATTTTGTGTGCGGCATATGGGCTGACCACCCCTATCTCTATTGCCATCGGTTTGGGAGTGCGTACCACTTACAATCCCGGCTCCAAGGTGTCATTGATTATTCAGGGTGTGTTGAATGCCGTGTCGGCGGGTATCTTAATTTACACTGGTCTGGTGGAGCTGCTTGCTAGGGATTTCTTGTTTGATCCTTGTCGGACTAAGCGCCGGTCTCGGCTGTTGTTCATGGTCGCTTGTACCTTGTTGGGCGCTGGAATTATGGGTTTGATTGGAAAGTGGGCTTAAGGAACAAATTATTTGAGGGGAAAAGATGGAGATTTCTTTGATATAAGATTCCAGGGCAAATTATTGTATAATAGGTAGTATATTTGCTGTGTTCATGTACAAGAACTGAAGCTATAATACATGGATATTTGAAGGAAACTAAGAAGATCTCAATAAGTTCAGTTCAGTAAGCTGTTGTATAGATGAAAAGATACTGCGAGCTTGTGATCAACAGTCGGAATTGCATCATCAATGACAGTAAGCAAGTGAGGACCAGCGCTTGTCAAGTCTAGAAGGCAATGGTCCCGGGGAGAGTCCCCGAGGACTATGTGGTATTATTGATTAGAGGACAAGACTGGCTAGCAGAAAGGCGAAGAATGAGAGTCAGGGATTGGAGGTTTCTTATTTCATCTTCAATTGAAGTTTATCATCAAGATCGTGTCTTTAAGTCATTCATAGAGCATATTCAATGCAAACATGGGCGTGAATAACCAGTACATCGAAGCTCGATATCAACAGTCTCAGTACATAGCAGATGTATTCCAAAGTGGACAAAAAGGGAGAAAATCTCCACTTCCGCCAATGCCATTTCTTTCCAAAGCCATACACTGAGAAACTCTTTTAATCCTGCTTGTTGCCAACCTTTCCCACATGGCGAAGCCCCAAAGAGCTCACCAGGAAGACAACAACCATGCCGGCAGAAATAGTCCAATATGCAGCACGATATCCCTCCAGAAGCTCAGCCGTTTGAGAAGAAGCACCTGTGCCGTTCACCGAGCCATTATGAGCCGTCACGGAAGCTGCTATGACAGCAGTGACAGCCAGTCCAACAGAATTAGCCAGCTGAGAGATAGTATTGAAAACACTACCAGCCAGGGCCATTGAGTCCTCTGGAAATGCTCGGGAGATTATGAGACTCGAAACGGTCCATAGCACTAGACAAAGAGTAAGTCATCCATCTATCAGACACAATGTGAAGTGAAACGAGATAGTTACTCACCGTCGCCGTTGATTGGGCTCAATGTCATGGCAACAAAGGCGGCAGCCCAGTATGTCCAGTTCGGGGAGGCGACTGCCATTAAGATTGGTGAGATCGCGGTCATGAATGCACTCGCTCCCAAGAGCAGGTTGACGTTCACCCTTGATACCAGGTGGGCAGTGGCCATGTTTGTGGCCACGCCTACTACAGCCATAGGCAAGAAGCGAATGGAGGCTTGGAGGGCTGAGATTTCCTGGACGTCCTGGAAGAACAAGGTCGATATGTACTGGAATGAGTTGAATCCAGCCCATGTGAAAAACATGGCCACGCAGATGAAAAGAAAGGGTAGATTTTGCCATAAAGTGTTTGGAATCAAGGCTGGTTTGTTGTTTTTGACCTGCCACTTCACCCAGAGCAGGAAGACAGGGAGTAGTAACATGGAGATTATAAGCAGCACAATATATTGGGGCTCATATATGTTTTTATATGAAGACGTGATCATCCTATAGAAATGTCAGCAGTGCCCAGGCAAAGAATTAAACACAAACATCAAGATCAACTCACGCAAGCACATATGATAAGAGTCCAAATGACAAGGCGAGAATCCCTAAGCCCACCCAATCAATATTATAACCAAGCTTATACCAGGTAGCCCGACAAAGCTTCATCGAATCCGCATCAGAAGGAAGGATCAAAAAAGAGCCAACAAACAAGATAGCATCAATAATAGCGGTAATATAAAAGCCCCATCGCCAGCCAATAGTATTAGTAAAGACACCACCAAGAATGAGACCTAACGCATAACCTAGCGGCTGTCCCATCCCCGTAGCCGCAAAGGCGATATTCCTCTTACGTCCAGGCGGGAAGGACGCAGTCACTAGCGACATGGACGTCGGGAGACACATGGCCACAAAGAGCCCCAGCAGCGCACGGAAGATGATAAATTGATTACCGGTGCGAGCAAGTCCACACGCAAGGATCAGAGGACATGAGAAGCCGCTGCCTATAAGCCACATTCTCTTCGAGCCGACTATATCGGCAACGGAGCCGAATGCCAGCAAGGTGCATCCTGCAGATAAAGCGTACACGGATGCCGGCCAGAAGATCAGATCGCGGTCGAGATTGATGTCGGCTGCGATGCGAGGGAGTGCGGTGGTGAGGATTCCGGTTCCGGATACGCTGATGAAGGTGACTCCGGTTATTATGGTAATGATCCAGAACGACTCCCAAGCGGACTTGGAATCCTGCTCTGAGGACTCTGAGGGTAGAATGGTACCATCTAGCTTTGGCGGCGTGGTTTCTGTTTTGAAAGCTTTCTTGCTGCGTCTTCCATCGTGGATTTTTACTGAGGTTGGTGCTGTAAAAGGTGCTGTGGGTGCTTTTGTTGTCGTTACTGTGGTCATGGTAGCAGATGCAGCTTGGTCTCTTAGCGGGGAGAATGTGAAAGAAAGCGTCAAGACATCCGTTTAGAACATTCAGGACCCAGATCAGACCTTCCAGGACGGAAAGGGTTTGAGAAATATATGCCAAATGATCTATTTCTTCCACGCGTCCTTGATAAGCCGAAAGTCCCTGTTTTGTACTAGTGGTATATAATCCCTGTAAGCCACTATCATCCCAATTAGAAGGGAACGAGGAAGTGACTCACAAATCAATCAAGCATTTGAGCTTTAAAATTGCTCTACAATTTCTCCAGCTTCAATGTCAATCATCCAGGCTTGGCCCTTTGGGATCTTGAAGATCAGCTTTAACTCCGATCCCGCGGAGTTACCGCAGCCCCTGCATGAACACCAGTGGCCGGACATAAGCATGTAGAAAAAAAATAGCAGGAAAGGCGAAAACTTCCCAAACAGCATTTCAATAATGGCATCCAGCTGAACGTGGTGATTTTCACCGCCTTGCGTTATTAGCGCTTCTATCTATTTATTTACTTTCCTCTTCTATATTCCTATATCCCTTCATCCTGCGGTGCTACTAAAATGCTATCCCACCTCCTCCTCGTCGGCAAAATATTCGTGATTCTAATAGGACAAACCTGGACCAAACTCCGCTTGCGACTGAGATCCATCGTGCACCGATTCACATACCAAGCAGGCTCGCAGCCCAAGAACATAGTCATCGTGGGTGCCTCGTTCGCGGGATATCACGCAGCGCGGTGTCTCGCAAACTCACTCCCATCCGGCTATCGAGTGGTGGTGATTGAGAAGAACAGCCACTTCCAATTAACATGGGTCCTGCCACGCTTCTGCGTTGTTGATGGCCACGACAATAAGGCCTTTATTCCATACGGGTCCTATGTGAAAGGACCTCCTGGATCATGTCATTGGGTTCGAGATATAGTGACATCTGTCATTCCTGCCGAAAACAAAGGCAGTGATAGATGCAGAGAAGGAAGCCGAGGAGGAAACGTCAAGCTTGCTTCGGGCGACTCGATCCCCTATGAGTACTTGGTCCTGGCGACGGGGTCTGCAGCTGGACTTCCATCGAGAGTATGTGAGACAGACAAGGAAGCTGGAATGAAGGCACTTTCGGATCAACGACAAAAGATCGCAAAAGCGCAAGATATCGTGGTTGTAGGAGGTGGTCCTGCCGGGATTGAATTGGCGGCGGATGCAAAGGCGCAATTTCCCGAAAAACGAGTCACTTTGATTCATTCTCGGGCAACCTTGCTTAATGATGGATTTGGAACGAAGATGCATCTCGCGATATGTGAAGAGATGGATAGGTTGGGGGTGAACCTTGTGCTGGGGCAGAAGCCGAGCATTCCAGATGGGATGACAGGTAGTATCAAGCTCAGTGGGGGCGACGTTATTCATTATGACTGTTTGGTGAGCTTTGTTCTGCTGTTCCGTTTAATCTCTGCTTTCCGAATCCCTCGATTGCTGATAATCCCAGATCAAATGTGTTGGACAAAAGCCAAACTCGAGCCTGTTGAGCTTCCTTTCTCCCGAGACGTTTACTCGATCAGGATACATCCGAGTCCAACCTTCGCTGCAAGTTCTGGATGATGCATTCCCCGAGATTTATGCAGCAGGGGATGTCATAGAGGCTGGGGCAATCAAAAATGCCCGGTCTGCTGTGCAGCAAGCCCAGACTGTGGCAGTAAACATATGTCGTCACATTCACGGTCAGCGGCAGATCGAGTATATGCAGCAATGGTGGGAGGGCACGACGAAGCTGACCTTGGGAGTTGTAAGTGGTCTCATTCGGACACAGGACACATGAGAAACTAACAATCAAATTCAACAGGGCAAAAGCGTTGTTTATATCACCGATTATTGCGTTGAAGTGCTGTTCTCCTCCGGTCGACAGAAAATAGAACTGGACAGTGCGATGGTATGGAAGTATTTTGGTGCGAAGCCATATGTTGATCATTAATGGTGATGTCTTGGAATGAGAAGATTCTATTATGGTCTCGTTATTTGGTAGCGACTTCCAAGATTAAGAGAAAGAAAGGGGAAAGGATGAAAAAAAGAAAAAGAAAAGAAAAAAAAAGTACCGCCGAAAGGAACCGAACCTCCGTCTCTCACTCGTGTCCCCCCTGGTAAGGATATTAAGAATATGTAAGAATATGTAATAATATCCAGGAGGGACACGAGTGAGTGTGTTGCCAACTACACCACGGCGGCTATTCATTAATCTGAGTTGACCAATTGATCCCTTTATCCACTACGCTAGTCCCAATATCGTAATATTTATCGGCTATCTCCGTCATTTCTCCTTTCTAATCCTAAACTAGTTCTGAACTACTTTATAACTAGTTTATAACTGGTTCTTATAATATGTAATAATATAGCTTTAATTTATTAGGCTTAGTGGATTTCAAATTTCTCTTGCCAAAACATAGGTGTCCCCGACTTTTCATAGAGGTGGACCTGTAGACATTTTACATAGATTCACTTGTTCAATACCCACGGGCTTTATCTATATCCAGGATGGTATTGAAGTCAACTTGCAGTGGTATCAATTAAAAGACCGACGTATAACACATTAACATGAACAATAGCCGCACGTAATCCAATCCAATAACTTTAACTCAGAAGTAAAAAATACAGAGCAAAACTAACTAACGACAATTTTTCTTCCATTCTCGGTCAGGCCATTGCGCTTTTCCAAAATTACGGACAGATCGAATCGCGAAGCATCGTGGGTCCTCCATAGGCTTCACAATATCAAAGTGCTGTGGGCCATGTTTGCGAACAGAAAAGCTCGAGCCAGCCTCCGCAAAAAAGCCATTTAGCCATTTCCCAACCTGTTTGTTATTTTGTGGGAATATAACAGCATTCTGTCCTTCACTGCCGAGTTCTCGTTTCTCAAAGGCATAACAATTAGACACATAGAGCTCCTGTGTGTTTTCGTCCACTGCTAGGTATGTGTAAATTTCCAGCTTGATCAGTGGATGATCGCGAACAACACACGCATGACCAACTGGATTCCGCCTTCTGCCAGATACTGGATGGTAGAGTGCCTTGTTGTAACAATATTGTGTCTTACTGGGATCGAGGTCTCGAGCTAGCTTGATTTTTTCAATCAGGCGGATTTTGTCCGGGAAGGTAATAGTAAGACACGGGCAGATATCGACCTCTCCAGGAAAGGGCATGCAACTTCTGACTTGAGCACCAAGCGACAGATGGCCAGATCCTTTTTGGGACTTTTTGAATGGTATCCGAGACTGTGCCAGTGGGATACACCATTCAGAACGTGCGTGAAGATTCCAGCATTCACTACAGTATCTCCAACGTGTATTCTCGAGCTGACGAAGCAGCTGCATTCTGGGGCTTTGCTCGAGTTTCCAATTAGGGCAAAGCATTTCTCGCTTTTGGGGCGGAATAAGTCGACCAAGTTGCTTGCTTCCGACCTTGAAGAAGAAGAATTTGCAGGTGAGAAGGACGCAAATGAAATCCGGAGTTGGTAGATGGTCGAGAATCCTTTTTATTATACGCATATCAAGCGTCAAAAGCCTTGCAGGTCTTGCCTCGAAACGGGATGTGGTTTGCTTCATGGCGGTGATGGTTGATGGAGATGAACAAAAATGGTATTGGATACTAGTAGTTGTGTGTTGTGTAGAGTGCATGGAGACTGAGCAGCATGTTAAATCCTCAGAAGTTTAGATATACTAAGCCTCTCTCGGTAGAAGATTTGGACATTATCCAGTTCGAGCTTCGGAGACGTTCAGAAGAGGAAAAGTAAGAATTCTGACTTTAATAGTAAACCAAACTACATATTTACTCTGGAAATTCCAAATTTAGAAGACCGCGTCTTATCAAGTACTAACACTGAAGTCGGTACTCTTCATAAGTACCAAGTCCATACCCATTCTAAGTAGCAAGTATGTACCCTTCTCAAGTACTGCGTACGATACCAATACTCTTCCTAATTGAAAGCCTGAGTCTAAATACTACTTAGTGTATGTATGTTAACCCTAGCTAAGTACGAAGTCCACATCTAAAGGAAAGCTCTCGCTAAAATTCCGCCGAAGTATATCTTCCAATATTAGAGAATTACTGACAGCAACCCAGTCTCATACGTAGCTCACGTGCAACAAAGAAGCTCAACAGCTGGACCATCCGTTTTGAAGTTGAGCGGAGACCAAGCAACATTCTTGTCAATCATATGGTTTATTCTAGCATGCGTTCATGAAGAACGGAAACCAACTCCAGGCCGCCAGGCCACAACATATGGAATTGCGACAGACGAAAATGAACTCAACCATCAATCCAACTTCCACATGCCACATTCTCAATAAAGCGATTTGGCTCATTCCAGAAAGAAAAAAAAGAGAACATTTGAAAATCCCACTAGCGTATAAATTTCCAGCCGAAATCGGTATACGGTAGTTATCTACACTATCTACACTATCTACAATCGCGGCCCCGCATCCCACACTCCACACTACAACCTCTCCTCCCCCTCATAACCCACAACACACTCAAAATGACCAACACACTCACAGCCCAAGAGCTCTCGACCCTCTCGACCAAGGCCATAGCCGCCAAGGACTCAGCCTACTGCCCGTACTCCAAGTTCCGCGTGGGCGCGTGCATCCTCACGACATCGGGCGAATTCGTGGTTGGGGCCAACGTCGAAAACGCCGCGTACCCCGTGGGCGTATGTGCGGAGCGAGTAGCCATTGGGACGGCGGTGGTAAGAGCCCCTATCTCATACATTCCATTCCATTCCATTCCGTGCAATTGGCTGGTCGTCGTGATCGTCGTCATGTGGATGGATGCTGGTGGGCGGTAGAACATGAGTACTAGTAACTGACTGTGTTTGGGTTGGTTGGATTTAGGTGGCTGGGCATAAGAGTTTCAAGGCGATTGCTGTTGCGACTGATATTAAGCCGGCTGCGTCGCCTTGTGGGATGTGTCGACAGGCGTATGTGGTTGATTTTTCCTTGTTGATTTTTTTTGGGATTTGAAGGGCAATATGACTTACAATACTTGATTAGGATTCGCGAGTTCACTGGTCCTTCGTTCCCGGTTTATATGTATGATGGCGATGGGAATTATAAGGTGAAGACTATGGATGAGGTATGTTGTATTTCTTTGGGTGTTCTCGTTCAAACCAGTTAAATGTTAGATGCTTACCCCCTGATTTAGTTGCTGCCGGATTCTTTTGGCCCCGGTGACTTGGGTATTTGAATTGATGTCGATATAAAGCGATGTGGGAATGATGAAGTAATGGTTGGACCTAGTATGGAAGAATAGACGCAAATTCAGATTTGAATCATTCAAATTCCCATTGTCATTCCTATGGTGGAATTTTGAATTATCACTATCAGGCATGTCCACCAAGCATTTCTACTGGAATCATGTCAGAGGAAAACTACCGCGAACAGCTGGCTTACCATCCGAGTCCTTTACACGATGCATTGTCATACATGAGTCCTGCATAGACCATGTTGCTCGTAGTCCAAAAACCAATGGCCAGAAAAGAAAATCAACATTCAAACTCTCTATATCTTTCGCAAGCCAAAAGAGAGAGAAAATTCCCTAGCGAGATATGCAATACATAAAACAGACAAAAAGAAACCCAAAATAAATAAGAAAAAAAAAAGGCATCAAAAGGGAAGAAACATGCGCTCATAATGTCACATCAATATTCCAATCACATCCATGTCCCAAAATCCTTCAAACATAACTTAGTACGTGCATCACAAAGGAAAGGAAGAGGAACGGAAGACGCATCTCATAAATGCAATCTACGCCTCCTCTTCCTCCTCAAATTCATCCGCACCCAACAATTCATCCTCGTCATCCACAACATGCGAGTAATCGCCCCTGCGAGCAGCGAACGAGCCCCGCGTCGCATAAGGACGCTGGGAACCCCGACCGCGACGCACGAGCCCACTCACAGTGCGCCACAAGCTACTGCCCAACAGAGGCAGCGCCTGTGCGACAGCAACGAGACCAGCGATGATAGCGACGGGAACAACGACCAGCGGGGAATCCCCGTGGAGCCAACCGCCGCCGGAGCCGGAGCTCTCGCCCAGACGAATCTGGCCGAACTTGCCGTCCCAGCGGGTGTAGACGAAGTATCCGAATGCGGTTGCTGCTGCGATGGGGATCACAATGGCGAAGAAGAGACCCACGCCGCTGATGCCGTGCTTCTTTTCAAACTCCTTCTCCTTGTTGGGGCAGGGTCGTGGGACTTGGCGGTCGAGGTCTTGCTCGCCGCTTTGGCAGGTGGTCTGTGGAAGCTTGCGGTAGCCTGTTGGCTCCCAGTACTCGACTAGATCGGGGTTATCCTGGCATTGTAGGCTGTGGTCAGGCTGAGCGAGACCTGGGACAAGTGCACAGCTGCCATCGCTTTGAATCTCGTAGTTGTAGTCACTATAGTTTTGTATGTTAGCAAATGGATATACTTCATTACTCATAAAAAGAAATCCAAAGGAAAAAGGCAAAATTCGCTTACCATTCAAAGTCGGCACGAGTGCAGGTGCAGTTACCGGCGTCAATCCGGTGAATATGCGGGTCACGCCAGTTGACCCAGCAGTCGGCACCGGGCCTCTTGCGCTGGTATTGCTCGATATGTCCGAACAGGCAGTTGTCTCCCTGAGCTGGGTGCGTAGGATTCCACAAGTAATAGTCATCGCTCTGACCATTCACCTCATCCAGCTCGCATTGACGGTCATAGATACCACTAAAGTCAAGATTGATGGCCGTGACCTTGTTGGAGGATTTGGACCACAGGATAAAGTTCTTTGATGTATCCGAAGGGAGGGTTGAGATATCATCGATGAGCATCTCGGTTTCGGAGAACTTGAATTCCGTCCAGTTCTCGCCTTCGTCAAGACTGTAGTAGACCACGTTGGTCGGCTGGTGCTCGCGGACAAGCACAATAACCGAACCAGCATCGCCAAACTCGAACATGAAGCGGCCCTTCTTGATCTCCTTCCAGCTGATTCCTCCATCGCGAGTAAGGAAGGTATTGGCATCGGCAGGGGTGTTCGACAAAGAGTCGCCAACATTACCAACTCCGATCATCAGTCCAATAGCAGATCCGGAGTAGAAGGTATCCCGCCAGTCCCGTCGCTGCGTGTAACTATGAAGGTGCAGTGCACAATCATAGGTACCTTGCCCCTCTATAACAGAGCAATCAAACTTTTTGCCATCAACGTCGCGAGTCGGCGGGGGTAACAGCATCCACTGACCACCATCATTGTGGGTAATGACAGAGATCAACTTCTTGGTGTCTCCCTTTTTATCAACATCTTCCTTGTTCCAAAGAACGTTGGCGAGCGCGACGCCCTCAATTCCGGCCATCTTCTCAAAATCGACATAGCCTCGGTCGTCCATGTTCAGGGCCTCCAAGCTTTGAACAAAGTAAGTGCCGTTGCTGTTGCTCTTAACCAGCGAACCATAGGCATGGCCCTCTTTGGTGCTGATCTGGACCATCAAGAACAATGTGTACGAGGCGCCTGGAAGAACAGTATACTGAGACACATCTATGTTAAAGGGGAAATGAGCCTCTGCAAAGACACGACCATCCAAACTGGATGTGACATTCAAGAACTTGTGCTCCTCTGTGGGGTATGTTGCCACGACGATGAAATCATTCATCGTTACAAAGTGCGCAATGTTCTTGTCAATCACCTTCTTATCAGACCAATTGTCCAGCGAGTTGCTGGAAACAAGTTGACGGTCATTCTTGCTGTTCTCCTGGGCATATTGTTCACAGATGACAAGCTCTTCGCTATTTTCACGCTTTTCATTGTATGCAAACACACATGAACCGACCCCGCGAAGCATCAATTGCCATTCGTGACCGCGGTTCTTGCTAACGTATGCGTCAAGAACACAATCTTTACCCTCGCAAGTCTCACTGCCGATCCAGATCATCCAATCCATGTACTTTTCATGGAAAACCAGGGGTGACATGGTCGCTGGGACGTATTTTGTGGGTTGCTCAAACTTTCGGAATGAATATCCGCGGTCGATGGTGGAGTAAACCCAGCCCGAGGTAGCCAAGAAGTAAGCACCGTCAGTGTAATCAGGGTGTTGAATCATTTCTCTAATCATTTCACCCTTGAGGGCAGCAGGCTGTTCCCATGTCTTGCCATGGTCGTGAGAGATAGAGACCTCCAGGTTCCGAGTAAGCATGAAAATAGTCTCATCGTCTCCAGAGTTACTCGATTGCCGTTCAAGATAGAAGTAATCGGCGTCGGCGCTATCAAACTCCTGTGGCTTTCCTACATGAACTTTGCCGTCGGTGACTGGGGAACCGGTGGTGGTATTATCACACGATCGCTCAATTTCCTTGTCAAGGCTCTCACCACCCTCTCGAACACACACGTTGCCAGGGATGAGTCGCCAACCAGAGGGACCTGTGTACTTATCGCTAGCATCCTTGCACTTGCCCGCGGGGGCCGTCAATGATACTGCTGGGATACACTCTTTGCCATCCTCGGATCGTTGGAAGTTATAATCACACTCGAAGTCCTCAGCTGAACATTTGCATGATTCAAAGATAGGTGCGTCCATCTTGAACTCGTTCTTCATGAAGCAGTCGGCGCTGGATTTTCGGCGCTGGAAGAATTGCTTGTGGCCCATCAGACAGTCCGGTTTGCCATCCTCATCTACACGAGCAGTCCATGTCTCAACGTCATCCTTGGTGCATTTGCGTTCGTGGAGACCGTCGAAGTTGATGGAATAAATGATATCGCCATTACCATCGCTCTTTTGGCCTACAAGCAAGAACTTCAGACTAGTCGAATCTGGAGTCGTAGTCAGGAAAGAAGTCTTGATCTTGTGCTTAAGCTCAATATCCTCCCATTCCTTGCCATGGTCAATAGAGTATTGGACCTTTTTGGTTTCTCCGTCATCGCTGACAGCCACAATGACGCCGCCCTGGTCACCAAACTCAAATCGATGGGGGCCCTTGAGCGCCTTTCGCCAGTGAAGACCGGCATCATCGGAGACAAAGAGATCGCCCTCAGAGTATTTTTTCAAATGATCGCCAGTATTGCCCACACCCATCACCAATCCCGGTGCGGGACTAGAGAACATGCGACCCAAAGAGCTCAGCTTGCGCAGAGAGTCATATGTAGTCATGGAGTGCAGATGCAGTCGGTCCCCTTCCACCTTAAGCGATTGGAACGTTCTACCATCATCGAAACTGATGCTTGTCACGAGTTTTTTGTCTTCAGTGTCCGACTCCTCAACTTTTTTCCAATTGTCGACCGTGTTCACAATCACAATGCCTTGAATATCTGCGACTTTCTCAAAGTCGACTAGTCCGTTCAGATCTCGGTTCGTATGTTCGATATTAGGTGAGAAGTATGTTCCGTTCGAATTCGATGAAAAGAGGACACCAATGCGGTTCTCATGCCATGTGGTCTGTACGTCCAACTGGATGCTATAATTTGTACTTTCCAGTAGCGTATATGCATCCTTCTCTACTTTATGTCCACCGAATTCTGCACGGTGCCATTCGTGAGAGTCGTCGCTCACATACAGGGCCTGTTCAGTTGTGCCTTTCGATTGAACGCCTGCGACAATATACTTCTTCACTGAGCGAACCTTGATCTGCACGGCACTGACCGGCAGTCCGCGATTGAGCTTAACCTCAGTTCCCTCCACGTCATCGCGGAAGAAGGTATCAGAATACACCAGACGCTCAGAGCGATCGGCGGATCGCAATCCAGGAACCACACACAGAATCCGGTCTGCGAGGGATTCCTTTGACACGAGGTCTTGACCGAATTGGGGGGTGTTCGCGGCCCAAGAGCACTCTAGAATCGTTTCGCGTAGCGGCGTAATTGTCTTAAAGTCGTCGGTGGTGTAGAAAGATTGTGTCATGCATCCCATAATGAAGCACTCTTCAGTCATGAAGATTACCTTGCTAGGGTCCCAGCCATTGAAATTGAACGGAATCACACTGCGCATGATCATCGGGGGCTCCTTGATCACGAACGGTCTCCATGTCTCTCCTTGGTTGGTAGTAATCCAGTGCGTGCCGCTTCGACCGATGATGTAGGCGCGGTTACGATCGTACGGGTGCGGCAAGACGATAATCGCGTTTCCTTGTATAGTGCCATCGTCTCCTTTGATTACTTCCCATTCCTCACCTCCATCGAAGGAGATCTGGGCATTGCGTGTGCTTTCGTCGTGAAAGACGATTGTGTTGGACCCTTCGAAGTAGAACAGACCTCTTGGTGAATGAGTGAGTTCCGTTGCTTTTGCCGTAGGTTTGTCCCCTTTTGCCGCGGTCGGCTGTGCGGTTAAAGCCAGCAACAGACCGACCACGAGCAGTAGCCACCGAGGTATCATGACCGCTGATACTCAGGCATCTGAATGGGGATGTTGGTTATTGGGGGATTCAAGCAGCCTAGCTGCCTGCGGGCCGATCCGGAGGGTGGGCGGACTTCAAGGTAGGCGGGCGTGTGAATGATGGGGCGGATGGGTTGATAAGATGCAATTTGAGCTGGTCCAAACCTGGGAGGTCTGGTAGATGACAATGATGAAAAGGTGAATGATGATGAGTTGCAAAGTATGAGAGGAGAAGAGCCCGCTGTCGTGGCCTCAGCCTGGGAGCTATCCTGTCACGTGAAAACACTTATCGGCTTCTATCAACGATCGGCGGGTAAGGTGTTTCCTTGTACCTTGGTTGGTCTTTGAGAAGTATCCATATATACTACTTCAGCTTTGATCTGATCCACTTGAGATGGTATCAGCGGAGAGTGACTAAAATGATAAAAATGATATTTTCATACAGACTGGGCAGGCCTGAACTAGGCTCCAGTTACTTACGAACTGTTTCGCGAGGTTCATATCTATGAAGGCCGATTATCTAGCTATAAATAGCTACTACTGTACTTTCAGTTTCTCGGTCAAGACAAAGGTGTTATTGTTAAGTACACAGTACCTCGTACAGTGTTTGGATTTCAAATGTTCAGATATAGAATTGGGATTGAACCCTCAGTGCATATTGGCATTGCAACATTCAGCAGCCAGATGAAAGTTATATACAAGGCACTGCGAACTGAAATAGATAATAGATACACGAATGAGGTTAAGACCATGACCTCCAGATCTTCATGACACGGGATTTAAAAAAAATAATAATCAAAAGGCGAAAGCAAACGCTAAACCCAAATGCAGAAGATGGTATAAGCCGGCCTCAAAAAGACGCCAAGAAAAGTGCAAGTAGAAGAATAAAAGGGGGAATCAACGGGCGTTCAAGCGCTGAATAAACGAATGAGAAGAAGAGAAAGAAGTAATCGTAACGCAAGGATGAGAGAGAAACAAGGAGATGAAGAAACCACCAGGTCTAAGCTCTGCGGCGCAATTTGCGCCACATCTTCTTGACCATGCCTTGATTGTCATCCAAATCTTCCCAAATATGTTGATTGCGATCGGCAGGCGGTAAAGCGGCCAATTGTAAAGGATCCTCTTGGGGAGACTGAGAAGGCGTGGGCGACTCAGTCCGGAGATCAGGGCGCGTCAATGTCATTTTTAGCGTCATCTCCCGGTTCCCCGGAAGCCGCTGGGGGCCTAATTTGGATCCCGGCAAAAACGACTGGCGTCGTTGCAGCAGGGACGGCGTATCCACCGATGGTCGCGGGGTCTCCCGTGGATGTGATACTATGGAGGGTGTGTGTGCTTCCATGAGTGATCCAGAAGGGCTGCCAATCATCGTGCCGTCATCCTCCTCGAAGAAAGTACCGACACATTCGGGACTGATTGGGATTGAGTTGGGGGAGGGCGGTTCTGGAGACATATTCTCCTTGCCATGATCCAAGGAAGGAAATCCAAATTCAATGGCTTCATCAAATTTCTGCGGTGATGCGAGATAAACTCGTAATTTCAAGCGCGCGTCGGGATCTTGATAGTATTGCGCGGAGGGGTCAATGCTGGAGGTGGAGGATTTGGGTGCATGTGGGCTGGGTTGATGACGAGAACCCGGGCGGGAGGATGAGTTGCGGCTGTTGATAACCAGAGGCGCGAATGGAGGTAGAGATTGACTTGCGGGTATGCTGCGTGGTGGGAGCGAGGTGGATTGTCGTGCTTTCAAGGCCGTGTGGGTTGAAAAGGATAAAGAACGGCGGAAGGATGGGCGACGCCAGGCTTTCCCTTGATGAGTAGCTGCATCGGCAATATGAGCATGGTACTCGTCTAATGACAAATCCAGATCCCCGTCCCCATCCAGCCATCGAAAGCTGTCGTAAATGGTCTCGTCCATCTTGGCGAGGGTTTGATTAATATTCTCGGTCTCGTCCTGGACCGATTCTGAATCGGATTCCCAAAAGACGGAAGCTGGGTGTTGATCGTCGAGGTGACTGGCGTCTGAATCCAACGAATCGGTTGATAATTGACGAAGAGCTTGATCGCGACGATAAAAGGCCTGGTCAGCGGCGTCGAGAATGAGGCTGTCGCGATAGGCAAAGCGGAGACGACGACGTTCTTCAGGGGAGAAAAGCTTTTGTTGAATCTTAGCGGGGAGAGAATGAAAGCATTGCGAGTCGGCCTGAGCAACCAGGTATGCCAATTGCAAGGAACCAGGTTTGCGCAATTTTTTAGGAGATGCAGAACGTTTCTCCAGACCTCGTCTCCTTGTCACGGTGGCCGATCGTAGCCCACGCGAGTGGAGGGGAGATGATCCGGTGTAATTCGTCCGATAGGACCGGGCATGATGATGGTCATGCGTGGAGCCAGGGGCATCCTGACCTAACCTCATCCGCAAGCGCTCGACATTCGAGAAGAACTGTTTCTGGTCAGTTCATGAACAAGTGGAGTGAACGAGTGGATCCTCCGAGTCTCCCGTGCGCCCAATGTGGACAAGGAACGGTCAGCGCCATGGGTGATAGTGCGGGCATTCGCGGGTTCCACTGATGATTTCAGGGGCAAAAAAAAAAGGATCCAAAAAAAGAGACACCAAATAAAGATAAACAAAATGCAGATCCTGTGAATCAAGGAAGCTTCCAGTTGATTCACACAAAGAATAATCAGAAAAGGGAAGGGGAAAAAAGGGAAGAGAAATGCGTTAGGGAAGGGATATGCAATTGGAACGAGTTCGTATCCAGTGATGGGGGCCGAGACTATCGATCACACTATCGAGGTCGATCCACACGGCAAGGGCCAACATTTTGAAGGTACAAAAGTCAAGGGTAAAATAACGGTCAAGGGCAAGAAAGGGGCTTTTTTTTTTCCATGAGGTCACAAAGAAAACAGTTGTCTCTTTGTTATCAACATCCGGGGCTGTGTGTTCTTGGCTTGTGTGCTTGGCTTATGTTCCCTTACCTTTCGTCTCACTGCGGGGGGTAACGAGTCAAACCCCTCCTCACTCGATAATTGCATGATTCGAGTGTAGAAATGTTCTGATGCAGAAGAAAGAAAAAAAAGGGATAAATAATCAATATATATATGAATATAAATATATATCGAGAGGTTCAAATGTAGATTGGATGTACCTTAAGGTGTATATAAGGGTTGTCAGAACATTTGATTAGGGCAACTTGAACCTAAGCAGTATTCAAGCTAGGGTAGAGCTGTGTATATACCCCGAGGCAGTCCAAGAAAGAAAATAATTTCCAAAATCGCAGAGAAGCGTTGGGCATAGATAAAATATAAAATATAAAGACCTATACTCTCAGTCTCTCACATTCCTAAACCCCGCCAAGTCATGATTGGCAGTGCACAGACCCGATGTGACAGGGACTCCAGGACCTGTCACCTTCTGTGGAGCTCTGTGATCAATCATGAACCCTTCGATCAGATTCCGATAAAAGAATGCAAGATCTGAAAAACCGGTTCCTGCAAAGGCTCGAAGCGAGAAAGAAGAAAGAAAAAAAAAAAGACACACATACATACTCTGTCAGTACTGGGCGTACTCGACCTCTTTCCCCCCTGGGATGCAGAACAAAGACAAGTCCAAGTCCAGTCATGATCGCTATGATCTCCAGCTCCCCATGACAGCCTTGTGTGACGGCAATTTGGTTTCAAGCAGGCGCCAAGAAAGAACCAATCATGGACAAGTGGAGCAGGACGTATGTCGTATCTTGTACACGTAGGATGCAAATGCAGACCAGAATGGATCATGGTTATGACTGGTCCAGGGGAAACTGACATGATCCTCCACACTTGTTTTCTTTTTTTTTTTTTTTTTTCTTTTCCCAATCTCGATCTCAGGGCGCGAACTTGAATCCATCTGAAACACGATCAAAGTCCGTTGACTTGGCGATCCCGAGATTACACATTCTATTCCACATTGGAATGACAATTAGACAATCAAATGAGGAGAAACGCCCATTCTAAACTATTGGATTGTTTGTACCACCCGTATACTTCTTCTTTTTTCTCTATTATTTGTTTATACGAAAAGAAATGAAATGAGAGCTGTCAGCGAGAAAAGGCGCCAAGTGGAGAATAGAACAAAGAACGAGAATTAAAAAAAAAGCCAAAATCCGATCGTTTTCTCTAGTGCAATGCAAGTAATATTTCCCAGATAGAATGGCCGTTTTATCTCTCCACATTCAAAAACAAATTGAAAAAAATAAAAATAAAAAATAAAGAGACGAGAAAAGAGAAAGAGTCATTAAAAAAGGACAATTACTGAACTGTATTCCTTCTCTTTCCAGGGTATAATGACGTGTCTTAGGGTAAACGAGAACTGGAAAAGAAGAGAGAAAGAAAAAATCTCAAATCTCAAATCTCAAATCTCAAATCTCAAATCTCAAATCTCATTTCCATTTCAACCTCATAGAGAATTGAGGACTTGCTGCAAGGCAAAAGTATTGGAATCCTCACGACGAGACACATAAGCTCGTACTTCCATCACGCTAAGTTTGACCTCGGGACCCGAGCCTCGACTTGGTCCAGGTCCAGTACCAGTGGCGGCGCCGCCGCGGATACGCTCTCGAAGCGCCTCCACACCAATGACAAACAAGTTTCCAACTTCCAAGAGCACGTCCAGCGCGCCACCGGGGGCCTTGGTTTCCTCGTCCAAATCCCACGATTTCAACAGGTCCGCATATTGTGTCATGTCCTTGGTCACCATCAATCCACCAGGTCCGCTCACGGCGAACCGCTTAAAATGCTCCAGCAAGAGCCCGCGTGTCCCCAGCGCAATCTCCGTCAACACCTGTCGCACGTTGGCCCCGCTGGAGGGCAACGAGGTACGAGCAATGTTATGCAGCCGCGTCAGAAACGTACAGATCGATGCACACGTCTAATAGAACGAGTCAGTTTTTAAATGTCTTAATACCAATAACCTTTTTTTTTTTTTTTTCATCCCTCTTCTTTTCTTCTTCTTTCGTCTTCTTTTTTGGATTCATCATATCATCAGGAGCAAACACGTACCGATGTCTGCAGCATCTCGAGCCATGTGGCATTGTCTCCTTCCCGAGGTCGGAAATCATTCTTTCGTTGCCCGGAAAGCAAACGGCTGACCCACGCCAGAGTCCCGTCAATGGTCTTTTGTTCGATCGTATTAATCTTATCCTCAAATCGGACAGTCGCCTGACTCGTCCGTTTCTCCATATCCCGACGAGTAGTGATACTTCCTGCCGCCAAGGGCAAGAGGACCGCATTCACACACATCACCATTAACGTGGTGATGCTAATCGTCGTGCGTACGGATGTTAGGTATCCAAAGTCCGGCTCATTCTTGCCGGATTCTTGGGCCGTGGCTGCCTCCAGGGCAGCGTCAAGGCTAACATCCACATATCCCTCACCCATGGTCAGTAGCAATAGGTTCAATAGAGCCGACACATCCTTGTGTGTGTCGGCATTAACGCTTAGCTCTAGACCTCGACCCACCGCTTCCGCCAGCCACTTTAGCATGCGCTTTGCATCACTCAGATTCGGCAAACCATCCTCTTCAGTGAGTTTGATCTCCGTCAGCCGCACCGTGTCCGGAATATCACCGAGCCTGGCAACCTGAAGTAGCGTTCTCCGTTGAAAGGGGGAGACATCGGGTGAGTCCAGCCGAGCGATAAACGCATCACGATTTGTGGATAGCAATTCGGTACCTGGGCGAGACAGAGAAGCCATGAAGGTAGTGGCAGCCTTCTTCCGGCGAGCCTGATAGCTGGTGAATTTGAAAAGTAGCGCACTAAACAGATCTTCCAAGGTGCGTTTCTCACGCTCAATGTAGGAGGATCCCACAAAGTAAGGTACAAACAGTTCTTCCAACTGTTGATCCAGTAGAAGCGCGGTTTGGGAAGAAATTGGGTCAGGGTGCTCGGTCAATCCATGGACCTTCAAGTCATCGATCAAAGCACTGATGTAGCCCCGAGAGCTCTGCAAGCATCGTAGAAACGCCAGAGAAGAGACCCCACTGGCCTTCTCGAGAACCATCTCCAATCGTTGTTGAATAGATTGCTGGAACACACGTTGAAGAAACTTCCCAAGCACTTGTTCGTAATACGGGAACGCGCGTTTAATAATCGCAGACTCTTCCTGTACCACCACTTTGACTTCATCGAGCAATGACTGCAGACTGGGCTCTACCCCGGGCAGCTCAGCATCAGGATCGGCCATCCTCTCCCATGATTCTGCGTCCCCACCGACCTCCTCAGTCACCAACTGACTCCGATCAATGAAGAACTGATGCTGATTGACAAATAGCGCAATCACACTGGAGCCGGCATTGAAGTCCTGTAACACGGTTGCGCAGTCCTTCATACCATCAAAGTTGGCCTTGCGATAGAAGTCATCAAATTGTTTCAGCAGATCCTTCTCTAGGGTTTCCGAAAACTTCTCAATAATTTCCCTCGTATTCCGACGCGGCGTACTGTTCCCACTGTGTAGGTCCTCGGCTGAGGAAGAATGGCTGCCGTGGCGTCCATTGGCCGATGAGCTCTGGTTCTGCTGCCAGCTTTGAGGGTCAAGCCGTTGACTGATCCGCAACAGTTGTCGCGCAATATGTGCAGACCGTACCTTTGCCTCCGCTGTACCTGATCGTCGTAGGTTCTCCAGAAGTGAGATCTCTCCACGATTACAGACCCCCTCCCAGCATTCGAGCAGGAAGTGAGCATCAAGAGCTCGCCGTCTTTGTCGATCCAGCTCCTCTAATCTCCGTCCAGTTTCCACCGCCATATTTCCGGTGCCTCCCGTGCTCTCGAGTCCGGGCCCGTTCAACGAGGTGTCGAGTTGCTGGAATGAATCAATGGCCTGTCGGAGCTTCCGACCGAGGGAGGTGAGATTCTGCGAGTGCTGGGCCTCTGCCCGACGGACCGCTGCGGAGAGCTCATTTTCGCGAATCTCCAAATCCCCCGAGAGTTCGCCCAGGCGTCGTTGGGCACCTTCAAATGTGCGGATGAGGGGTTTCGGATCGAATGGTTGGTTTGTTGTGACGGTTCCTGCGGTCGAGCGACGTGTGGAGATGGCAGTATCGGATAGAGCTTCGATAAACTCCTTGACGATAAAGTCACGACCGGAAAAGTCCTCGAGCGAGAAGCTAGGGCCCTTGGGGAACACGGTGCGGGCGGGGTTGGAGGAGACTATGGATGCATTGTCGGCCATCATCGCGATTGCAGGGGCGTCATGGACCACCTCTGGTCCAGACACAAATATTCTTAATCGACCAGCTCCAATTCTCCAAGTTGGTGGGGGTGATATGGAAGGAGCGGTGGATTGGACAATCCGGGGAAAGCTGAGAGATGCGCGCAGCAATAAAGTCGGAGTTGCCGCGCGGGTTTCAACTGCCACAGCTAAAGATTGGTCTTATTGCCACGAGGTAACAGTAGATAGTAGCAATATAGATTAGAACCACGAGATAAACATACTAGTAGTATAGTATTGTAGATCAATGTATCTTTACTTTATATTGCTGAATCTATACAAAGATTACCATCAATACATTAAAAGATAATTTGAATATGACATTCGATACTGAAGTGTATTTAAATGCTGATCTAGGCTTCCGGGTAAATCATTGAACTACAAATACTTCAATGAACACCATGGCCTTAACAACACCTAATTACATTTGACCAAACAATTCCTAGGCAACAGTCTAATTTAATATTAAAATCTGAGTAACTTGACCAAACCGAATCCATAAAATTCGTGACCTTTTCCAAGATTCATTCAATCAATAGGATCATCGCGGACTGAGCAACAGTATACGTTGCATGTGCATAGCCGTTCACCTAATCCCGATTGCAACTTTTCCCGCTTTCACTCTTCCCTAACCACCCCCACCCATCGATCGACAATGGTCACTCAAGAAGACCGCAATATCTTGCGCGCGGAGATTCGCTCTCGCGGTAACAAGCTCTCAGTTGCCGATCGCGAGAATCTGATTAAGCCCTACCTGCCCGATCCCGCAGACCTGCCACGGACGCGGTCCAGAGCATCTACGACCTCTTCATCCCACCAACGGCGCCAGAAAGCTCGCAAGAAGCCAATCCGTACATTCATCAAGTCGCAGATTCATCATTTCACCTATGCACTCACTCACATCATCTTTGGCATCATCGTGCGCTTGCTCCAGGCCTACCATGCCGTTGTTGATCGCGTCTTCGCTGTCGTCTACCACCACCACCGGACGCCCGAGCTGATCCGGAAGGATGTTCGGGATTTAAAGCGATTGCCCGAGCACTTGAGTATGATCTTGACATTGCGGACCGAGGACGATGCGTTGGCAGTCTTGATGGATGAGGTGGCCGAGTTGACAGCTTGGAGTGCCTGTGCGGGGATTTCGCAGCTCAGTATATATGAGAAGACAGGTATGCAGCCTTCCCCGATATGAGTTTCCCCCTTGAGAAAGGAAGAAAAAAAAAGACTGATTGAACCCAATAATCCAGGTGCCTTGAAATCATGCATTCCAGCTCTGCATCAAATCATCACCACCAAGCTCGCATCCTACTTCGGCTCCCCATCGCAGCAGCCTTCCCTGCGGCTCTTTGCTCCCCACCACCCCGTTTTCGGTGCCACAGCTGACTCCAAGTCTGAGGTTCCTCCCATGACACTGCTTCTCCTCTCTGCCACCGATGGCCGGGAGACCATGGTGGATCTGACCAAGACCCTGGCCGAGATGTCACAGAATGGAAAGCTGTCACCAGAGGATATCACCCCAGAACTGGTGGACGCAGAGCTCAGTGAAATCACCTCCCAGCCACTTCAGCCTGAGGGACGATCGGACCGCGTCCCAGCCAATATCATTAATCCTGAGCCAGATCTTTTGCTGGTCTTCTCATCTTATTTGAAATTGGATGGCTACCCGCCATGGCAGATCCGCCTTACTGAGATGTACTGCACCGGAGATCGCAGTCATGGTGTAGCCGGGTACGGTGAAGCTGTGGAGTATCAGGGCTTCATGCGTGGTCTGTGGCACTACGCTGGAGCTCAGATGCGGTTTGGACGGTAGAATACGCCACGAGGAAGTAGAGGTCCTCGAGAAAGAGGAGTATTAAATTGCATGGCCACCTTGGTTTTTTCTTTGTTATACCCGATCAGCATCCCACATCTGAGTTCTACATATCCACATATTGTATCTCATTACCTTACATTTGTGGTCACTTTTAATTGCCAGAGTACCATTGAAAATTCATTAATTGATGTAACCTATATTGGTATCACTATGCCATGCCTGAACAGAAATGAAGAGAAATCGAAAGAAATATAAGGAAACAAGAGAAGATAAAAGAAGATCAGAGAAGATAACAGATAATAAATGCAGATTATGCCCATGCAAATCAACAAGTCCGGCAGAAGAAAGAAGAAGAAAGAAGAAAGAAGAAAGAAGAAAGAAAAACAAATACAGGCTTTATGCATGCATATTTCCGGCGCCGTGAAAGATGAAGAGGAAGTGACAAAGTAATAAAAAAATATAGGAGGAAGATAAAAATAAATAAAAAGAGCCATAAAATGTTGAAATCGGCCCAGGGAGATGATAGTAGGGTGTATGTCGTAGGGGTCATTGTCATATCGGGTTCGTGGTATTGCGGTTTGTAAGAGCATGTGCTCGGTGATTCATGTATGGGCGTAGCAGATGAGAAGTAAGGTGTTATCCCATCATTTGGTCGAGGTTCATAGGATCCAATGTCCACCCAGCACCCACGGAGCTAGTAGGCCAGGCTGCGGAATGGTCGCGGACACAATCCAGGCACTGGACAATTTCGGTGCCAATGTCGGTAACTCCCTCCACCGCACAGCTGGAGCAGATCTTTCGTCGAGAACCCTGGACTTTTGAGTCGTGTGTTTCATCAGAGCCGTAGATGTTTGATCCGTCGGGAGCACCTGGATGCCTGTTGGTGCCACGACAGGCGGGAGAGTCACATTGGCGGAGGCAGATGAAGCATGCACGTTCCCCGCAGAGATCACAATCTGCGTATGCGTCAAGGACCTGTCGTGTGGTAGGACGACGGTAGCAGATGTGGCAGGGACGAAGCGCAGAGGGCGAAGTAGATGGATAGGAGGTAGGGACAGTCCTGGGGGACACGGGTGGGGAGTAGGCGCTCTGATTCGAGGCGTAGATATTGGGTGAGAGGAAGGAGGATTGTTGGTGGGATGGAAGAGAGAGGTAAGGTGTTTGAACGTGTCGGCGCTTGCGAGGTAAACAGCGCGGTCGAAATGAGAGGTCGCCAGTCTCGGCTGGCTGTCGAGATAGGGGCAGCATGTAATTTTTATCGTGATCAGTGCAATCTACACGGAATGGCATGAATGCTGAACTGCAATTGAAACAAATCAGTGAACCGTCAAATGAGGATGGGAACGTTCAGCTTCAATTCAGTCAGGGATCAGGTAAATACTTACGGCCGAGCCAAGTTTGCGGAATCATCATGGTCTCGTTTGCGTTTCTTCCACCCCGCGGCCACGAGGTCCGCGGGATCTGAGAATCCGGGCATGAATGGTGGATTATGAGGGTCTCAGCAATTCAGGGGCCTTGTGGTATGAACAAAACGTAGTTGCTGACGACGGAGCGAAGTTGATAAAAGGAAATAAAGCTCGGGGAGGAATGTTACACCGCCCATGGCAATTTGCCTCGGCGTTAGTGTTATCGGTTTGGTCCGTGCTTACGATTAGCTTCAGTCTTGATTAACTCCGAACAAAGACTAGTACTTTCTAAGGTTGGATTTGGCCAGAAAACTGGGCAAAGTCAAAGTTATAGAATTGCTCGAGGGCTCAATCGATCAATATTTAATCTTTTATGTGCATACATACATGTAAGGTTGGGGAGTGGTTTTTCTGAAGAAATCAAAAACATATTATTGGGTCTGACTGGATGGACCCGACTGACTGCAGAATATATCAATCAATAGCCCTTTTATTCAAGTTGGTGGCGAGCTCTTAGCTAAGGAGAACATTTTTTTTGGAGGCCAGTCTGACGACCCGAGTATGTAGATATGGAAACATTAGAAGCTGATTCCCGACATAAATGACCATGGGTATTGACTACCAGGTAATATGGTCAACCATTGGAGCTCTACCTATTACTAGATATAGACAATCAATGTAGCCATGTCTTCAGGTGGTACTTGATCAACTTTGGAAGATTCGAAGAGCCACATGAGGGATTCATCTCGGTCGTATTCACTCAAAATCAGCACTTGAGTGGAATATAGCATAAAATGACTGAAAATGTCACGAATACATCGAAGATTCTCAAGTGCTTTAGGTGGGGACTCAGAGCTAAGGTTCCGTGGGTATATATACCTTTTTAGTCTTATGAGCTAGGATTTCATATACCGGTTTATGAGACAGACCCGCACACCGAGTTGCCCGGATGGTCTAGTGGTAAGCGTCTCTCAAATTCTCGCACTAGCCCACAATCAACTAACAATTCCCAGGTATGATTCCTGCTTTGGGTTAACATCCTAACTGCAGGAGGCCCCGCGTTCGAATCGCGGTTCGGGCCCTCCTTTCCCTTTTTTTCTTTTTCTATTTCTCAAATCCACTTGAAAACCAGCCCCTGGGGTTGATGTGGAATTTGGGCCCATTTCTTTTTTTTTTTAACAAATTTAAATTTTGCTTCCCTTTTATTGTCCTACTCAAATTTTTTTATTTTGTCGGCTTTTCCCTTTTGTTGACAAAGACACAGTCCATCATAATGTTGATTTTCGGCTAGTTTGTCATACAGTGCCCGGATGGTCTAGTGGTAAGCGTCTCTCAGACTCGCAAACTAGCCAACAATCAACTAACAATTCCTAGGTATGATTCCTGCTTTGGGTTAACATCCTAACTGCAGGAGGCCCCGCGTTCGAATCGCGGTTCGGGCCCTCCTTCTTTTTTTTTTCTTTCAGTTTTTTCGTTCTACGAACTACTAATAACGCCCCCTTTCTTGCCCTACTACACTAGTATATGTCATTGTTTTAGCCAATTTTTTCATATATTCGATTCACTTACATTCCTATCTTCCACTTTCATTGTTCGAATATGGCAGGATACTATTTACTATGACTGATATTTGGCACTTGAGCCCACATACACCTCGTCTGTTAAGAAAGTCTTAAGTGCTACCTCTGGAGGTATCGACTTACAATGGTAGTCAACAGGTTAACATTAGAATAACTAGTTAATCTGTCTTTGGATTATTCATAGATGTTGTTTGGTCATTTGTCATGTGACCTGCGTACTCTTACTTATCTTACTGTAGATACACCAGTTGACATGGCCAAACACGTGGCAAATTATTTCGTACGTTTTCCTTGATAGCGCTTTATTATTCCAATTTTCAATCCAGAAGCCCGACTAGCGCAATGGTAGCGCGTAAGACTTCTAATCTTAAGGTTGCGGGTTCGACCCCCGCGTTGGGTTTTTTTTTTTTATTCTGCCACATTTCGTCGCCTGTATGGGTCAACAGTACCATGATCGGTCAAGAAGGCTTTACTGCCTCTAGAAGATTCAATTCTATCTATTTCCATTCTTCCTCCTTAGAATCTTTGGGTTGTCTATTTCCTCCTTGTCACGAGTTTGCCATTATGAACACAGAATTAGATTTTTGCAACCTTAAAAAGGAACCGGCCTCAAACCTTCGATATTAGTGGTTGTGCCTTTACCTGCCCGGTGTTAGTTGATACTACTTTTCCTTTAGCTTACATTGTCGTATAAAAGTCTTCAAGTCTTCGTTCTGCTTTATACCTATTAAGTAGTTCGTATATTTTTCTACGTCATTTGTGTTTCCAGGAAAAAGGGGAACAGGGTAATTTCAAGACAAACCCGACTGCCGCAGCTCTCTGAAGCATTAAAACTTGTGGTTTGTTTTCGTGACGGCAAAAGTCTTATCCCTGTCTTGACAGGTAAAATTAAACTCGGTGCAAATCCAACTCGGCTCCATCCGAAAACAAGCTTGCACGTACGGGAGTAAGGAGAAGGGAGAAAGGAGAAGGCTTGGTATGGTAGTGCTTAACCAAAAGTGGTGTTTGTGCAGTATGTTGAATGTGAATGATGTTTTCAACTTTGACAAAAGACCCTGCGAGCTATGTAGTTTATGCAAAGTTACTGAAGCCCTTGAGGTTATCACCAAGAGCCTCGGATCTCCATCCCGACGGAGTTGGATAGAGTAGTCGGGGAGCCGGCGGGTCACCCGTGAGATCGGGATGCCGGGTGTAAGCCTCCCCGTCAATTGGGGCAGTGTCTGCCCTGCAGATAGTTGAATTTCTGTTTTTAGATAATCTGGAATTAGATTGATCAATGATCGTCAGATCTTGCGAGTCCAACCGAGAACGAGAGTGGATTTTCGTGGGGCAATAATCCTCAGTAGTTGAATGTTGGATACAATCTTAAGTTATATAAACTGCCGATGGTCGGAGATTGAGGAACAAGAGAAAACGACTAAAGTTGGCTGTGAAACATTTGAAGAGATGAATTGAGTGAAACAAATCAATAAAAAACTAAGACCTGAAGTTAAAGGGCCTAGATATTAGTTGTTGCTTTGCTTTTGACCTACAATGATGGCAGAGATATGTGTCTCAAGTACAAGTTTGTATGCACGCTGTGATCAGTTTCCCACATTTCCCACGCGTGGGGACGTGGGGAAGTTCAGAACAAGCCTCGAAAACACCCGATACTTTGTAAAAGATCCTCTTGTTAATGTTCCTGTTTTTCTTTTTTTGTCACTCGCTTCGACATTACGGGGCTCTTTTCTTAAATTTTTTTTTTTTAGAATTGAGCTTAGAGAATTTGGGAGTGGTTGACTCAGCTTTCCCCCCCCTGTTTTGTGGTTGGATGTGACATTACTCCAGCTTTGCCCAGCTTTGGCCCTCTTGCGTAATCCACCTTTCTTTCCGATCGCATTCGGCCAATTCTTCAATTATATGCCCTTTTTTTCCACGCGCCCTGGAATTCCTTTTCCTTGAATTTAGATCTTCCTCTTTAGGGATTCTCTATCCCCATTCCATCCAGCTTCTATATTTCGACTTCCTGAGAGTTGTCGCGCTTTCTTCTCACTTGAGAAACACATGGCATGCATCTTGAGCTAAACTAATAAAACCCTCTTCATGGATGAGGGCTCCGATAAAGCCCCTCGGCGGAAGAGGGTCTCCAGAGCATGCGACCGTTGTCGCAGTAAAAAAGTGAGTCCGCGAATCATCCCAACAGTTCGTCTCCCGGACTAACCGCCCGCACTCGGAATCTCAGGACAAATGTGATGGAGTTCGTCCCACTTGCTCCGCCTGCCAGGCTTCGGACCACACATGCTCCTACGATCCCCATGCGAAGAAACGAGGTCTACCGGAAGGTTATGTACGGGGTCTAGAGAAACTATGGGCGCTCTCTATCTGCAACATCGACGGGTTTGAAGAAACCATGTTAGCCATGCTGGGAACCACGATGGAATCGGCCGGTCGTCGCGGCAAGATGATGTCCGTCTGGACGGACGACAATAATTCAGAGAGCCTTCATGAGACCTGGAAGACTAGTCGCCTGTTTAGCGCACTCGAGAAAATGCTATCAAACTCCGAGCCAGCCCCCCTCACCACCGGCAAACGACCGCGAAGCCCCAACGATGATTTTGCAGACGTCTCGGATAGTCATTGGGGGTTTCGAGTTGGTCGAGAAATGACCCCTCTGGGATCTGACGCGCCTCGAGTGGTCGGACCCCCCGGCCTCTCCCCAATTACGAAACGAGCTCGCCTGGCGCAGGCCCCGGACAATCGTAGCTCCCAATTGAGCAATAGCCCCCATACCCTCCAACTACCACCGCAGACCTCACAACTCCTCGATATTTACTTCGCGACAACGCACTCTTGGTTCCCCGTTGTCGCCAAACACAACATCCTTCGCGCCTCCTACCTCTACGCCAATGCACCATTCTCAGTGGCGACAACATCTCCGGGGTCCGGAGACCATGCAACACTATGGGCTATTTTAAGTTATACCATTACTCAGTCTCGACCCGATCCGCGAGCCCGTCCGGAGGGAGCTTTGTCTCTTGCGAAAGAGTACTATGCAGTAGCCCGAAATCTCATCCCTTCGGAAAACGAACGTTACGAACTCGGTCACATTCAGGCATTACTCTTACTAACGTTGGTGAACATGGGATTAGAGGACTGGACAGCCTCGTGGCTGTTAAGTGGCCAAGCAGTGCGGATGGCCGTTGCCATGGGTTTGGGAGCCATGACGGATACCCGTCGCTCGGATGAATTGAGACAAGGCAAAGCGGTCTTCTTGGGGTGCTTTGTGGTCGACTCATTACTATCGTTCCGTCTCTCCCGATCTCCGGCAATGTCGTCGAATGATTTGACTACCGTGGGCCTTTTGGAAGAGGATGGATTGGAAGAGTGGAATTCGTGGGTGGACGTTCTCCCTCCCACTGGTGCGGCACATGGCAAGAACCCTCCTCGAAGAGGTCCGCTACTAGCATTAAGCTGCTTCAATCGATTGGTTGAACTGGCCAGTGTACTCAACAAGACTTCTCGCAACTTAGCCATGGGTTACAAACCTGCCTCCTTCGCACAGCAGCTGGTCGTGGACCTCAAGCAATGGGATGATGGGCTACCTCTTGGATGTCGCTTGATCGGGCCTGAGAGTATCTATCCGGACCGACATTCTGCTTTGTTGCCGCATCAGAGTTATCTCGGACTCACTTATGTGGCGACCCTTCTTTGGCTTTACTTGCACCTGATTCCCGGAGAGCAGGGGTTGCACCGAAGCCAGCGACCAGCAACCGAGGGAGCAAAGAAGCTATTGTATAGAGGGCTGTCGATGATTTCACAACACCTGGAAAATTTCCCCATGTGCGGACTCCCGCCTATTTTCGAGTTCGGCATGCGCACCATATCCGAACAGGCCTTTTCACTACGACAAACAGTGGATTCTTCGGATAGCTTCCCATTTTCCCAATGGGCGGAGGAGTTTCAGCAAAAAACAACCGCGTTGATACCGACATGGCCCGTGTATGGCTCCTTGGTATCTTCAATGGAACGCTGGCAACAGCCGCATGACTTTCCTAGAGCCCAGCCAGGATTTTCTGGCGCCATCGTTCCCCCCTCGATGCCCGGAACAGCAACACTCGGTCCCATGCAGCCGGTCGGTGCACACGGCATGCTTCCGCACGATCAAGGGAGCTATGCTTCATCTATCCTTGGAATTAGCATTCCCGTCGACGGTCAGTCGTTGACACCCAAAGACACCGTCATGGAGAACACGGATTTATCCATGATGGAAGTACCGTTGCAGCAAGCGCAGCAGCCAATGGACACACGCTCGATTCTTTCGGAGAAAGTGACCCCGCGCAGTGGACCAGATATGATGTACGCCTCCACTGGCACTACTCACCCGCAGCCACAAACCCCAGATTCCGCTACCTCTAACCCAATGATGGGTAAGCCTCCCACGAGTGATCGAACCGGACCGAGCGAGATGGGATATCCCGTTGGGAACGGGGACCTCGACGCGATTTTCAAAGACCTGGCATACCTGGACACAACTGAATGGTCCAACAACCGCGAGGCTGGCCTCAAAGATTTTGGATTCTTGGACGATAGCACTTTCCAGGCCTTCTGCCATGACCCTGATCGACTGGTAGGATCACAACCTCTTGTCCACCCCCCATCCATTGCAGACATCTGGCCACCTCCGGGGTTCTTCCCAGAGATGTTCCAGGAAGTTCCGGAGAAGACCATGAACGGCTGATCGAGACTTGCTGGTTCTCGCCCTTGCTTGCATATATAACATATTGCTTGAATACTTTGAAATTGGTGTTTCATACACGACACACAATCTTCCCTCAACCCTTGTTCTAGCCGGCTTCCGGAAGAACAACTTCCCCAGTGAGTGGACTGCACCGCTCACTGTAAGGCATCACGTCTTGATCGTTACCCCCGCCAGCCGATCGGGTTCGGGAGCACCATTGACTCGGCAAGTTCCTCACGATTCTCGGTGCCCGGAATAGGGAATTCTGCGGACGTTTGGGCCTTTTTGCGCAGAGTCTATATTGATCTTCCGAGACTCAAATCATTGAAGTCTACTGCAGTTGATCTTATTTTCCAATGCATGTAAATATATTTGGTTCCAAAACACATGTGCAGTGACCACTATCTGTCACAGTTGACAATGGCAACATTGAATATTCAGTATTTAACCATTTCATGAATCCTCAATTGTAGATTTTTCGTAGATAAACATTTGAAACATTTTGGTAATTCAATGTTCTTTCAATGTTAGTGGATCTAGATTTTGATGAATGTTCAAGTTGGTTCCACGGATCCCGACTGCATTCCTCAGGATCTTGTAAGTGTCGACTCTAGATTTTCTTTATTCTTATGGTCAAAAAGAGGACTTTTTCCGCAGGCATACATAAATGATCTAGCCCCGGAGTTTCTTGCCGGGCAGCATGTGGAACATTCAATGTTGAACGAACCTATCAAATTTCCTGGAAGAGTTTCCGCGAACCAAAATGACAGAAATCAGCCGCGTTCTATATCTTCTGGCGCTAGCGGGTTTGCTGGACCCGGTAGACCGGGTAGTCCCCACCGGCTACCCGCAGTTGTTTCATCGCTCCCAAGCCCTGTACTCCTTTCCGAATTCTTTTCCACTTGTGCTTTCGAATGTATTTGAATACGGTTTAGTAAACTTCTGGATATACATGTATGGACGTGGAGCGTCAGGAACATATGTGTTGGTATTCAGACCTTAAGATCATATATACATCCAACTTAACATTTGAACGTGGCATATGTACCATACCTTTATTCCTTTGGCAACGGGGTGAACCGCAAGTACGGCTTGATCAATTTCATAACTGGGAAACGAGCTTTGGCATCCTGGTCATTGACACTGGCAGGGACCACCACATCTTCACCAGGCACCCAGTTGACGGGTGTATTGATGGCATGCTTGTCGGTAGCGAGTAAAGAGTCAACCACACGGAGCAGCTCCTCAGTATTACGGCCCGTAGAAGCGGGGTAGCACTGAAGCATCCTGATGACCTTGTTAGGGTCGATGATGAAGACGGAGCGGATGGTATAAGCGATGCCCCTGGCGTCTACATTGGTGAGATCTTGGTGATCCAGCCTAGGAGTAGTGTAAGCGCGTGAGTCTGTGAACTGTCTAGCTGGAGTGCTTTAGAGATTTGTACAAGTCACTCACATGTCATAGGCATAAGCAATCTGGCGGTCCTCGTCACCGATAACGGGAAAGGTCAAAGGACACCCCGCTATCTCGGCAATGTCATTGATCCAGCCATCGTGTGATTGGATAGAGTTGGCCGAGAGACCTATCAGCTTGACGTGGCGTTTGGTGAACTCGGGCTCGTATTTGGCCAGCGCCGCCAGTTCGGTAGTGCATACCGGGGTGTAATCCTCTGGGTGAGAGAACAGAATCACCCAGTCACTACCCGCCCACTCATGAAAGTCAATAGGGCCGATGGTAGTTTCGGCTTGGAAGTTTGGGGCAATTGACCCCAGGCGGAGACTAAACGATTTAAAGCTGAAGGTCAGTTAGGATCCGGAATGGAGTTGGCCATACGGGCAAGATCGGATCGGATTGAATCCAGCACCGAGCAGTTTAGGGTGGGACCACTGGTCTGGAAGTAACAGAAATCGAAAGCCCCCAAAATATATAGGAAATTTCTCTTTTTTGGAAAGACTTACGCGTTGGCTCGGGTGTCTTCCGACATCTGTAAGGTCTTAGGTGATCACTGATGACTGACTTAAAACAAGAAAAAGGCCGTTGGGAAGATAAATATTTATGTAGGAAATAAAGAGCAAAGTGGATAAAGGAGACTTGAAGGGTTACTAACATTGAAAGAGTAAAAAGTCAACGGTCAACGGGTTGACTCCGCTTTAAACCTGCCGCGTTTCTGTTCATTTCGCTTCCTTTTTCACTTGTTAAACTTACTAGTACACATGCTAATGCAGAAGTGAAACTAAGATATGCTAGTCGATCACTCTGATCTGTGCAGATCCATTACCGGCTCGGCACAAAATACCAAGCGAGTTTAATTTCCAATTGATCTTTAGTGAATCTCTAGTCCAAAAGAAGCAAACGGCAATGAAATCAGAAATCCCAAAAGTCCCAAGCCAAAACCGGGTTTATTTTGGAATGGCAACATTTGGTAACATTTGGCAACATTTGGTAACATTTGGCAACATTTGGTGCCTTTCGGTGCTTTCCGACTTCTCATCCCGTCTAGTGACTAACCACCTTCCAATTTTAGACTATGTTGTACTTTCTCCTTTCACTTTGTCCTTTTAATTTTCCTCTGACAGCACCCCATTCGAGTCCCCGTGAAATATAACAGAACCCCCCCCGCAACGACCATGATGACAAAGTCCGACGATTGATCTTTGCGCCCCACCCAAATACATAAATCCCCTTCTCCTTGGGAATTTGGGTTACATACAAAGAGGCCCAAGGCCCTCGAGTTGATCTGATGGAAAAGTTGGATCGCCTGGTCGCTTATACCTGGGACGCGTCGAGGCAATCTCGCTCAAGCTATGGCGTGAGGTGCGTTGGCCCAACCCCACTTTCCGAACGGAAAGCAAGTCCCATGCTGAAGCCTCGACCAGACACGTCTTCGGCACCAAACGCCTCGAATTTACCACTCACCCGGATGATGCGCCTATAGCTGGTTCCCAAAATGTTTCATCTCCCGTGGACTTTGACGGTGCCTCGGCCCCACGTGGCCCAGCGAGGGACAGCCGCATCGGCACCACGGTTCAAGAGCCAGAGAACTTGATCGAAGTGGTAGCATGTATTGGTGAGAATTCAGTCGCGGAAGAAAGGATGCAGGAGGAGTATCAGATGGTGACATCCGTCGCCGCTTCTCGCCGCAAATATCTCCTGCGACCCGTGGAAATACGGCGCCTACCCAGCCTCAGTGAAGACGAAGAGCCATCGGCACTGGTCTGCATTTACGAAAGCCCCGGTCCCAACGATCTTTCACGCTTCGTTGATTGTGGCGCAACCTGGTATCATTCGCGCCCGGAAGGAGATCAGATCCATAGCGAGACCGATGGTGGGGGAGGGCTTCAATCCGATCGAGGTGAGCTCATGCCTTTGCAAACATTTCTGGATTTTGCTATTGGTGCAGCGGAGTGCATTGAAATGCTGCATAGCCGGCAGATTGTTCATGGACAGATTCGGGGGGATACATTTCACTTCAGTCAGAACACTGCCTGCGTGAGATTGATTCATATCGGAGCGGGCCTCCGGCAATACGACACCAGGCGCTTGGGCGCTGGCTCGCCTATTATTTCCAACCAGAACGACGCTACGGCGAATACCTCTTACTTGAGTGTCGAACAGACCAGTCGGACGCCCATACAGCTCGATAACAGGGTCGACATCTATTCCCTCGGTGTCTTGCTTTGGAGCGCTCTAGTCCAACATGCCTCATTCGGGGGCCAGACTCCCATGGAAATTGTTAGGGAGGTTCTTGGACAGGAGCTACCGTTGGCATCCACCTTGCGGCCCGAAGTACCGGAGATCATCGCACGTATCATCGCCAAAGCGACTGCAAAGAATGTCTCAGAACGGTACAACTCTGTTAATGGTCTGTTACATGACATTGTGGAGGCGCGGAGGTTGTTGGAAGAGAGTGACCAAGCAGAAGTGGAAAAATTTAAGATCGCCAGCAATGATGTTTCTCCTTTCTTTACGCTTCCGCGCACGATGGTGGGCCGGAAGGCCGAGCGGGACGCAATCGTTGAGGTTCTGGATCGTAAACACAGAATGTATCAGGGAGGCAAAGAAATCCACCAGTCGTCCGTACCGAAGGACCAAACGGCAATTTTCGTCGCTCCTACTCTACCAGACGCTAGCCTGGAGGAAGAAGACGAAGCTCGTAATTTGGCCACTGGGATTTTCAGCTTGCCAGCTTCCACTAATATGACATCAATGGGACTTGCTCAATCTTATGTGGCTAACGCAAGCCGCGTACGTTCCCCAGGAGGTTCTCAGTACAGTCCAAGTGAAGCTAGTGAGTCCGGATCCGTGGCTTTGGACAACAACAACAAAGGGTTGGATAAGCGATTGTCAACACTATCGACCGACGGCGCCAGTGGTGATGGAAGCTCCCTATCTAGTGGCAACGCTAGGAGGCAAACTGTGTATCGTGGGATGCTGCCGAAAGGAAGATGCGAGATTATCAGCATTGAGGCAGGAGCTGGATTGGGCAAGTCTCGACTCATCAAATCAGTGCAGATGGAAGCTCGACGAAGAGGCTTCTTTGCGAACTCCCATTTTGATCTTGCAATCAAAGAACGTCAGCGCCCGGTCCTAAATTTGTTCTCAAGTCTTTTCGAACAAGCGTTTTCCGAAAACACACTCGAGTCCAGTTTCCTGCCGATGCTGCGACATCATATTGGCCCTGCGTGGGACACTCTTCATAAGGTTCTTAGCCTTCCCAAATTCCTTTTGGGGCCCGACTTGCCGGAACAAACGCTGAACAAAGCTGCTCGTTCTTCAATACCTTTACCCTACCGAAATTCCCTCGAAAGTCGTGGAACAGAAAGTGCCGAAAAATTCCTTCGAACTGGATCCTCTACCAAGTCATTGCCTCTTGTGCGGACATTGCTGGATATTCTCAGAGCCTTTACACAGTACAAGTTGGTTTGCCTCTGCTTAGACGATGTTCACTTGGCAGACGAAGAATCGTTGGAACTTATTGCCCAGATTGCCTCGGCGAGGATCGAAGTAGTTATAATCCTGGCCTACCGACCGAGTGCAAATACCTCATCCGAGATTCTTACGAGAATTCTTGACTTCTGTACCAATAAAGGTAAATTCACCCTCATTCTTCCGTCCATCTTGTTATTTTATCTGCAATGTTCATAATATGTTACTATGCTTGATTTTTGCTTACTAAAGTACATAGAACTTCGGAAAGGCAGAGATATAGGTGTTACTTCTATCAATCTGCCCCCGCTCAGTGAAGACAGCGTATTGGAATACGTATCAAGCACCCTGTTTTTGTCCATACCTGTCCTCTTGCCCCTGGGGGCGCTCATTCAATCTAGGACTAGTGGAAACCCATTTTACGTTCGCGAAATGTTGACCGAGTGCTATGAACATGGACTCATCGGTTATGACCACCAGAAAGGATTGTGGTCATTTGATCTGAGCCGCATCTCTGCACATTTCAGAGCGGATAACTACGACGACACGAATCTCGCAAATTTCTTAACAAAGCGCCTCAGTAATCTACCTTCTGTTTCAAAGTCAATACTGGCCTGGGCATCTGTTTTGGGCACGACTTTCTCGTTCCAGCTGGTTCGAAGGCTTCTCAACACCGCCAAAATGGATTCCGAGTCTGAATTGTCTGATCAGGAGATGATTCAAGGTCTACAGGCAACAATCCAAGCCTACGTTATCGTGCCCACAAAGGACCATGACGTCTTTTCGTTCACATATAATCATTACATGCACATCGCAGTGTCCTTTCACACCAGAGACCAGCATCATGTGGACTTCATCAAAGCCCAAGTGCTACTGCGGTATTACTCCCACGATGACAAATATTGCAATATGTTGGCATCCGCCATCTTGGAGTCTGCCCCGATAATTAAAACCTCCGTGGCAAGAAGGGAGCCTTTCAGAAAGTTTTTATTGGATTATGCAAAAGCCACAAGCGAGACTGGTTTCCGCTTCGCCGACATCAAATATTACCAAAGCTGCATTTTACTGCTCCAGGAAGCCATGTGGGACGAAGAAGTTGAGGATGTCAGCTACGCCGAGACACTGCAGATATTTACGTCCGCCGCTGAAGCTTACTTGTACCGAGGACAGCATGCCGAAGCTAGTCATTTATTGGACTCCATGCTATCTAGCGCCCGAAGTCCAGTAGACAAGGCCCCCTCATGGATATTGCAGTGTCGCATGCTTGCACAAATGGGTAACTCGTCCGGCGCTTTCCAGTCGCTGAAAGAAGCTCTCGGAACGCTGGGGATCGCAATTGACGATAACCCTAGTTTTGCCAAATGTGACAAGGAATTCCGCCGGTTATGCGAGGCCATTTCCGCTATTCAGATTGAGACTATTGAAAGGACACCCGTTGAGGATTTGAGCTTGGCTGCTATCGGTGCAGTTTTAGTGGAGGCCACTAGCGCGGCTTTCTGGTCTGACACCATTACTTTCTACCAGATGACGCTGGTCATGGTTGAAACTTATCTCTCCCGTGGCCCTTTCCCCCACGCGGGCATGGGACTGCTGCAGCTGGCTGTGATAGCGATCACTCGACACAGCACAATTTCCTTCGCAAGTCATTGTGCAGAGCTTGCTCTTGCTTTGATTGAGCAATGTAAAGACTCACACATCAAAGGGCGTGGCATTGCGTTGTATTTAACCTTTGTTGATCACACACGAAGCCATATCCAATCATCAATCTGCCAAATGGAAGGGGTTCTGGACCTCTCCATTGACGCGGGTGATAGAAGCGCCACTATTTTGAACTACGGGCTACTTTCTAGTATGAGGTTCTTTGCCTCTGAAAACCTGGCCGAGCTGGAGAGCTTCTGTGCCCACAGCTGTGAGGACATTTCAAATTGGCAATCAGACACTCCTGGCGGTACTATCCTCATTACAATCTGCCAGCTCTGCCGTGCTTTACAAGGGAAAACGTTTACGCAAGAATCGGCGGGGGTGATGAGTGACGAAGATCATTCATCAACCACATATAAGAGTTGGCTAGTAAGAAATATCAAAAATAGTGACCGCCCGCTGATGTTTTACGAGAGCATGGAAATTGCTCCGTTGTTTCTTTACGGTCATTTCCACCGAGCAGTTGCGCTTGGCAATTCGTGTTTGAAGAAAGTAAATGCCATATGGTCCGCACGAAACACACGATTCCTCATGTTCTTCCATTCCCTTGCCTTGGCCGGATGCATGTGGATCCGGAAGCAGCAGCAGCTCAATCCTGCATATCGCGCACGCTCCCTTCATTTGGCATCCGACGTCAACGGACGATCACTCGAGCCGGGCTTTGAAGAGGAAATGGCTAACCTGGCGAAGATGTTGAAATACTTCAGGCGTAAGATTGAACAGTGGCAGGTTATCTCAGATGTGAATTACCTGGCATGGACTAAAATCTTGGGGGCCCAGATTGCCGAAATGGAGAATGATCAAAGGGCTGCTTTGTGTCTCTACCAAGAGGCACTGGAGCACGCTGCCCTGTATGGATTTGGGTTGGAGGAAGCTCTGACCAACCATCTGTTAGGCGAACATCTGATGCGCGAGGGGTCTTCGAGACTAGGCACTTACGCGCTGAAAGAAGCTGTCACACTCTACCGGCGGATGGGGGCTACCGGAGTGGCTGATCACGTTCTGCGCTTGTATAACCTGGAGCAAAATTTGAAGAATGTGGCACGAGAAGCCGCTACTCAAACTGAGCATCCCCAAACTGTTATACCGACTCGTCAAGTATCTGATCATGGCAACGATGAAAATCCAAATGCAGATGAATCTCCAGCGGAGCGTACTTTACACATCTCAGATCTGACCTCCATTCTTGAACGGTCACAGGTGATATCCAGCATTCTAAGGGTTGATGAGCTGCTACGGGAGATGTGCACAATTGTTCTAGAGAGCTGCTACGGCGTTGCTGTCGCAGTGGCCATCATCACCAAGGAGGACCCGGCCGTCGGGTGGGTTGTGGCAGCCAGTGGCGAAGCGGCAGGACGTACTAAAGTACACCGTTCCCCTAGACGGATTGAGCAGTCCAGTCTTGTCGAAGAAAGCATTGTGAACTATTGTGTTCGCTTTCGCGAAGCAGCGTATCTGCCGGACGTCTTCCAGGATCCGCGATTCACCTCTGGCAGCGAAGCTTGGGAGGCGCAAAATCAAGTCAGCAAATCAGTGGTGGCATTGCCTGTTTCTCAAGGTGGCGATGAGAGTGAACCCCTTGCGGTTCTCTACGTGGAGGGAACTCCGAACGCGTTCTCATATCTTAACCGCGTCGTCTTGCAGCTACTAGTCGTTCAACTCGGAATTAGCTATTCCAATGCGTTGACACTCAAGGAAGTCGAACGGGTATCCGCTATCAACCAATCCATGGTCGATATGCAGAAGAAGGCCTTGGCAGAAGCAATGGCAGCAGAGCAAGAAGCGAACGTCGCCAAAGCGGAGGCTCTTCATCATGCCAAGCTAGCCGAAGAGGCCGCCAAGGCTAAGAGCAGCTTTCTTGCCAATATATCTCATGAGCTACGAACGCCACTCAATGGAGTGATTGGCAACTCGGAGCTTCTGCACGGCAGTGACCTGCCAGAAGCGCAATTGGAAATGGCAGACTCGATTCGCGTGTCAGCTAACCTCCTCCTTGCCGTGATCAATGACATTCTCGACTTTTCCAAGATCGAAGCGAACAAGATGCAGTTGCACATTGTGCCCTTTGACGTGGACAAGATGATCCGGGGACTGATTCGCTCCATGTCGACCGATTTCGTGAATAGTGGACGATCCAACAATGTCGGCATTATCCAGGATATCAAAATACCTCAATCCCGCGTATATGGTGATCCTGTGCGTCTGCAGCAAATACTAGGCAATCTATATGGCAACAGCCTCAAGTTCACAAAAACCGGGTCCATCACGATAGGATCCAGGGCAGACAATGAAACAGAGGACTCAGTCCGTCTCTCCTTTTGGGTATCGGACACCGGTATTGGCATTCCCGCGTCCCTCATAAAGCATTTGTTCAAGCCATTCACACAGGCTGATGCCAGCACTGCGCGTCGGTTCGGAGGCAGTGGCTTGGGTCTCAGTATCTGCAAATCTCTCGTAGGTCTTATGGGAGGCACCATCGAACTCGAGAGCGTCGAGAACGTCGGCACGACTGTATCTTTCTCGATCGTCTTGTCGAAAGTCAAACTCGGAGATTCGGGTCCTGTTTCTCCAGCGGAATCCACGAGCGATTTACTTCGCCAGCTTGGTACCACAGTCCCTAATCACATGGATCTGTCCCAAATCCCTCTCTCCCAGCTGCGCGTCTGCATAGCAGAGGATAACCTGATCAACCAAAAAATCACGGTGCAGTTCCTCAAGAAGCTGGGATTCGCCCACGTAGATGCCTACAACAACGGCCTTGAAGCCGTGGAAGGAATCCAGAAGAAGGCCAGTGCAAAGCAACCATATCATTTGATCTTGATGGATGTTCAAATGCCCATCATGGACGGGTATGTGGCCACCCGCCATCTCCGCCAGGATTCTGTGGATGCGGTGCGGCGCATTTTGGTCATCGCTCTCACGGCCTCGGCAATTCAGGGCGATCGGGAGAAGTGTCTGGATTCGGGGATGGATGATTACCTGGCTAAGCCAATTCTCCTTGCGGCGTTGAAAGATAAGCTTGATAAGTATTTACAATTTGAATGATCTGCTTCAAATTCGACATCTGGATGGAGGTTGATCTTGTATATTAAATATGTGCACATATGTACATATGGAAATGGAAGCACGTATACATGAGGAGTGGGACAGGCTAGTACAGAACCCATTTATTGCCTTTTACCAGAGACGTGGTTTCATGTGCCCACAATACTCTATACATGAGTTCTTTCGCAAAAGGTCTCCGAGAGGCAAAAAGTAACATTGAATCATTCTTACAATCCGCAAAAGGATTCCGAGGATTACAGCCCCGAGGGAAGTACAGTCTTAGAAAATAGTTACAATATCGAATCGCCACAGATTCGATTATAAATAGTTGAACTAATTCTTGATTTCTCCTAACATTGAAAACAATTTGACTATCCAAGGCCCCCCAAGCGCCCGGCGCTGCCCCTGGGGTCCCTTGATGGGGAGGTGTAAAAACTTTTCCTTGACAATTGTAAGCTGTTGATGAGCATTGCTTGATTTTGGAATGAAAACATAGCTCTGGCCAAAATTTACTAGTGAATATCGATCTACGGTCGGAGACAATACCATCCGTATGCCCGTATTTCAACCAGGTTCCAATAAGAGGACATGAAAAACATTATGGATTCTCTCCAACTGTTGTGGTAAAGCAAGACGATATGCTTGTAATCCAATCTTCCCGATAACCTTAAAAGGTCCTAGGAATTTTGGGGCTAACTTCCGAGTCATATTTTTAAGCTTCAAGTTCTTGACCACGCTTTTAATTCGTCTTTGTGTCTCTGGATCCTCTTCCTGGATCTGTTTCACTTCTGAAATTAAATACTTTGAAGTTTCAATATTTTGTGGGTAATTTGATTTCACAGCTGCAATACAAGCTATTAAAGCCATGTGATTGCTTGCCAAATCTTCCTAGAAGCACTTTATAAGAGTAAAAAAATAATTACTTGATAATTGAGTAGGCATTACAGCTATGATTAGCGTAGTTATCAGAAAAAAAAAAAAAAAAAAAAAAGATAGACATAGCATGTCCTGGTTTCGATCCAGGGTCCTCCGGGTTATGAGCCCGGCGCTCTTCCCCTGAGCTAACATGCTGGTGGGATAAATATTTACTACAAATTTGCCAATACAACCTACAGCTACAAATTTTTCCCCTAGGTGAAGCTCACCGTGACCTGATCCTTTGATCCTTGCCAGGCACCGCAAAACACTAGTGGAGTCTACCGCCCAACTATTAAGAAGCTTTCCACCATCACTTGGCATTTTGATTCATCGGGCGGCCCATCACAGGAATTGAACAATTTTCTTAAGCATTCCAGCAAAATTGCAGTTTGGAGGAGAATTAATCAATCGTACCAGGTAGTGACGGTCACGAAGCAGACCGTCCTCCTCAAAGAATTTAAAAGCTCGCACGGCTTTTTCATACCCAGCCTATACACTTCCCTAGCCGAAAGCCTAAAGAAAATAGGATATTTGTGGGATACTGGAAGGCATAGTTACTCAATTCATTAGATAAGGTCACGGCACTCCATAAAGCGCTACGCAGTCAACTCAAACGCCAATCAGAAAGAAAAAGTGATGCCAATTTCGAGGAACGTCGCAGATAGTTTCAGTAGTTTACGTCTTTGAAACGATGGCTCAAAATCCGGAGCTCAAGAATCGAACATACTTGCACAGATCACCTCCAATTGGGAGCTTTCAGAAGGGAGACAAATGGGCAATTGATCAACCCCTCAGTCTGAGAAACGGATGATCCATCAGTTCCCGAGCTGTCTTCCTCTCCTCCGGGAGCCAAGTCAGCATATTATGAACAAAAGACAGAAATGCCGCCCGATCCTTCTCTTCGAGGAACGGGGTTGTGTGCTCTAAACTTCTGGACGGGATCAATGTAGTATAGCGGAATTGATCTTGAACACAGTCAGTATGCAAGGTAAATAAATGCGTACGATATAGTTGTCAACCCACCTTCTGCGTCAAAGAAAGGGCCGTTGAAGAATTCCTGAGCATTATTACAGAGTTCACCAGTGTCGTTCGTGACAGGCTGGGGCCAGCTGAGCTCTGACATGGCCTTTGATCTCGCGAGTAGTGCTTCCGGTGGGGGCCCCAACAGGGCAATCATTTCCGCGAGGTGTGATTTTGCATCGTATTGGCCATTTGTATCAAGTACCTGCTGGAACAACTCCTTGCTCCCAAGGATATTCCACACCTTAAGGAACGGAATTATTAGTATAAAGCCTAAGCCAGGGATTATAGCCAGGTACAAGAGAAACAAAAGTCCCGTTGTGTTATAAATTGACCTTTAGGAAACAAACAGTTACAGGGTTCTTACCAACACGCCAAAGTTCCAGATATCTGCCTTAAAATCCCAACCACAGCCAAGGATTACCTCTGGAGCACAGTAATAGTCTGGTTGGATAGGATAAGTACCCAGTTGCTCTCCTACCATTCCGTTTTGGGTAGACGGCTTATCCAGTCTTATTGCGAGTCCGAAGTCGGCTATTTTCGGAATCAGTTTCTTAATTTCTCTTCCATCAAGTACACCGAAGTCATTATGGCAGCGGTAGATAGTTCGACCACTTTCGCCAACAATCTTACATTGCATCGGCTCTTGTCGTTTGATAAAGTCGGTGAGAATGTTTTCGTTTTCGAAGCTCATGAGGATATTCCCTAGCTTAAGATCTGAGAGGTAGATGAGATCTTTAAATTCCAGAACAAGCATACGAGAATGGCGACAAACACTCACCACCGTGGACAACTTTGCACTCTGAGTGGAGGTAATCAAGGCCAACAAGGAGGAAGTAGATGTAGGCCTTCGCAATGGGCAAAGGAAGCTTGCGATCAATGAAACGCCTCTGGAAAATCCAAAGGGGCTCTCTCATCGCTTCGTACACAAGGCACATATGTTTTCCTCCCGGACCGGTTACTTCAAAGTCATCCAGGCATGTCCGAAGAATTGTGCAGCCACGATGCTCTGGATTTTTCTGTTTGATATGGCTTTCAATCTCCCTCTCATGCCAAGCATCGTCGGCATTGTTACTGTTGGTTATTTTTAGGGCAACTAGTCTTTCAGATTGCTATTTAAGCCTGAATCATGAGGAGCAGGGTTAATTTCTTGGCGATCAATATGAACTAGGCACGTGTGGTTACGGTGTGTGTATCTTGAATGTCTTGCGTAAGCCACACAGTTGATTGTGATCCCTAGCCAATTTTAACAAGTAGTTAAAATCTCCTAGCCAGTGATTCCCCAGGCTTTGTTGGGTAGGAGGTTGTTAAGTTGTAGTTAGGACAAAACTCTTCGTTAATAAGTTCCTGCTGAGGAATTCGAGGCCCGGGGTTCGATGGTAACTGCCAGAGTGACTTTTTAGCGAAAGAAAAGATAGAACGCCGTGTTGTCAAGGCAAACTGACAAAGGTGTGACATTAGGCTCTCAAGATGTTATTAAAATACTCTGGAAATGGTCGAGGGGCAGGAAAAACCAGAGGCAGCTGAGCTCGAGATGGTTCCCCTACGTAACTGGTTAGTTAATAGTTAACCGCCAGGAGGCTGGTGAAGTATGACTAATTCCCAAAATCACCTGACCATTTCACCATAGTTATGTACATTATGATTGTATCACGAATACCATCACTAGTGCGTATGAAACATCGTTGGTCAAAATTTTCAGATGCGAAATCTAACCAACCCTTAGTTTCTCCACGCGCCGTTGGTGGCAGACAACGGTTCACCCCGGATAGGAATCTGTGGAAAAACAATGATCCACACACGAATAATGGTCACGTGCTGTGACATCGCCTCAGGGGGTTTGGACCCTGAAGATTATAATAATCATAGTAGATACTGCTATGATATAGTAGGTTCAGCGCAAAATTGGCCACTGAGATTCATCAAATGTAGATAATCTAAAACATCAATATTTTACTGTATAGTATGCTGTATACTACTGGGTAACTACTACTAAGTGTCGTGGTTGGATGAATCCCCTGTGACCCTGTGGTCCCTGTCAAAGGTGAAACACACGTGATCTTCCCACCGCAAACTTGAAGGCAACCATGGGTCGCTTCTGCCACTTTCAGGTTTATTCAAACCTCTGCAGTTGACAGTTCCATCGAAATTCCATGTATCCGAATTCTTCCAAGCCTTGTGGTTTCGGATTTCATTTCTCAAACGTCTCAATCGTCTTTTCGTTCTTTTGTTCCTCATAAGATTTAAACTTCTGCCTCGGCTCACAGCCACTTCCGTCAGCCAAAATATTGAACCTTAAAAAATACAATTATTGATCTTCATCCATTCTTCCATCTCTCTCATCTCAATCCTTCTTTGAATCCCCCCTGATCAGCTAGATCGGCACTTAACATTGAACCAACCCTGTTCCTGGCTACCCACTTTTACCAATGCCTACCGGTCGATCCTTTCCTTGTGCTGTGTCGCAAAAAACCCGCAGACGATGACGCCGACGTGGGGCCAGCGGGTAGGCTTGAACTCCCGCCCATAGCCTCGTTGGTTCATTTGGTTCATGGCCCGCGTGGTTGTTGATCTATCCCCTAATGCTTCGGGCGCTTAGCCTATCATTCCCGCGCTTCGTCATCGCTTTTCCACCTCATAGGGTCGTTGCCTGTGCGCTTGCCCCATAGATCGTCGTGTTCAATCAGTTATGGGGAAAATGCGAAAGGGGAGAAATCGATTGTCGAACACTTGCCCCCCCATTTCCTTGTCGATCCCTGTCCCTTTTCTGCACGTTTCAGCACTCGCTGTCTTTGTCCATCCCTTCACTCGCTTCTCTCTTTTTTTTCTTTCTTCTTCCTCTGACCCTTTTCCACCAGAGAACAAGAGAGTGCCTTTCCATTCTATGGCCTCTCATACATTCATTTTATAAGCCATTCCTTTAGGTTCCCTCTCGCTTCTCCCTTGGCGACCATGTTGAATTCTCCGCGAAGATGGTTCTTCATCGGATCTCCCCTCATTATTTTCCTCTTTCTCTACTACGTTCTTTACACATATAACCAACCCCCGGTCGCCGTGGCCTACGAACCCTGGAATCAGTCTACCGACCACTTGATTTTAGACGGAACCCAACCACCGCCGCAGCCCTCCGGAACCAAAATTTCGATCGAAGAAGAACAATGTGGACACCTCCGCCGGGATATGGACGATGTGCTGGTGATCTTGAAGACGGGTGCAACCGAAGCCCAGGAGAAAGTCCCAGTGCAGCTACGTACTGGTCTCCAGTGTGTCCCGCACTTTGCGGTCTTTTCAGATTATGAAGAGGTCATCAATGGCGTACGTACCTACGATATCTTGCAAAATGTGTCCCAAGCCGTCATGGACAAGGAACCAGAGTTCGAATTCTATAAACGCCTGCAGGAGGTTGGCCTTGAAGGTCTGACCGAGGAAGACTGGGGTGACGATACCAACGGCCCATTCGGCAAAGTGAACAACCCAGGCTGGAAGTTAGACAAGTGGAAGTTCCTTCCCATGGCGGAGGAAGCGATGCAAGTTATGCCCGATGCCAAATGGTACATCTTCATCGAGGCCGATACCTACATCGTTTGGCAGAACTTGGTCAACTGGCTAGCACATTTGGACCACACGCGGAGTTACTACCTTGGCAGTCCGATGCAGATTGGCGAAACTCTCTTTGGATATGGAGGCTCTGGTGTGATTCTGTCGAACAAGGCCATGACCCGTTTACACACCTACCAAACCCAAGCTCTGGATGAACTCGAGCAACTGACGGCTACTGAATGGGCTGGTGACTGTATCTTAGCTAAGGCTCTGGAGGGGTCGCATATTTATCTGACTTGGGCCTGGCCCATGATGATGACTTCTCGACCGTCAGAGGTCGACCACTTCTCTGAAGCCTATGGCCGACAGCCTTGGTGCTACCCGGTGATCTCATATCATCACATGAATCCCGATGATATTGAAGAAATGTGGCAGTTTGACCGTGGGTGGTTCCAAAGTGGCAAGAATGCTTTGTTGTTGCACGCCGATGTGTATCGCGAATACGTTCACAATGGATCTCTCTCCCAGCTCGATGATTGGGATAATCTCTCCGGGGCCGACATTATATTTGATGAACCCACCCTTCCCTCCGTTGACTCATGCGCGGATGCTTGCATGCAGAACAGCGAATGCCTTCAATATTCTTTCCACCATGAGGAAAACTCTTGCAAACATGCTGCCACAACTCTGCAAGGTGTCCGGAGCAATGGCACATCCTCCGGTTGGATTCCCCGGCGTGTTCAAAAGTTGTTGAATACCTTCCAATCATCCTGTCCTCAGGTCGAGTACATCTTAAACTAGGCCATTCCCACGACTGGTTTTTCCTTCACCATTTATTGTATATACATACCCTTCGCTGCACATATTCCTTTATTCCTTTTATCTTCTCTTTTCATTTACCCTTCACTTTCAGCATGAGATCATTTTGCGAGGCGTTATACCGGGGCGTTTCCTCTGGAACACCAAAAATCTGCTGGACAGATAATACGCCCTTCCCACTGCATTCGGTGCTATCAATTGATTATTATCTACAAGCGATATTCTTTGTGCTGACCCCACCTTTGGGGGCTAATGTGCAAGCAAGACCCCAAAGAAAGCCTAGAAACAAATACAAACCACAGTCTTCGAGTCCTAGGTGCTGTTTCAATGAACAATTACATGATTCAGAACATTTATCCATTTTGCATATATCCATGGTCTTATATTAAGTACAAGTGCTTCATCGCTACCACCGTCATTTACAAGTCATCACCCATATAATTCATGGCTGTTCCACTTCATTCATGGAGTACAGTCACTACTGCCTCAGTCTCAACCTCAGCCTCGGTCGCAGTCTCTGTGTCAGCTTCTGTATCTTCCAGGTGTCCTTGATTACGTTCGCGCAAAAACACCGGAGTTATCGTCAGGATCGCGGCGACCACCACAATAATAGCCTGGATACCAAAGACCAGACCCACCCCATTTCGGGCAATCCAAGCCGGTTGGAAATAACCTACGGCGAATCCACCACAGGTACGCCACATATTCAAAATGGCGGAGACGCAGGTTGCCTGGCCGGGATATTTCTCTAGAGCGTAGGCAGTAATTGCCCTGAGATAGATTAGCATGCCAACCTTAGTATTCTCTCTCTCGTGAATGTATATACCTTCGAGGAAGGGGGGAAGGGGCTTTGAAAGACTCACACAATGCTCGCTACTAGGCCTGTATTCACCATGATCCATCCAAATGCAATGCCGATCCAGTGTTTGGCAAAGTTCATGGTCAACCCATAGGTGAGCAAGCCGGATGCCATACAACCAACTGGAAACCACACTCCATGTAGGCGGTACTCGGTGCGCCAGTTGTGAGAATGACGACGGTAGATCCATTCGTTAAAGACATGACCAACCAGGTATCCTGTATCGAGTCAATCAAGGATTCATCAAAGGGGAATTGACACTATACGAACCACAGAGAGTCCCGATGACTCCGGCAAATCGCATGGAGGAGGCCTCGATCGTATCGAAGAGGTAGGGAGGACTATGTAAAAAAGTGTCGATGGTAGTTGTGATACCTACCAAGAGATGAATATTAGAATCTAACCGAAGCATCACAGACGGTCGAGAGATCGCTCACCAATGGGCCAAGTAAATGTCACCAGAACAGCAATTCCTATGATGTGTCACACACAAATTAGCCTTGACATCGTACACAGAATTAATCAATTAGAAGCAAACGTGAAAGAAAAAAAAACTCACCAGTCATGAAAAGCGGGAACTTGAACACATAAATCACCATCACCCGGCACCGATCAGCAATCATAGCCAACTTCGGCAGCCCAGTATTTCCAAATCCAAAGTACGAGCCGAACCGAGAGCCAATCGGTTTGCGCGGGGTATAATATGTCTCGCGCCCGAACAGAAGAACCATGGCGGTCGACAGACCGTACAAGGCCGTCAAGACCCCAAACGAGACCTTCCAATCCGTGCCAGCACCAATGTAGCCCGCGATGGCGGGACACAAGAACGGGCCAACTAGAAACGTGGTGCCCCTGCAAGCATGGACATATTAGTATGCATCTTTTTTGTCTTTGTTACACACTCATCAGTATCCGCACGCATAGTCCTCGTGCATATAGTGTATACGCACCAGATATTGATCATACGAGGCCACTCTGCACGCCAAGTCAGTGAATATTCGTATCACATCCGAAATCTCAAAGTCATCACCTACCATGTGGCCTATAGATATCGTGAATGATGGGTAAGCCAATCACCTGCGGTACGGTCCCGAACAGGCCCTGCAGGGAGCGGAACGTGGTGAACGTGGCATAGTCATTGGAAAGAGTGGCGCCCAGGACCATCAGCATGGTGATGACTTGTGGCCAGATCCAGATTGGGTATCTGGGTTTTGAAATTTGGTCAGACCGGTTTCAAATGATTGGGATTACACAAAGATCTGGAAGATCTCAGATCCAAGGGGAAGTTTTGATAGATGTGACCTACCGTCCGTAGGCCTCGATCAAGGGAACGGCGAAGAGACCGCCGAATCCTTGGAGAAGGATTCCATAGTTCATACTGGTGGCCGAGTGATCGACGGTGATATCCCAGTCGATCGCTTGGGGAGTTACTAACGTTGAGCCCCAGACCATTGCACTATGATGTGATGTTTAGTAACGATTACTTCACGTGTAGGTATTGTTTTTTTTTTGTACATGCTATGGATAAAGGGGGGAAAGGTGGTGTATTTACCCATCAGCCAGTAATGAGCTCGACATGAGTGCGATGAAGAGCAGGGTCTTGCGGCCAGAAGACCATTCTCGTGGATCCCTCGACTCCATGGGAGGCTGATTCTGCTTGTCTAGGGAGCGGGAATGAAAACAAGATGGACTGATGGTTCCATCTGACTCGGTGAGCTCGTCCACCGGAGCTAATCTGGACATGATGGATTTGGATTTGAATTTGAATTTGTCAACGATGCAAGAAAAAGAAGAAAAGAAAAGAACTAGTTCGCCGTTGTACAAAGTACAGGGAACTATTGCAAGTAAGGGGAAGAAGTGGGAAATCCCACGGGGTTTTAAAGGGATTCAACACATGGTTAACACGTAAAGAAGAAATAAAAACAAATCTCCGGTCGCGTGGTTCTGTCGCGCAGATTCTGGAACAAAAGTGTCAGATTGGATGTATCTCGATCTGTTACCTGTTCTATTCCTCTATTTCTCTTAGTAGAAATGTTATAGTTACTACTTGGTATGGGGATATGAGCAATCACATTTTCTGTTCCGATTCCCCTGCAGGATCTATACATCACAAAACTTTATAGAAAAAAGAAAAAAGGAGTTTAAGGGTAAAATGCAACTAGTTTCGATTTTCCACTTTTTGGCCCCCTTGCCTAGTCTGATTGGTCTAGTGCCACGAATCGGCTTCACAGGATTCGCAAGGAGAACAAAGAGAAAGAATTCAATAACAGATGAAAACATTGAGTAGAAAGATCAAAAGGAACAGAATACACCCCCTGAAAGTAGGGAAAAAAATATTCAAAAACCTCCAAAACTCATGAATCCCATCATGTCGTTCTTGGATCGTTTGGGGAGTCTGTTTGGCCTACCAAAGCCAGCGACTGTGCCTCCTGGCGCTGTATTGGCAGCCACCATTACCACGGTCAGTGAGAAAACCACTTGAATTACGAGTTGCAAATTAACACGAGTTATAGCCCGCATCATTAGGCTTCGTTCCAGTTGCAATTCATTTCGACCTTTTTGGTATCTTAGTTCGTCATGGAGGACCAGCCAGTGCAGAGGAAGTGGCCAACGCTTCTAACATGGCCCGATTGGAGAATGAGCCACGCATTTGTACGTGGAAAAAGAAGAAGTAAATATGATTGGGGGTTTTAAATGCTGATGATTGATTTGCACATGTGGTAGGCACTCAACTCGCATGTATGTATATGTACACACCTGTGACTTTGACTTATACTGATCCCTAATCTCCAAAGCCGACACTCTCTATATCATGTCTGGTCTGGGACTGGTGGAGCGCGTGGACGAGAACCGGTTCAATGCCAACGCTGTTACCCACCACATGGTTGAAATGCCCTCCGCACAGCATGGCGCATTACATTTGTAGGCAAACTAACAAAGCTGGTCTGAAATCATCTGAATCTGACATCTATCTCCAGCACAACCGAAGCAATGATGGCCGGTACATTCCTAATGAAAAAACTGCAAGACACCAACTTTGCCTACCCATTCCACGAAGCAGAGGGACCCTTACAATACGCCTACGAACTAATGGGCCAAGAAAGCCTCTCCAAATCCCACACCTACACCATCATGGAATCCCAAGGCCGAATGAACAGCTTCAACCAATTCATGGTCGGCAAGTTTCTCAAATACGGCACCTTCCCCGACCGTCTCCAAACCCTAGGCTACGACCTGCGCGCCGCCCTCAGCGCCCCGGGCTCCGTCGCAATTGTCGACATCGGCGGCGGTCGCGGCGAGCTTCTCCTTGAAGTCCAATCCGCCTTCCCCCACCTCACACCCTCCAACCTGGTCGTGCAGGAATTCAACGCCGACATCGACGACGTCCCCGGCGTGACGCTGATGGCCTGGAATTACAAGCTTAGTCCCGCGCAGCCCGTCACGGGCGCCCGGATCTATGCGCTGCAGCATATTTTGCATAATTTGCCGGATTTGGACGCCGTGGCGCTTCTGCAGAAGTTGTCCGCTGCTATGGCGCCCACGTCGCGGCTGTTGATTGTCGAGTATGCGAAGAATATGACCTATACGCATTTGCATGCGAGTATGATTGCGCTTTTTGGTGGTAGGGAGCGCAGTCCGCTTGAGTGGCGGCAGTTGGCGATGGTTTCTGGCTTGGAAGTTACATTTGAGGCATATGTAGCCGGTGGTGAATCGTTGGTGGAGATGCGGAAGATACGGAAAGTGGAGTTGGTGGAGTAGTTGATTCAACTCAGATCTGTTGATGAACTTGTGGTCTGTGATTTCGTTTTTTTTATTAGATAGTAGTAGTAGATCTATCACATTTTCTGATTTGTTTCTTTTCTTTCCTCTTTTTCTCTTTTCCCCCTCTTCTTCTCTCCTTCCTACCAATAACATCCACACAACCTCTCTCTCTTTCCCTCTCTCTCTCTCTTAAGTGGCTCATTTCTAAATCTTATTCTCATCCATCTCTTTACCACATCTCTCGTATCATCTCTGCTTAGATCCACCTGCATCATTGTACAACTGTACCATTTTGGCTTTTCTTCCCTGAACTATTGAATCGTGCATATCTTCCCCTTCATCACATCCCCCCCTTGCAGAAATGCATCTTGAATCTCGCTTATGCCATCCACATGGAGAGAAGGCCATTTCTTCAGCTTTTCTTACTGGAATCATACGCACTTGCCACTTAATTACTGCTGTGTTTGATACTAGACCATCACACGATCTCCAACAATTTCAAAAAAAAGTATAGATTTGGGTTTCCAATAAGCCCTCGGATTTCATACTTGCCTTTCATCCCTTGTTCCCTTGGTTCCCACTCCTTCGTCTGACCTGTAACACTTGAAGTTTATGTTGCCAAACTCTCTTCTCATGGCAAGCTGATCCGACGTATGGATGTTGTCATTCACATCCAAAGCTCTTATGCCAACCTATTTCTATTGACGTTCATCCCCCCGTGTTCTAGACATTCCTTTGCCCCGCGCACTTGCATTCCACAATGAGTATTCCACGACCCCAAGAAGGGGACGTTAATATCGGTAGGTTACGTCTTGGTCGCGTATGTGTTCGACTTTGCATGTACTAACTAGAGGGTTAGGAACTGCCACATTTGATGCATGCTGGGTAAGAGATATAGAAAGGAGAAAGAAAAGAAAAAAGGACCTTGAAAGAAGTATGAAAGCTAATGGCGATGCCCCAGGTTCTTACCGCCATCGTGGGCCTCGCACTCATTTTTCGTTATACTGTCAAGGCATGGATTCGATGGGCCCTACCTCAAGTTACAGCACCCGAGCGCATCTGGGGTATTGAAGATTTATTCTTCCTTGTCGCATATGGTTTTGATCTAACTCATATGTCCATGATTCAAATGAGGTAAGTTCGAGTTAAACTGCTATGGATCTGTCTTGCATATGATCCATGGATATAGTCCAGCCCGATAGCATATGATCGCTAACATTACTGACAGCGCCCATTGGGGCCTAGGCCGTCACTTCTTCTACTTGTCCGATAATGAAAAACTACACGCCATGAAATGGGATTTCACCTCCCAGCCCATTGCTGTCGCGTCGGCCATGGTGTCTCGAACAGGCATGATGTGGTTCCTGCTGACCTGCTTCGCGGCGAGTGATCGCAGGATCAGAATGTCAATCATCGTCTGCGCGGTCATCCAAGTAGTCGCCAATATGATTACCATTGCGCAAATCATCGTTCAATGTGGACCCAATCCATACCGCACGGTTCGTCTCCTATACTACATCCCAGTACTTGGAGATCCTGGACTATCACGCTAATTCTTACCGTGGTTCTTTTTTTCTTGGACACAGGCCGATCGCATCCAATATTTCCATTATATGTGGACACCACTTCCAGAAGATGGTTCAGTGCAGTGTCAATCGCCCATGGTGCAAACTACCGTTGGGTTTGTCCAGGGAGGCTTCAACACCCTCATTGATTTCTTCTTGGCTGCTTTGGCTGCCATGGAACTCTGGCAGTTCTTTCTTCGAACTTTACACCGCGATCCCAATATCTCTTTCTGGTCCCAATTCCGCAAGATCAACAGCACCGTTCGTTCGCGTCGCATTTGGCAGACCATCACCTTGAGTGGCCCACTACTACTTTCAGGCGTGGCATCGATTATAAAAACCTATGTATGTGAAAAACCTCCAACAGTTCCAGCGAACCGAAACTAATCTCTTTCTTCTGCAGAAACTCAAGTCACTAGGCGATCGATTAGATTTCACCTACAATATCGTCTCCTTCGTACTCTGGGTAAAGTGAGTTCCAAGTTCATACCCACCCATACCCATCCATCTACTAAAAATACCCCCCTCAGAATCGAGAACTACAGCATCCTCCTTGCATCCTGTGCCCCCGTCGCCCGTCTCTTCCTCCGGGCCGTTGTCGATTCCCGCCGCGGTGGCCGACCAGGATACTGGTCACGCTCCAAGTCCGCAAATAACCAAAACAACAGTGCCGATACGGAGATGAAACGCAAGCCCAAAGATCAATGGGACTCGACGACCGTGACGGGGTGGCAAGATGAGGAGAATTGCCCGACAGATTGGCCGACTCATGAGCGGTCGGAGAGTCGGATTTCCCGGGCTCAGCAGCCGGATCACATTGATGATGGCTGTGTTACGGTGAAGACGGATATCGTGGTTCAGGTGGGGAAAAGTCGGCCAAGATCGACTTCCTCGGGTGGCACCCGATTACTTCCTCCTACTAGTGAGGATGGGGACTCACATGATTCTGGATTTATCTAATTCAATTGTTAATTGATGTAATGTATATATACTTAATGTTGGGTTGGGCTTACGAGGTTGGGAGGGTATATTTGGAGTGTCATATAGTAATACCAATGCACCATTGTTTGAAGATATTCATGGATGTATACAGTATATCAGTGCACAACAATTTGAACATTGAAAATGTGGATCTGCCAAGATCTCGGTTCTCTTGATGAGATCTTGATGAGATCTTGATCAAAACAAAAATAGAACATGAAACCACGTGATGATAACCCGGATAAGAAGCGCCTCCGCCGCATATTCCGATCTCTCCACATGTCACTTGTGCTAGTATCATGGCGATCAAAGGTTCTGGATTCCCCTATCGCCGGGGCTCTAACTCCTCAGAGAAAGACTTCTTCGATATTCCCGATGAATCAGCACTCGCAATTGTCAAGCGCCAATTACGCCGACCGCGCACATGGATCACCGTGGTGATTCTGTTCTTCCTACTCCAATGGCGGCTTCCTGAGCACCGTTCATCATCCGAACTCCCTCATCTCGATTTTAACAAGGTCGACTGGTCCCGCTATGCATACTCGTCATATGCAACCTCGGAATCATACCTCTGCAATTGTGTCATGGTCTTTGAGGCGCTCGATCGACTTGGATCTCGTGCGGAACGCGTCATGTTTTACCCCCAAGAGTGGGACTTGATTGTTGAAAATGAATCAGACCGCACCAGCCAGCTACTGTTGCTAGCCAGAGATAAATACAAGGTCCAGCTGAGGCCGATCCTGGTGGAGGGGATCAAGGTAGAACCCAAGGAGGAGAGCCATGGTGTGTTGAAGACTGATTTTCATCTATGAGTATTTTGACATTTCAGCTGACGACAATCTACCATAGGATCTTCGAAAGCGGAATGGGATTCTAGCGTTGTCAAATTGAACTCCTTTGGTCTGCTCCAGTACGATCGGGTGATCCATCTTGATTCCGACATGACGCTCTTGCAGGACTTGGACGAGCTGTTTTTCCTCCCCAAGACCCCGATAGCCATGCCCCGTGCATACTGGCTGCTCCCCGAAATCAACACACTATCCTCACTTATCGCCGTCATTGAACCGTCGTTCCGCGAATATACCGACCTTCAAGAAATCATCCAGCCTGCCCTCTTCGGACAACTCGACATCAACACGACCGAGCATCGATATGACATGGAGGTATTGAATGAGCGGTATGGTGAAAGTGCCATGGTTCTCCCTCACCGACCGTATGGACTTCTCTCGGGAGAGTTCCGTAAGAAAAACCACAGAAGTTACTTAGGCAGCCATGAGGAGTGGAACCCCGACAAAGCGCTTGCAGAGGCCAAATTCGTACATTTCTCTGATTGGCCCCTGCCCAAACCCTGGGTGATGTGGCCGCTGAAGCAGCTGGTTGAGATGCAGCCCTCATGCAACAATTTACCAGGAACACCGGAGGAGAGCGGTTGCAGGGATCGTGAAGTGTGGAAGGGTCTCTATGACGATTTCCGGCGTCGACGAAAGGTGAGAAACATCGCTTTTACCCAAATCCCCTTGAAAGACAAGCCTTGTTTACTGATTGATCTCTTGCAGGATATTTGCAAGCTACTCAGCTTCCCGGCTCCCATTTGATTTTATGGCTCTCCATGAGCGAGTGAGGCCATATTGTACAGTACCATCGAACGATATTCATAGAGCGGCGGGCGGCGTTTCTTCCAAGCGTTTCGATCTCTTTCCCTTTCCAGGAAATTTTTAAACACCTGCATATAGTAGTACATATGATACATAAGATGGAGAAACAAGCCCAAACCAAGATAACCAAACAGGTCATTTGCGCCCGCAATTCCAAGGGAACGGTAAATGCGAAGATGACGGCCCCCCGGTGACGGTGAAAGTGACGGCATAAGCCCACACATGCATGCAGGATGCAAAAGCCAGAAGGACCCAGATCCAGATCCAAGTCTAGGCATACCCCATACCCCTCCTCCACCAACCCCAAACTCTCCTCTTAGCCATGGCATCCCCAAACTCCTTCACGCTCTCCACCTCCGACAACCCCGCACTTGTCGAAAGGGGGAGGGGCAACTGAAACTGAAACTCACCACCGTCTTCCGGCGCTAGGACACCGGGCCTCGTGACAAGCTGAAAATCTTTATACCGCAGCTTACGCACGACCGAAACCCACGATTCAACATTTGTCTGCTCCTGGCCCTCGACGTACATGATTCCTGGACAGCCGCCGGAGCGGAGGAGGACGAAACATTGGTGGGCGTCGGCGGCGCGCTTTAGGGCTGCGACTTTCTTGCGGGAGGTTATGTGGTGTGTGCGGATTAGGGCGTGGTAGCGCATTACTGGTAGGTCGGCATTTCGGATATTGGGTGGGAGTGTAAGTGTAAGTAAAAATGTAAGGTAAGCGCGGGCATAGGAGGTGCAGGTGGTTGAGTTTGTGATCCACAGGGTCAGGTTCTGGGGACTGGAACCTGGAGTTTGGTCTAGAGTGCAGAGTACAGAAGTACAGAAGTACAGAAGTACACGACCGTTTGGACTTCTGGAGCTGAATCGGCGGTGTGATGGTCACGTGCGGTTCGTGTCAGTGAGCATTCACTATGGGATTGTGTAGAATGCAGGCAAAGCTGAAAATAAATTCCTCGTCATTCTTTCCTCGTATTTCCCTACGTCCACTTCCACTGCTCACTGTCATCTTCCATCCCCCAAACATTGTCAAATAATCTTCCAATTGCTTGAATTGGCCCCCCGATGACCCCAATTTAGTATCTCATCTCATCCAATTAGCCCGCCACAAATAAGCAGAGCTGTTGTGGGCCTGAATATGAGATCGACGCGCTGCAGATGTCACGTCCAATTCTCGGAGAATTAACGATTTCTCCGACTACAATACATACCACTTTTGAATATGAATTATCTTGATCTTTCAGGTTGATTAACTGCAAAATGGCATCACGTCACGAGGGCGATCGGCACCTGCATGGACCAGATCACAGACAGCGCTTTTGAAATAACCCCCACCCACCTATGTCATGGATATGGATGCGATTCATCCAAAAAAAAAGTAAGCAAATGCCACCAAAATCCTTCACGAGCTAGCCGCCCTGTCAAGCTGGAGTCCTGGACCACCAGTTATTCGGTTCGACCCACCAGTCCCGACTCTCACTAATGGCTGGTTCCTGAGTGGAGAAATTCTCCTCTTGGCTTCCCGATTTTGCTAAACTTTCGCCGCGGTGCCCGCGGGGAGCGCCAGCACCGTCTCTTTACTCTAATGAGTTACTGAACTCGGAGAAAAACCCACCTCAGCCGGTTTCCTGACGGCTGGGTCCCTCGTGGTCTGTTCCGACCGTCGTGCTGATTGGTCCCCGGTCGATCCGATGGAGATCAGTTCCTTACACTGACCATCTTCGTGGCCCCACAGGCTCTTTTTTTCTCCTTCGAGGTTCATCTCGCGTGGCGGGATTGGCTGTTGAGAACAGAGTCATAGGACAGCTTGGCTTCCTTTCTGGGAACGATAGATCTGGCCGGCATAATGTATAAAATGAAAATCTGGACTACTATTGCTTTGTCTTTTTTTTCTTTTTTTTTCAAAAAAAAAAATCGCTCCTTCTCATTCATAGTCTTTCGAAAGATGCAGCGTCGTGTGTCTGCCCTTATTGCCTAACATCCACTGAAATAGGCTGCAATCATGCCTGCCCCTCTCCACTCGCGTCCTCAGCCTTCATATGCCTACGGGCAGGAAGGCCCGTCCTCGGGGACTCATGGCCCTCGAGTCCATGTGTCCCATGAGGATGAGGATGCTATTGCCCATATTCATCGAACTCTGACTGAAAAAAGCCATCCTCAATATTCAGAGCCACATTCATCATTTGACAAATTCCTAGAAGAACAGGTTCAGAATGGTAAGAAACGAGTCAATATTGGTGTTTCTTTCCAAACTGTTTCGACCTGGGGCGAAGGAAATGGCCATGATGCTGTGAAAACGCTGGGAACTGCCTTATGGCGTACTCTTACAATGCAGGATATCTATGAATGGACCATCCAGCCATGGCGAACGACGAAGAAGCCAGAAGAGGGCCGCCCTCTGATCAAAGACTTCTCGGGAGTTGTAGAAAGTGGTGAAATGATGCTGTAAGCAAAAATATCTACAAGCTTGAATTAAATTTACAATTTAGAGAAATTAATAAACTTGATAGGGTTCTGGGACGCCCAGGAGCTGGCTGTTCAACCTTTCTTCGAACAATTGCTGGACACCACTCTTCTTTCTTAGGTGTGACGGGCTCCATAGACTATTCTGGGCTGAGCCCCGACGAGATCCGCAAGCACTACCGCAGTATGGTAGCATATGTGCCAGAAGATGATGTACATTTCCCGACCTTGAATGTGCGGCAGACTCTGGAATTTGCATTGCAGAGTAAAACCCCCAAGCGGTTTCAGGAACGTATCCCACGCTATCTGGAGATTTATGGCCGAGTCTTCGGCATGACCCATACGATGAACACCCTCGTTGGCAACGAGTTCATCCGGGGTGTTTCGGGTGGTGAACGCAAGCGGATCTCCATCATCGAGTCGCTGGCAACCGATTCATCAGTGACATGTTGGGATAATTCAACCCGCGGACTGGATGCTTCCTCAGCCTTGGACTATGCTCGCAGTCTGCGCATCATGACGGATACCTGTGGGAAAGCAACTTTACTCACGCTTTACCAAGCCTCTGACGCTATTTACGAGTTGATGGACAAACTGCTTCTCATCGATGAGGGACGGATGCTTTTCCAGGGCCCTGCACACGAAGCCAAGCGTTATTTCGAAGATCTCGGATACGAGTGTGCCGATATGCAGACTACATCGGACTTCTTGACCAGCATTACAGTCCCGGAGAGACGCAGGTTCCGCCCCGGATGGGAGAACCGTGCCCCCAAAGGCCCTATTGAGCTGGAAGCTGCATTCCGACAGAGCGCCGCCTTCAAAAACGTCGAACGGTCTATTGAGCGATACGAAGAACAACGGACTGGTAAATCATCGTCTGCGACTAGCCAGTGCGAGTCAGAATGTGACAGTGTGGAGGAAATCAAACGGAACATGCAGAGTGACAAATCTCGCTTCGTTTCATCCAACTCACCGTATACCATCTCGCTGTTTCGCCAAATTGTGCTCTGCAGCCAGCGGCAAATGTGGCAGTTGAAGGGTCACATGGGACCATTGTACATCAAGTTGATCTCAGCGGTAGTATACGGACTCTTGGTGGGATCAATGTTCTATGACCAACCGCAGACCACGGAAGGAATGTACTCACGAGGAGGTGTTCTATTCTACTCATCCATTCTTCTCGCCTGGCTGCAGATGTCGGAATTGGAAGATGCGATGCAGGGACGTGACATCCTCAGTCGTCAGAAAAAGTTTGCATTTGTGCGACCCAGTGCAGTTTGCTTGGCTCGAGGACTACAAGATATGGTAGTGAGCGCGCTTCTCACCTTTTTATACCTGGTCGTTCTCTACTTTTTGTCTGGTCTGCGCTCGGAGGTAAGTGCTACTACTTACATAGATTCGTCCCAAGTTGATACATCGGCTAACTGGAGTAGGCTGGACCGTTCTTTATTGATTCCTTGTTCATTTATATGTGTACTATCTGCCTGACATCTCAGTTCCGTGTGTTTGCCGCCCTATCCAACAATTTCGAAGTTGCATTGCGCTACTGCGGCGTTTCTGTGCTGTTCTGTATTGTCTTTGGTGGCTACGTCCTATCCGTTGACAAGATGATTCAAGATGTCCCTTGGGTGGGATGGCTTGCCGTAAGTAGAAAGGTTTCACCATGATAAGCAGTGCTGACTGACACCTTATCTAGTACACGACTCCAGCTTTGTATACATACGAGGCGGTCATGGCTGCCGAGTTCCATAATATGAACTTCACCTGTGCCTCCGGATCGATTGTTCCATCAGGACCAAACTATACCGATATCGCCTATCAAACTTGCGCGTACGCAGGCAGCCGGATTGGCAGCACAGTGGTGAATGGTGACGACTACTTGGCTGCTCAGTTTGGGTTTTACTATAGCCATGTCTGGCGGAACTTTGGAATCCTCTGCCTTTTCACAATTGCATTCATGTTACTCACTTGCTGGCTGAGCGAAGTTATGGAGTGGGAGTTGGACAGTGCTGGCCCGATACGATATGCGTCGTCCAGATGGTTCCAAAGAAAAGACCAAAAGCCTGAGCAGAAGACAGATGAGGAAAATGCCCCGGTTCCTACAGACCCAAAGGCTGTACCGGTTGCATACCAAGAAGGAAATTCTGGGCAGACATTGGCTGCCACGGAATCAACATTCTCCTGGGCTGATCTAGAGCTCAATGTTCAAATTGGCAAGGAGTCTCGAAAGCTGCTGAATGGAGTCTGCGGTTACTGTAAGCCAGGGACTTTGACAGCACTTGTCGGAGCCTCGGGAGCGGGAAAATCAACATGTAAGACTGCAGCCCGTTCCATGCTATTCTCTACATATGAATCTTTCAAGCTAACAAATTTAGTGTTGACTGCACTTACTCAAAGACAGAATGCTGGCACTCTTTCTGGATCCTTGTATGTGGATGACCAGCCTGTTGATGGATCTTTCAACCGACAGATTGGTTATTGTCAGCAGATGGATATCCACGATGAGAGCAGCACTGTTCGAGAGGCCTTTGAATTCTCAGCTCTGTTACGTCAAAGCCGTGAGATTCAGAAGGAAGAAAAAATTGCCTACGTTGAAACGGTGCTTCAAACGCTGGATCTTGTGGACCTACAGAATGCTGTGATTGGATCATTGGACATCGAAAAGAAGAAGCGTGTCACAATTGGTGTTGAGCTTTGTGCCAGACCTAGACTACTCCTATTCTTAGACGAGCCAACAAGTGGATTGGACAGCCAGGGTGCAACTAGTATTGTGGCTCTGCTCCGAAGATTGGCAGATCAGGGACTTGCAGTACTTTGCACCATTCACCAAGCGAATCAGCAACAGTTTGAAGAGGTAAGCCTTGTCATTTATTGTTTCTCCAGTAAATTCGATCCATGTCCATAACTAATAACTCAGTTTGACCGAGTCCTCGCCCTGAGCCCGGGTGGAAGCACCTACTATTTTGGACCCGTAGGCAAATCGGGCCAGGCAATCTTCGATTACTTCACGAAACACGGAATGAATCCTCAAAACGTCACCAACGCCGCAGACTTCCTCATCGAAGTTGCAGTCAGTGGCATGCAGGCATCTGGCGTCAGCTGGGCATCCATTTGGCGCAGTTCACCAGAAGCCGAACATGTTCAAAAAGTGATCTCTGAGATTCGCCAAGGACACAACCGAGCAGCGTTGCCTTCGTCCTCTCCCCCTTCTATATTCTATCAGACCGTCCTTCTCACCCAGCGAACCTGTCGTCAATTCTGGAGGACAGCCGAATATCCATACTCGCGTCTCTACTCTTCCTTCCTACACGCTCTAATCAACGGTCTCACATATCTTCAGCTTGGAGACGGTGTCACCGACCTCCAGTCCAAGGCTTTCTCCTGCTTCCTCGTTTTGATGCTGGTGCCCGAGTTCATCAACGCAATCTCCATGCGTTTCATCATGAACCGTGATATCTGGCTTGCTCGAGAGGGACCTAGTGGGGTATACAGCTGGGTTGCGTTTAGCACAGCCCAGATGCTGTCCGAAATACCCTATGCTATCATCGGCTCGGTTATTTTCTATGTTTTGTATTATTTCATGGTCGGCTTACCATTGGGCTTCGCAGCCGGATACAGCTTCTTAATGTTTTTCTTATTCTTCCTCTTTGCCACGTCCTGGGGACAGTGGATTGCCGCGCTGAGGTAAGTTCAATTCCAAACACTCACAAATTCCAGCAAATACAGAAACTGACCTGACCAACACAGTGCCGACTCCATGGTTGCAGCAACCTTGATGCCATTCTTCATCATCATGTGCGAGCTTTTCAACGGCATCCTCCGTCCCCATGACCAGATGCCTGCTTTCTGGAAATACACCGCCTACTACACCACACCTTTCACCTACTGGGTTGGAGGAGTCCTCACCGCCATTCTTGGCGGCACGTCCGTTGTGTGCCAGGAAAGCGAACTGACACTGTTCGTGAGCCCACCGAACATGACCTGTGGCGAGTATGCGGGATCCTGGCTCGCTGAGAAGGGTGTTGGATACCTGTTTGATCCGAGCAGCACCGGTACCTGTGGGTACTGCGAATATAGTCGTGGCGATGATTACCTCGCCGGCCTTGGTCTGGATGACTCGAAGATGTGGCCTTATTTTGGTATTTTCCTGGGGTTCACGATTGCGAATTATCTGATGGTTTACCTTCTTGTATATGTGCGTTCGGTCATGAAGCCGTTTTGGAAATGATGTCAGAGTGATGTTCAAAGAGTGTTGTGAACATACCTACTAGGTAATACTAGAAACCTATTGATATTGTATATCAATCATTGAGGTACATGATACGTATCCTCCTGCCATGATAGAATTATCTAGGGATACGGAGGTACTTTTGTTACAACTATCGTACGTAATCTACGAAGTAAGCACTTGAGAGTTCTCCACTTCCAAAGAGTGCGGGGTAGACATCAGATTCTACCGCAAAAAGAATATATGGTATGCGAATAAGGGTATACTGGTATAAAAATCAGACAGCAAGGCAGCAACACAGGCAAAAACAGAGGGACAACGGCGCAATAACGGCGGGATAACAGAGCAAGAAACAGAACAACAGCCGAGGGGCAACAGCACGACAATGGCGGGATAATGGTGGGATAACGGAGCCAGAAACAGAACAACAGCAGAGGGCCAACAGCACGACAATGGCGGGACAACAGTGGGACAACAGAGCCAGAAACAGAACAACAGCAGAGGGCCAACGGCGCGACAACGGCGCAACAACAGCGGGACAACAGAGACAGAAACCGAACAACAGCAGAGGGACAGCGGAGGGAGAACAAAGGGGCAACAGAGCGACAACCGAGCCAGCAACGGAGGGACAAAGGAAGCAACAAGCGGAGGAACAGGATACTACCCCCGAGCGAAAATTGGCGAATACCGTGTAATCGCATCCTGTGATGTTGCCATTGGGCCTAGCGTCCAGTTCCCATGACAAGAATGGTAGATTGTTCTATCATGCTTTGCTTGTTTCCTGGAACCCTGGTTACTAGAACCCTTGCCCTTCCTCTTCCGGGTATTCCCCGGGTTGTAATCCGGATCTTGAGTGTCCGGGTCCGCCTCGGGTTCACAGTCTGACTCCAAAGAGTCCGATGGTTTGATTTCACAATCAAATATTTCCGAGGACAGCGGAGGGTTTGAGGGTGGTGGATCTTCATACTGCGCCGGGTTTTCCTGCGGTGCTAGATTAAATTTGTGCAGAGCAATTGGCTCTGCTCCTTCGATTGGTGAGAAATAAAGATTTCTCAATGTTTCTAGCTGTGCCACTTTATGGCCGAGAGACATAAATCTTCCACTCCCAAGGGCCATGATGCAACGCCGCAGCGTGGAGGAACAGGAAACTATCCACGTGTAAAAATTGGCTAATACCGCAGAATGGCATCCTGCGATGTTGCCATAGGGCCTAGGGCCCAGTTCCCATGACAAGAATAGTAGCTCGTTGTGTCACGCTTTGGATATTTCCTAGCACCCTGGGTGCTAGTACTCTTTCCCTTTCTCTTCCGGGTGTTCTCCGGGTTGAAATCCGGATCTTTAGCATCGGGCGCTTGGGTGTCCGGGTCAGGCTTGGGTTCAGAGTCTGACTCCGAAGAGTCCGATGATTTGATTTCACAATCAAATATTTCAGAGGACAGCGGAGGGTTTAGTGGCACCGGATCTTCATATTGCGGAGGATTGGCTTGTGGTGCTACATTGAATGTGTGCAGAGGAATTGGCTCTGCTCCTTCGATTGGTGAGAAATAAAGATTTCTCAGTGTTTCTAGCTGTGCCACTTTGGGGCCAAGCGACAGAATTCTCCCACTCCCGAGAGCCATGATGCAACGCCGCAGAGCGGCAGCTGGTGCTCCTTGCCAATATTTTGGTAAGGTGAGCTCGGGTGGGGGCGCCGTGTTGTGTAGGAAATGTTTAAGAAACACTGGAGTAGGATCTGTGGCCATCCGAAGGATGCGTGATCAAGCTCATTCAAAACCTCACTTCTTTCCGGCTTGAACTTTATACCCTTCGGAACCCTTTCCTGTTTTCTGAAGGTGTGTGGTGTACTGTACACCAGTCGGCATTTGTCTTCCAGGAGGCCATCCTCCCTCCTCCCTCCGCAGTCGATCTGCTTGCTCAAATTGGATAAAGTAATCCAAATCTGTAGGTACGAAAATAAAAGCTGGGTCATTGTCCCGATCAAAGTGCATATGACAGGTTGGGCATAGCAGGATTGCATTTGAAGCGGAACGTGGAGAATAGTTGACGAGTCCTAAATGTGCCCAGAGGTTGTCCTGCTATCCTAAACAGTAAATAGTTAGCCATATACTACTCTAGTAGTGCCAGCTGTACTCACTTTTGTGTCTCTTTTGCCAGATATATGGCAGTACTTGAGACTTGGAGTACTGGCCGGCCGGGAGGGCGTCTGCTCTGGACTCTCTGCGTTTAGTCTTGTAGTTCAAAGTCAATAAAATATTGTAGGTTAATAGGAATCAAAATAAACGCGGGCTTTGTAGATGAAGATGTGGTCAAGAAAAAAGGCCACGGAGTGTGACAAAGTAAGCAAAGAATGAAATTATGCTAAAGTCCAGAAAGTCGAGAAAAACAAAGACAGAGAGTGAAGGAAGGAAGAAAGAAAGACAAGGAAAAAGGACCAACCTTAAATATTCAAGGTTGCCTTCTACTATATACCTCAAGGTAAGGATAAAAGAACAAGCAACAGAAACAAAGAAGTGAACAACAGATAAGTTAGACTTAGGACTGAGAGATAACTACCGATGAATATGGATGCCCTATACCTATCACTGACATATTGCGGCGGCCGATACCCGCCACCTGCCATTCAGGCGGCTAAAGGCTGGGTGTGGGGAAAAGGTGAGCAGCTTGAGATCCATCTAGCCTACGTTGGAGAAGACATGCATATACTAACTCATGTGTATCTTAAGACCGCATTGCCACCATCTCCCTCTTGCCGTCTGACCTCAAGACCTTCCGTGGGCTAGAACAGGCCGTTGCCGACGCTGTTGAGAATCTCCGCTCGGGGAAGCCATCCACCACGATGGACCTGTTTGGCAGCGGCTGCTTCTTCGTCCAGGAATAGACCAACAACTGCGGGCCGCGGGTCTTCAGAAACGAACATCCTCCATTCATGCAGGTATTTACGCCTATTTTGACTCCCATTAGTACTACTGTTGAGTTGGATGTTCAGAGTCGACCCTGTATTTACCTGTGGTAATCAATGAAACACCACACGACCGCGATGAGAAGAACAATGGGAGATACGGCTGCCAGAATATCTTTCCACACGAATGCAGCTGGGTCGGATATCATGGTGGTGCTGCTCGTCATCTCCGTTCCATTGCCGTCATTACTCGTCTTCGTGGTGAGTTGCTGCTCGACCCGGGGCACACGCAGTTCGGCGCACCCGCCACAGCGGCATTGGCCGCAGCCATAACTGGCAGAAAGTAAATTACGAGTAATTCCAAACTCATTAGTTTTTGAACTCCAATTATTATTGTACAGCGCTGCGTTATATACGGAATCCTTAAACTCTATTGTATATAATGCTATATCATATTACTTCTAGTGCTTTCTCTAGGTAATTTATCACAACAACTGGCAAGAACGAGAGGCTGAGATCCTAGTCATATAATTCATTCGTAAGCCCCTTCTCAAGTCTATTCTCAAGTCTACTCTCAAGTCTATTCTCAAGTCTACTCTCAAGTCTACTCTCAAGTCTATTCTCAAGTCTATTCTAAAAGTGACCCGTATTTAGATCAAATCCCTTAAGATATTCCTATATACGACAAATACTACAATTGATACAGGCGGGAAACATGGCGGTGAAGTTAGAAATTGAAATTGGGATGTGACCTAGCACTTGAGGGGTGGCCTCTATCGGCCGCCGCAATGCAGGTTTTGGCCCCTTTCCCCTCCTCGACAGTTGATCTATCAGATTATGCCGCGCTTGCGCATATCTTCCTTGTTTGTTAGACTCCAACGTTACATTACTTTACGCTGATCTTGTGATTACGTCAATATGACGATGTTTGTTTACTTTGTTTATATTGTTGTTATTGAAGCTTAGATTGAGCTTCTATGCTTAAATAGAGCAGGAATCCTGCACTTGTCATACTCGGTACATATGTCCTTCGGGCATACCTATATAAAATTGGGATTTAATCTGAGTCTGTGTATCGCCACGTAGACATACCGAGTATCTACTCTCCTGTGCTCATTCCTATATAGCTTTTGACTCAAAACATGTCGCATCTACACGTAAGCGACCGCCACATAAACAAAACAAGACAATATACTTTCAGTAAGCATAACGAAAACATGGGTTCTCCTTATCCGTCAACCCAGCCCATTTAACCTCATCAACCAACGCCTCATTCACAGCTCCCACTTTCCGATTCCGCCTTCCATTCTCAACACGATAGTATACAAACAGCACAACAGAGACCACCACAGCAGCCGACTGTGTCGCAAGGACAGTAATCTTAGCAGGGCGATACTCTGGCGCATCACGCGCCTGGAAAGTCTGCGGACCAATAATGTTACCCACAGCAAAGGCTCCTGCGATAAGGGCACTGGCGAAAGCTCGCTTTGTATGTCCGGCGCAATTGGCCATTGTCCACTGGTACAGGATGGGGAGGGTGGCGACGATGGCGTTAACCAGGTAGATGCCTATTAGTACGCCGGCCTTGTTCGTTGCCGGGATAAAGGACATCATGGCTGCGCCGGTGATGGCGGGAATGGTGCACAGAACACTCCAGACCCAGCGGTGGGAGAACTTGCGGATTCCGTATCCGACTAACAACGTAAAGAATATACTTACCAGACCGGAGGGTGTGTTTAGGAGCGCAGATATGGGGCCCGAGAAGCCGAAGCCTGCGATCAGGGTTGCGGAGTAGGTGGTTACCACGCCGCTGGATACTGATATCTGATGACGAGTTAATTAGCTTGCACTTTTCTTCCCTTTTGCACCATTTCCACTGGATCTTACCAGAATTGTCGTGGTGGCTAAGAGCCAGAGCTGAATATCTTGCACCGCTTCCCAGATCTGCTCCGGATTAAACTTCGCGCTCCAGACGCCAGTCTGATTCTCGCTGACATGTCGCAGAAGGGCAGTCTTCTCGTCATCCGATAGCCACGAAGCCTTGATCGGCGTGTCGGGAATAAAGAAGAACGTCAATATACCGACGATGCTGGTGATTAAGCCCAGCACCAAGAACATGATGCGCCACCCATCCAGTGCTGCGTGGTGGACGTGTTGAAACGCAAATGAGATAATCCCACCTAGGATCTGAGCAACGCCCAGCCCCATGTACCAAAGTGTAAATCTCGGAGCTTGTTCACTACGCGTATAGTATTGACTACTGATCAGCATCAGCGATGGACCGACCGTTGCTTCAAAGATCCCCAGAAAGATACGTGTAGCCAGCAGACTTCGATATCCGCGCGCACCGGCTGAGGAGGCCGCAGCCAGACCCCAGAGAAAAACGTTCGCGCCGAGCCACTTTGCAGCCGGGAATTTGCGGAGGCAGTAGACTGCGGGTTTGTTAGGGCTGATCGAGCGAGATGATCTATAGGATCACCGGCATGTAAGATGGAGTTACCGTTTGGTACTTCGGCTATTAAAGATGCAATGAAGAACCAAGTAGCCGTGTTTGAAAATTCATTTCCAGTGAGATTTAAATCTTTTTTTAATCCCATAATGGCTGCGTACTGATGTATCCTATTTTTGTTAGAGCTTTTGTGTAGTATGAGGACAAGGATTGATTGCCGACTGACGTTGAGCATGACTTTATCAAGAAACTGCAAGATATAACAACAGAACATGTAAGGAAGTACGCGTCGATCTATCTTGCGACGAAGCGCGACTAGATTGATGTTGACGTTTCCCATGTGTGCTTCGAGATAATCCACTGCATCGTCACGACTACTTGGTTGTTTGGGGAGCTGGTTGGGCTGGTTCATGATAAGGTGAGATGATAAGAATTAGGTTAGTTTGGAAAGATGGATTTGACTTTGTTGCGTGTATTACATGTCGATGTTGATTCTGGTGTTAAAATGCTCGAGTTCATGATATATTGACCTTGTGTGACTCTGGATCGGAATTACTTGATTCCTTTACCGGACGCAAGGGGCTGAAACATACAAAATACCTTGGCCTTGAGCTTTGCAGTAAGATTGTCTAGGAATATTAGAAAAATTATATTTTTATATCATGCAATATAGTAAAAATTGGACTGACAACATGAAATCCAGTCCGTCTATAACTTTTTTTTCATGAGAATCGTAAAAAAACCTGGGGCTTTCCCCCTTGATCCAAATTCCATCACAGTTTCAACTGGAACCGTGGGTGCGTACGAATCGCAGCTCCCCACTTCCAAAAAGCAAAAGGCACCGCACACATCACCAGCGCAATGAAAGCAAGCAACGAATTCCCCCATCCCAGTCCCAGTCTATCATAAAGGGCCGGACCGGCCAACGGCAACAGAGCACCGACTAGCGACCGCAGAGCCGTATTTGCCGCAGTGACGGATGCCGCATAGGCCAGATACGAGTCCACCAGGTAGGTGCTGACGGACATGAAGACGGACATCAGGCCGATACCAAAGACACCAAGGCCCAGGATGGGGACAATCCAGGGGGTGTTGGACTCGGCAGCCCAGCCGTACCAGAATAGTCCCACGGGCATAAACCAGCAACCGACCATCATGGGCAGCAGACGGGACTCTGGAGCGAAACAGCCACGCGCGGTATGAGTCCGAGCAATATGGTCAGCTACGGCGCCGGTGGTAAGCAGCCCGATGATACTGCCGATACCAAAGCCTAAGTATGTGAGACCGGCGATTCCGGAGGAGAAGCCGTATTTATCCTCGAAGATTTCGGTCATGGTGGTGAACATTAGGTAGAGGTATCCGTATGCCGTGGCGGCGAACAGAACCATTAGAAATACGATCGGGGAACGGAAAAGCAGCTTGATCGGACGCGCCAGCGCATTGAGGAATAGTTTTCGGCTGAGTTTTCCTGGATTGTGGGTTGATCGGAGGTTTGGATTTCCTGTTTCCTTGCGAAGACGCTCGACCTTACGCTCGAGGACTACCGGCGCATAGGATTCACGATAAAAGATCATAGTCAGAATCATCATGACACCAGTCTTTATTTTCGCATCTGGTTAGCTTTGATACAACATATATCGAAGATAAGATAGATAGGCAACACTTACTGTAATCGCAATCACCCAGAAGACCCATCGCCACCCCTCAGCTTCGCATAAGAAGCCACCGGCGACAGGGCCAATAACAGGGCCAAGGATAGGTCCCATAGCCCACACTGCCATGATACCAGCACGTCTCTCCTTGGTGATCATATCAGCGACAGTACCAGAGCCGATGGTAAGGGGGCAAACGCCCGCCAAACCGGCCAGGAATCGGAAGACAATGAGCTGTGGCATAGATTGAGCCACGGCACAAGCAATGATAAAGATGAGGAAAAAGAAGTTGCAGACGTGGTATAAGGGTACACGGCCGTAGATTTCGGAGAGGGGGGCGATTAAGAATGGACCGAAGCAATAACCGAGAATGAAGACGGTCACGACGAAGGAACCCATCATGCTGCTGGTGATGTTGAAGTCTTTCATGACCTCGCTGACTCCGGGGGTGAACATTGATGATGCGAGAGGACTGAGTTGGTGTAACAAGAAAGGTTAGATTTGGGTTCCGGGGTTTGAAGGCTGGAGGTGCGATATTCAATATGGGGACAAGCCAACTTACGTGATGAATGTGTTAAATGCCATCAACACCAGCTGTCTTGTTTTTCTAAATGTGGACCAGTTAAATGGGTTCTCAGGGTCCTCGGGGCCATCCCATCCCACGATCTCAGCATTTTGATCCGTGTCGTCGGAAGAGAAGCCTTGCTTTTCTTGCTTTTCTATGTCTACCATTTTGAAAAGGAGGAGGTTAACAATATAGGAACATTAGAAGAGGGGGGTGGGGGGAAGTCTAGAACATTTAATGTTTGGGGTGTAAGATATTTATGTACGGAGTAACTACAAGGTGTAAAGGGGAAGAGAAATTTTGTAGGATAATTCGGCACAAAAATATTTTATGTTCATGTATGGATCTGGCATCGGCACGGACAACTCAAGTATATAAGCTTCAGATTAGTGTACCAAGATTCTAAGATTCTAAGATTATTAGCTCCGTGAGTCAGCCACGCCAAGATCCGTATTTTAACTCGCTAGCATATGAGTCACCAGTGACCAGGACAGAGCATTCTAGAGAAGGTATATCTAGAAGGCTAAACCTACTATGAATTGGAGTTTATATAGGCTATGCGCGATTTTAAAGTTGAGCATATTGTTTAAGGTTGTTTGCTTCTTCGAAGACGTTTGCTTTTTCAAGAATGTTTGCTGTATGAGCATATTTAGAAGGTATATCCAGAAGGCTAAATTTACTACAACTTGGGGTTTACATAGGGTATGCGCGATTTAAAGTTGAGCAAATTTCCAACCTGGGAAGTGCTTGTAGCCAGATTGATTTCTTTTGCCTTTCATTATACATAAAAAGACTCGGAAGCTTCAAATGTTCAAATAATACTTCCAAGTGGAGTTCGGTAAAAGTCGCCAGTGGGTCACGGGTGGACACGACGATAAACAAAGACTGACCAATCACAATGCGCTATATCAATCAGATTTACAGAGCCCGGCAGTCACGGCACGTTTCATCTACATAGAATCATTAGCTGGGTCTAGTTCACAGGCAAAACGTTCACCCGAATATTACGTAATGAATAATTTATCCAACACGTCAAATGTTACTAATCACGCCAAGCAATCGGGATAATTCTTATGAACAACGGAGTGGTAACTTCTTTAGGTATCGATCTCTAAAAATATCCGATGTGGGACAAGAAATATAGTTCCTTCTATATGATCAGTAAAGATCTATGAGGAGAAAGCAAATTCAATACTCAGCTTTAAACATTTGAAGGAAGATATTAGCACTTAGTAATAAAAGTGATTGAAAATGCCTTGAACGGAATCTTGAAGTCATCAATCACAAACGCCACTTTCTCTCTCCACTCCCCTTGTAACATACGCAACAATCAGCACTATGCCAGAGACCCCAATAATAATCATCGGCGCAGGAATAAGTGGCCTCATCCTAGCTCAACACCTCCAAAGCCAAGGGATCCCATTCGAAATCTTCGATAGTGATTCCGCATTTGACGCTCGCAACGGAGGTTGGGGGCTAACACTCCACTGGGCCCTCCCAGCTCTACGCCAACTCCTTCCCGAATATCTAGTAGCCCGACTTCCGGAGACCTTTGTCAATAAAGATGCAGCAGCCCGTGGCGACATGGGGCGATTCCAGTTCTTCGATTTAAAATCGGGCCAGGCACTCTACGATGTTCCTGCAGAAGAACGGATCCGCGTGAATAGAGGGCGAATGCGGGAATTGTTGACCTGTGGACTCAAGATTCAGGTGCCGTTACCTCTCTCCTCAGGAAAATCCGACTAACATGGCTGCCTCTGTTACAGTGGAATAAGAAATTCGTGAATATCGAATCTAGTGAGAAATCTATTATCGCTCACTTTGATGATGGTTCATCCTGCACCGGCTGTCTTTTGGTTGCTGCTGATGGCGCACGGTCGCGCGCCCGACAGATTCTCTATCCACAGGGCTATGCGATGAATCAGCTCCCAGTTCAACTTCTGGGCGCGTCTGCGCTATACACGCAAGAACAACTGGGAGGTGTAGAGACTATAGACCCGTATATTTTCCAGGGATCTCATCCTGACACCGACGTGTTTATGTTTTTCAGCTGTGCGTTCATACGGCCTAACTCTTGATCGGGCCGGTATGCTAACCCGTGGCAGTTCTGGATACTCCGAGCAATTTCAACGAAAGCAGCAGGAACCAGTATCACTGCCAGATCGTTGTCTCCTGGGCTGATAAAAAGGGCATTCTTTTGCCTTCTACTAATTCCGATCGCATGGCTCTCATGAGGCAATTGACTGATAACTGGGCCGAACCGTTTCGCTCGTTAGTGTACAATCTGCCGGAAGAGACGGAAGCCCGATCGATCCGGGTCGATGATTGGATCTTTCAGCCTGGACAGAGTGACGAGTATCCGCGAGTCATACTCGTGGGCGATGCGGCGCATACCATGACCATGTGTGAGTTGCCCTGACGCGGATGGCGATGTTAGTAGCTAATGATAGTAGTCCGCGGCGAGGGTGCTAATAATGCAATTGTGGATGTCTTGGATCTAGTGGAGAAGGTTGATTTGGGGAATATTAGGTAAGGTCGTTTACTATTTGTGAGAGCTCGAGATAATGCTAATATATTTTGTCTACCAAGCGCACTGTCCTCAGCAGATCTGGCGCTTTCTAGAGCTGCATATGAGGATCAGATCTTTTCCCGTGTGGAGCCTAGTGTACTCGCTTCCCGACAAGCTTGTCTTGATGCACATGATTTTTCTCAGATCAAGGGAAGTCCATTGGTGACTCCGAGAATATGGAAAAGCAGATCCGACTTGAAATGAACAGCAGATCTGGCATATATTGAAATATGGACATGAAATATGATAAAAGATGAATGTCGTCGATAAAGAGTTTTACAAATCTATATACAATGTTACTCAAAAGCAGTTTTTTTCCCGCTAGGGTATCCTAGTCGAGTCAAATCGCAACAATCGGTCCCGTTGAAACCACCAGCTTTCAAAGAGATCCATACAAAACTGGAACATCCCAAACAGCCCAGCAAGTCCAACACCTATAAGGGGTGCCAAGATCGCAAATACAGTAAACCCATAGGAGGAATTTTGAAACGCCGAATCACTACCCAACCCTTTCGTCGCCAAGCCAACCTGCATCGCAGTCAACACCAACGCGACGTAGACCGTCGCCATAGTTATGGGTGTCAGGTAGGCACGAAACACATCGCCGTACGTCCGATGTATATACTGGTATCCCCTTAGTGCACGACCATATCGGAACGAGCAGATCTTATTCAGTTGCGAGAGTCTCAGCTCGCCGAAAAGATATCGTTCATTCATATCACCCGGCCGGGCTCCATATTGCAACAACTGTTCCACAAAAGACAACCACTGCAACCAGGTAACTTCGGCTGGAAGGAGATGGTAGCTGTGCGCCATAGCCAAGTCACTTTCAAACTGAATCAGCGCGACGTAAGAGTGCAAAAACCCGAGACCGTATTTGTAAAGCTCATGCGAGCATGGCGTCGTGCTGAAAGTCTTGGCCGTGCTCGCCTCGGCTTCACAGCACGGGGCTGTACATATCAAATGGGAATGCCAAAAATCCGCATCGAGCAGGTATCGAGGTATCGGCTTCAGGTGAAGAAGTCCCGACGGCTCCCAGATTAAGTGCATGTCTATGCGCTCGTCCGTGACGATCTTGCGCGATATCGCGATCTGGTAGTTTAGTGGTTTTGGGGGAACGGGGCGACCGGCGAGCCATAGGTAGGTGTGGATCTTGTTTAGTTTCTCCACTGCTAGATCTTTGTGCAAGAAGCTGTGGATGTCGTCTGTGGGGCGGCGGAGCGCATGGTCCTTGGTTCGGGTGGAGGCTGCTAGGAGGGAGCCTGCGTGCTTGTCATGATTGAATGTGCCCTTTGTAAAAGGCAGTCTAGCTGGCATCGATAATTAAGAATAGAGAGGAATATGTCAGGATTTGGGGGATTGGGGAATTGATTGAATCGCGGGGTTCATGATCGGCGATCGCGATGATTTGTTTTACCCCGCAAGAGAAAAAGTGAAAATTCATGCTTTCCTTCCCATAGACAGTATGGCGGCCGATAGAGGCCACCCCTAGGTCATATCCCAATTTCAGTTTCTAACTTCACCCCCCTGTTTCCCGCCTGTATTGTATTTATCATATATAGGAATATCTTAAGGGATTTGATCTAAATACGGGTCACTTTTAGAATAGACTTGAGAATAGACTTGAGAGTAAACTTGAGAGTAAACTTGAGAGTAAACTTGAGAGTAAACTTGAGAGTAAACTTGAGAGTAAACTTGAGAGTAAACTTGAGAGTAAACTTGAGAGTAAACTTGAGAGTAAACTTGAGAGTAAACTTGAGAGTAAACTTGAGAGTAAACTTGAGAGTAAACTTGAGAGTAAACTTGAGAGTAAACTTGAGAGTAAACTTGAGAGTAAACTTGAGAGTAAACTTGAGAGTAAACTTGAGAGTAGACTTGACTCACTTGAGAGTAGACTTGAGAGTAGACTTGAGAGTAGACTTGAGAGTAGTCTTGAGAAGGGACTTAAGAATGGATTATATGACTAGGATCTCAGCCTCTCTTTCTTGCCAGTCGTTGTGATAAATTACCTAGAGAATGAGAAGTAGTTAATATCAATAATATAGCATTACTAATATATAACGGAGTTCACGGATTTAATGTATAATGCAGCGCTGAACATAATGGAGTTCAAAAACTAACATGAATTTGGAATTACTCGTAATTTACTTTCTGCCGGTCGGAAAGTTGAAATTGGGATTTGACCTAGGGGTGGCCTCTATCGGCCGCCGCAATAGACAGCCGTCGCGCATTACCTATTGCTGGACATCGCGAGCTGATGTTTGCGAAATAACGTTTCTACGCACACCATTGAAATCTCCTTTCAGTACAAGATTTGCACCCTAGAATACTTTGGATACGACACTTTAACGCGTCAGGATTGTGATATGGTATTAATTCCATCAGCAGTATCTCTAACTACGCCCGTTATTGCCTTCCATATCTAGAGAGACAGACCGTAGACGCTCTTTCAAACCCCAATCACGTGACGGATCCCATTGATGGAATCGCGTAAATTACGCGTCATGACCATACGCATTAGTAATTACTAGTACCTGATTTTGCACCCCTGTAAGTTGTACCGATACAAGTCTCGGACCTTGACCTTCCCACCGCGTAACATTTTATCAAGCTTTCGAAGACATAAAGCTCGGTTGCTTTCCAGCTCGTGCCGATGACGGTGGAAAAACTGCGTAATGCACCAACCACCCCTCCCGCCCTTTGGCTGCTCCATGCTCATTCCAAAACTCATCCTCCATGTCTGAAACGAGAACCTTTAATCTTGCATCAAGATGCATAAGCCGTTTAGCAAACTGATTCGCGATGGGGACGAACTGTTTCAGAACAGCCTGTTCGTCAACTTCCGTTGGAGTTCGAAATCCCACCTGGAGCTCCCGAAGTACTTGGTACAAGGTATCTACACCAGCAACCTCCTTCACGTAGGCTTCTAGCAGCTGAATTACTGCCTCTAGTGACGTGACTGACGGTCCCTCGAACAATTTTAGGCTCATTAGCCCTTTCTTGTTCAGAGCTGTCCATAACGGGTTTAGCACACAGCTTTCCGCCCCGGTATATCTTGCCCGATTTTTTCTGTAATGATCGCCAGGCTCTTGTTCGGAATTATCGACATAGGAAGACATCCCTGCGCCGTCAAAGAGCTCAGCTAATCTAGTCGCGTGATCTCGGCCGTTCTCGTCGTGAACTTGATAGATGCCAAGCCAGGCTAAGTGATACAGGCAGAACATCTTAGCTTCCAGACTCTTCTTCTCGGTATTGATCTTGTCGGAAGCTGATGGGAGTTTCTCTAGTGCCGAGGGAGCGTCAACATCATCTCTAGGACTCCCGTTGGGCTCGTCACGCTCGTGCTTGCTGGAGAGAAAATCAAACATTTCCACGAGTATGGCTGTTTTGAAGGGGAAGAATTGTCGGGCTTTGATCTGTAATCAATAGCAGGGTGGGGGGAAGATCTTGTTCAAAGATGAGAAGGTATTATAAGCCCCTTGTGAAGAGGAGGTGCTGTCATTGCCATTCGCTTAATTGGGTTTGGGCTAAGCCAGAAACTCTTTAGCGAGCCCGCCGAAAGTTGATCACTGTGGAGCCCTGCGCCAAGTCCCAAGCAGTATTTGCATCACCGCCTCATATCCATGCTTCGCAGCCAAGGATAATGGTATGAGACCTTTGGGGTTCTTCGGGTCCACGCCAATTTGGCCTGTTTGTAGTAATAACTTCACCACCGCCGTACGTCCAAATCTTGCGGCATAGTAGGACAACGTGTTGTCCGAGCCCATCTCCACCCGGTCTTTCTCAAGTAATAGCTTCACTATTCCATCACGTTCAAGTGCGGCCAGAAACAATGGCGTCCAACGCTCATAGTCCTTCCCCACCTCCTCATATCGAAGCTGAGCAGTCCGAGATAAAATCGGGTGAGCTAGCGTGTCCTCTGAGTCCCCGTCGATCTGGACTGTCTCAAGTATTAACTTCACAACCGCTTCGTGTTGAAATCTTGCGGCCAAGGACAACGGTGTCCAGCCGAAATATAAGTCCCTCGAGTCCACCCTCACCTGACTTATTTCAAGTAAAAGTCTCACTATTGCCTCACGTCCTTCCCGCGCAGCGTAGGATAATGGCGTCCAACCTTCGTTGTCCTCCGAATTCACATCCACTTGCCCGCTCCTAAGTAAGAGCTTGACCACTGACTCGTATCCATTCTTCGCAGCCCAAGATAATGGCGTACGACATTCACTGTCTTTCGAGTCCACATCCACTAGCCCAGTTTCAAGTAACAGTTTCACTACCACGTCATGACCATTTTGCGCAGCCCAGGATAATGGTGTCCATCCTTCGGAGTCTCTCAACTCCTCAGGCTCCTGCTCTTTCTTAAGTAAACACCGTGTCAACCTGTGTTCATGTCTGTGCCGCTTAGCCCACAATAATAGTCTCTGGCGGGCTGTTTCCCCCTCGCAGTTTTTGGAGTTCAAAACCGCCTGCCCTGTCCCAAGTAACAGCTTCACCATCGCCTCATGTCCGTGCTGCGCGGCCCAGGATAATGGTGTCCGGCCCTTGCTATCCGTCACTCTAACGCTGGCTCCTTCCTGTACACATAATCGAGCTGTAGCCACATTACCATGTTGGGCGGCCCATGGCAGAGAGGAATTTGAGCCTCGGCAATTCAGTCTATAGAGATATGAATTGAGGAGAGCGTGGAGTTGTCTATTTGTTTGAGACAATGAGTTGATATCTCGTTCTGTCTCCAGGCAGGTCGCTAGTTGCAGTAGTAATTCGGGGGGCAAATGAAGCAGAATCATTTGATTGAGATAATCAACTTTGATACTTTCATGTGTATTAAATTTACCATGCAATCTTGGAAGTTGACAAATCCTTAAATACGGAAGTAGCCGTATGGGGTTTAGTGCACCACGTGATTATATAGGGTTGAATTTTGAACAGAGTATCTCTCTGTTTCCAGATATGGAAGACAATAACGGGCGGCACTGTTACCTCCAATTCAAAGATGAGTTGAATTAAAATTACAATGAATAGCTTCCCCTTATGAAGTTCTCTTGTTGTAATATCAATTCATTGGCTAATTTAAACCATATGCCAAGCTTCTTCAACCCGACACGAAGTTGGCCCTTTGATAGACGACCGCTCCGATCTCACGTCATTTTCAAGGCCCTGCAATCGTAACATTATCGTATCATGATCATCTGGCCGCTCGCTCTGAGAGTCGGTGCTATAGTTGCGGGAAAACCGATTGTTCAATATAACAGACTGCACGCGACGATCCACGACGCTGTTATTCGGGACTGGTTCGTTCTCTGACAGAAGGATGATCTCGACTGGATGGTCCCGAATAGTAGGAACTTGGAGCCATTTGTAGATACCATTCAGCACGGGGATTGAGAGTCCATGGATCACAATTGAGAAAAAAACCAGCCAGTACACGACTAGACACAGACGTGTTAGAGCAGGTTGAAGATTGGAAACTTGAACAGGATGAGTTACTCACCTGGAATCATGGCAGCTGTCAAATGATTGATCTCTGCATCGCTCTCACCCGGATCTGGAAGTAGTCGACGGGCATATTCCACGTAGCAGATTGCGCCCACCCCTGATCCGTTAGTCAGGAAGTAGATTACAGGGATGTGGCAGACATACCGATGGGAGCGAAATACCCCATGAAAAGAGCTTCTTTCCACGAGTTACAGACCTTGGGCATAAATCGATACCCAAGCATAATTGCAGGAATGCGACGAAACAATAGCAGCAGAATTCCCAGCGTGACCAGGCGCCAGATCGTGATTCCAGTAAGATGGGGCATGTGCATCAGATCCCAGGGCATGCTGATCCCGATGAAAACAAAAGTTCCGAAATTCAAGATGACTTCAATGGTTGAATTGAAGGAGTCGTGTCGCGCCTCGGCTTCGGAATGGTAAACACCGTCCCAGTTCAATGCACATCCAGCGATAAAGCAGGCGAGAGTCTCGTCAGATCCAAAGCAGCCACATGTGCCCACGACGAATAGCTAAGAATTGTCAGCATATCGGCATCCAAAGCGGCATTTGACAGACTTACTCCGATCGCCACCGGAAAGATGAAGAAACTTTCTTTATCAATCCATCGCCTACGGCCGTTAGTTCATTATCGATAATTTGATGGAAGGGTGTTGGCGATCACCTCTTAGACGCCAAGTTCAACCCTTTACGCCCCATAAATCCAACCAAGAGCCCGTAACCCGAGCCCATGATGATCATGTACAGCACTCCTTCAACAGCCCAGTGTGCCAATGCCCGACCAGCGTTACCGCCCAACCGGCCCGTGTTCTGTGTTCCTATCCAGTCCCGTTTCGCGGTGCCATCGTGCGGCACGTCGGCATAACGTAGAATAGAGATAGAAAGGAGGAGAAATGGGAAGCCGAAGCCATCATTGCCACCGGCCTCGGCGGAGATAAACTCTCGCAGGTGCCGTCGAACGTACTTGTCAGCGAAGGGGCCCTTTGCAATTGCCTGCGACAGAATAGGGTCAATGCAGATGACGCACGAGCCGATAATTAACGAAGTGAGCTAAGCCTGTTAGTTGATGCATGGCACTTTATTCGGGTCTGCGGCCTGCACGTACGAATGATAGGTGCGGGACGATTAACAGAATGCATGCTGATGTTGCTAGCCACTGCAATGCCATGAGTGGAAGCAGACAGATTGTGAGCTCAACCAATCTTTGTCTTAGATACTTTTTAGGGAGCTCGTATCCCACTTTGACCATCTGGATGCCGATTACCAGGCGAGTCAAGGCCTAGGTTGGTTAGACTGGCGAACCAACGTGTAAGAGCCGATGGCTCGTTCTCACTTACGTAGGCAATCTGGCCTTCCTCGACATTCGTCCCAAATGTTCTCACATCAATCAAATTGGCGCAGAATGGACCCAGAATAGCTCCGGCCACAAATGATGGCACTAAAAACTTTAGCGGTGTCCCTCGGAGATAATGTTGAAGATTTGATCGTCGATCAAAGCACTTACAAGCTTCACCCAGGTACCATTTTTGTTTCAACTTCAAAGATACCACCGCAAAAAGAAGAAGGTATATTCCTGAGGGTTAGGATGTTAGATAACAAATCACAGATGGACCACCCCCATGTGCCCACGTTTACGAAACAGCAAGATTTAATTTTCGGATATCAGGAGTCCTTACCGGACAAAGTCAAAGTCACATTAAAGTTGCTAATATCAAGGATCGGATGAAGCATCCTTCGACGCGACAAGCAAAATCACAGCTTGAGCAGCTGAAATCATCCAGAAGGCTCAAGGGTTCGTCTGGGTCGATGGCGGAAATCGGGGATTGGATTCATGAGGGAGATGAGATGACAGATATGACTTGGCGTGTGTTCTCTGCACATGTGGGAGAATGGCAGATACCGATGTGTGGAATGCGCCCTTCATTAGCGAGTTCGCGCGGCGTGATTCTCGTCGCCTTCTTGCATCCCTATCAAGGGACGTGACGTATCATAAGATAACGATTCTGATTCTGCGCCACGGAGGAATCAATAGGTGAGTTGGACATATTTGATTTTGAAACGCGTGTACGGTCGCATTTGGGATGGGTTGGTGTGTGAGAGAGTAGTTTTTTTTTTTTTGGAAAGATTATTGGTTCATGAATTCAACGGCTTGTTATACTTTCAATATTAGCCTAACTAGAATTAAGTACCTGGCTAAGTGAAAAACGGATAGAGCAGTGGCTTTATCTACTCCAAGACAATCTATACTTGGATCAATCAATTGGAGAGGCTTAGCCAATTATTTACTGATGTTCCCACCTACCCTTGCTCTTACGCAGGAGATCGACATTGCGTCTTAGTCAGGCGAAAGACATCCAGGAATGTTCGTAATCAAGGGATGAGAAGAATCCCAGTTTTGTTCCTTTTTCTATGATTCCGAACGAGATTTTCAAACAGCGATAGCTTGGCGCAGGACAGAATACTTTCTAGAAGGCTTGGCTCTGGATAGGGGTCAAGAGGCGAACTATAAGTATTCAAGCCAAAGCGAAAAAGAGGCAGTTGAATAATGCGACCAACCTCGCCCAACTTTCAAAAATAAATGAACATAATCTAGATCACGTACAACTAAAAGGGTTGAAGATGTGGAACAAAACACCAGTTTCTGCAGGAAAGATCTCCCATTCTCTCCTGATTCTCTCCTGATCTCCTTGTCGGGGAAATCCCTCATACTCAAGTACTGTGCCTCATCACATTGTTCCAGCCTGAGTTGTATGAGTGATTTTTCATAGGTAGTCATCACGAAATAGAGCCCCTTTTCATTAGTGAGGCAATGGGATTATAAAAGAGTAGAAAAGATTGGACTTGAGACAGAGTCAACTCATTCAATCATTTCAGTATCATCAACCTTGGAATCGAGTTCTCTGCTTCAATTCTCATAATGGCCACCATGCAACAATTTAAACGGCTCTCCGCGTCTCGGGGATGCACAAATGTATACGGCTCTCGTTTCGCGTCAGAACACATGCCCTGTGAAGAGCTTCCATACGATGAGATGCCCAAGGAGACAGCTTACCGCATGATCAAGGATGACCTTGTTCTTGATGGGAATCCTATGTTGAAGTCAGTAACTAGTGGAATCCTGAGCACGAGGCATAAATTATGGATCGCCAAGCTAACTCTGCGACAGCCTCGCAAGTTTCGTCACAACGTACATGGTAGGTTCCCCCCCCTCTAGGTTCCACGGCCACATCTGGTGAGAGATACTAACCAAGATCCAAAATAGGAGGACGAAGCCGAGAAGCTGATCTCCGAATCCTCGAACAAAAATGTCATCGACCACGAAGAGTACCCCAAATCCGTGGAAATCGAGCAACGCTGCTTGAAAATGCTCGGAAATCTTTTCCACGCCCCAACACAAGACGGGAAGACCACATCAATCGGGACGGCCTGTATCGGCTCATCCGAAGCGATCATGCTAGCCGTCCTCGCGATGAAGAAACGATGGAAGAACCAGCGCAAAGCGGCAGGCAAGGACGCCTCAGAACCGAATATCATCATGAGCACGGGAGTTCAGGTTTGCTGGGAGAAGGCCGCGAGATACTTCGAGATCGACGAGAAACTGGTTCCGTGCACGGAAACACGATACGTTATCGATCCTGCTCAGGCGGTTGAGCTGGTGGACGAAAATACCATTGGTATCTGTGCTATCCTGGGCACCACTTATACGGGACAATACGAGGATGTGAAGGGAATCAATGATGCCTTGGTCGAGAAGGGACTCGATACCCCGATCCATGTGGATGCGGCCAGCGGAGGCTTTGTCGCTCCTTTTGTCAACCCGGACCTGGTTTGGGATTTCCAACTGCCGAATGTGGTATCGATCAATGTTTCTGGTCACAAATATGGACTGGTGAGAAATTGAAGCATAGCATACCTCTGCAAGTCTATGCTTAACTAACCTCGTTATTACAGGTATACCCCGGCATAGGATGGGCTCTCTGGCGCTCACCAGAATACCTCCCCGAAGAACTCATCTTCAACATCAACTACCTCGGCGCAGACCAGCTAAACTTCACGCTGAACTTCTCCAAACCAGCCTCCCACATCATCGCCCAGTATTACCAGATGATCCGTCTCGGCCGACGCGGATACCACGCCATCATGAGCAACCTCACCCACACAGCAGATTACTTCACCGAGCAACTCAAAGAAATGGGCTTCACGATCATGAGCGACAACGGTGGAAAGGGTCTTCCCGTCGTTGCGTTCCGTCTCGGCTCAGCACAACACCTCTTCTTTGATGAATTTGCGCTCGCACACAAACTGCGAGAACGCGGGTGGATTGTTCCTGCGTATACCATGGCGGCGGACTGCGAGAAGATGAGCATGATGCGGGTTGTTCTGCGTGAAGATTTTACGCAGAGTCGTTGCGATAGTCTGGTTCGTGATATCCAGGTTGCTTTGAAGGTGTTGGCGGAGCAGGAACTTGCGAATATTCAGCGGTATCATGCGTGAGTTGTCTTGGCAGCTGTTTGGTTTTGTGTTTTCTGGGATAGCTTGCTAACTTCTCGATAGGCTGATTGCGACTCAAATGGTTCCCAAGAAACTGTGTGTGGAGACCACTTGTGTGGAGGTTGGGCCGGAACCTGAGAGCGTGAAGGTTTGATGTACATTTAGCATCGCGTTGTTGCATAGATCATGTGTTCATCTATAGACTAGACATTGGTCGGGTTTGGGTTCTGTTTAGACTGCATTTGAATTTGTTTCGTTTGAGCTTCCCAGTTCGTTCAGAGACCCCAATCCCTCCAGGTCTATTCCACAATCAGTAATAATATATCTTTGCTGATCAATTGTCTTGTTTTCATTGAAAGTCGCGTCGCTTGGTCGCGACCGCTAAAATTGGAATTGTTTGCAACCAACGAATATGAAAAAATTTCGCGAAGATGCTGGCCTTGATGCAACGATGGACTTTGAATGAACAAATCATTTCTGGAGCGCAAAGCAGGATCTCGGCAGATATGATCTCACTCCTCGGTCCCTGACGAAGCCGAGACAAACCCACATGCGCGTGCTGATCCCCTATAAAGAACGCGCTTAATCCACCGAATCCCAACCCCACCAAATTTCAGATTTGCCAACTGCGACTTTCTGAAACAATTTTGATCGAAACAATGTCGTCGGTTTCCCAAATCCCCCCAACCCAAATCGAAGTTCCATCGCTAATCACCCCCCTAGTTCCATCCTGACAACACTCGGTCTGCGCGCCGCCCCTGGCGCACAGGTCCCCAACCACGCCGCAACACTACTGATAGCCAACTGGGTCTGGGCCTACGCGCTGATGAGCACGCGCGGAACCAAGATGCGCCTCGGCATCGACAACAATGTCGCGCCGCGGGAGAATCTCGCCACGCTCGGCGAAGCAGCGGTCAAGGCCGGCAAGATTGATCGACGCACGCTGAACAAGTTGAAGCGTCGCGAGGCTGCACACGCGAATGCTGTCGAGGGGTATACCCTTTTTGTGGCTGCTAGTGAGTTTACGCGAATTGCTGATTTTTTTTCTTTTCTTTTTTCACGTTGCATTGGTGCTGACTTGGTGCAGTTTTGACGGCTTTGTATGCTGGACTCCCGGCTGAGACTATCAACAAGATTGGTGTTTGGTATAGCTTGTCGCGGGTGGCGTATAGTCTTTGCTATACGCATATTGAGGACAAGTCACTGAGTTATCTTCGGTCGGTGACGTGGTGGTCTGGTAATATTAGCTGCATTACTGCTTTGGTGCTTGCGGGGAAGAAGCTGTGAGTAGTTTGATTCGCCAAGAACATTTGAACGCATGTTCCAGCCTTGGAAGGTTAGTCTTTCGGGTCTATCTATATGTATGGACACCTAGTACCTAGTATGGTTGTCGGATTTCCCAAGTTCCAGTGAATATATGTTTGAGCCTTGAATATGAGGAGTGAAGTGAGACTGGTCGGAAATTCCTCTAATAAACCGCAAATACATCGCTAGACCCTTGCTGATCTAGAATAATTGATTGGTGGAAAAATCTTGTCGGACAAGACGGTAGAATGTTTCCGGCCACAATAAGCAAGAGTTTCATGAGGATGTTTGAAAGCAGCAGCGACTTAAATTGATTTAAAGTACGACTTTCTCCACTCCCCCCACGCTCTGCACTTGGCGAAATGCGGAGACAAAACCCCACATGTGCAACATCGTCAACTCACGGTGCACACGGTATACAACGGACATCTTGGCGATGTCCCTGTTGATCAATGCCAATGCAAAGACTTTCCTACAGCCGATTCTACAGGCGGAGAAATCTCCTACCCCGCGACATGATCAGATACGAAATCGGCAGACAGCCGGGGAATCCCTGAAATAACATCGCCGGGTCACTGCCAGTATACTGGAGATGACAGGTATAAATACCTTCAAACTGGCAACCATTAAGCTCCAAGAAAACCAAATAACCTTGGTATACTCATCATGAAGCTCCTAGCTCTCGGCGCCCTTTTTGTCAGCGCTGTCAGTGCCCTGGCCTCCTCCCATTTGATTCCAGGGGCACAGATCATCCCTGCCAATGACAAATTGCAATTGAAAAGTATTGGCGCCTATCAAAAGAAGTACCCTGACCGTCGCACCGTTACCATCCGTTCATCCAAGAGTGACGAGGATGACGTATCGAGCGATTTCTTATGGGGGATTAAGCAGGCCAATCACGGAGGCAGATTGTTGCTGGAGAAGGATAAGACATACGTGATTGGAAAGAAGCTAGACCTGAGCTTTTTGAACGACATTGAGGTTCAACTGGAAGGAGAGATCAAGGTAGGAGTGACTTTGATTGAATCTGATCATACTTTCTCTAACATGGGTTGCAGTTTACCAACAACATTACCTACTGGCAAGCGAACAACTTCTACTACTCTTTCCAAAAGTCGATTACCTTTTGGATCTGGGGTGGACAAGATATCAAGATCTTTGGAAAGGGAACTCTCAATGGAAATGGCCAGAAGTGGTATGATGAATTCTCTGGCAGCCAGATTCTGGTAAGAAACGAAGCCCGAGAGAGAAAGCCCTCTTTGGCCATGGATACTAATACCGAGCTATGGATAGGACCCAGACAATACTTTCTACCGACCGATCCTATTCTTGACCGACAACGCCACAAGAGTCAGCGTGGAAGGTATTACCCAACTGAACTCGCCGTGCTGGACAAACTTCTTCGTACGCACGAACGACATCTCTTTTGATGATGTGTATATCCATGCTTATTCGACCAATGCTTCGGTATGTGGAGATATAATGGAGGATACCGAGAGTATTAGTTAACACTAGAATGCAGGTCGATGCGGCTAACACCGATGGATTTGATTCCTTGGTCGTAGACGGACTGAGCGTCACGAACACGCGAATCGACGTGGGCGATGACTGCTTTTCACCCAAGCCCAACACGAGCAACATCTTTGTGCAGAATCTCTGGTGCAACAATACGCACGGAGTGAGCATGGGGAGTATTGGTCAGTACTCGGGGGAGATGGATTTCATCGAGAATGCCTATCTGGAGAACATCACGTTGTTAAACGGACAGGTGAGCCTTCCTCTTTCTACCCGTCAATATGTGCGATCAATGTGCGGTTCTGTGAGTTAATCTGTGATCGGATGCAGAATGGAGCCCGATTGAAGGCGTGGGCCGGACCCGACGTGGGCTACGGTCGGATCAGCAACATCACCTACCGCAACGTCCAGGTGCAAAACACGGATCAACCGTTGGTTTTGGACCAATGCTACTTTGATGTCAATGCGACCGAGTGTGCGGCGTACCCATCGGCAGTGAACATCACGGACATTGTGTTCGATAACATCTGGGGCACATCGTCGGGGGCAAAAGGAAAGGTTGTTGTGGACCTGACGTGTTCTCCTAATGCGGTCTGCTCGAATATTCAGCTGTCGCGGATCAATTTGACGAGTCCTGCGGGGAGTCCGCCCGAGATCATCTGTGATGGGATTGATGGGAGTATTGGGGTGAACTGCACCAGTACCACTGCTAGCTAAAGGAGCGAGAGGAAATGTTTGTGGGGAAGAAATCAGATTAGATAGGAGTGTTGGGATGCCCAGGTGGGATGCTGGGAAAGGAAAGGGGGCGAAATTTGGAAGGGGAAGTACTTGTGCAGGGGATCAATGAAGGTGAAACTCGGGGTCAATCTCCGAATGGATTTAGCTAAACTGCTCGATGTCCGAGAGTGAAATGCGTGAAATGCCAAGAGATTAAGGCTTATGGACCCAATTCTTAAGCCAAAAAAAATAAAATAAAAATACAGTATGCATCCCCACAATTTACCAACAGCCAGAGATAATCTAAGCGACCTGAGATTGAAAAAAAAGGAAGAACTAACTAAGCTCCATTTCGACATTAGTAATTCACGGCCCAACGGAGAGTGAAAGAGGAAACGCCATACATAGTTAGCTTATGTGTAGTAAATAATGCAAATAATCAAGAGTAAATAAGGCCAGAATCACGTGGCGGTATTACGCCCAAGTGGCAATAAGCTTCCAAAAAGTGTAGATATCATTCATTTCCTCCTTTTCCTTCTTTTTCCCACTCTATTGACCCCTTTCATGATTTATTTTGTCCGGGGAAATGGAGAAAAATGGACCTAGATCTTTGTTGGGCTTGATAAATCTGGGGCAAGAAACACGACAAACCCCTAAACCCCGGATTCTGAGAAATGTCTTTCTGGTTCTGTTGACTCTCGCCTTTCATTGCTTGTTGATGCGTTGATCTGATTGGATTCTTAGGTGTTGATCTCCACAATCCCCACAATCCCTCCCCACCACCGGGTTAAGATCATAACCGCTGAACCAATCAGATCCTCAGATAACGCCTGAACCAGTCCTTTGTCACATTTTGCCTTCTCATTTACGGAGAACTTCTGACTTCTGGGGGTGGATCCAGTCCCCGCCCCCGGACACGTCTAGCTGGACACGCGGAGAAAAAAAATGGAGAAGGAGTCGGTGCAATATACGGAGCACACCGAGCGTACTCGTTTGCAGAGCGTAGTATAAGTACTTCTGCTCAGTCCCCGTCCCCCTTTATCTTCTCTCCAGGCGGGTCATTATTGTGCTCCTCTTCTATTTCTTTCTATCCCTTTACTCCCTAACTGTCGTCCACTATGGAGAAGACCGACAGCAATTCTCAGCATGTCGAGGTTCCGGCCACCAGCCCTAGTGCCATGGAGTCCGGCAAGACCGCCGCTTTCTATGTCGAAGATCGAGTGTCCCACCTCTCCGAGGAGCATCGCCAGTATCTGTTGGCGCGTCATGGAACCCTCGATCTAGACCCTATTCCCGATATGAACGATGCCGATCCCTACAATTGGCCCCGATGGAAGGTGAGAAGCTATCTCCCCGAGTGAAGAAACTCACCACACTAGAGAAATTTGTACGAGATGCTAACTAAATGATAGAAAAACCTCAACTTGGGACTCGTCGTCTTCCACGCCATGATCGGTCTCTTTACCGCCTCCTCCATTCAATCCGCTTTCGTCAACATCGCCGCCGATTTGGATGTTAGCATGCAGCGGACTAGTTATCTCGTCTCGCTGTTCATTGCCGTCCTCGGTGGTGCGCCTCTCTTCTGGCGTCCGCTGAGCAACCGTTACGGTCGTCGTCCCATCTTCTTGATTTCCCTGTTCTGTGCCATGATTGGAAATATCGGCTGTGCCAACAGTCACTCTTATGCTACTATGGGCCTGTGCAGAGCCATCACTGCTTTCTTCATTAGTCCCGCTGCCGCCATTGGAAGTGCCGTCGTGGCCGAGACTTTCTTCAAGGCGGATCGTGCTCGCTGCATGGGTGTTTGGACTTTGATGGTTACTCTCGGTGTTCCAATTGCTCCTTTCTTGTTTGGTTTCTTGGCTCTGCGTATCTCCTACCGCTGGATCTATTGGGTTCTCGTCATGGTAAGTTTATGAGCCTGCCTTTGTCTCCTTCATCTCGGTGGATCATACTAATTATCAAAAAAATCAGATCAACGGCGTTCAATTCATCCTTTACCTCTTCCTCGGCTCCGAGTCCCTTTATGTTCGCGAGGAGGGTGTTCCCAAGCAAGTCGCCGCCGGTGAAAAGGACAGCCTTTTCAAGTTCCGCCGCATCGACCCTACTCCCCTGCGCCTCTGGGACTTCATCCAGCCCCTGAGCTACTTCTCCAAGCCAGCCGTTGTCATCCCAGCCGTCGCATATGCCATGATCTTCTTGTGGGGTAGCATCATGCTCACTATCGAGATCCCCCAGATCATGCCAGAGCAATTCGGCTTCAACACTCAGGAAGTCGGTCTGCAGTTCTTGGGAATCATTCTCGGCTCCGTCATCGGTGAGCAGATCGGTGGTCTGATCTCCGATCGCTGGATGCTTCTCCGCCAGAAGTCTACTGGCGAGCGTCCACCCAACGAGCACCGTCTCTGGCTGGCGTACATTGGTCACGTCCTGACTATCTGTGGTGTGGTTGTTTTCGCTGTTCAGATGGGCAAGGCAGGTGATAAGTGGAACATCACACCTATTGTTGGTGCTGCTATTGCCGCTGGTGGTAACCAGATTGTTACTACTATTAACATTACCTACGCTGTGGACTGCTATCGCCCTGATGCTGCCAGTGTGGGTGTGTTTATTACCTTTGTGCGACAGACATGGGGCTTCATTGGACCTTTCTGGTAAGACATACTCCTGAATCTAGAATTAAAGAGAGACAAGTACTAACAAAAAGCTTATAGGTTCCCCGACATGTTCGCCGATCTTGGCTGGAACACTGGTGCCGGTATTGCTGTTGCGTTGATGGTGGGTGTTAGTGTTATCCCCACAATGCTCCTGCAATGGCGCGGTGCCTCTTGGCGCTAAGTCCACCTTGTGAGATGTCTGGTTCTGCTTTATGTTTTTAATTATAATTTGCCAAAGTAATATGGAATGTACAAATGTTATATTTCATTGGATTCAAGTCAACGAATATCAATCGTAGGATGAATTGAAGTATGCAGATGAATCAATTATGAGAATCGTGGTCTCCTGGTATGTGGCATAGTTACCGGAAGTTTCCCGTCCTCATTGAGGTACTAGATATCTGACAGCACTTGAGACTGCCTGCTTTGTACTATATAGCCCATCCAAATCTAGTGTCTAATACATACGACCATAGGGTGTGGAGAACAGGGCTTCCCGTCCGCTCAGCCGTACTTAAGCCACACGCCGGTCAGTTAGTAGTATGGTGGGTGACCACATGCGAATCCTGACTGTTGTATGTTTTTTGTTTTTATCAGCCTTTTTTGATTCGTTGGGAAATCGCCCCTTGCCGCCCTACTCTTCAGCCCCTTCAGGCTGTTCACCCTGAATGCCCTGAAAACCACTATTTTGCACCTGATTACCCTGCACGTGCCTGAAGCGCTGACGTGGCCTTCCGCTCGGCATGCTAAGGTCTGCTCTGTAGATACGTTGTTGTGATCACGACAATTTGGTCTGGGCTGTGGTACCTTTTCCACGCGGATGTAGTGACATTTCTAGAATGAAAAGATACTGGCTTCCAATATGTACAATATCGGATGACTTTGCTACCTCGATTAAATGAGGATCTAGTTCAACTCGATACTGATTTGCGTAGATTAGTGCTCGCTATAGGCATAGGTATCCATATTATAGGTGGATCTATAGAAGCAATCCTCTACACTATGTCAAGCTCTGTGGTGTGTGAGCCCGATATCGATGAAGACATAGAAAGTTAAATACTCAGTAACTGTTAATCAGATATTTAACAATAAAATAGAGCATATAGATGAACTTAAGCTGATGTAAAAGGACACCTATCTGAGGCCTGTATATCCGACGTCCCTATCTACTGAATATTTACATCTACCGTGGAGTTGTAGCTATTCTGAGGTATAGCGGGTATGTTGGTGTTATTTTAGCTTTGTGCCATACAACCTCCTAGCACACTCTCCCAAAGCCGCGATACAACGGGAATTGGATTTTCATACCAGTTGGGGATTAAATCACTCTCACGAATACATTCACCAGCTATTATTAATACTGACAGCAGTAGCAAGGGCTATACATCTTTATTCCACCGTTTTTGACAAAGAAACTCAGTACGTGGTAGCAATATATATACCCCGGTTTATGCCCTTTGGTATTCTATCTAATAGGCATTGTGCTGGAGGTATCCCCATAGGCCCACTTTCGGTCTCTAACCGCCATTGGCAGTCAACCCCATTACATAGCCAGCCATTACACGATGGCTTATTTTCGTCACACCTGTTCCTCCGACCTCTACAGATAAGACAGCCATAGCTAGTCTTAGACCTGGGCTTTGCTAGGCAAGGCATTTTTGCATCAAGCCCTTGCAATCAGAGCACTTTGCCTTGATCCGCTCATATGGTTCTATTTAGGCCGATGGTAACTGTGTTATAGTGAAAGTCCTCTCAATCAATAATTGAGGGAAATATGGCGAGGTGCACCAAAATTTAACTCGTTTGGGTTGAAGATGGAGTTGAGGGAGCGAGAGATCAAATTGGGACCTGCATGAGAGCCGGGTGTTTTCGTCGACGGACCGGACGTTACTGCACAGTTGCGGGTTGGGTGGTCATTCAGATGAGTCCTGATAACTGATTCCAATTTTCTCAATCCCTTGCTTTGGGATTGATTAATACGGCCGTAGGCGACTGAGTTGGGATGCTCTAATGGAAATTCGACAATTGTTATCGATGATGCACTGCCCACACCGCTTGTATGGCAAGTATTGACCAATGAAAACTGTTATTTGATCCACTAATGGCAACACATGTACAAGCGACCAATGACTTGTCCGAACCATAGATTCTGCTAATCTTCTCCGCTTCGTCTCCTCTATTAGACTCACTGCCCTCTATTAGACTCACTGCCCTCTCGCACATTCATGGTGCATTACCCCGAAATCATGGCCTCAAACTCGTGCGAATTTAATGGACCCAACACTGGCCTTGCAGTTGGACAAAATAGCGGGAACATATTAGCCATTTTCACAGGTATGAGGAACGGCGCTTTCCGCCCAAGGGATGTCCATGAGGCCCACTGGCAATTCATGCTAAGCTAATGATACGAGCGAAGACCGTGCGACAGCTCGTCCAAATCCATCATCGACGGTTCCGTTTCCTAGAAACCCAGATTTTGTTGATCGTGCAGAAATTCTTGTTCGAATAAACGAGGCATTATCCCAGCCAGCAGCAAGAATAGGTTTAGCCGGGATTGGTGGTGTTGGGTATGTGACCTACAAAGTTCCACGTCTCTTACCAGGGTACCAGTCATATTAAGGAAGCAGTAGAAAGTCCCAAGTGGCCATCGAGGCTTCATATCGACTCAGGCTTCAAAATCCGAATTCATGGGTTTTCTGGATCTATGCAGGGAGTGCTACCCGATTCCAGCAGAGCTTCGAAGAAATTGCGACTCGAGCAGGAATCCAGGGCCAGAGAGACCCTGGAGCGAATGTGTTCGAATTGGTTGAGGCATGGCTCAATAGTGAGGAAAGCGGAAAGTGGATGATCATACTCGATAACGTTGACGACGATCGATTCCTTCGTGAGCGCCCAGCACCCGACCCAAGAACGCAAGAGAAGCCGCGCAAACCTTTGCTCAACTATATCCCAAAAAGTCAGGGTACAGTCATCGTGACTGGTCGAAATGAGAAAGCCGTTGTCAAGATCGTTAGTCGCAGGAACTTGATTCAGATCAAGCACCTGCTGGAGTCTGAGGCTGTTGATCTTCTGCACAAAAAACTTATATTGCCTGGGGATGAAACAAAAGCCAGCAACCCAGACACTTCGAAGAGACTTGTCAAAGAGCTTGGCTTCTTGCCATTGGCCATTTGTCAAGCAGCCGGGTTCATTTCTTATTTTTCGCCACGTTGCTCAGTCTCTCAGTATCTTGAGAAATTCCTCAAAAGCGATCATGGTGCCACCATGCTCTTAGAACATGAAGTACCCGAGGAGGACTCACTTAATAGAGACTGGGAGGCAGAGAACTCCATCGCACTGACGTGGCAACTTTCCTTTGATCACATTGAGCGAGTACACCCTCCTGCTGCGGATTTATTATCATTGATGTGTTTTTTCGATCACAACGAAATCCCAGAATGCGTTCTCCACGTGCCACCGAAAAGCCCCACCCAGCAGACGGGGCTGCAAAGCGACACCAAAAAAAGATCCCATTCAGAAATGGAAGACTCGGATCAAGAGTTCGCCGTCAATGTCGGTATTTTGAGAGATTTCGCCCTCGTCACCATGATCAGCAGCAAAAGTTTTACCATGCATAGGCTTGTACAATTGATTACCCAGACCTGGCTGCGGAAAAAACTGGGCAAGTTCGATTTCTGGTATACGAACTTCATTAATAGTCTCCGCCGCGAGTTTCCAAGAAAGTTTGAGAACGCCGAGGATCTCGAAAAGGCGCGTCTTCTCTCTCCAAGCATTTTCCAAATCTATCATTTTGCTGTTAAACGGCAGCAAAGATCTCCACACGCGCAGCCAAAAATGACGACTGGAGAATACCATCTACTTGAGATGATACGATTTTACGAAACACAAGCTAGAGAGGGGGCCACAGTAGACTTTCTCAAAGATGAGATGGCTCTTGCAATTCGAGGTCTACACCGTCGAGTAGCGGAAGTCTCACCAAATTTAACTTCGGAGTCCGGTAAAATGCTGCTACTTGACACCGAGAGTCTGATTCGCGACAATCAGCTGGATATCACTCGGAGGCTTTCCATTCTAGTCGCATCTCAAGAGCGATTCCAGGGCATAGAAAATATGATGCAGCAAGTGGATGAATCTGGTCAAGATTTTACCGTCGACTTTACCGATGACTTAGCCTCTGGATTGGATGTCATGAGAGATCTCAAATCTACCTCTAATCCAGGCAAGGTGACTAGCCTGGCAAGAAGTATACTCAGGTACTGCGAGGAAATAGACAAGCAATTCGTGGAGGCCTTTGGAGCTCAATATTCGTCGTAGCTTGGGAGAAGGCTGATACCTCGCTAGACTCTTTGTTTAACTCTAAGTGTGGCTAAATGCGAAGGAATGGAAGACAAAGTGCCCGCAAATGCCACCAACGTTTGGTCTTTACATACCTCTTGATTCCAAGTGAATGAATGCACATTCAATAATTGACTACGCAATTTAGCTCATCTTCTCTCAATTTAAAACATTCTCTTGTTTTCCTTGGTTGGTGCTTTTATCCACTTCCTTGAAAGATGCCAATGTCTTTCGATGGCTCCTGGAGTCTGAGCATTAGGTATTGAACTTAGCTTTGCTTGTTTCCAAAGAAAATCACTGATTTTACTGATAGTCTAGGAGAGGGATAACCTGCTACAGCGACTTTTCCTTTGGTTGTCAACATCAATTGATACTGGTTGAAAGTTAGCGGTTGTTCGGTAAAAATTATATTGGAGCCATCATCGCAGAATATACCCTCAACAAACAGGTAGCTTCATTCTGTTTACCGCAACTCTCACATCTTGTGACATATGTTTGTGCCAAGCCGGCTTCGACGAATCCCCAGGAGCAATGCTTGTGGCGTATTTTCTTCGTGATAGCCATGAAAACATGCTCTCACCGTTGTCTTTGTCATCAAAATCTAATTCCAGGGTAAGGATGTCAATCGCAGTACTTGGCTTCGCATCCTTGAAATCCTCATGGGCACCACTTGCACGAAGAATTTGGCATATTTCCCCGTAGTAAAATATCGTAGCCGCCACAAGTGGTGTTTTATATGTCCTGTTTCTGGAATCAACAGCCGCGCTCCACTTCTGCAAAAAGAAGAGAAGGAGATGCGGGGTGAGAGGTAGGCCCTATGCTCTCTATATAATAAAGTAGATGAAAACTTCACGGGAGGTTTGGAGCCAATTCACACGGGTGGATATCGATCGAGATCCATGAATCCAAGATTCTAATCATGCTCAGGATATCATGATGCCATTTATTGATTTGCTGTAGTATCAAGTTTAAGTTTTCAGGTAGATAGATGTTACGGACCGGCCAAGTCCAATCCTAGTCTCACGATAGTGATAACAGGCTTCCCTACCGGAAAGGGTAGGGGTAAGGACATCTGAGGGGCTTGCTGCTCAGGTGTCGAGAGTATGTAGGTTTTTTCGGTAGCCGGACTAAGTCCGTGACAGAACCGACTGCTGTATTTCCTTCAAATGTTCATTATTATGCCCTTTCAAGTCTACAACAAGACTCATATGTTTCCATATTAGGTCATACTTGGCAAGCATCCTGCGTTTAAGATAAAGTGTCCTTGGAAAGATGGGAAGAGGGGAGAGATCAGAGAGATGGTGGAAGAAGGAAAAGAAAGTGAAAAATAGAAACTGCGCATGAGTTCCAGAAATGTGAGAATGTACCTTCTGATGCATAGGCTGAATTTTCAGGTGGGTGGATATGTGCCCGTATCGCCCTGAAGAGGGCTGAATAGAGCGGCGAGCCGCCCACGCCCCAACCATGGGCGCTAGGTGAGCACAACCTTACACGGGACTGTTGTATGTTTTTTGTTTTTTCCCCCCCCCTTGATATTCTTCTTTTTGTTTCGTTGGGAAGTATCCTTGCCGCCCTGCCGCTTCAGCTCATTCAGCTCTTGAGTCTTGATATTAAATAGTGTCCGGGTCATAACTTAGGGCCCCTCGGATATGTTTTCCGGCTTCAAGATTTCGAGAGTAAACATTAAAGCACGCGAAGTAAAACATAATAAAATAACAAGACATGGCGCCGCGCGAACCGCGCGGCGGTAGGTTCCATGAAACGTTCAAGGAAGATGGACAACTGGTAGCATCATTGGAATCACCTGACCGTCCCCAAGACCGATTTTAGGGGCCGGGCCATCCAGATTCCAGAGACAAACATTTGAAGACTGTTTGGATCCACTTTGGGCCTCTCAGCCAATCAGGTGCTGCAAAAAAACACAGGTTCCTAAGTAGTAGAGGGCGGGAGGGATAGAGCAGAATAAATGTTGCTGGGAGTGTCTTACAAATTGGACTAAACACCGAAGTATGCGGCCTAGTCACGGAGAACAAGAATAGGATTTTAATGTTTTAAGTAGTAAGCATCTTCAAAACCCTGGTAACTCTTTATTCATGACCAATAGTCCATTCTCAATCCATGAATCAAATACAAAGTACTACCCAATCACAAAAACAAACCCAACTCCAACCCATGCTCTAAACATGCACAGCACCTAGTGCTCCATTCTCTCCATGCCAGTCTAACTTAACCTAACAAAAAAGAAACAAAAAACAAAAATTTCAAAATGAACAAAAAACCTTACATGCCCTCACACTCGCAAACGACCCAAGCAGCGCAAAGATCAACAACCGGCTTTCCAAGCTCAGCATAAGTCTCCTCCGAATCCAGCGCAACCTCCAGATCCCGCTTCTCCTCGGTGAAAGTGCAGACGGTTGTCTCCTCAAAGGCAGTCAGCTGCGCACTGGACGCAAAGACAAGACCGTGGTTTGCGACGGTGGTGTGGCCCCAGAGTTCCTGGACGGGCCGCTTGACGCCGTCGACGGGGATGATGACGTTGGCATTGGCGCCCGTGTGCTCGTTTGCGAGCTGGATGGTGGCTGTGTGGGCTGGGGGCCCGTTGGTGGGGGCTGCCAGGCCGGTGGAGGCGAGGGCAGAGATGAGGAAAGTGGTGGTGAAGTGCATGGTGGTGGTTTAATAAAAATACCGAAGGTAATTGATGGTTTAGATGTGCAGTTGGAGGTTTTCTTGAGTTTGAATTGCGTCCAGGGTTTGTAGGTAGACTTCAATGTTTCAAAGTGGAATTGATGGTCTTTTCGAGATGCAGACAGGAGGTTGATATAGGATTATCGTTCCCCATGTTGATTGTTCACGGCTGGGTTGATGGGATTCTACTGAAATCGGGATTGGTTGTTTGTTGCCGTTTCCGTCGATTTTGTGTCGGTGGTTGTTGCCCCACTCGCCGCATCTAGTCTAGACGGGGAAAACAAATTTGATAGTGCGTTTATATGGTCATTCCGTGGCTGGTGATTGGTTTAAGTTGCCTGTAGAGGTATAAGTGCCGACCAAGTGGGAAGTGTCAACATCAGAACATATCAAGTCGTGGATTTGATCGTATCTCGACTTGTAGGTTGTACGCCATGTCTTAACGGAGGCTTCACTTGACGTGTGTCAAGTGAATCCAGTCTAGGCCCGGGGATTTTCGAAAACGGAAACTTGGTCAGCGATCGCCAGTAGATCTTGTCTCACTAGTCATTACAACCCACATGAGAAGAACAGACCTTTCACTCGGAAATGGCATTCTGGAGTTTCCCGCCCCTTGAATTCAGGTGTTCAACCTGGACCTGACGTACATACCGTACTGTGGTTGGTCGGGAATCTAGGAATGCTGAAGTGGTGCGGGGACGAATGAGCTTGAGGCATGTGGGACTCAGTGGGAGTCAAGTAGAACTTGGAATTCAGGCAACAAGGCCGCCATCATAACGTTTTCAGTTCCAATCATGACAGGCCTCTCGCCGTTGGCATATTCCTTTTGTCATATTCCAGGTTTTGATCTCCAGACTGGCGTTTGGCCAATCGGAATACTGTCGGCTCTGCATTCTTTCCTGGGGCAAGTCTGGTATTCCCCATATATTTGCCATGCCCTACAAAGTTGGAGCATTCCCATGTCAAAATGGATGCCTGCTATTTTTACCTTCTATTTCTTCAATAACAAGTTTTCCCTTCGTTGCTTTCAATCAACTTCAAATGTTGATATAGTTGATAGAGTCTATAGACAGGTTTTTCGGTTTCGTAAGAACGGCCCTTGGGCGTTCAATGTTTCAGTCGACCTTATGCATTTACATATTTTTGGTCGCGCAAATCCTGAGGTCTGACCGGGGGCATTGATCTGTCTATGACACATTCCCCGCTTTGTAGTACCGGTTTACAATGAATCTAATCATTCGCCAATTACCACGGCCGTGGTGCAGCTATTCAATGTTCAAATGTTGTCAGGTCATCTGTAAGGTTAAACTATCCATGGATTAAGAGATCAGATGAGACTCCCTACGTCCCAAGCACTTGAGTGCTCCTGCCCGTGGACGTACATAAACATTTTAATAGACCTGGGGGTACCCTACCTGGAAGTGTACATACTATGCACTACTTGATACTTTACTATTATTTAATGCCTAGTACTTGGTACATACTTTCTCATTTTCGGTGCCTTTATCTTGTATCGGAATTTGATTTGCAGAATGGCATTGTATATAGAATCAAAATACTGGCATTGCTGAAACTTGGTGCGAGCTTCCCAATCCCTCCAAAAACCGTCGTAGCGCGTTTATCCATCATTGCCTTGGCTCCCGCAGGGCAGTCTCAATGTAGTTGTAAGGAGCTTAGGAGATGTCGTAGCAGTGAGTCTCCTCAAAGCAGGTATAGCTTCCACAGCAATCGGAATCGGTGCTGCAGAATTGGCCGACTGAAAGCCCAAGTCAATTTCTATCTCTTCTAGTAGCATGTGGGGCAAATAGTTCTACTTACACCCGGCACAACGCTTGTCCAAGACATCGCGTTGGAGGTTTTCGGCGCCAATGGCAGCGGCGCTGCTCAAAGCAGCAAAGGCTGCAAGGAAGAAGATCGAGATGCCCTTCATCTTGAGAGTCTGTGGATGTTTGTGGTAGGGTAGGATAGTTGAGAGAGTAGATTGTAGAGGTTGATGTGATAATGAGAAAAAAATCCCAACCAGGCAGAGGAGAGCATATTTATATTGTTCCCTCTCGTGGCCCTTTCCCTCATGAAGACTTGGACCCCATCCGACGGAGTCTGGTTTGTGGCTGTTCATTGAGATCTGCAGAGGAGTGCAAGGCTCGTGTCAGGTAGATTATGCATGGAAAATGGAAAGCGAGGCTACCGGATCACTGGAACGCGGAAAGAGCCGGGAGTTGATTGGATCGTACAAGCATCTCGATCCTGACGCAGGCATGCGGATCAGACTGAAAGTTCGCTATCTCACTTCATGTACTCCATGATTGGGTCGTGCCTGTTTGAACGATGACGATTAGTTGGAACCCAGATGGATTTTAAACATCAGATTTCGTAATCTTCATGCTTGACCTTCATTTTGATGATTTTGAAATAGTTGTTGTTGCTGAGATCTTCCAGAAAATCCATTTTATCTGCTAAAAGTAACGCATATCAATGAACGATAGCATATTTTTTATCCAGCCTCCAGTGTTCATTGCAGGATCGAGTCCAGACCATGGGTCACGTCAAGAGTTACTCAGGAATCAGGCTCGCGGCCCCCGCCATATGCAGGGGCTTGTGGGGTGGGGGCGTTTTCAAACTTCTGACTTCCGGGCGCCAGGGTCGCATTCTGGCCAACTGCTCCACCATGGAACCTTGGCATTTTACCCTGATGGGCAAGGAACAGCGGAGTGGTGTGTTTGGCGAGGCTGAAGTTCTGTAGTTGTGCAGTTGTGCAGTTGTGAAGTGGGATGATTCCAACATTGAAGTTCCGAAATCCAAACTCCACTCTGGGTATATCTCAGAATGGCCCTTTGTTTACTTTTCCCAAATGCTATCAATAGTACAACTGCGGGCTTGATCTTGTTCAAAGAATAATTTCACTCGCAAACCTTTTTTCCTTGATTTCTTACTCGATAACCAACTTGAAGTGAACAATCTAGATAAGAGAGATCCACACGCCACCTGAATCCTTCACACAGCCTTGCAACACTGCATGTTCAACAAGGACAATCGGATCGACAGGATTCGCTAAACAGATGAAGTCCGACCAGCCGTTCATTACAATTTTTACCCGGTCACAAATTTTGTCTTTCGACGAGGACACAGCAGTCATGAACGTACAATTTCCACCAAGTTCTTTTCCCTCTTTGAATCCTTTGTGATTTCCCACATCACGACCCCCAACGGGTATCATAAGGATCCATCACGCATTAGTCATACGACTCGTGCCCCAATGACCGTTCGTGCTCATTTTTGTGCGAATCACAACTAAGAATATATTCCAAGCCTCTCCAGACACAAAGAGTCTTGGAAGCTTCCACTGGAAGAGAACCGAAAAATATTTCTTCATTCTACCATGGGTGTCCAGGATGGGGTAATCTTTGTCTGTTTCGAGGACAAGCCTCGAACTGAACTTTGTTTTATCTTTGCAGAACAAAGAACAAAGGGGATGTAAGTGCGTTCAGGGAGGCAATTGGTCAAAATCTCGCTGAATATGTCCATCTAGGGCAGACGAGGTGTATCGGAGCCACCGTTTCTACTCTGATCTAATTTTGGCCACCTCAGATACTGGTAAGTAAGATTAAACTCATTGTTTAATTGCCGTCAACTATACTTAGAACCTCCTCGATCTCTGGCAGTGAAGCCACAATCAGCGGCGACATGGAAGAGGTTAAATACTGCCACGATATCCCCAAGATCGATTTTGAATTATTCAGACTTCTTGTTCAGTATATACCGCAATCCATCCCAAAGCGAAATTCACGCTCTTATTTCAACGTTTATAACAACGAAAAAAACCCACAGAAAGGTCTTTTCCTGATATTATTATAAAATGAGTGAACCTACAACTCAACAGCCAGAGTTGGTCTATGGCGAGGTCGAAGCCCGCGGAATTCAGAGACAGCACTGGATCGAAAATGCGCCCACAGACTCTGAAGTTTCATGTCCCATCGAGCCATGCACATTCAACTTGGCGGACCTCGACCCCGCATTCCAGAACACCGGCGGTCCAAACTACTGCCCCGAGGAGACCATGTCCGTCACCCAGGACGTCATGGGCGTCCGCGCCCCTCCAAGCGACACATGGAGACGATTCGACCTTCTAAAAGTCGATCCAGATGCCGAACCAGTCCAAGACGCAACCCTCTGGCACCTGCACAACTGGGAAGGGAACATCGCACCGGGAATCCTCTACATCGAGAACATCTTCCGACGGGCCGGCGCTTCATTCGAAGAGGCCGGGCCCCGCTCATCGCAGCTTTCGCAGGCCATCTACGAATCCCGTCACCCCATCGATACGCTGAAGCATATCATCTTCTGCGACGTTGTCAACAAGGAGACGAAGCGGTTCGTCAAGCGGCAGCTGTACGATGATGCGCTTTTTGATGAGACGGGTGTCGAGTGGCCGAGTGATGAGTTGCTGGCGTGGGAATATAATACACCCGCTTACAGAGGTATTCTTGGTACGCCGATCGGTGCGGTCGCGTCGTGGATTGTGCTGGGTGCGTTCAAGCGTGGAACGCATAGGATTGGGAGAATTTATACTTGTGGGCACTATGGTCGGTGCATGCTTATTCGGTTTGATATTGAGGCTGTTGAGCCGGTGATTGAGCCCACGAAGCCTAAGAAGAAGAGTGATAAGAAGGGCAAGCCTGAGAAGCCGAAGGGGAAGTCGGAGAAGAAGAGAAAGGTTGATAATGCGGATGATGAGTTGACTGAGGCTGTCGAGTTCAGGAAGAGCAAGCGTGAGAAGCCGAAGGGGAAGCCGGAAAAGAAGAGAAAGGTTGACGATGCGGATGATGAGTTGACCGACGCTGTCGAGGTAAAGAAGCGCAAGAAGCTTTGATTTCCGCTGGGGATCCTTCTTCTTTTGAATGTACTTCCTAGGTTTATTTAGATTACTCTTTGCTTATATAGTTGGTAGATATTCTGAATGCATAGCTCATAAATAGTTGTTGAAACATTGATAATTTTGCACGACACAATACTGATAAATTTCCAACAAAATCCCAAGGTTGAATTCAAAAAAGCCGAACTTGCACATTTGGCTATTGGAAACTGTGCACCTGTCAGGGTAATCTGAGGTACTAATAAGTATTCGGCATAACTGACTCATTATGTAACATACAAAGTGCTGGCCGTCCACTCAAATGGTAATGTGAGACTGAAAAACTAGTGGCCCGTCCCTTCAACGTGCTCATTCTGCTTAGCTTCCTCCACATCGTGCTCTGCAGCACCCAGAACGTGACCCTCAGGCAGCATGTTAAGTTCGTCTTCTTCGCGATCAAGCTGACGGTGGGTAAACCAGAAGCCCACGCATCCAACAAAAGCTAAAATTGCCGTAACGCCATAGTTCCACTCCAGCAAAGGATCATCAGCCAGAGCCACGAAAGCCTGACCCAAGGCGGCCGACACGGCACTCACGACACAGCCCATTGCAGAAACAAGCGACCTCATATTGCGCGGGGCCTTTGTGAATGCATATTCAAGAACCGTGATCGAGGTGAAGATCTCTGAGATACCTCCCAAAACATAGGGGACGGCTTGGACCCATACTGAAATGTTTGTATGTTTTCCTTCTTTTTCCAGGCAGTAGTTGGCATTTTTGCCACATGGTCCGTCCTTGTAGACGTAGTGCTGAGTCACCGCTGCAGCAATCATGGAGCAACCTGCTAGGAAAAACCCAGTTGTGATGCGCTTCAATGCTGTGAATTTAATTCCTCGGCGGCGAAGGGCTGGATAGACAAGTAGATCCATGATTGGAATGAAGACGATCAGGGTAATGGGGTTCAGGTTGTTGATGATATCGTTAGGCACACCCCCCAAGGACATTGTCGCCGCTTGAGATGTAAGATTGTTCATCTCTTGATTGTATGCCAGCCCTGTGGATACCGCATGGTCAGTCAACTATACACAATGAAAAAAGCAACAAGGGGGTAGACAGGGAGACTCACAGTAAAGTGGCAGCCAGACAAAAACTCCGCAGGCTTTGAATCCACGCCGAACCTCGTCCACCCATGCGTCATCGAAGTTCATCCATGGGGGCTTTTCCGAACCAAGACTACTGGGCTTGACACGGTCCCAGGAGTTCTCCGTGGTGTTTTTCTTTTTCAACCTGCACCATGTCAGCAACATTCATTCAATCCAATCTTACCAGGCCACTCACAGCTTCATTGGATTGAGCGACCACCGGCCTTTCATCTTCAAGCGCCATAGACGAAATGCTTGTGGGTAGACGGAGCCACTGGGTGGAGCATGGTAGTAGCGATTTTTGGCATAGAAAAGTACTGCTGGGCACAAGCAAAACATGAGAGTTGGTAGCAAAAATGATAGCCAGAAACCAACATAGCGCTCCGCATAGACCATGGCAATTTGACCAACAAGGGAGCCAACGTTGATCATCAGGTAGAAGTAGTTAAAGATCCGAGCGACCGTGGTAGTTGGATCGACAATGACACGTTCCCCGCTGGGAAGGACTCGAATATAGGCTTTGTCGTCGCGGTATTGCTCTGCAATTAAAGGGCTTATGTTGGATCTATGAAAAATTAGTATCAAAGCAAACAATAAGCGCACTTCCTTTACTTATATCCACCAGTTCCTAGTCCCATGATGATAATACCGATTGAAAAACACGCAATCGCACCATGGCTGTTTTCAATAACCTGGGGAATGGCAGACACGACCAATATTGCATGACCCAAAAACGTTAGGGCGAGAGAAGAAACAATGGTTCGGTATCGGCCCCAGTACTGATCAGCAATAAAAGCACCGACCAAAGGCATCATAAACGACCAAAACTGATTGACTTTTCTTCCGTCAGCTCGCTTCCCAAGTGACGAGCTCGATAACATCACTCACAGAGAGTTAGTGCAGTTGATGCACGTTGGCCCATGCCCAACGCCCCGGGCACATGTTTGTTGAAGTCTGTACCGGCGACAAGCGCGCCTGTGGTGGAGTGTTGTGGAAGAGGCCGTTGAATGAAGTTCACAACTGCATCGAATGTTAGTGTAATTTGAGTGACGGGGTTGCCATGAAATCTCACAAACTGCCGTTGTTCCATAGTAAGAGAATCGCTCGCATAGTTCCACAAAGGCGATGCTGTAAGTGACCCACGAGATAGATCCTGGGATACGGCGAAGGGAACGCAGATCTTCATCAGTGGGGTAAACCTTTTGGATGGGATTACCCGCAGGAGGAAGTGAGATAAGGTCACCACTGAGAGCTGAGTCGATGGTCGTGACATCTTCATGCTTGACCCCAGGAAGTTTCTCGTTCGATTCGTCGAGCAGTGGCCTGACCTTGGCGGTCCCAGTTGTTTCAATTCGATCTGAGTCATCCATCCTGGTTGGCAGATGATTGACGAAGGGGCTGTAGGGAAGGTGGGAAATATGTAGAGTTAGAAGGAAAAGGGATAAAGGTGACAGAAGGTTGAAGGGATAAACAGAGAAGAGAGAGAGGGTTGCAGCTTCTGGTTTTCTGCGGAAGGAACGTGATGTGACTACAACACCATCACTCTGTCCTGCTTCCAACCTTTTCTTTTCTGGTGCCTTTTTCGTCTTATTTGGCAAATATCATGTTAGAAAATCGCGAATTTCTTTCAGGAATCAGCTTACTTTCTCTGGCACGTCAAAACGTGATGAGTTTACCCAATCCTTTACCTTGGTTGATTCAAGAGGAGAAGGCATATTCAATGTTCACCTGACTTATCCCATCATGTTGAATCCACTGATCACACGGGTTATTTCCTAGTTTAACTGATGATCCATGGTCTATGTTTCTTCGTTTTGATCTACCTTGGCACTCATAACACGTTTGACTGGTTAGGTTACACTGCGACCATGATTCTCGGATCTTAGCGTGACACAACAGACACCGAGAAACCATCCCTTTCAAGTGACATGTGGGAGACATTAACTGGCTCACGACACTGTACTCTATCAGCGTGATACTTACGTATAGAATACTCCACTTGTATTTGGTCTCTGCGAACTCGACCTGGGTGGTCCTTTGGTTTGATTTCACGAATTCCTATATGTGCGTAGCTGTAGTTGACTCCATTAAGCTTGGTGATATTCAGCTGGAGTCTGGAAATCAGTACCTGGAGCTCTCAACTTTATTTGATCGAGTAAGAGGTATTGAGATACTCAACCCCATCGACGCAGTATTCACGAGGCCGATACCCACGGATACCAAAGAACCTTTCCAATGCCTGGACTTTGAGCACTTTATCAGATGCCGTTTTTGGTACTTCCTCTCCGGCTTTCAGGATGCATAGAAGCGCAGGCAGTTTATAACGCTCCAAGCCTGTAGAAAGGTCATCGTGGATTCTTTGCAGATTGATATCTGAGTTTCCACAGTTGAGACGAACAAGTGCTGCAGGAAGTCCTCTGGTCTCGTGGTCAAGAACAGGAAGAACGTGCGCCTCGGATATGTAAGAAAGGCGCATGAGGTGTTCTTCTAGTTCCAAAACAGAGATCTTGCGGTCAAGAAAATTGATCCCTGTGTAACATCCAGTTAGCTTTTTGAAGACGCCCTGTATAAATTTCCAAGGTTGAGCAGGAGGAGGTTCGTACAGTCAGAGTCTACTCTCCCTTCAAAGAAATAAACGCCTCCGTCGCGTCGAACGAGATCTCCTGTTCTGTAGAATCCATCTTCATCGAACACCTTCTTTGTTGCTGTTTCGTCATTGAGGTAGCTGTCAAATATCAGCATATGTGAGACAGAAATCCACGAGGGAGCCCTACTGTGTGAACATTCGAGAAGACTTGACAAGCAATTCTCCTTCATCTCCATTTGATAGCTTTATCTCTACCCCAGGAGCAGGCATTCCAATGCACCTCTGAACAAGTCAGTAAATTAAACCGCAGTGTCAGATGCTATAATCAAGGCATAACTCACATCAACATATTGCGCATCAACATCAGACGCTAGTGCCATTCCACCAAGTTCACTCGATCCATAAACGTTCCTGATCTTCATCCCCGTGAGGTCGATCCAGAACTGGGCCGTGTCCGGGTTCATAGCTGAGCCGCTAATCGTGGCATTCCGGATCTTTTTCACCCCGGACACATATGCCTCGCGCTCATCAGCAGGAAGCTCGCAGATTTTTACTCGATAATAGTCCTCTAGGCTTTTGAACATCGAAGAAGAGAGAGACACATCTGTAACAGTACCCAGCTTGAAGATCTCCCAGAACGTAGCTGTGTCGAATGAGCGCCGTGGCCAGTGAATCTTCGTGCCACGCAGGACCCGCGCAAGGAGCCCGGATGCGCCACCCATCCAGTGAACAGGGCGGAAAGCCAGGAACTGACGGTCAGAGTCTGCGATGCCGGAGAAAAAGAAAGTTCGGCGAGGAACAACAACACATTTGGGACGGCCGGTGCTGCTCCCGGAGGTCTGACTGACCAAACATGATTGGAGTGGATCAATCGACAGCTTCTCATCCACTTCGAAATCGAAACCGGAGGCGGACTCGCATCCTGAGTTCCGTTCAATCTGGATTGTCTTGATGTTACTTGCATGTTCTTTGATAACAGCAACCTGTTGAATGGTGTTGGGATCGTTCAGAATAAATGTCACATTGGCCGTGTTCAAGAGTCTGAGAGTCTCTTCGGGTGCGGCCTTAGTTGCTATGCAAAGTATCAATAATATGTAACCAAAGAGGTCGGGCAGAGCTTTCAGTTCTCTCGTTCACTTTGGGCCCTTCCCGCAGTTGAGAGCTTGGGCTGGACTCACGCAGTGGTACACATGTTCCCCCCAGCGCGGCTATCGCAAAGAATGCCACCAGAAAGTAATATCCGCTTAGTGAGATGGTCGCGATGAAACCAGTGTCAGGCCGTAACAAGCCCCTGGCGTCGTAACAGTCAGCGGAGAGCTCTGTGCGCAGTGTGTCGCGCAGACGACTAATATCATTGAGTAAGTCGGTGGGGCTTGCATCAATGCCATAATCGTCATGGATTAAGACTCCCTGCACCGACTGCCTGAGCCGGAGCAGGTTGACGAAAATAGGGTCGTGTGGAAATTTATTCATGTCGAGCTGTAAGGGATCTGAGCAGTGAATGTGAAATAGGTAGGGGTTTGTTTAGGTTTATTTATTATACAGCTTCTTTCAAATGTTGGGATGTTTTCTGCAAATCAATGGCAGCGGGTATATATGGGCCTGCATACGGCGTACAGAATGTACGTAATATTCACTCCCATAGATAAGAATAGAAGTAATTTAAGAGGCAGCAGAAAAAATAGATTAATGCACAAGTAACGTTTACACAATACATTTCACGTAATAGAAATACCAGATCCAAAGTGGTTTAGATCAAGTGCCGATCCTTTGCAAGATACCCCACTGTTCCCACAAGGGGTTCATGTTCAGGGGTTCGTCCTGCTTCCTCCGTACCAAGATTTGCCGATCGATCGATGTGTATATAATACGGTCATTTATGTAGAGACTTTCAGCATACTCCGTATCCCAGTAGAGTGATCGACACGGAGCTGAAAGTTGAGTGGGGCGCACAGAGCAAAACCTGATTCTATTAGCGAATTTTGGGAGAAAGAAGAAAATTCAAAATAACATTTGAAACAAAAGGTGATATTTACCTTCGTCTTTCAATCCATTAGAATATTGTCTGTTATATGTTGGTTAGTTGGGAAATTGGTTCCAATGTACAAACAACCAGTTAACTCGATGGTTTGGGGAGGTCAACACTGAGTAAACCCTTGAAATGCCTCAATAGAAACCTCGGGAAGATACATACATGCACGTACCGTATTCTGTATATGCGGGACCTCACTAGTGGTACTGTCACGGTGGATCTTGCATCCTCTGCAACTAAATTCCGAGCCGCGCGATCAGAGCCAATGAATGGGCTTACAAGTTTTAAATGACTTTCGATGGAAGCTTTGGAATAGCCTTCTTGGCATTGAAATTAAAATACCTACTACGTGTACTACTCCGTATTTATAAAAATTTATGGATGGACGCGAATACCCTTTTTGCGAGCAGCGATCATCCCATCCAGCAGCATTAGACGACGAGTATTTGATCACAAGATGCCGGGATTATACGCAGATTCTGTGGTGGACGTGGGAAATGTGGAAGCCAGTGACAAAACACGCACCCAAATCAATTTTCCAAGCGACCCATTTTTCACCAAATTGCTCGCTAGAGCTAAGCAACGCGGGGATTCCACTATCATCAGCGATAATACCATTTCAGCACAGGTTAGCTACCGTCAACTTCTACAGGACGTGGACAATCTACGCCAATCACTCCGGCGCCGACTCTCACCTGGTTTGCTGGATGTCAACGGGACTCTAAACAATGGAACCTGTATTGCTGTTATCGCACGCAGCGGGTATAGATTTATCGTGGCTTCTATCGCTATTTTTGCCCTGGGCGGCATCATCTTACCTTTGAGTGAGCCAGTCCTTCTCGTCTATACAAACGATATGTTATACTGAACTTGAGGAATAGGTCCGGGCTATCTTGCAGAGGAGGCACTCCATTTCTTGCAAAAATGTAAAGCAGTGGCGATTTTATACGATCCTGATTCAGCCGTCTCGGAGCTGGCGCGCAGCATCGTCAACGCACAGTCAAATGATTTGGAGCATCAGGTGCTCCCACAGATCCCGATCAGAATTGATCCGAGCTCGAGTTTGCAGCAGACTCTTAGCTTTGCCAGTGTTAACACGACAGCGATTTCCCCTGATCGTCCTGCTCTTTATCTGTTAACCTCCGGGACTACAGGCACTCCCAAGGTCGTGGTGCACTCGCGCAGGATTTTCAACGCCCAACCAGAGCCGAATTACGATGCGGAGGACGTCTTTCTCTCGAACCGCGCATTTTTCTGGGTTGGTGGATTTCGAGAACTGATTGGTGTGCTGCTGAGAGGTGTGCGTGTTGAGCTCATTGATTACAAGTCGAACGCGGATGCGATCTGGAAACGTATAAGCAGGGGAGATATCACCCGCGCGTCTTTTCTTCCAAGTGTCTTCAGTAACATGATAAAGCTTTGGGAAGAGAAGATAGCCTTGCTGCCTGACCATGAGAGGAGGCCGTATGCAGACGCGGCTTGTAGGCTGCGCGGGGTGAAGTATGCTGGTGGGCTAGTCCCGAGCTCTATTAAGAGATCTTGGAAGACTTTACTTCCAGAAGTGAGAGTTGAGGTCGAATATGGGGCAAGTGAGTTTGGCATGGCTTCATTCAGTTGTTGTATTGATGGGGAAGATACTATCGAGGTAGGTCGACTAGGAAGCTAAAGTCCAGCCTATTATGCTGCTAATAAGGTATAACATAGTCACATTATCTTGGAAGACCACTTCCTGGGGTCACATTCAAGCTGGGAGATGACCAATCTGATATGGGGGAGCTGCTGGTCAAGACCCCTACTCAATTTACTAGGTAAGTCTGCTCAATTCAGATTGAAAAAGAAGCGATAGTTAACAGAGGCTTCCTCCAGCTACTTGGATGGTCCAGAGGCAACCAATACCAAGATTGACGAAAATGGATTTTTCCGAACAGGGGATCTTGGCAGACGGGCGGAAGATGGTCGTATTATTATTGAGGGACGAGTAACGCCAGACTGTAAGTTCGTGTGAAAAACCTGCCAACACTTCCTCGCTAACCGTGCTCAAGTCATCCGCTACCGTGGACTAAGGGTCCCCATCCTTGAGGTGGAGGAAAACCTTCTAGCTCTCCCATATATCTCCGAAGCTTATGTGGTTCCTATTCTGGACGTCTTTGCAGGAGGATCGCAGGTGGCTGCAGTCGTTCGTTTCCGCAAGGATCACACCAATAACACGGCTGCATCAAGTCCATCGCTACACGCAATAAGGGCAGAACTTTCGTCGTCTTTGCCTGATTTCAAACTTCCAACGCTTCTTCGGATTCTGACTGACGGTGAAGACATTCCCAGATCACAAGCTGGCAAACCGGCTCCGAGGGATATTGCAACTGTATTTTTCCCGCAGCCAGATGAGGGCGTGCTGAATGGACTCCCTGATGACGTTCAATTTTGCAACACGGCTACCAAGGATGGCCCAGTGGCTTGGGGCTTGGGGGCGATGCGGTGCTGATCAACCATTCAATAGAATATGTATGTTCCGACGCATTTCAACATTGAAGATTTCAAGGAGTTGAGTGTACATACATGTATCTATTATGAATATATCGGTGGACCATAGAATATACGCAAACACAACATTTGAACGCCTGGCAGCTCTGGACATCTGGAGATAAACCCTCGACATATACATGGATATACTCAACTATCTGGCCAAGCAACTCCCATTCTTTTCAATGTGTGTTTCTAGTGTAGGGTATATTTTAAATCTGATTGTACGAGGATGAGCAGTACGTGTGGAGACGTTTGTATGGAAGCTTTAGAATGACAGCGCAGTTTGTTGCTAGTCCACGGGTGACATAAGATAATCCGTACGGAAAGGCCCACGTATTACTTGGTACAGTACCTTGTAATCACCAATAACTCCTTGCAACTTCCAGGTTTCATTGACGCTGTGGCTTGGAATGAAAATGCCAAGAACAGCCGATCGTTCTTCACCGATCTTTCATTATCGCGATTGCCGAACTCATTCGCCGAACACGACCGTGCGAGGTGGGGATCAAATACACGTGTTGGGATGTTCAGCCGTCACGAACCTGCAATCTTCAGCTATAGTGGGGCTAGCAGACGAACGACCCACCCAGTTCCGGTCTGTTACGACCGTACATCAGTACCACTAGCGGCAAAACAACATCGAAACACTTGAATAGCTACTCCGTAAAATTCATTATTTTAGATAATAAGATCCACTCTGGAGTGTTTCGGGATAGCTTTATACGAGGCGATCGGATTAAAAACAATAGTATGTTTCAAGTGTTAGAACTGGTGGAGAGTTTGTTTGTATTCCGATCAGCTTCACATATACACGTATTCTTGTACAGAGTAACATGTCTACACGTAGGCCTTGGCAGACTCCACGAAAGGGATAAGGGAGAAAGATTAAAATTTCAAGCTTGCAAATGTAATACATCTCTCCTGCATAAGGACGGTATTCACCTGGAAATTTCCTACGTCTTAGATCGCTTGGTCTGAGCACGTTGTATCAAGTTTGACCTGCCACATACAGAACCTTTCAAACACGAAAAAAAAACTATAATTGTTTGATGGGAATATAAAGAACGCGTCAAATTCCCGTCCAGCCATCGGAGATCATTGGGGAACCTTGTAAGCGAACTTCATCATGACTGTTTCTATGACTGCGCCTGCTATGTCTCCGCCAAGAATGCTTCCTTTAGGAACAAGTCAACCCCCCGGCGACAAATATGTGTGTCTAGCCAATATTCCTCCCTTCTTCGATACTCACATCATCAATACTAATGACATAGGTGACCAGGCAGTGAGCGTGTCGTTGCCAACATGGGACTCGGTCCCCGGCCGACCCCGTGGCTACAAGTGGGTGATCGAGAAACTGCAGGCAAATTATCCCAGGTTAGTGAATATACGTATCACATAATAGTGGTCGGGATCCTGACTAACTGATTTAGGTTCGGCCTTGGCAGCATCGTGCAACAGCTAACCAGCGCTGTCCTGGAGCGGTGTGCAATCCCATCAGAAAATATGCTTTGCCTTGTGTTTTCCTCCAAACATGCAGCAAGGCGATGTATATTGTTTCTTCAGGACCACCATAGCTCGGACGTTCAAGCCGATGTGGTATCATTCTACCTATTCCGCGAGACTACTAGCCCAAAAAGCACAAGTTGGGACAGATTCTACGCTGTGATATGCGATGCTGATGCCAAGGTGGCAGCAAACGAGTTTTGGTCTATATTTGGCGACGGCCTTTCTACTCGACATGCCGAGTTTTGTCTTCAGCTCTGGCCAAATATGTGCTCTGAGCCTGATAATAAATTGTTGCAGTTCTACACTAGCACCGGTACTGACACTGGCACTAGCAAGATACCTATCCCGATGCTCAAGTCGTTAGTTGCAGGACAAGCCGCGAAAACAGAGATCAAGGATCGGATTGCGGAATTGATTGCGTCTGATAATTCTGAGCTCACTCCCCCATCTGCAAGAGATGTCTTTCTTTACACAAACGGGATGTCCGCTATATCTGCCGTGTCACGGGCCTTGGTACCAGAGAAAAAAGAGACATCAGGAGCAGTGGTATTCGGGTAAGCACATGCAAACAAGTTCTAGTTCAATCGGCGACAAAGGGAAACTGACTCTGCTTTAGTTGGCCCTACGCTGAAAACCCAAAATGTGTAAGCCAATCGGGCTATGAACGCTTTACACTCTATAATAAGGGAACAACAGATGAGCTGGATCAGCTAGAAGAATCACTCGCGTCGGGATCACGCATCCGCGTCTTGTTCTGCGAAGTCCCGTCAAATCCACTCCTTCGAACTCCTGATCTCGATCGGATCCGAAGTCTCGCAGATCAGTACGACTTCATTGTTGTCTGCGATGAGACGCTTGGCACATTCGTGAATGTGGACATCCTGCCATACGTCGATGTGGCTGTCACAAGCCTAACTAAGATATTCAATGGCGGCGCAAACGCCATGGGCGGGAGTGCCGTCGTCAACCCGGCAAGCCGCCATTACAGCGAAGTCCACGCAAAACTTACAGCCATATATGAGGACCTCCTTTTCCCGACTGAGGCGCTTGTCCTCGCCGAGAACTCACGAAATTTCCAAGCACGCGTCCGCAAATCTAGCGCCAATGCCCTTACCCTCGCTACTTTCTTATCATCACACCCGAGTATCGAGTCCGTGCTTTACCCAGCCTTGATACCTACCAGACAACTTTATGATCGCTATCGTCGCAGGAATGGAGGGTATGGGTATGTGTTGAGTCTTCTGCTACGGGAGCCGGACGATGCGATAAGGTTCTATGACAGTCTTGATATGCGCAAGGGGCCAAGTATTGGCACAAATTTTAGTCTGGCTATTCCGTATGCACAGCTCGCCCATGTCTTTGACCTGGATTGGGCTGAGTCCCAGGGGATTCCAAAGCATATTGTTAGACTGAGTGTTGGATTGGAATCGGAGGATGATTTGGTGAATTGTGTTTCTAGAGCGTTGGAGGGTTTGGCATCCCCTCAGCCCGTCCTTCAGTCACTCTTATAAATGTTGAGGCGAAATAACACTCCACGTTTGCCTCCGATGTTTCAGCCCCCAAAGGTAAACATGCGGATGCGCCACCAACATACCCCGCTCAAAAGGCTGTTCCTGACATGTAGCATTACTTTTCCCCTTTTTCCCACCATAAACTTCTGGCAATAGCCACTGAATCTATAATAAATTGTTGTTCATTTTTGACTTAAATGATCACAGATCATCCCACGTTTTGCAATGTTTCATAAAGACTCTTCGCGACAAGACATGCAAGACATCGAATTGCGACCAATGTACAAGAGGGATCTGGATCCTCTGATTAAAAATGACACTGAGGCCAACCTAAGAGAGTTTGAATCTGACCAAAAACCCCATCAAGATTCCCAGACGCTATGTGAAAAAGCCAAATCAAAACTAAACCATAGTAACGTTAAACTCCAGGGGTGGAAGTTTACTTCCTTCGTGGCGGTCATAACAAGCTTAGTTGTTCTATCTTTCAATCTGGGCTTTCTCCTTTACACGACCGCACATCACACAGACAGAGTTCTATACGAGGGAAACTGCACCAAGGTGCATCGTTTGAGCATCGCATTCCATTTGATTATCAATATTTTGAGTACTCTCCTGCTAGGCGCGAGTAACTTCGGCATGGTATGTTCATTTTACTTCGATGTTCTAATGTCTCTCAGATGAGTCTAATTGGATTCGATAGCAATGCTTAGTGGCACCAACTCGATCAAACATTGACAAAATACATCAATCGGGCCGCTGGCTAGATATAGGTGTTCCCAGCATTCGAAACCTTTTCCGCGTTTCTTACAAGCGCTCGTTCTTATGGATATGTTTGGTTGCTTCATCTCTCCCTCTTCATTTGATGTATCGGTACCCTCCTGTTTGAGTACAACGGCTTATCAGTCACTGACCAGCATCTTGTAGGTATAATTCGGCCATTTACGCTACAACTGCGGCGTCTGCCTATGACATTTTCATTGGACCTTCCTCTCTTACGGAAACCAGCTTCTCTGACCTACGCCTAAATATCACATATGGAGCGGTTTCTTCCTCGGCGAACTCCTCTTTTGAAGAACTCTACTATTCTGCGAAGAATGAAACGCTAGTCTATCTGAACAACGACGATTGCCTAGACGCTTTTGCGCAAACATATCAGACGACCTACAGAATGCTCTGGCTTGTGAGCGACACCTATGAAGAAAAACATAATTACACTTTAATGTACACGAACGGTGTTTTCAACCCGACCGATTACAACACTAGATTAGGTCAAGGCCCATACGATTGGATATGCGGTGGTGCCACCTGCGACAGCGGTTCAGTGTCTGCAATCTGGGAAGAGATGTCCCAGGTTCCTTGGACAGTAAGTGGAAGTTCGGAGTACGCAATGGACGACGTTGTCGAGTATTGTATGGCAATGAGCAAATCTCAGCATTGCAAGCTGCAATACTCATTGGTGCCTACAGTGGTGGTAATCGGCTGCAATATCTTCAAAGCTTTTATTTTAATCTATATGTGGCTGGGAATATCCGAAGCTCCCATGCTCACTATCGGGGACTCTATTGCGTCTTTCCTCAATCGTCCGGACCCCCACACGAGGCGAGGCTGTCTACTGACTCGCAATCAAGTGAGATTCATGGATCAAGGTCCCTCAGGATCCCTCACTTGGAAGCTCTTTTCTGGATCAAAACCTTTCAATGATAAGCGAAAGCGCTGGGGAACCGCAGCATCTGGTCGCCGGTGGGCATTCAGTCTATTCTTGTAAGTCCAATGCGCTCAATAATATCTACCCGGATACTCTTCCTTTCGTTTTCCTAACCCCTCTTCAAGCTGGCTCCTCTCAATCATCGTCTGCATTGCTCTTCTCAAAACCGCAATCAATGCAATTCAGGGTACGGTATCCGACCAAACGCCCTGGGCTGCACCACTAGGTGCCGCTGGTGGAAACAACTTGATACATGGCGACAGCTGGCCGACCAGTGTTCTGGCCAATGTGATAATCGCCAACTTGCCACAACTGATTTTCTCTTTCCTATACTTTGGCTTCAATAGCCTCTTGACTTCAATGTGCCTTGGTGCGGAGTGGAGCGGCTATGCACACAGCTGCAAATCCCTGCGCGTTTCCAACAAGCCACAAGGCTCTCAGAGAAGTGACTACTTTCTCTCAATCCCCTATCGATATGCCCTGCCTTTCATGGTCATGACCATCACTATACACTGGCTTATCTCCGAGAGCCTTTTTATGGTGGGAATCGAGGCATGGGATGAGAGGATGGTTCGTGCTCCCGAAAGCGACCTTACAACCTGTGGCTTCTCGCCCATCGGCATTGTGAGCTCGATATGTGTCGGAGTATTCATGTTTTCCTGCCTCGTTGGGTTGTCCTTTCGAAGGTTCGAATCCGCTATGCCGGTCGCGGGGGGTTGTAGTTTGGCAATTTCTGCTGCCTGTCATCCCAACTTTGATCCTAATCGCCATCCAGCGGGTGAGCCTGGGGACTTGGACCTGGAGATCGAAAACGGGGATGATAATATGGGGCATCTGCCCGTCCAATGGGGAGCAGTACCCGTTGATAGTCCTATTGGACATTGTAGCTTCACCAGTGGCCGGGTTGAGTTGCCTGATAAGGATAGGGAGTATGAGTAGAACATAACCTCGTACTTGATTGATGCATAGCCAGCACTCCTGGTGTCTCTTGCTAAATTGTAAGGGATTCTCTTTTACTCTCCATCAATTCTGTGGTGCCCCTATTCATCCATGAATATAATTGGAACTGCCAGTTCTGGATTCTTGGGACCTGCCGAGGTCCCATGGGAATCACTTCTCTCAACCGCACTGTGCTACCTCGAACAGTTGAATACAAAGTTAACAGCACTGTATACTACTACCTAGCACATGGTCTGAATTAGGTTAGTCCCATACATAGAGTGTACTATATAGCCGTCACCGGGTGGGCAATTGTATTATAATCTGTTACTTTCTGTTCCTCTTGAATCACATGACCATGTTTGTGTCAGTGCTTCTTCTTTGTTCTAAATAGCAGGCTTTGTCTCGCTTCTTCCTTCCTCCTTCAAACAATCAACAATCCATATTCATTCCTTTGCTTACTCTTCCTCGTTAGATTCTATGAGTTCCCACTCTTCAATCATCCGGGCATCCCCATCTACACTCAGAATAGAGACATGATGACCCTATCGGAAGGAAGTGCCAGGTCTTTTACAGAACTGTAAGTGCAAGAGGTAAAGAAGTACCCAAACATTGTGGCGCTTTCTAAATTCTCGTTTCACTCAGTCGTCTTCCACTGTATCATGGTCCTACCGTGAAAATCCAGATACGCTCTAGCCACCACGAATATGAGGTTTCCAAAAACATCCTTTGCCGAAACTCCACCTACTTTGCGGCAATGTTTGAAGGAAAATTTCAAGAGGGAAGACAGCAGACAGCAACGCTCCAAGAAATGTCAGGCGTGGTTTCGGTTCGAAGTTTCGAATCACTCATACAATGGTTATATCTAGGCATTGTTAAATTTGATTACAACGGACCAGAGGATGGAATATCAGCTGCGATAGAGCTTGTCAGACTGGCAGATATGTGCAATATCACAGGCATGGAATGCTCAATGGCTCAGCATATCAAGGATATCCTTGTTGCCAATCCCGAGCCTCGGCGATCGTCTAAGAACTCAGACCTGCATCACTCTCCCAATACCTATTGCCTCACACGAGAACATATTATCTCGACAACGAATTTGCCTGTGGAGCATCCAGTACGTCGGGTTGTAGAGAGAGCTTCGTTAGATGCTTTTTTGAATGTGCAAATTATAAATTTCCACAGGATACTCAGGGATTTCCCAGCTTTGCAGTGGACCTACTTCATGAAGTCGATCGGCGCTGAATGAGCGCACAACTTTCCAAGACCCTATCAGCGGCGAAGAATTGCTCATTAGCTCTAATAATCTGGCCTTTCCATAGTGCTTGGATTTCATCTCGGTCTTTTACAGTTGCTTTATGTCGCCAATCAGGAGTCACGAGGCTGAACGGAAGGTTCTCAAAAGGCATCAGCGGGTGTTCAGTTCAACGAGGGTCCAGATGTCGCTTGGAAAGAGTTTAGTCGCTACAAAATCCGTATCATAATAGACGTGCTAGGTGTGAATTTTTGCCATCTCTCAAACCAGTTGTGTTTCAAAATATACCGAAAAACTGTATCTGGAAGGATATTTTCGGGCAAGCAAAATCACTGAACCACATCGATCATAAATAAGCTGTGCCATTATGGGGTACTGTGAAGAGATATGTCATCAATCATGAATTCTTCTATACGACTGAACATTTTAATTCAGTTATCTGCTAGGATTTGAAGTCTCATTGAATTCTTTCCAATCTCTCCACGTTCTCACAACTTCCTCATCCAACTTCTCAACGTTGGAAATATCACGCTTGCCGTCCCTCAAATTATCCATTTTTGCACGTGCCACCCATTCGCCGTCCGAAGAATCCAAGCATTTCAGAATTTCTCCCACCAAATTCACCGCGCATTTCGCGATTCCGCCTCTTTATTACGTTTGGCACTGCCTTCCAACCCATACAAAACATCCTCCGACATGCCAGGAATCACCATGTCGAACGTCTCCTTGATGACAGTGTACTGGTAATATCCGCAACGTGCGAGTGGCTTCGTCTTTCGAACGTCTAAGATCCCGTCTGTCAGAGCCTCATCCTTGATGTGCACTGCCACCACCCGACCGATCACAATATCCACTGTCCCCATAGGGGGATTGCCCGGCAGACGCACAGTCGAGTGGTATTCACATTCGAATTTCACCGGTGACTCCTGAACCATGGGAACATCCATCAGGGTAGCTGGCTCTTTGGCCAGGTTGGCTCGCTCGAACTCATCTACTCCGTATGGAACCTGCTCCGCCGAAATATTGACCGCTTCACGCAGATCCCATGTGGCCAGGTTCCAAACAAAGTGCCCGGTTTGCTCGGCATTCACGACCGTATCCTTTCGATCACCATTCACCGTCTGGTTTGAAGAAAACATCACGTAAGGAGGGTCAAACGTGAGATTGTTGAACTGCGAGTACGGTGCCAAGTTGGCCTGTCCTTCCTTGTTCTGGGTTGAGATCCATCCGATCGGACGGGGCACGACGCATGCCTATTACGCTTGTCAACAATGGGAATCGTGATATGTTGATCGTTCGGCTTACCTTGAATGGATCATGTGGGAGATTGTGGTCGGTGACTCCAGGTTGGTAGAACATGATGTCTGACTCAAGAAGATTGTTTGATGTCCGCTCAGATTTCTTATTTCGGAGTCTCGAAAGCGTACACGGGTCACTGGGATATTTATATATCCCAATGTTCCCACTCACTCATCTCCCGCAGTAGCCGGGAATATGTGCCGACGTACACGGGTGATCTGCACCCGTCATTCTGTTGCCCACCAACACCGCCATGGTCGGCAATCATTCCGTCTTCGCTTCACACAAGCGTGGCTTCAAGACAGAGCGCGGGGCGGCGGGGGAAGGAGGGGGGACGCGCAGATCCCTGCCGCATAAAGCGCTAAAATGATGTGGGTCGCTCGGACGCTCGGATCTCGGAGCTCGGAGCCTCGCCTCAACATAGAATATTGCGAGACCCGAAGGTGCGGCATGCCGAGATACTGCTTTGTGCAACAAATCGGCCCTTGTACAAGAAACAGGGACAAGTGGTTCGATCCGACTTTGCCGGATCGAAACTAGTTTCGAAATATATAAGCCACCATCGTTGTACTACTGAAACTTTCCAAATCACTTCGATCGTCTTTCTACATCTACAAACATCCCGACTTTACTTTCTGCCTCTTCAAGTCTAATCCTACACAATGGTTGCCAACGAGCCCCATCTTTGCTTCCGATCGTTTGTCGAAGCCTTAAAGGCCGACAACGACTTGGTCGAGATCAATGACCCGGTCGATCCTCATCTCGAAGCCGCTGCAATCACTCGTCTTGTCTGCGAGACTGATGACAAAGCTCCCTTGTTCAACAACGTTATCGGCGCACAAAACGGTCTATTCCGTATCCTTGGTGCTCCTGGCTCTCTCCGGAAGTCCTCCAATGACCGCTATGGCCGACTGGCCCGTCACCTGGCCCTGCCACCCACGGCCTCCATGAAGGAAATCCTCGACAAAATGCTGTCCGCCAGCGAGATGCCTCCGATCCCACCTCAAATCCTCCCGACTGGTCCTTGCAAAGAAAACTTTCTGGAGGAGAGCCAGATCGACCTGACCAAGCTGCCCGCTCCCCAAATACACGCAGCCGATGGGGGTAAATACATTCAGACATACGGAATGCACATCGTCCAGTCGCCTGATGGCTCATGGACTAACTGGTCCATTGCTCGTGCTATGGTTTCGGATGACAAGCACCTGGTTGGCTTGGTCATTCCCCCACAGCATATCTGGCAGATTCATGAGATGTGGAAGAAGGAAGGACGTGACGTCCCTTGGGCACTGGCTTTCGGTGTTCCTCCTGCAGCCATCATGGCATCCAGCATGCCCATCCCTGATGGTGTTACAGAGGCTGGGTACGTTGGCGCCATGACCGGATCAGCCCTGGAGCTGGTAAAGTGTGATACCAACGATCTCTACGTGCCCGCGACTTCCGAGATTGTCTTTGAGGGCACCCTGTCTATCACTGATAAGGGACCAGAGGGACCATTTGGTGAAATGCATGGATATGTTTTCCCTGGCGATACTCACCCGTGGCCCAAGTATAAGGTCAACCGCATTACCTACCGTGATGATGCCATTCTACCCATGTCTTCCTGTGGTAGACTGACTGATGAGACTGTAAGTTTCTCTCTTTGATTTTTTTTTTTTTTTTGATTTCTCTTACTGACCCATATATAGCATACCATGATTGGCGCGTTAGCTGCTGCTGAGATCCGCAAGATTTGCCAGAACAGCGGTCTGCCCATTACCGATGCTTTCTCGCCCTTCGAGTCACAAGTCACTTGGGTCGCCCTCAAGGTTGATACTGCACGCCTTCGGGAGATGAAGACCACCTCCAAGGAGTTCTCCAAGAAGGTTGGAGATGTGGTGTTCAACCACAAGGCCGGGTACACCATTCATCGCCTGGTTCTTGTCGGCGACGATATTGATGTCTACGATGGCAAGGATGTCATGTGGGCCTTCTCCACCCGTTGTCGTCCCAGCCTCGATGAAACCTTCTTCGAAGATGTTCGCGGATTCCCGCTCGTCCCCTACATGTCCCATGGCAATGGATCACCCACCCAGGGTGGTAAAGTGGTCTCGGACGCACTCATGCCAGCCGAGTATACAACCGGTCGCGATTGGATTGCCGCAGACTTCAAGAACTCATACCCTGAGGAGCTCAAGAAGAAGATTTTGGGTAACTGGACCAAGATGGGATTCCGTGAGGAGTAGATTTGCGATATTTGTATTTAACATCAGCTTGATTTTGTATATTATGTCCAGTGCCGGAGATAGATAGAAAACTATAGAATTACAGTTTTTGGCAAATTATTCTACTTGAATCTAATTATTCCCTTTTATCTAAAGCCTTCTGGTTCTCTTTTCGACCTTTTTGTTTGTATACAGCAAGATCGTTGACAAATGATTGTGATTGGTCTATAGGTCCTCACATGACCAGTTTAGTGGGTCCTCCGTCCATCCTTGTACCGACAGCTCTTTCTCCTTTACCGCCACTCATGATTTGATTTATTGTATTTGGGACGCTGATAATTGGCTGTGCCTCAACTTCCTGAAAAGAGCCTATCAAAGAGACTTCGATGAAGTTTGTATGAATATCGCCGAGTCGTGCAATTTCTACCAAATTCGTTCTGCGGCGCCCTCGGAAGCCTCGGCAGGATGAGCGTTCGGCGGGATGAGGCTGACCGGGTTCTTCAATTGAAGAGCCGAGAAAGAGAGGCCCATGCATGTTATCCCTGCAGAAAACGAAAAGTGAAGTGTGATGGCAATCAGCCCTGTCGGACATGCCAAAAACGAAAGCATGCACATATCTGCGAATTTGACATTCCAGGTCCTTCGAGGCGTAGATCCGCCCCTCGCCATAATGACCATGTCACTCGCTCTGCTTCACCCCAAGTGACCCAAGCTGTACTCGAGAGTCATGGTGAATCTCCGGCTCAGAGTCACGATGCTTCCAAAAATTATGTTTACTCGGGAGACAACTCTGTTGTCTCGATTTTGCGATCACGAACGGACGCATCGGATGTTAATGATTTGATGGCACGTGAAGTTGGCTCTGTTTTGGGTCTCTCGAATACCTTCAACAGCTATCCGTTCGTGGACAGGAAAACTCCCCTGGAGAGATGGAAAGCGTTGCTGGAGGTTTCGCCAGAGCGAACAGAAATCTTAAAGTTCGTAATATTCTACCAGTCTGCGATATTAACTGACCAAATATAGATTTTTCCATTATTACCGCGTGACAGCATACCCATTCAATCCAATATTGACCGATATGGATCGCTTTGAAGCGGATTTGTGCACATATCTGAACTCTCATGCTTTGGGAGAGTTCAAGGACCCCGAGAAGATCACAGACCGGTGGGCAACAGACAAGTCCATTGGCCATATCAGTCTCCTTCTGGCCACACTGGCAGCTGGAGTCCATTATTCCGATCTTGAATACCCTCAACGATTAGAGCTTGCTACAGACTTTGGTACGACTAGTTTATCCTAAAGAAGATCGTTGCTTACAATCTCTAGCCCGCAGATCATTCCATGCTCTCCGTCTGGCAAACTTTCTTTTCCGCCCATCATTGGATGCCATCCAAGCGCTTCTGATCATTGGCAACACGTTACAGAACATGGGTCAGTCGGATGCTGCTTGGGCATTGCTTGGGACTACAGTTCGTCTGGCCCAAACCATGGGACTGCACACCGAAAGAAGCACTCTCCATTGGCCCGAGTATGTTCGAATAAAAGCGAAGAAGCTTTGGTAGGTGGAAAGCGTTATGGTCAAACTTTACGATGATATGCTAATGAAAAAACTTGTAGGTCGACAACTGTTTGGCAAGATAGCCTCCTCTGTCTCTGTTATGACCGCCCGCCTATAGTTTCTGTGACAGGGTGGCCTTTGGATTATGCGCGCCTGGAACAAAACAACCTGTCCTACCCAGAGACTATGCACCTTTTGTGTCGCCTAGGCCTAGAAATTTTGCGACCGGAAAACCTCGGCACTACAGAACTTGACAGGGCCATCGAAGGGCTCCAAAGATTGGATGATGCTGGCCAGCGAAGTCAGCTTTACTTGCGAAATCGAGAAAGCTGTATCACGTTTCAACAAAACCTTGAGCACCTGGCACTCAGAATGCATACATCCTTTTGTGTTTCCGTTCTGTGCCGACCGGCAATGAAACAATCCCCGCCCCAGCCACTCTACCCACAAGCTGATTTACTTCGGGCACGTGCGAAAGCAGGATTGATTGATGCGTCCAAGGCGTTCCTTGACTTCCAGGCTCTGAGCGTTGTTCCCTTGAGGAGTTGGTCGATGGTGCATACCGTTCTGAGCTCCACGTTGCTTCTTTGCATCTGGGAAGAGACACGTCATGACCCCGAGTGCCGGAGTCTGCAGCAACGGGTCATTGATGTGTTCTCGTCATCAGACTCAAGAACGACAGAAGGCGGCGCTTTATCCGATAGCGATGGGCAGTGGTTGTCTGCTCGACATATTCAGGCTCTTGTTACACTCCGAACTGCTTTGGATCGACAAGGCGAAAGAAATGCAAACCAACCTGAGAATCTGGGGACGGGCTTCGATACTGGCCCAAATCTCAATCTCAGCAATTTGGATGGCTACATACCAGGGCAAATGATCGATCCATTCGACATTTCACCAGTAACATATTTAGACTCAATTATGAACGGTAATTGCAGCTCTTCGACAATGATTAGTGGTCTTTGATACTGATGTTTGTCGATAGTCCCTTTGTTTGATTTCACACAAGAGAATGGGTTCCTCTAACAATCAGTACTATACCTGCAATTGTCCAAATCGGATGATCGGCAATCCATAGCTGCAAAGGGATTGACAAAAAAAACGAAAATCAATTGAACCACAAATCTAATTATTTGATTCCACCAGTGACTATTGAATAGTCTCCACATCATGGATGGAAACAAGGAACCTGTACTTTTCTCGGGGTTCGGGTCTCGGCATCGGGGCCTCGGATGGCCCCACTCGGGCCGAGTATTGCAGAGCTATTGATGGAATCAGACTGTGACAAAATCTGTAGAAGCCGGATATGCCGTGCCAGACACTGGGCACTTGCCACTGATGAATTATTATTTAATAAGCCTGATTAGCAGATCGAGGAACATTTCTTGCAACCAACAAATCCCACAATCAAAACAGCCGAGCTTTGAAGAAGCAAGATCAAACACCCCCTCGGGCCTCACCATATTCATTTCAAACATTTGAATGTTTTCTCTGCTCTCCGGCACAAACACCCCTCAGTCTTCTCGCGCTTCTCCCAGTGGAAGCCCGCCCGACTCCACAATGATTTTCGATAAGGCTGAACAACATTCGGCCCCTGCGCCTCAACCCACACAGCGTCGCCGCCGAATCGTGGTAGCTATGACCGGTGCCACCGGTGCCATCTTGGGAATCAAGTGTCTCATCGCTCTTCGCCGCCTCAATATCGAAACCCACCTTGTCATGAGCAAGTGGGCCGAAGCAACCATCAAATACGAGACAGACTACCACCCAGCCAACGTCAAAGCTCTCGCCGACCATGTGCACTCAATCAACGACATGGCCGCACCCATCTCAAGCGGCTCCTTCAAAGCAGACGGTATGATTGTTGTACCCTGCAGCATGAAAACCCTCGCCGCCATCCACAGCGGTTTCTGTGAAGACCTTATCGCCCGAACTGCCGACGTCATGCTCAAAGAGAGGCGTCGCCTTGTACTAGTCGCCCGGGAGACCCCGCTGAGCGATATCCATTTGCGCAATATGCTGGAGATAACTCGAAGCGGGGCTATCATCTTCCCCCCTGTGCCAGCTTACTATATTAAAGCTGCCTCGGTCGAGGATTTGGTTGATCAAAGTGTCGGGCGCATGTTGGACTTGTTCGATTTGGACACGGGTGATTTTGCCCGATGGGAGGGGTGGGCGAAGGAGGAGAAATAGAAAGTATCACGGCCAGGCGTTTTTGGGAATGGGATTGAGTTTCCAAAGTTGTTTTGATCACATGAAGCGATATTTTGTACATTTACTAGAAGAAATATAGACCACATCGTGTACTTTTTCTATCCTACAGTACAGATCGGCTACTTCGGCCCCCTCTCTGATGGAGTATATCTACACATCTTTCTTGCAATTTTGAAATCCGAGGAACTTGGACCAAGGAGATATAACCAAAAACAGAAACATGGAAATTTTCAAGTCAAAGCTTCTGACCAACTCAGGGCGATCTGCAACACCACGAGGAATGTCGATGCCCCACTTCCCCAGGAATTCCCTGCATTCTTCATTCCAGAATGTCCCCATTTTTGCGCCACCCAATCCTTTGATCGGAAAAGAACGCCATTTAATATCGAACCTCACACTACTCCGTATTGCAACCCACAGACCTACTCTCATGAAGATACATTTGTCATCCAACCGGAAGCCCAACAACCTCCGCGAGCACCAGTGAGGCCCGAGACCCTTGCATAAACCTAACCGTGACTTACACCGCATGACCACGTTAACGGTGAATATTCCCGATCCGTCATACCAAGGCTTTTCCCCGCGCCAGGAACAGCGGGGACTCTCAATCACGATGCTATTATATATGGTGATCAACCGAGGAATCGCGGAAGCACATGTGGGAAGATCCAAGGTTTAGGCAAGTATGCAGGCTTCTTTGGATGTTGCGGAAGGGGAAGGAGGGTGATTTAAACCTGCCCTTCGGCCGTTGATGATCATGGACTGTACAATTTGGAATACAAGGGATCATCCTTGGAACCAGCGAGTCGCACACTGCCTGTGACCATTGTCAGAATGGCCACGCTTATCTCAACCCTTCTCCTTGCCGTTTCGGTCCTGGCTGCACCAGTTGTCGATAAAAGAGCTAGCGCACCTACAGCTACTATTTCGACGCCCCAGGCTACTATAATTGGATCTACATCGGGGAATATCGACAGCTTCCATGGGATCCCATTCGCTCTCGCACCGACGGGATCCCTTCGGCTTAAGCCTCCGCAGGTAATAGCAACATCGCTGGGAACAGTGAAAGCAACTGGGACAGCCATGGCATGTCCCCAATTCTACTTTACAACAAGTAGCAGTGATTTCCCCATATCCATTCTAGGGGAAATTGCCGATATCCCGTTATTTCAAACTGTCACCGATGCTGGAGAAGACTGTTTGAATCTTAATGTCCAACGCCCATCTGGGACTACAGCTGGTGCTGGTCTCCCGGTGTTGCTGTGGATATTTGGTGGTGGCTTTGAACTCGGATCAACGTCGATGTATGATGGCGCGGAGATTGTGGCGTCGTCGGTGACATTGGATATGCCGGTTGTATTCGTCGCTATAAATTATCGCGTGGGTGGTTTCGGTTTCATGCCCGGATCAGAAATATTGAAGGATGGTTCGGCAAACCTTGGTCTTCTTGATCAACGGCTAGCTCTGGAATGGGTCGCTGATAACATCGAGGCCTTTGGAGGTGATCCGTCCAAGGTGACTATTTGGGGTGAATCGGCTGGTTCGATCTCTGTGTTTGATCAAATGGCTCTATACGGAGGCAATATCACATATAAAGGATCGCCACTTTTCCGGGGCGCCATCATGGATTCCGGAAGTGTTGTTCCAGCAGACCCAGTTGATGGCGTGAAGGGGCAAGCAGTATACGACGCCGTTGTGAAGGATGCAGGGTGCAGCGAAGCGACTGATACGCTCGAGTGTCTCCGTGACCTGGACTACACGACCTTCCTCAACGCTGCCAACTCCGTGCCTGGACTTTTGTCATATAACTCCATTGCCCTTTCATATCTCCCGCGTCCCGACGGGACTGTTCTTACCGACTCTCCGGAGAACTTGGCTCTAGAAGGAAAATACGCCTCCGTCCCGTTCATCATCGGAGATCAAGAAGACGAGGGAACCATATTCGCACTGTTCCAGTCCAATATAACGACAGAGACGGAGATCGTGGAGTACCTGCAAGATCTCTTCTTTGCCGACGCGTCTCTCACACAGCTAGAGGATCTGGTCGCTACTTATCCCAACGTCACAACGGATGGCTCGCCATTCCGGACCGGAACCGCCAATAACTGGTATCCACAGTATAAGCGCTTAGCAGCCATCCTGGGTGATCTTACATTCACACTCACCCGGAGAATCTTTCTGACTATTGCCAACCAAGTCAAGCCTGATGTCCCTTCTTGGTCCTATCTCTCTTCATATGACTACGGCACTTTATTGTTGGGAACATTCCATGGTTCGGACATTTTACAAGTCTTTTACGGAATCTTGCCCGATTATGCATCCAAGGCTACGCATGCTTACTATTTTTCATTCGTTTATGATTTGGATCCTAATACCAAGGCTACGGGTTATATGGATTGGCCACAGTGGAGCACGAATCAAAGCCTGATGAACTTCTTTAGTAGTGATGCAGCTCTTCTCGCTGATAATTTCCGATCCGAGAGTTGCGAGTTCCTCAAGGAGAATATCGCGTCATTCCATATTTAGCCAGAGGCAGGGAAAGCAGGCTTTCCAGGTTTTACATATCGATCTACTTGGGGTCATGAATTAATGCATATATTCATTGTCAATTTGCCCGATTTCCAGATAGTATCTGCTTCACGTTTCCATAAAGTACAAAGTATACGTAGATAACAAACTACCTCCAGGTTGCTGTTACGGTTGCAGTTGTGCCCGAGCAGCCCGTTGGCACCGTGTAGGATCGATTGGGGTCACTTTCCCATGTGATCGTTGAAGAACCACTCGTCTCTTCGATAAACTTGTATTGGAAGACTGTTCCCACGGGGATCGTCACGACTACATACCACAATGGATTGGAAGAGGTGTAATCAGTGGCCGATAGAGCGACGGCATCAGACGTGTCCCAATCTCCTAGTTCACTGATTGATCCGGAGATATAGATATTCTCGCCCCAGGTAGTGGTTTTGATTTCTTCAAAGCGTACCGCTATTGCGGTGGCTTGGGAACATGTACTAGTGCTGGAACTGGAGCTGGTTGTCTTGCTCGTCGTTGTTGTGAGAGTTGTAGCCGACGTCGTGCTTGACGAAGATGACGTAGTCTTAGTCGTGGTGCTGGTGGAGCTGGAAGTAGAGGTGGATGTTCCACAGAGTCCACTGCCAGATAGATGAGAGGTCAACATGAAGACACGAGGTAGACCAGAGACCATTGGAACAGCAATGTCTCCACTGGAGTCCACTGTCACTGAGGTACAGGTGTACAACTCTGTGAGCACAGCACCGGAAGAATATCCACTCCCGCTCAGAGTGAGGGTATAAGAGCTTCCACTAGCGCCCTTGTTTGAGAGGACAGTGATAACCGGAGAAGTGCTTGATCCCTTTTTCATTGCCAAGGTATTACTATCTTGGTAAAACGCATCGTTCTTGCATGAAATATTAGTTTTCTCGTTTTTCAAATTAATGAGCATCGACACTCACGATGGTTGTGATGTAAATTGAATCAGCAGATATGGCGAGGTTGCGAATCTTGTTTGTGGAAGCAATCCATTCATATAGCTCTGCGGTGGTAAGGTACCCGGATAGCCAAGTGGCCTCGCGGTTGTCAGGATCATTGCCGCCGTCGTAGTGCTGTTCCTGACCGGCGTAGATAATTGGAATGCCATCAGACAAGAAGATAAAGGAGATCACATTCTTAGCCTGAGAATAGTCCGAGGTGTAGCTAAAATATGGTTAGTTAAAGTTGTTAGATACCAAATAGATCACAGTACACGTACTAGGCAAAGCGAGGGTTATCATGATTTTCAATAAAATTTCCAAGGAGCGTAGGATCGGCACAATCAGAGGCGACTGATGCAATCATATTGTACAAATCACTGATACTACCACTTGAGCTCTCAAATGCGTAGAGAAGTTGGTAGTACCTGTTTTAATTAGCATGTTTCACTTAATTCCTTTGGACCTACTTACACAGGGTAGTTTAACACGCCATCCAGATAGTCTTGGTAGGGGCAGGTGTAGGCTGGGTCTCCGTCGTCAACTTCGCCAACACAATAGACTCCTGCAGCGTCATTGTAATCGGACCAGAATGATTGCTGGACATGCTTCACGGTATCAATCCGCAGCCCGTCGACTGTCAGAGGTTAGTTTTCAAAAGAATTCATACGGGTCGAAAGATTCCGTACTAGAATAATTTGCAACCAAGGCTGCGACCCAATCGTACCAGATGGTTTGCACTGATGTGAGGGCTGTGTTCAGATCTGGCAAGGAGACAGTAGTATCTCCAAGCCAGCAATCTTCAACATTGGTCTGATTGTCATAGTTGCTGATGAGACAATACGAATGGAAATATGATGATGAATCAAACGGATTGAAGACACTATAGTCTACATCCGATCCAATTCCATCATAGCCCTAAAAGGGATTTAGATGGTGGTCGTAGAACTAAAACAATCGAGTGATCTTACCATGTCATTTGCCACAACATCCACCATCAGATACATACCCCGAGCGTGTAAAGCCTCGGATAAGGCCAAGAGATCAGCGGCTGTGCCATAGTTCGTGTTGACAGAGTAACTAAAAATCAGCACCGGCCGACCATGAATGAATGAGCTCTCTAGAAATCTTACATTTGCTGCTGCCAGTATCCGTGGTACGACTCGCCATCCCCAGTGTCTTGGGAGAGGTTCTCCGTAACAGGTGTGATCCAGATGGCCGTAAATCCCATTCCCTGGATATAATCAAGCTGGAGACATGGTCTGTTAGCCTTGAGAAATAGGTATGATATGGGAAAGTAGTTACTTACTTGATTGATAATTCCTTGCCAGCTGCCTCCACAATAAATCTATGGTAATTCCATGGTTAGCCATTCCGATAGCAAGATTACTGATTATGAGCATTCCTACCCGATCTGAGACGTCGCATGTTGCGGTGGTTGAATTGTCTGTTCGGCCAAATCGATCAGTCAACAGGAAATAGATGGACTGAGTTCGCCATTCTGCAGGAGTGAGGCCCACGGCCACATTCGCGAAGAGAGCTGCGACCCAAGCCAATTGCTTCATGATCGCAATTGCAATTGCACGACTTGGACTTCAAGCGGTACTTGGGTTCAGGATAAAGATTTTGCGATCCAATGCCAAAGACCATATCTCGGCACCTGAGACTCGGTTTATACCGTGGTTCTCCACACAGAACTGTGCGGTTTCCGTTATACATCACATAATTCCATTCTTCACGGAGGCCTGTCGGAAGAACGAACCAATCGCTCTTAAAATGGCGTCTCGTAGAACCTGATCTCAGGACCTTCTTGAGGCTTGGCGCCAGAATCACGGCCTACACCTGAAACCGCTACAATCCCGTTGCCCGAGACTAATCTGAGCTTAGATTCGATCGGAATAGGAAAAGATCGTGGTCGGCAGTGAAGCTGTGGGAAAACGACACTAATAACCGACGCGGGTATTCCGACGGCTTTGCCCCTGCGCGGGGAATCGGGGATTCTGGAGGTTTCTTCAGGGCGCCACATTCTTCAGCAGCCCAAGTAGATTGGATGCTGCACGTCTTCACATGTCGATCACATCAGTTGCCAAGACTTTCCCTACGTAGGCGAAGTCTGTGTAAGCAGGAACGGAGCTGTAGGAAGGGAATGATTGGTGGGCGAATTGTGAGTTCCTGCGGGGTTCGAGGGGTTTTGTTGACAGGGGACGGAAATACAGCGGGAAAGTGGACGGTCACGGGTAACTTCCAAGGTTCTTCAGCCCCTGCAGATTATGCTTGGCTGGATTCTTTACCATTGAAGGGTCTGGGGGTCAGCGCCAGGGTCAGAGATGCCGATCAGCTTCTGGAAATCTTCTATGGAACTGAAAAAAAGAATACCTGACGATGATCAGCGCGATAATCATCAACTCCACTTATGCCAGTGGAGATTTTGAAAATCATACTGCTTCCATGCCCCATCGTTCCTCAACAGGGTAATGATTCACTCTATGAGGACATAATGAAACCCATCGCTACAATACGCTGGAATCCTGGAAGCAAAAACCAATATTAATCTTGCAGGGCGCGAATCAAATGTGAGAAAGAGACGATCTCCGCTTTCTTGCATATCACCTCCACCACGGCGAGTCCGAGCGCAACGTGATTCTCGACTGCAGCCGAACTGACTCGGGGTGCTCAGGGTACCCTAAACGCGCTATGGAGAAAGATATAAAAGACCCAGAGTCCCTCTGGGGTAGAGAGAGACAAGCATCTTCAAAACTTCGAGTCATGGCTTCTCGCATCTTAACTGCGCTTTGTGCGCTGACCCTGGGCCACCAGGCCCTGGCTTTCCCTCAATGGATGAACTTGGCACCACGTGCCTCTACTTCTGTCTCGAGCTGGTTGTCCACCGAGACCAGTATCGCCTTGCAGAGTATTCTCGACAATATTGGATCTGCTGGCGAGTATGCCACCACTGTGGACTCCGGCATTGTGATTGCTAGTCCTAGTCTTGATAGTCCCGATTGTGAGACCCACCACCCCCTCAAAAGATGGGCGAATGGATATGACAGAGATTTGAAGCAGAATGACTGACTAGAAATAGACTACTATACCTGGACTCGTGACTCAGCCTTGACACTGAAGTGTCTGGTTGATTTGTTCAGAAATGGCGACACGTCCCTTCTGCCCATCATCGAGGAATACATTGATGCCCAGGCCTACATTCAGACAGTCTCCAACCCCTCTGGCTCTCTTTCTGGGGGTGCTGGACTGGGTGAGCCCAAGTTCAACATTGATGAAACTGCCTACACTGGATCCTGGGGACGTCCCCAGCGTGATGGTCCTGCTCTTCGGGCCACTGCGCTGATTTCCTTTGGTCAATGGTTGGTGGTGAGTTACTAAGTTCTAAAACTTCCCATTTCGCTATATGAAGTCCAACTGACAACGCGCTAGAGTAACGGTTATACCACCACTGCCACGAACATCGTCTGGCCTATTGTGCGAAACGATCTGTCCTATGTGGCTGAGTACTGGAACCAAACTGGTTATGGTAAGGAATCCACCAATTATTTCAGCTGGAGATAATCGCTAACACAATATTCAGATCTATGGGAGGAAGTGAGTGGTTCATCCTTCTTCACTATTGCTGTCCAGCACCGTGCTCTGGTGGAGGGCAGCAAGTTCGCCGCCTTGGTGGGCTCTTCTTGCACATACTGCGACTCCCAAGCCCCACAAGTCCTTTGCTTCCTCCAGTCTTTCTGGACCGGATCATACATCTTGGCCAACTTCGGTAGCAGTCGTACGGGCAAGGACTCCAACACTCTCCTGGGTAGCATCCACACCTTTGATCCCCAAGCAGCTTGCGATAGCACTACTTTCCAGCCCTGCTCCTCTCGTGCGCTGGCAAATCACAAAGTCTTGACTGACTCTTTCCGATCCGTTTACACTCTCAACTCTGGCATCGCTGAGGGAACAGCCGTAGCAGTCGGTCGCTACCCTGAGGATTCCTACTACAACGGAAACCCCTGGTTCCTCTGCACCTTGGCTGCCGCTGAGCTTCTGTACGATGCCTTGTACCAGTGGAACAACATCGGCTCCTTGACTATCGACAGTACCTCCCTGGCGTTCTTCACCGATCTGTACAGCTCTGCCGCGACGGGCACTTATTCCTCCTCTAGTGCGACGTACTCATCGATTGTCAGTGCTGTGAAGACCTACGCAGATGGATACGTTGCCATTGTGGTAAGTTGAAGGATCATTCTGCTTAGCATGTGTGATATGGATGACTAACAACATGAACAGGAGACATGGGCTTCAAGCAACGGATCCATGTCGGAGCAGTTCTCCAAGACTACTGGCGCGCAGCTTTCCGCTCGCGACCTGACCTGGTCCTACGCCGCTTTGTTGACCGCAAACAACCGCCGTAACTCCGTTGTCCCCGCACCCTGGGGCGAAACCTCTGCCAGCAGTGTCCCAGCTACCTGCAGTTCGACCTCGGCCATCGGCACCTTCAGCTCTGCGACCAACACCGCCTGGCCCACTGCTTTGACCAGTGTGTCCGGTTCTACCACTGCCACTTCTGCCACTGGCACTGGCACCGTCAGCACTACCGCCTCAACCACCAAGACCACAACAAGCTCGACTACCTCCTCCTGCAGTACTCCGACCTCGGTCGCTGTGACCTTTGATCTGATCGCAACAACCTATTACGGCGAGAACGTCAAGATTGCCGGCTCTATCTCGGCCCTCGGTGATTGGGACACGAGTGATGCTGTGGCTCTCAGTGCCGCCGATTATACCTCTAGCGATAATCTGTGGTTCGTGACTGTGGATCTTCCTGCTGGAACCGTTTTCCAGTACAAGTACATCCGTATTGAAAGCGATGGAGACATTGAGTGGGAGAGTGACCCCAACCGCTCTTACACTGTCCCAGCCGCTTGTGCCACCACCGCTGTCACTGAGAGTGACACTTGGCGTTGATCCAGCCAAGCTTGCTTTCGGGAAATGGGAAATGGAAATATGATTTCTGATGTTGATGTTGATGGAATCCTAGTCAATTAACGTGTTTTGACCGTATATAAGTGAAAGTGTTGGTCTCCATGCCTTGCAGTCAATTGTGAATGGAATGAGTTAGTCTTCGAATCCGTCGATTGTGAAATAAGAAATGAATTGATTGGTATCAGGTGTATACAAATATGGACAAAGAAGTAAAAATGTAAAAAATGAAGGTGTGAGTAAAGCTCAGCTTTACAGCTGATGATGCCTAATAAACAGTCCCAAGGCTGAAGCTGCAATGGAGCATCCAAAGGAGACGACTAAAAAAAGTATTAGTATGAACGCGATCTGATAGGAGCGAAAGGAGTCTGACCATAGGTATTCTTAAGACCATAAATATAACATTCCACCACAATCTCGCGAAGGCGACCGGTGAGATGCGCAATATAGTTGGTGTCGGCCATGGCACGTTTGATGACCTATCCCAGTTAGTCAGGATCAACACACATATCATAAAGATTTCAAAACATACCCTCTCCGAGCCAGGACCACGCAGATTAAGACGCAGCTGGCGCTGGAATTCCATGCCCAGCACCGAATTCGAAGTAGTGATACCCGCCGTCATCGCCAAACTGATCAACAACATGTATCCGGCCGTCGCCATAGCCACCTCATCCGGAGGCAATGTCGCAGTCATGGCCACGAATGCAGCCGCAGAGGCCATGCCGGTTCCCACACCACCGGGGATGATGTAAAGCGATTCCCACGGACCCGTGTGTCCGTCCCAGCGCAGATAGAGCAGAACGTAAGTGATGGATGCGACCAGGCCGGAAAGCACAAGGAGAACGCGATACGAGCCCGTCTTTTTGATGAAGACTCCCGCCAGGATTCCTCCGAGGGTGTTACCGACAACTGCAGGGACGAGATGCACACCTGCCGCGGTGGTGGATGCCTTTTGCGTGACTTGGAAGTACAGCGGGACGGAGAATAGCATGCCGAGCTGGGCGGTGATCTGCAGGGTGCTGAGGACGTAGCTCACGGCTACATTGGGTCTGCGGAGGATGCGCAGGTTGAAGATGGGGTCTGTGGCTACGTAGGCCTCGACCAGGACGAAGGCTACGATTAGTAGGACTCCGCCGCTGCCGAGCACGAATGTTAGGCCTGATGCCCAGGGGAAGGCCTTGCCTCCTTGATCGAGCAGACCGATTAGGGAGATTATGCCCGATGCGAGAAGACCCGTTCCTAGGAAGTCGACTTGGCGAAGTTTTGATTTTCCGGTCTCTGGTGTTTCGGGGGTTGACTGGGCCACTTTGAGCTTGATGATCACTAGGACTGCGGCGAGGGCTAAGAAGGGGACTTGGAGGAGGAACAGCCTATACAGAATTATCGCGTTAGAGTGAAGGGGGTTTTGGGGTAGAGGGTTTGCTCGTACCATCGCCATCCAGCTGTATCGCTCAGCCATCCTCCCACTGGACCTCCGAGACTGCGGCCCAGGGTCATGGAAATGTTCACGTAGGCTCTCCATGTCGCGATTTCGCGTTTCGGAACGATATCTTCTTCAAGTCAGAGATATTTTCTATAATTGGGGTCTTGAGGCGACATTCGAGCGATCATGACGTACCCGTGATAATAACAGAGCTGATGGTCATAGTGCCCGCACCTCCCATTCCACTAATGGCGCGTCCCAGAATGACGATCCACATCTGCGAACCAACACCACTGCGATTTATTAGCCACTTTCACTGATTTTCGTGCATCCAACCTCCGGGATCAATGCGTTGCATACCTGATAATACATCCCAGGGCAAATAAAAAGTAGGAGATCAAAAGGAGCGGTTTGCGACCGTAGATATCGCTGAGTTTCCCGTACTAGGCATAGATGCGATCAGCGCCCACTTTTTCTTGCCATTGTCCCTCCCCTACTCACCATGGGCTGTGCGGCGCAAAGACCGAGGGTATAAGCGGTGGATAGCCAGCTCGCATCGCGTAGTCGATCGAATTCCGAGGAGATGTGGCCCGATGCGGCGATGACCAGGGTTGCGTCGGCATTGGAGATGAATTCGCCTGAGTTAGGACGTTAGAACTTATCGCGTGGAGGAATTTGGGGATTCCGTTTTGTTTTTCGTACCGAGTAGCAAGACTGCAATAATTGTTCCGACTCCGACTAGAGGCTTGACTTTGGAATCGGGAGTCGCTGGTGGTGATGGAATCAAGGGGGTTTCCTCATCGTGGATGGTGGTGGTGTTGGTGTTGGTGTTCAGAGTTGCCGGCTCGGCAGTTGCCGTGCCATAGTTCGGGTTGTTGCCCATGATATACTTCCACGTGCGCGCCCCCAATTACGATTGTTTGATGTCGAACAGAGATGGACAGGGGGGAAGAAAGGTGAATACAAGTTCACCTGAGAGTCTGTGAGACTTGAGAAAAGGAGAGAATTGGGGATTCTTCAAAGTCGTGGACCCGACTTGATGTTCGGGTCTTCCGGGACTGGGGTTATGAGCATCGGAGATTTTTAACGAGCCGTAGTGTTGTATGTCCTTAGATGCTAAGAGGCTAAGACCTGTTAGCCGTTGATTTTGATGGTAAATGTCGTGTTTAAACCAATGAGACTGACTGGTGGTGGAAGTGTTCTCATTGTGATTGCAAAGCACGCCATTGGATCCACAGCCATATACTACTTCCACGGTTGTACTCCAGGTTTGACCTTGGATCTTGTTGTATCTTTATTGATCAAAGTATATAGAGGAAGTTTATATTCTCCTTGAAATATAATATTCTATAAACACAGTCATTTCCGAGTGTCAATCTGGTTATTTTCATGTTGTTCTTGAAATCCAATTGATCGCGTGAGACTCATTCTATTCTTTCAATGTTGGATTATGAAGCCATGGGAGCCACCGATGGCATCATCCGATGTTCTCCACCGGATTTCTTAGGGTCCAGACACTACAATGCATTTAGGTATAATATCTGCTACTGTTTTATTCTAATACCAATGCCAGCACGTAGTTCAAGCTCAAATTCACTACCAGTATCTAAATGGCACTTTCATTATTCCCACCTATAACACCAGACAGTTATGGATGATCACAGTATCTTTGTACTACACCACAACGCTAAGTGACGATAAATCGAACGCCCAAGACGGCAACACTCGACGCCAGTTTAAGCGTTCAATTTACCAAAATCTTAGTCATATTTTTATCACGTGATCTAAATCAAGCGTTCTTATCGCCTGGTCCGGGATTGCTCCCGGAGCCCTCCCGGAGTCTTCATAGCTACTCAGGGATCAACTCCACCGTACTCAGGGCGCTCTTGGTAGACGATCAGGCACGTCATCAGCATCTCTCTTCTATACTATTATAGGCCTAGGAGTCAGGCCCAAAACCTATAAATAGGTTAAGCTGGGTTGGGTTGGGCTTGGGCTCTTATAGGCCTTGTGGAGGTCTAGAAGGGGGGCTAGAGGGCCAGAAGGGGGGGGGGGGTCATATTATAATCTATATGCTGGATTATATACTGGGTTGTATGCTAAATTGCTATATTCCTTATATCCTGAATCCTTAGACTTCCTTATATTAATTATTTAAGTCATTCTACAAACTGGCAAGAAAAAGAGGTAGAGATCCAGATTCCAGCTTCCAGAGATAGGCGGATGCTCCGCATCCGCCCTGGATGGCTTGTATATAGTAGATACCTAATAGAAAAGATAGAAACTTTAACTCCCTTCTCTTAGAGTTAAAAGATCCTTTAATAGATTATAATTGATAAAATAGTATAGAAAGAGGCTATTCTATATATATAAAGGAATATCTAAAAATATCTATTATAAGTCTTAGGGAATATAAGTTATTCCTTAGTTAATTCTCACCTGCTTTTAGCTGAAATAAAGTATTAATATCACCTAAAAGATTATTAAGATATTCGGCAGATCTTCTTCCTATACCAGCTTATCCTATACCAGATTACCCTCCTGAATAGTATAAAAAGGCTGGGTATGAAAGCTCTATACCGCTAAGCGCCACCTATGTCGAATCTTCAAAGCTCGATTCTAGGGGCTAGAAATCAAGAACAGGTTTTACGAAGTATGCAACGAATCTTCTAGCCAGCAAGGGCGTCAGGGAAAAAGTTCTGTATGACGACGCTTGGTTTGACGGATGACTCCATGAAAATTAGTCATTATGCGTCATTACGCTATGGAGCCGCATGGGCAGTTGTTACTATTCAATAATAAATACAGTAATGTTCGAAATCAGATTTACCTCCACACTCTCTCGCACTGTTTCCCGGAGCCCCACAAAATTCCAGCCATACCAGATTTGGTCAAGGATGACCCACTACGTTTCTACCAATGTACCTTCAAAATGTCGTCATTAATTACTGTAATACTCATTTCCAAATGATAAGCACTCTGACAAAAGATCTTCATTCTATAGGCTGCTTGGCGTACCACTACACCACTTTGATTACTTCTCGAGCCCTAACACTAGGATTCATTTATCTCCGGAATAGCAATATTCCTGTCTCGGAATGACGACTTGATCTGTACAGCTTTCCAATTGCCCCGCCGATCTCGCTGACTAATCACCGTTGGATCACGCGACAGGACAAATAACGTCATGAATATTTAGTTCGAGAATCCTGAGTATCCCTACTCAGATACAGTCCCCATCTCAGGCTTGAAAAATCATCTGAAAATACAGAACTAATCTCGCAGAATGCAGTCAGGAGAACCAGATCCCGAAGTAGGTCCCACCCTTCCTAGAACAAACGACGCTAATGTTCCTCTCAGCCATTGTCTAAATCCGAGAGCCGTCTTCTCGAAAAGTACGGAAAGCTACCGCTTGGAGGCTCACTGGCTCAAAAGTCTAAAGTAATTATAATACAGTTTCTTATAGCGCGCGCTAACTAACAACCGGCAGGAACGGACATACTTTGACTCTGGCGATTTCGCTCTTTCTACCGCTAATCGCGAAACTGACAACGGTGCTATTCAAACGGGTAGAGCCCATCCTTATAGGGAAAGCATTTCGCATCCCTATGCCTCTATCCCAGCCTCTAGTAACGTTGACGAAAATGCCAACGAAGATATGTATAGAAAAAGTCCGAGTATTAAAAAGAGTCCTCTCCTTCACCAAACAGATATTAAAGATGAACCTACAAACAAGGAGGGACAGGACGATCATTTGTGTCACGAGCATTAAGGCTAAATTGTTGTATTGAAATGGAAAATGAATTACATATCATTCAACAGGATAGCACGAGCAGCACAATATTCAAAGAGGTATAATATACATAATATATTTCCTATTTGTGAGGCTACGGAATACTTTTTGATCTTACGATACCTATATCCTTGAAACAATGGCTTTTTTACGCTGTCTAAGAATCTCATGATTCTCATCCCTCCTTGATATTAGGGTTCGAGGAATAATCAAAGAGCGTAGGTGGTAACACCGGATTCCCGAAGCCATATACAGGTGTGCACATTAGGAGCAAGGTGTAATGCGAACATAAACCTGTCTGTCTGCCCAGCAACGGAGCATGATAAAGATGATATAAGATTGGACCCAAAGTGTCTTCATCTCCGGAGGTTTGTGAACCTGTGGAGGGAATGAACATCATGTCAAAGTAATAGTTCTTTATTTTTGGAAGGCTAAAGACTTTACGATGTATAGCATAATTGGGCGGTTAGATGATGATTTGTGTGCAAAGATTTTTAAGTGGCGGGCGATATCCTACATACAAAACTGGACGATAGATTCTTGCCGATACGGATGGGGGGGCACAGCGCAAAACAACTGTGTCGAACATGCTACTTAAATTCCTATTACCCTTTTCTCTTCCAAAAACTATTGTAGGTGCTGTCCACTGATGATTACCGTAATTTACTATGACTCATCAAGAATACATTGGCAGATGCGATGTGGATCCAAGTCTAGCCTAACCTGGAATAATGTGCTTCAGGTGGAGCTCTGGGAAACAGAGTAAGAGAGAGCGGAGGTAAAGCTGATTTCGAATATCACTGTATCTAGGATTTTTCCGAAACTTCTTCGATTTTTAAGGCTGCTCGCCGAAAATAGCCTCTCATACATGAGTCGCTGTTTCTTGCGCGCCCGCCTTGGTACTCTTGAAGGGGGCCTGTAATCACTTCGAGATGCGTTACTCGGTGCCTACCGCGTTGTCATTCCATAGATCGACCTATTGTATTATCTGTCTCTAGCTCTGCAACTGTCTATAAAAGCCTTGTTTGGGTGACCATATACGTGGCTTAAGGACATTTGGTGTTGGAATAAAGCTTCGGAGAATCTTAGAAGGCCCTTGAAGCGTCATCCCATTTACTTGGCAAGTTTATGATGATTATTCGATGGTCATCAGTCATTCTTTCAGCAGTTGTGATAAGTACACTATACAAGAATTTGGCTAGCGCGCCCGGCAAAAATGGCAATAAGAGTAAAATGGACGTACGGTGTGCATCTCCAGTTCTATTCGTGACCTTGAGAAGCATTTAGCCCATCTTAATACTAGCGATTGAGCCGTGCCCTTGGTCTCCTTTACCTCAAGATTAAGAACCTTGAACACCACGGCGGCATCTAAGAAGTAGCCCTCCTCATAATACAGCATAGATTGGTATATATATTTTCTCTTCTGTTCCGTTGGCTAATATCGAACCAAGGTGTAGCGGTCACATATAAGAAATGCGATGGCGATGGTTTCTCGAAATCCAAAATATAATCGGTTGTCAGATCAACTTGAAGAAAGCAGATATAATGTTGTGTTGCGTTGATTATTACGATGCTATCATAGACGGTCAACCAGAGTGCAAATACCGATATCAATTCAATGTACCTTTGTTCCGAATGGTCATCGGCGATTTTTGACAACCTAGTCGCTAACGCTTCGCAGATCATCTGCGCAAAACAAGTATCTGATATAACCGGCCTACCTTTCTCTAGGGTTTGAAATCGCGCCTTCGCCTCCAGAATTGCAACGTGGTTGTTGACCAGGCTGAAACCACCTGCTGGGTTTTCCCGTCGTAGACAAAGCCTACTATTATCGGTTGTAATTATTACTTGCTCTGTAAGCATAGTAGAAGCAGATATTCTAATCTTGGCGTCTCTACAGTTAACGACAGCGGTGTTTAAGGGGTTCTCTTGAGGCGGAGCAAAATAGAGTATATGTTGGATCACGCACGATGTAAGTCGCAGAGTATCGTCTTCTGGTGTAACTCCCAAACAATGGTCCTTAAGGTCAAAGTAGCCCAGCGAGGAAGTTTGAGAGCCATCGTAGGAATCATCATGCGCTGGACTACTTGAGCCAACTCGAATACCTCCGGAATTAACAAAGTCTCCCTGACAAGTATATCGTCGCGGTCGCTTTGTCGGCCTTATTTTATTGCTGTCACCAGGCGGATTTTCGGATGCCTTATTAAGGCCATAGACGCCTCGACGCTCCGAGTTGCCCTTAAATGTAGCCAACGCCGCCTAAACTTGAGCTAACGATATGCTACAAGTGGCCATCCGCACAAGAAAGTGCTTGCTTTGAGACATGAGGGAAAAGTCGGGCCCCCGTAGAAATGATTTGATCTCAGTAGATGCTGACTGTAAATCACATGATAAGCTAAAGTGTGACAGTATGGGAAGCAAGTTAGGCTGGGGGCCTCGCCGAATTACACGACAAGCGAAGAGATGATCTCGCCCCCAAGAACTGGCAGCTTCATCTAAATCCAGGAATTGTTGACCGTTTTCTGCATTGTAATGACTCTAGGTAGACTCAGAGTTGACACTGTTGAAATAAGATGTTGATGACATTTTATGTACGAAGTTGTGCGTCGATTCTCCTCAGAATCCTGGAGAATATTATCTCTAAGGCGGTCAGAAAACGCACTTGGTGGTCGGGGGTTTGCCGCTCACAAAAGATTGACTAATATGTTTATGGTTAAAGCTCTGCTTTGTTAGGCTTGAGGTAAGCTCATAATGAGTTTAAATAGTATGATAACCTCCCTCTATGATATTGTGTGTAACTACCTTTGGTACTTGAGAAACCTATTATAATAGACCTCATATCATCTCAGGCTGTTAGGGTGTTGATTCGGAGATATTAACACTACCTACTTCTGTTCACCCGCAAAGGTCCCAAGAAGATAAGAAAAGGGATGGAGAGGATTATTCCTAAGAATCAAAAGATTTTTATGCTATTGCTACAAATCTCTTGGCGGATAAGAAGTGCTAGTGTCTTATCAAGATTCTAGTAGGCGGAGCGCACATCTTTACCACCCCTAGGTATGACTCTCCAGAAGGGCTACTTACAAAGCGGCTAACCAACTCTGAATAGAAAAGGACCTTTTTTTTACTTCCAATCTTGCCCTATCCATCACCTATCCATCACCTAGACTACCTCATCTTCCACTGTTGTGAACCCTTTTTTCCCAGATCCTCAACCCCGTTAGTAGGTTATATCTACTACACGAAGATCGGACGAGATCGCACGTGATATTAAAAGCATTTGAGAGTCACAAATACAGCCCCAACAGAATGGAGCGAAGATCCATATTTTTTGTGCCATCTATTGGCACTCGCACAGCTTCAGGAGCAGATGTCGCCATCGGCATCACCGAAGGTGTTCACATTTACAGTTCGTCCTCGCAGACTGGCTTCTATTCCAACTCACTAACTCTCTTCTAGTCACGCCTACTCATCATGAATGTACTCGATTCAGAGTATATTTTCCTTTACGAAGCTCAATTTTCTCGCGAGCTTCTAGATGGGCTACGAGATCTGAAAATTGCCATTTACCCCATAACCTGGCCCACAATACGACGGAAAAGAATTCCCTTCCAACCATACAGCACCTTTCCCTCTCGACTTATGGCTGAACTGGTCGCCTACTGTGAGCCCTGCTCGCCCCGCCAAAAGAGACCACGCGAACAAGAAAAAGAGGGAGCCTTGAAAAGAAGACGCATAAACTCAATCCCCTCATTGGTGGAAAAAGTAGGCGATTGCCAATCAATGAAGTAATGCGCCAATATCTCTATATGGGCGCATTTTAAATACATTGGACCAGTCTAAACTCCACTCACGCCATGCTCTCACAAATAGCCAATCGACAAATAACCCTCTGTGTGAATGCCACCACATTTTGCCACGACGTATTTTCCAATAATACTCTGGTCTTTGGCGCCCGACCAGGAACTTCTTTTGGAACATCGTGTTGAGCAAGTTAGCAAGCTACTGGAAATACCATCGCGACTTTCGGGCTGGAGCATCCCATTGCCAATCAAATTGGCAGCCTTGTTTAAAGGACCTTCGAACTCATGAAAGGTGGGGCTTTAAGGCCAGGAAACCTTTTACCAAAGTGGCACATGTGCATACAGCACAGACCTGGAGACAAAATACCAAACGCAATCGGGTCCTCAATATTAGACTCAGGATGTGAATGGAATTTTCTTCACTGAATCAGATGCAGCGCGTCACATTCTACACAAAACGGACATCATCTGAGTCAACCTTCTTTCATCTTCATAACAGTGAGGGTGGAAAAGAATCGGCAAAAAATATCGCATTTGCGCCTAGTCGTATCTTTTATTGCGGATTCGACCACGACGATGGAGAGATAGTCGTGTTTATGGCTTGCCTTGTCAGCCGCACAAGCCCAGGGTCACGGTTGGAAACCTCAAGATCTTTCAAAATTTACTTCCGGAGGGAGCGCTTCTGTCAAACTTCTCAACTTTCGAATCTATACCGTGGATTGGGTATGTATAAAGAGATAGGGGCTATAGGTTGAGCCTAGCAACAAGCACTAAATCATACGGCTCGTACTTCCACAAAATCAGAATCGTGTCACGCTCCAACCTTGATCTCAGACGGAGAAGCGGCTGCTAGCAATATTCGGAGCCGGTGTCAGCCGATTTCATGGATTGCTATGTTTTTGAATACCGCTTTTTGTTGATGGCCACCATCCATGATGGTTTTTAGTGATGAGGTCAATGATCCGCGGAGTCCTTTCCCATGTTCAAGTCCTCGATTGTCGCACAAGGAAATATTCAGTGCAGAATTATGTCGTTGCATGCCTCCAGACCCTGAAAAGTCCACTTTGACTTGACAATGATGGTGAAAGGCTGCCTGCCCATGCCGGACACTCGGCGGGGGTCCAGTTTCAAAAGAAATTAGATCGAGTGAGACAAATTGGGAGGTTCCTTCTCCAGTCAAAGTCGTGGTGTACACACTCGACATATTCGAGGAATAAAAATTCTGTCGAGCTGTCACCGTGAGCTTTCATCCTTCGCTTTAAATGTTGGCAAGATGGTGTGGAATACATCATCCCAAATAACGAGAGTTTTTGCTCTAATGAAAGGCCCGAGCGCGGGTGTACCATTGCCTCACCGTTCGTGATCAGCCTTTATGATGAATCCTAATTGACTCGTAGATCTCAGCGGTTAGTGTACTAAGCCCCCTCCCCTATCCCTAAAAACAAAGAGATGCACCCCATATGTCTCAAGCCCCAAAAGTCAGCGGTGTACAAGTTTCGAATAGAGATAGCATATACGCAGGTCTTGTCAAGTATTTGGTGCATAAATTTATCATCGCTGTCTTGTGGGCGTATTATTGGACCAAAGCACCCTCTAGTAGATGAAGGTGCGTTTATGACACCCAAATTGGTGTCGCTACAGCATTGAGTGCAGTTTTCACCCACTTGAAATGTACTTATTATCTAAAATACTGGCAGCTACTGTGAGAATTTCTTTCTTGCAAACGATTGTCAAGTCAAAGTCAAGACATGATTTTGAGAAAGAATTTTGCCTCTATCTGGTCCGGCTAATCAAATGGGCGCAGGCGGCATTGTTGGGCGGGGTAATTTTACTGCGTGCGACACATGACGCTAGAGTATCTGGTGCTAAGCGCCATCACCTCTAGCAGAGCATCTCGCTTGTACTAAGGCCTCTTCCACTTAGGTGTACGTGAAATTTCAGATAGACTTTTGATTCCAGGTTAAAAAGGTTAGTAATCTATATACTACCTATTTATATAAGGATGTGGTACCTGTTCGAGCTATACTATATGTCTACCCTAGATAATGTGGATTGAGAGAAAAGGCGTTCAATTCTGCTGCTCCCTGCCCCAAGTTCAGAGCGCTTATTCAACCTGTGACTTTTTCGGATGTCTGATGAGGATTTGACCGGCCGACGAGAGCTTTTCGGATGGTCTTCTTTACTTGAGAGGCTATCGCTTATTCTGGAACGAATGATGGAATGGCGCTGCTTTACTGCCGACGGGCTCCGTTTGGGAAAGTAGCGAAAGATAGAGTCCCACCCCAGCTTTTGGTCATCCCTCAGTTCTGACAGCAGATGATCATCTTTGGCCTCCCACTTCTTTTTTGTCGCTAAGTAACGTCGCCTTGTTGTGGATATGTTCTTCTCAGTCTCATTCATTAACAAATTACTTGTTGCAATAATACCGTATGAGTATTAGAGAAATTTGATTGCGTTCTGAACCACGACGAGACTTTCCTTGTAGATATCGCCATCGACCAAATCATCCGAGAATTGAGCTTCAGCGCTGGCCAAACTGTAGAATTGCTTCAGGTATCGTATTGAGTCCCTTATGCTGGATTGCTTGTGTGAATGACTTTCTTCATCTTGTAATGGGCGTTCATCTTTTGGACTGCGTCTTCTTGTCGTCGCAATTTCCGAATCTGCAGTGTTCAAATAGCCGGTCTGGGGTCGTTTTCGTGGAGAACATGGTCCCTCTAGGGTTCGCTTCTTGCCTCTTACACTAGACTGCACATGCTCATTTTCGCGTTCTTCTTCGGCTGGATCGTCCTGAAAGACATCGAAGACCCTTGACGTCCCAGGCCCATCCAGACCAGTTACAGAAGAGCTACTGCTACCTCGAGAGGAAGGATAGAGTGCGACCTCCTCGGGGTAATCAGGATGATTGGAGGAGGTAGCTGCGGCTGATATATCACGAGCAGACGCTTCGAGTATCGTCTCCGGGGCAGATTGGCCATTTTGCGACTCTAAGCTGATTGTATTAGGTCGGCTCAAGTGAAAATCGGATGCTGAAATAATCATACGTACCAAAATTCCCCATTTCATCCCCGTCATATGATCCGCTTTTCCATAGCACATAGCCATTTGCCTCACAGCTTTCTACGTGAGTAATGGATTGTCCTGACACTCCAGAAGAGTCATGTTGAGGACTATTATCCGAAAATTCTCTCAAGATTCCTATGGTCGGTTGCCAAAAATTTTGATGATTTAGCGTCACCATTTTGACAGGAGATTTGAACGATTTGATGAAGTAGCTGTTCAACCGGGGAACTAGGGGCGCGAGGATGTAGATTGTAAATGAAGATGGGATTCCATAAATTTGGAAAGGAATACCCCTGGCTTCTTATAACTATTTGTACCGTCGTGCTTTTCAAGGTCCAAATCCCAATGAAGCGATGTCATCAAAGAATCGGCCTCTGCACGAGTTGTAAGTGGCTACAGCTGAGGTCGAGAATCCAGACAACAGATCCCTGAATTTAATCCACTGCAAGCTGTCGTAACCAATTGAGTGCCGCGCTTGCCTGGGCTATACCAGCAAAAGGGGGTGCTTCTGGGAACTCACGCCTGAAAAGATCGCGTGATTAACGATTGGACAGTAAGTAGAATTTGATAGGCCATGAGTGTTTTCCAAGCTTCTTCATTGTGAGTGGATAACGGCCTAGGGCCAAGGAACTTGTGCTAGGCTAAAGGAATGGGTACTGTTCCTGGGGCTGAACCAATCCATAGGATAGAGCCAAAGACAGCAACCAAATTCCCTTTTTTACACGTCAAGAAACGCATACATGTCCATGTAGAAAAGTTCTTCGGAGAGTGTATTGTAGGATTTCGTTTCTGCGACGATATGGAGGATTATGGTCAATAAGCGATTAAGTCGAGTGAGCAAGCGCTGGAGAACGTCTACCGCGCACAATTAGGTCATATATTTTCTTGGGCTCCTAGGAGCGACCGCAGGCAACAAAGTGCTTATCATCGGAGGAAGTGAAACAAAAAAAGAAGCGTGTTGTGGGCCAGCCGGAGCATCCAGGGTGGGGGATCAGGGTGCTCAGGGAGCAGCTCCGGGAGTGCTCCGGGAGTACTCAGGGTCGCTCAGGGATGCTCAGGGTCGCTCAGGGAGCAGCTCAGGGCGGCGGGGGAACTAACTCAGGTTGGCTCCGGGAGCCGATCGCTTCCCGAGGCGGCAGTGTTACCGTCACCTTTACTACACATAGTACTAGTAGGCAGTGATTGTGTTTCCATATTCATTGTCAATTAGTTCCTGCACCACCATAAGCCATTAAAACTCACTGGTTAGTATACTATAAATTTGATTATCGGAATATCAGAAGTCCATATCAATTTTTCCTACTCAAAAGAATTAAAAATGGTAGAGTGGAGGAGGTTGAATATAAAATGGAAAATTTCTATATCTAAATAAATCTAAGGTAACGCGCACGAGATTTATCGGACCAATACCTATTTGTCCCACTTTGCATAGAATCTTTCACCACCACTCTAAAATGTATTTCAAAAGCTCCAAATTGGACAGACCTCTCTAAGTTAACTGGTAAAAAACCATAATCAATTTAACCTTGGAATAAAAACAATGGTTTATTGGTGGGATTCATATATAAAAGTCAGTATTCAGTGCCACATGCAATTGCCGCATATATTATGTATAAAAAACGAACTTATGCATTGACTTTGAAATCCCTCCGCTGCGGAGTTCCCTTCAAATCTGGAATGCTTCATGAATTATATCTATTACAGACTATCAATGAATCAATATCTATATCTGATGTCCTCTTAGTCAATAATCTTTTGTTTAAATTGAACATTTTTGACCCACTAAGCAATTATGTAAAGAGAGGAATTCGGCCGTGGCATCGCCTTTGATATATTTTGATATACGTCTTGCCCCACCGAGGGCTGGCAAGAAGCACCCTCAGCGTTCATCAGTGCATCCCGGTCTGCCAGCATCCGCTTTGTTCCAGATGTTTTCCATTTTTATCATGCCTTGCAGACATGGTGCTGTCTTCAGTGTAGTTCAGTGATACCTTACTTGAGCCGGAGCTCTTTGCCAAGATGATAAAGATTAGCCCACACGACGAGCTGCTTTTCAATGGCAGTCCAATCCACATCCGTACTGTCAAGCCGCTTCAAATTTTGGTCGGATCGCGTTAGGATCGATCGTTGACAGAGTCACAGAGACCACAACGGTCATATTGCCTTGTCTCACCCGCCGATCATGAGCAATTTTGCCGCGGAGAATTCTATCCGCTCCAGCTTGGATTTGCGGCCAATGGAAGCTTGGTATTTGAACTAGGTTCTGCGCAGTGTCTTTGACTACAACCCGACGATTGAGTGACTCTCCACCAGTTGACTCAATTGGGTAATCAAATGTTGGATATAGCCTGGTCGCTATTTACCTAATGCCCCCTTTTTAAACTCCAATATTTATTAAAACTCCTCAAACGCACATATACATACAATGATTGAGTTGGGTCTGAGGAGGAACGAACGCATCGCCTCTTGGATTTAAGCGCCTAAATCACATGATAGTGAGGCTGAGCAGTGAGGGGAAATGGTCTTTTATTTTCTGGGAGTGAAAACATCTGCTCAGCCCACATCTGCCCAGAGACATATCAAATTATATCGCAAACACACTATGACTTCCAACGTATCTTTTGGCCAGATAAACTCTGGGACCCAAGTAGGAATCAACCATGGTACAATGACTACAATCCATCAGGCGATTCAGGCCCCAGGTAAGTTTCACAACATTGAAGGTCTCTGCACCCAGCCAGGAGTCTAGGACTGATCGCCTCTATTGGCTCAGAGCGACCGGAAACTCCACCTCCTCCTCTCTCAAACGTCCCGTTCCGCCGCGACCCGGATTTTATTGATCGTGTATCACTTCTGGAGCAAATAGAAGAAAAGGGCTCTACGCAAGGTGCTCGGATAGCACTGGTCGGCCTGGGCGGTGTAGGGTGAGTTCAAATGACGGTCAAGGGACGCACATCTCACTAATTTTCATATAAGAAAGTCACAACTTGCCATAGAGTATTGCCATCGAGTTCGAGTTCGATCACCCGACACATGGGTTTTCTGGATTCATGCAAGCAATGCAACTCGCTTTGAGCAGAGTTGCCGAGAGATTGCTGACCGAGCTAAGATACCAGGCCGCCAGGATCTCAAGGCAAATATCTTCAAGCTACTCCACGATTGGCTACACAATGCGAAGACTGGAAAGTGGGTCCTCGTCCTAGATAACCTCGACGACGATCGGTTTCTCCATGCTAGCCCAGGACACGATCACAGTCTTCCATCTGAGCGATCAATCTGGTCTTATCTCTGTCAAAACTCAAAAGGCTGTGTTGTGATAACGAGTCGGAGTAGAGGGGTGGCTTTGAAGACCGTGGAAGACTATGACATTATTCCGGTCGAACCGATGGACGAGGGGTATGCAATCTCGCTTTTTGAAAAGAAGCTCGGCGCACAACCTACCCGCTCCGCAAGTATTCAACTCGTTGCAGCTCTAGAATACATCCCGCTCGCAATTGTGCAGGCGGCGGCCTTTATTAAGCAAAGAGCACCACGAGAGACAGTCACACAATATTTGGACAGGTTCCAGAAGAGCGATCGCCAGAAAATCAATCTTCTTGATTACGAAGGTGGCCAACTTCGCAGGGACCCAGAGGCCGCAAATTCTATCCTTCTCACTTGGCAGATATCATTTGAGGATATTCAGGAAAGAAGGCCATCCGCGGCAGATCTATTATCCCTGATGAGCTTTTTCGATAGACAAGGGATCCCTGAAATTCTTCTACAAGAAGGCCAAGATGTAAAAAAAACCGACGAACAGAGTGATGCAAGTGATACAGAAGATGAAAAAAGCACATCTAGCGAGCTCTATCGCTTTGAGGATGATATATTGTTGCTTATGGGCTATTCTTTGGTATTTGTCACCTTAGATCATGCAACCTTCGAAATGCATCGATTAGTTCAGTTGGCGATGCAGAAATGGCTTGGTGCTCAAGGTACTTTAGAGTACTGGAACGACATTTTTATCCAAAGGCTCGAGAAGAATTTCCCCAAAGGGAGTTTTGAGAACTGGAAGGAGTGTCAACTGCTATTTCCCCATGTGCAGTATAGCATGACACGGCTACCAGTTAAAACCCCCTCGATAGAAGTTTGGACATCATTACTCGATAAAGCAGCATCATTTGCGTGGACAAAAGGAAACTGGGTCGACGGCAGAAAGATGGCAAAGATGGCAGTGAAAAAAAATAAAGATTTATTTGGGATTAGGAGCGAGAAAACACTGTCAAGTTCTCATATACTTGGTCTAGTGTATATTCTTAGAGGGGAATGGAAGAAAGCTGAAGAACTCCTGCTGCAGTCGATCGAGATAAAGAATCAGGTGCTTGGGCCAGAGCACCCTGATACTCTGACCAGTATGGGAAACCTAGCGTTAACCTACCGAAATCAGGGACGTTGGAAGGAAGCTGAAGAACTTGAAGTACAGGTAATGGAGGCAAGGAAGCAGGTGCTTGGACCAGAGCACCCTAGCACTCTGACCAGTATGGGAAACCTAGCGTTAACCTACCGGAATCAGGGACGTTGGAAGGAAGCTGAAGAACTTGAAGTACAGGTAATGGAGGCAAGCAAGCAGGTGCTTGGACCAGAGCACCCTAGCACTCTGACCAGTTTGGGAAACCTAGCGTTAACCTACTGGAATCAGGGACGTTGGAAGGAAGCTGAAGAGCTCCAGGCTAAGGAGCTTAAACTATGTTCTAAGGTACTTGGACCAGAGCATCCTGATACTCTGACCAGTATGGGAAACCTAGCGTTAACCTACCAAAATCAGGGACGTTGGAAGGAAGCTGAAGAACTTGAAGTACAGGTAATGGAGGCAAGGAAGCAGGTGCTTGGACCAGAGCACCCTAGCACTCTGACCAGTATGGGAAACCTAGCGTTAACCTACCGAAATCAGGGACGTTGGAAGGAAGCTGAAGAACTTGAAGTACAGGTAATGGAGGCAAGCAAGCAGGTGCTTGGACCAGAGCACCCTAGCACTCTGACCAGTATGGGAAACCTAGCGTTAACCTACTGGAATCAGGGACGTTGGAAGGAAGCTGAAGAGCTCCAGGCTAAGGAGCTTAAACTATGTTCTAAGGTACTTGGACCAGAGCATCCTGATACTCTGACCAGTATGGGAAACCTAGCGTTAACCTACCAAAATCAGGGACGTTGGAAGGAAGCTGAAGAACTTGAAGTACAGGTGATGGAGGCAAGGAAGCAGGTGCTTGGGCCAGAGCATCCTGACACTTTGACCTGCATGAATAACCTGGCATTCACTTTGAAATCCCTCGGGGATAATGAAACTGCATTGCAAATGATGGCCAAGTGTGCTGAATCTCGCAGCAAAACATTGGGCCCGAATCATCCTTCGACTTTATCATCAATGTCCACTTGGACAGAGTGGAATAGTTCAGGTGAAACTTTGCCCTTCAAGCCTGTTGAACTACAAATTGTAACATCATTGGAGGAAGATACCGAAGCTACAACGTGATTATTTTCTATTGGTCGCCTTGACATACGACAATTTCTCGTTTCATTGTTTTTTCTCGCCCTTGGCTTCGTTTACGTCAACTGGTACAGAGCAGGGGTTAGAGAATATACTTGCCCGGTCATGTGAATATAGGAGACCATCTTTCTTCTACTTGATGTCTGTTTATTTGTCCAATTCAAAATACCTAATATTATGCTCGAGGCTTCCATATGCATATTACTCATTTTTGTATTGGAAACTCTAGAAGCTATGCCTTTGCTGCATGCGATGTAACCCTACACATCCATGTGATTGATCTAGTTAGTACAGAATACCAATTTCACATTAGTTACAGAGTCGTGATCAATATAGCCGCTTAGGTGCCTACAGGCTACTAGTAGTCTATATACAGGAAAAGCGAGTTGAATAAATGAAAATAATGGAGAAAGGCATGGAAACAAGGGTAGAATAGCCTCTAGCTGTTCATGAGGAATGCTCAATGAAGTTGACGAGGCCCGGCTCTGCCCGGGTGCGGCGCGGATGAAGATGAAGCATCGTTCATGAGCTTCTGTATCCTGGGCGTTGCATGATTTGCTGCTAAGTCCAGATCCTCCTGAGTCGGACGAGCGCCACTTATGATTAATAGCGCAATGATAGACTCACTATGTCTTCCATTATGCATGGCACATTTCAAAGGAGTGTTGGGAGTAACCCTAGACCTACATCCGGCCACGGTAATAGGTTCTATGACATTAGGGTCGGCCCCAGCCTCCAGTAAAATTCCGACGGCATCGGCATCGGCGTTCCTGGCTGCTTGGTACAATGAAACTTTTAACGGGGTGGCATCAAGGTAGGTAAGCTTGGCACCACGGCGTTTTGTCGATCTGGGGTCTCGGTAGTTGACATTAGCTCAGCATCGTCACAAAAAGATCCAGCATCTCTGAATTCTTGTGTACTATTGCCCAGCGTATTGGTGTATGGCCTGGCATGCGTAGAAGAATGCCGCACGATAGAAGATCCGCTCCCCGGGCTATGAGAACATGCGACAATTCAAGGTGATTGCCTTCAGCCGCCAAGACAAGCGGAGTCCGGGCCTGTCGGTCTCGTTATTATGGAATCTGTGCACATTTGCGCAGAATTTGTAGCCTTGGGATACAGGGAAGGGCGGGGTTCAAAGAAGTCGGCACGAGCTGCGGTTGTGGCGCTCTAAATGCCTTAAACCTAGTTTGGACGAAGCCTGTCTTACTATCGCACAGGCCACTTGGATTCTTGGAGTCTGGACCTCCATCTCAAAGCTTAGACGAGCTTCGTTTAGCTTGGCGTAGCTTGATGTTGGAAAATTAGGTGACGATGATCGAGTCATAGAGGAGATAGAGAGTGAGATATCAAAATTGATTGACAGCGGAGTCGGATATTTAATCAATCGGTGTTCTAGAGCACGACAATATTTTGTTAGATGCAGGGGCTATCTCTGCAAGGTGGTCAAAGAAATCAACATCGATTGAAGAACTCGGTCATAAATAAAAATTACTTTGAGATCCAGTCTAGTAAAATTGATCGAGATCGAGATTCCGAGATATGTAAGCTATGGAAGGGATCGTGAACAGCAACTCTTGTCCGAGTAGCCTGGCGGCTATAATCTTCGGAATACTGCCTATCTCCAGAGTCCACGTCATCATTCTAAAAAGTGGATCTCGAGGGGGTTCAAATTTCAATTGTGTTAGCTTGGTTGCCAAGGGTTGATCTCAGATCTTCATGATTTCAAAGCAAGCCACACAGGAATTGAATGTCTCTGGGGGTGAATTTCATTCATTGTCAGAGATGCCTTATCGGAGAAGATGTCAGGGGCAATGCTATGATATCAAGACCAAACTTTTTTAATTCCAGCTTCTGTTTGCGGTTAGTCGGGAAGAAAATTATCTGAAAAAAAAAAAACTGAAAAAAAAAAAGGATTTGGTTCTTTTTCTCCATAAATTTTTATGCGGAAATTATGTCTTGATTGATCAGCAGTGAAAACCAGATTTATCCCCAAAGGAACCGAGGCTGACGCTAACTCCCGCCAGTGCCGCCACAGAACAACCTTAAATCCGAAGCTGAAGAATTCTCCACTGTCAGCAAGAAGAATGCATGAAATGCATGTAATGCTTGCAAAACAACTTAATGAAACAAATTGCAGAAGGCATCGCTACCAAAATTCTCTTATCTTTCATCAACACCCTAAGCCACTAGTAGTATTGAACTCTTTTCTTCGAGAAAAAAAAAACGTTGGTTTCCGAGGACGGACATAACATAAGTTGGTTAAGGCCGTGATGACATGCCAATCTATGGTTCAAGTGGACCTATACTGATTCAGCAAATCCACAACAGAACCAAATGGAGGAATTTTCCAGAATTCTCGCAGACCGGGCAAGGGCAATGACGTTGAAGTCAGGAAATGAGGGATTGGTATAAAAGAGACAATGAGTCTCCTCAACTGATGTAGACCAATCCCCAGACTCAAGTCAATTAACACTTCTCATTCACCAATTGACACTCTAATCCACCCAATTATTACCACTATAATCATCATGGGTTCTACCGATTACCAATTCGAGGGCTGGATGGGCCTCGACAAGGAGGCTGCCAATGGCAACATGGTCTGGCAGAAGTTTGAGCCCAAGCCATGGGAGGAGACCGACATTGACATGCGTGTTACCCACTGTGGTATCTGTGGCTCGGACATGCACACTCTGCGCAGTGGATGGGTATGTGAATCACCCTGAGAGACGAGGAGATGGAGAGACAGAGAGACATTGCGAGAGAAATCGGTGTCTAACAGTTATTACAGGGACCTACCACCTATCCCTGCTGCGTCGGACACGAAATTGTCGGTATCGCCGTCCGCGTCGGCTCCAAGGCCGAGGGAAACATCAAGGTCGGTGACCGCATCGGTGTGGGTGCCCAGAGCGGTGCCTGCTTGAACAAGAATGGCGACTGTGAGGCCTGCGCCTCAGGTCTGGAGCAGCACTGCAACAAGATGGTGGGCACTTACAACGGCACCTACGCCAACGGAGGCAAGTCCTTCGGTGGATACTCGCTATACAACCGCAGCAACTCGCACTTTGTTGTCAAGATCCCCGACGCTATCTCCTCTGCAGACGCCGCTCCCATGCTCTGCGGAGGTATAACGACCTACTCCCCTCTGCGCCAACACGGCTGTGGACCGGGTAAGAAGGTCGGTATTATCGGTGTCGGTGGCCTGGGCCACTTCGGTATTCTCTTCGCCAAGGCGCTCGGCGCCGACCGCGTTGTCGCCATCTCTCGCAAGGGTAACAAGAGGGAGGATGCATTGAAGCTCGGCGCTGATGCTTACATCGCAACTGATGAGGACGAGGACTGGGTCAACAATAACCGCCAGTCATTGGATCTCATTATCTCCACCGTGTCTTCCTCCAAGATGCCAATTGTCGGCTACAGCCAGCTACTGCGCACTCGTGGAACGTTGGTTCAGCTTGGTGCACCTGAGGATGGTGGACTTGAGATTCCTGCCTTCGCGCTGGTTATGCAGGGTATTAAGCTTGGTGGTTCTTTGATCGGTAGCCCTGATGAGATTCGGGAGATGCTGGAGCTTGCTGCTACTGCGAATATCAAGCCTTGGGTTGAGGAGCGCCCGATGAAGGAGGCTAACAAGGCTATCCAGGATATGGAGGACGGCAAGGCTCGGTTCCGTTACGTGCTGGTGAATGAGCAGTAAGGGATTCGGAAAACGACAAAAATGTAACTAGCACTAGAATTGGCGTTTGATGATGAAAGGGAAGCGTTTGAATGGTTAATGTTTGAAGCGATAGCAAATGAGATGAATCAATTATGATAACATAGAGTTCAAGGATTCAGCATATGTATAATGCAGCGCTGTATATAATACAGTTCAAAAGCAAATATTAATTTGAAATTACTCGTAATTTACTTTCTGCCGGTCGGAAAATTGAAATTGAGATGTGACTCTTGGGTGACCCTTGGGTGGCCTCTATCGGCCGCCACAGGTAACGTTAACATAAGAAAGATCGACGTGTCACACGCGCATAACTATCCCCCCTCCTGCATTTTTCCACCATCTTAAGCTCCATATCTTCCATTTCAACTTTCCGCACCTTCTGAGTGCCCTTCCTGCTCGCCTTCTTAAGTATTCCTTGTTTGTGCTGCATCGAGCATAAAAACCCAGGCCAACAATTACAACTGACTTTCAGCAGTATCTCGAAAGCCCATCTCCAACAGGCATCATGGCAATCCCGATTGCATCTCCAACGGCCTCTCCCCTTCGCTTGCTACCAGGCGTCCAAAACCTACAGCAGAATTCTCCATATACTGACGTGTATACAAATGCCGCCATATCTCCTCTTCGTACTCGATCAAACATTCGGCATTTACGGGACGAAACTTCACATTCCCACCCAGAACCCCAGCGTTGGCAAAACCCCGGAGGTTGGGGTGCCCGGCATATAAATGACCACGCACCATTCACACTCTGGAGCGAAGAAGAACGCAAGTTTCGTTCCCCCACGAAGGATGAGTTTGCCTGGATCCATAACATGTCTGGGGCTAGTGGCATGTTCATTGGCGGATGTCTGCTTTGTATTACAACAACCTGTCCACCGAAACCAATTCCGCTAACTATCGGAACAATGCCAGCGATTTTCCGACGCCCCGAAGAGCCATTCAATCACCCAACCCTACTCCCTGAATCAGGCTATTCAAACCCCCGGATTTCAGATCCATGCCCTTCTCTGAGGTGGCCTCCTATGACAGATCCAACCACTACTCAGATGATGATGGTCTTAGAAGCAATGTCGGAGGTTGCAAATGTTGTTGCTGCCACCTTTTTCCCCAGCTGGACTGTGTTTGAGCTTGAGACTTCTGACAACCGAAGTTATGGGTTAAGTTCCCTACCAGGTGTCGTGGCAGGCCACACTGCCCTGTATCACCATAAGGCTACACCATTCCTTCCCCCACTACGAAGCCCGACTCGCCCCCGCTTGGTTGTCCCTAACCCAGACCAAGCTATTGAAGACCTAACGAACTACCTCCAAAATTCTCCAAATCTGACCCCAGGTTGTAGAGTCGAGAGTGGTCTTAATCAATCAGGCCGCTCAACTACCTCTGCAAATGCCTCTGCAACCGCCTCCGCAACGGCCGCTACAACATGTGGCGTCAAAATCTGCAATTCTATGGGTGAAGAAGCCCTCACTGTGGCCCATCATGGATTTTTACACTCAACCGATGTTTATCACCCATCTACACACGGAGGGGACTTCATTGGAGAAGTAACTGATTCTCGACCAGAGCTTAATGTTGGCCTAGTAAAATTTACGCCTGCCGCTTCGGCCAGATTTACAAACTCTTGCTACTTCCAAGCTGCACCCCCAACCTGCATCCTTGAAGGCTCCAAGGTATCGGCAGGCTCGTGGAGCGAGGTAGACGGAATGAGTTCAGGGATGATTAGCTTGATGAAGGAGGCTCGCAGGATCATGCGCCCACCACGTCCGACTGGTCACCCCGCAGTCCTCTTTACCCAATGGAACACCGGAATCTTGTATCGTGTGTTTGGAAATATCAGTAACCGGATATCAGATGGCATTTGTGGTGCCCCAATCGTTGATGTCAACTCTAGTGGAGTCGCTGGATTTTTCCACCGGAGTGATGAGGGAACCTATTGCTACAGTGCGGAGCTTGATGATCTTGTGGCTGAGGAATGGAATATTGTTCAGTAGCTATTATTATCCGCCTGCCGGTTGTGGAATGTTTTCGCGAAGTTGTACTAATTATCATAGCTGAAAATTACAGGTGTCTCCCATTGATTGTTGATAAGCCTTTCAATCTCATGGTAACAATGTGGTACTATGGCGGCCGATAAGGGCCAGCTGCCAATTCCCAATTTCAACTTTCCGACCGGCAGAAAGTAAAGTATGAGTAATTCCAAATTTGTAACTATTTTTTTCTCCCTCTAATCTCAAACTTCTCAATCTGCTTAGATTACCCCGCGCTCGCTTGATTTTACTTTGTATTCTGATATACACAGTAGAAAGTGTGTTTTAAGCAGGCCTTGTATTGATTTACCTTGAATTACATGAAGAGCGGTATTGTACGCTGTATTGTGAGCGGTATTGTACACTGTAATGTACACTGTAATGTACACTGTAATGTACACTGTAATGTACACTGTAACGTACGCTGTAACGTACGCTGTAATGTACACTGTAACGTACGCTGTAATGTACGCTGTAATGTACGCTGTAATGTACGCTGTAATGTACGCTGTAACGTACGCCGTCACGTTTGCTGTAACCTACGGTGTAACGTACGGTGTAATGTACGCTGTATTGTACGCTACATTTCACACTTCATTGTATGTTGAATCGGACTTCATATATTGAATCTACGCACATGGGGTCACATGGCGCATCTTTATTTCCGTAATCTCTATTTTTCAATAACTAGTATGTATCACATGCCATCGATAGCCTCACTTCGTTCAGCTAATGGTCTCAAATGAAGCTTGAGGGGTTTGGGATTGAGATATTCCTATATGGGATAAATACAATACGGGCGGGAAACAGGGCGGTGAAGTAAAATTGAAATGGGGATGTGTTACTAGGGTGGCCCTTATCGGACTCCGCAGTCCTATTCAAGCTCCGCAATCCTATGCAAGCTGCACATGTGGGGCTTCCATTCTTCTATTTCTGCAAGTGTCGCATACTTCCTCCTCAAAAGATCTTCTAACTATTTGATCTCAGAGGTTTCAGAAGCTATCAATGTACCATACAATCCAAGACGAGCCCAGCTCGCCCAAAACCCCTACTATGGAGATCTCGTCGCCAGCGTCAAAATCTTCATGGGCCTTTTCACAACCCTGCAGTGGGAGCTCCGGCGGACTCTCAGAGACATTAAGATTGGAGCTCATCCGCATTTCCGGAGATCTCTGCTGGGCCTGCAGCTCTTACGGCACCCAAGTCTGCCAAGTGTTTAGAGAGAGAGACACAAGAGTAAGTGTCGCTGGTACTACCAGTAGGACTAGTATGTGGCTAACTATTACTGTGTAGGATGATCTTTGGGCCCACATGGGTCTTATGAATTATTCTCCCCATTCCCTCGCAAACGCCATACTATTATGTCCAGCCTGCCATATGCATTTTGATCGTGATAATGACCCTGCCTTTCTTTTGGTGCCGACGGATTTGGATTATTTTATCCGATTTGAGCAAGATGACAGAATCCGGAGGCAGGAGGTTGGATGGCCTCCCGGCCGACAAATCCCAACAAGTGCCATGTATACAGCATACCTTGAGAGCTCGGGGAAGGGTCGTGAGGGGTACACTCCAGTATTTTTGAAATATTACCTGCATAATATGGCGCCCCCGCCCTATTTAACCTTACCAAAATATTGGCAAGGAGCACCAGCTGCCGTACTACAGCGTTGTATCATGGCCCTTGGGAGTGGGAGAATCGTGTCTCTCGGCCACCAGGTGGCACAGCTGGAAACACTGAGAAATCTATATTTCTCACCTATCGAAGGAACATTGCCTATTGATCTTCATGATTATAACCTGCCACCACAGGCAAACCCACCCCAATATGAAGATCCACCTGCACCAAACCCTCCGCTGTCAGAGCAAACATCTGATTGCGAGATCAGATCATCAGACTCTCAACCTGAGGCTGACCCGGACACCCAAGTACCCGATGCCAAAGATCCGGATTTCAACCCTGAGAACCATAGCCGGCATAACAACCGGAAGAGGAAGGGAAAGGATACCAGCGCCCAGGGTACCAGGAAGCATGCAAAGCGTGGTACTGGTCCAACCAGTTACCACTCTGGTCGGGAGAACTGGGTCCTAGGCCCTATGGCAACATCAGAGGATGCTATATTGCGGTACTCTCCAATTTTCGCTCGTGAATAGTGTCGTCCGCCTCCCAATATCATCCGCCTCCTACTGTTATCAGAATTCCACTGTTATCTGTATCCCACTGTTATACAGAGCCTATGTTATCCAGGGGGCTTTCTGACTTACTTTTTGCTAGTTGATCTCATGGGAATAAGGGTTATCAATGGTCTGGTCTCTTTCTCTGTTGGACCAGGGTGCCTGTTCAAATATCACCTGTTGATCTCTTACTTTATTATTGATGGTACATACTATATCAAGATTATTTGAATTTTCTTCTTTCAGTCTTGCCTTGTCTTTACTACTAACCAACTCCTTTCCCTTTAATCTTTATACCTCAACCTTTGTCAACTTCTTCCTTCTTCCAACTCTTTCCTCTCCTGACCTTTTTACTCGGATTAGGCCTTTACTCAGACATCTGGAGTAACTCTTTACTCCCAGGTGCCAACTCAACCTTGTGTTGTCCCATCATGTCTATCTCCGTTCCTCCGGATTGAACACCCATACCCAATACGACAGCCAATCCAACAACAAATCCGGTGGGTTCTCAGAACCCATTTAACTCACCTACAAATCGAACACCCCCAAACACTATCCCAGACTTGTCCAGTCACGAGTTGACAGTTTCGCGGTTTCGCTGGGAAGGTTTTCTCAAGGGTTTCCTTTGTTCAGTTGAGAAGGTTAGGGTAAGGTTTAGTTCCTGTCGCCAAACTTAACGTACCGGGTACTTAAGGCTGGCTTTCTCCCTGATTCCCTTCTCTTCTTCTTTTCTCTCTGTCTGTGTTTTCCTTGGGTTTCTAGGACCTTACTACAATATCATTGTATCTTCGCTTGTCGTGTCACAAGACTCTTTCGACTGAAGCTGGTAAGTAGCTTTCCTGAGTCCTATTCTAACAGATTAAAGAGCTATATCTAACATTTCAATAGCTATACCCAACCATTTCCTTCATCAGGAGAGATCCCGTCATGAGATACGGGAAGCAGTGCTCCGGATGGAGCCCACTTGGATTTAAAGACAATATGGACCAGCACATCTGGAGATTTGAAGGCGCTGTGATTACTGTATGTGGTACTAGGTACTACAGAAACCAGCAATGCGAAAGTTGCATCAAGGAGATGGGCTGCTTCCATCAATGTGTCATGGTCCCAGGTATCACCGGCTGTAATAATTGCCGGTATTACAGGAGGGCATCTACATGCTCACTCAATGACACTGCCACCACTTCAAATACACCAGCAGGCTCGAGTGCGCCGAGTACTTCCTCGGCACCCGGAGCATCGGGTGCCCAGCAAGGCACACAGTCATCAGCAAGTACGACAAATCGTACATTCCGATCCATTGTGAGCGAGGCACATGAAGCAGTGCTTCGGTTGGATGAAGTGGCTCGGTCGCTAGATGAGCGCCGCAGAAATCTCCAAGATGCACTGGGTGCCGAACATCCAGAAGTTCGCCTTCTGGATGATGATATCCGGTCACTTCGGAACATCATCGCTGATATGAGAAGCAGTAGGCTTTAATTCAGGCAACCTTTTGACCCTGGATCCTTCGTTTTTCGATACATATATTATGTTGCATCGGCATTATGTTTATTAATTACTGCCCTCCGAATGGATAGCGTTTAAGATTTAATCAAAACAGTAAAGAACAGGTCACTCTCATATTAACACTGGTTATACAATACGCTAGGCCTAATTGGGACGTATCAATGCCTTAATCTGCCTTAAATCCCTTCTCAAGTCCCTTCCCAAATCTATTCCCAAGTCTCTTCTCAGGTCCCTTCTCAAGTCCCTTCTTAAGTCCCTTCTCACATCTCTTCTCAAGTCTATTCTCAAGTCTATTCTCAAGTCTTTTTCTCAAATCCCTTCTTTAAAGTCTCTTCTTAAGTCTACTTGGTGTCTACTGTCTATTGGAATTTCTAGTTTATATATCAGGAGCCGTAATTCATATATCCTTCTTCTTTTAATAACATTTGAATAATATACCATAGTTATTTAAGTATGTATACATTAAAAAACTACTACATGACCTCTTTTTCTGCTAAGGGGGCTGGGAGGAAAAAATACATCCCAGTTACTGGTAGGCTTTAAATGTTAGTATGAGAGTGACTCATGTCCAGAAACTGGTTCAAACATTTGAATGTTTAGATTAAACTTCTAAATATATCCACCGCTACGAAAAGGTCATCATTCAAGTGGATGGTAACCTCTACGTGGGGGGGCAGTAATGTCATGGGTGCCAGTCGCTTTACGGGCTATTTCACTACTAATGTGTGATGGTTACGGGACTGGTTGTGGGAACTGCCGCTGGTGGTCCAAACATTGAAGCAGACGCTATCAAGTGCACACTCAATGATCACCAACTTATTACAGCCACCGAGGAAGTCTCTCAATCAACAAGCTTCCCATCAGCACGTAGTGGCCCACAGAAACACCAACATGGGTCTCAGATTAATAATAAGAACATTCCGTACGATAGTACCGGACGTACACAATACGCTCGCTGAGTTCGACGAGCTTGCTACCAGACAGAATGACCAGCGAGGGAACTTCCAGCAACTGTTGGACGGTTTGCATGCCGAAGTGCATCTCCATGACAATAATATTAAAAAACAACGGACATTGATTGGGATTCGAAAAAAAGAAAAGAATGTAACTAGCGGTGGAATTGGTGTTTGATGAGAAAAGGGAAGTGTTTGAATGGTTAATTGAAGCGATAGCGAATGAGATACATCAACTGTGATAGATTTTGTGATAGATCAACTACTAGTAGTAGTAAGAAAGTCCGACGCGTCACGCGGATATCTTTTCCCGCGTCCCCTCCCGCGTCTTTATAACCCCGCCAACTTTTCCTCTCTTCCATTTCAAGAATGAATTGATGACTTTGCAGCGATGGTCTACAAAGGTCTAGGTTTTCATTCGTTTGTTTACTCCACTTCTCTCAGGCCCTGTCATCATTGACAGTGATAACAGTGTCTGAGGGATATGGAAGAGATTCTCGCGATGACTGGCCAATATGGATACTCATTTTCATGTCTTAAGGTACTCTTACCATGTTCCCTCAGAATACCTGTTAGTGATGCTCTAGCTTCGAATTGAATGACCTTGATACAGGTCTTATTTTGAAGTTGATTGGAAAAGTGTAATATCGTAGACGTAAAGATTGCTGTATGCTCGGCGAGAACACTACGTAATGATGAAGTTGGAGCCGGACTTCATCAGTTCTATTATCCCCCTCAACTTCCTCCTTCAATCTCAATCTCCACCACATTGTTGCCCATCAGACTACTGCATTCTGTCTGCCGATAAGACTTGCCTTTATTGACTTTCATTCAGCTTTACTATTCAAGATGGGCTGGGATAAGTATGGAAACAAATACTACATCACGGAATCTGGCACTAACAGTCAGGTAAAGAACCAATGACAATACTATGTTTTCATGATGGCATAGACTAATAGTCGGTCTTTCCTCTAGGGTAACCACTACTCTAACCGCGATTATGGCCCTGATGCTCCGAACCAAAACTCCTACCACTATTCCAACAAGTAAGTGTCATCTGGTGAAAATGCGGAGATGAGATCCCCACTAACCCCACTCTAGGGATGGATCGTACTATTACTCCAACCCCAATGGCAGCACCTACTACAACGACGGTAAAGGTTCTGCCGTTTACACTCCTCCCGATTCTTCAAACTCGGACAACTATGAGGACTATTACGAGTCTTTAGAGTCTTCGGGGGGCTATGAGGAAACCCACGAATCCATACGCTATACGATAGATGTGCAGGTCGATAATGACACCTATAGGAGGTGGTGATTGCGAGCAGCATTGAGCTTTTTCTGATTTGCTTTTTGCTGATTGATTCCATGGGAATAAGGATTAGCAATGATCTGGCTTCAAATTGAATTCCCTTTGCAGTAGACTCTACTGTAGTTACCCCGCACTTTTCGGAAGTGGAGAATACACTAGTACTTAGTAGATTACGTTGATTGGAACAAAAGTACCTCCGTATCACCGTCGGATCGGAACTGACCGATAAGAAAGTCAAGCAGCCGAGGCCGTCGCGTCGATAACTCTCTCTTTCTTCCCTCTAACGGAATTCGAGTGAGAAAGAGAAGAAATTAACGCCCTGATGCATGACGCCGTCACCCCAGGTCGAGTTTGTGCTCGTTGCGCCCAAATTGTGAGTCTCCAGGGATTCCGTACTTGACGAATACGAGCACTGATAAGGGTAGAAACAACGATGCGACGGCGGATTGCCTTGCTCCCGATGCAAACGTACGTCTTTTCTACTTGTTATGCGCCAATGGAAGGACTGAGGCTGATTTGATCTTGAACTAGGCTTGGGCCATGTATGCAAGCCACGAGCACCAGCGGATAACGTGGAAACCTCACGACGAACAATCGCGTCACGAAGACCCCGCGCATCTCGGTCCCGCGGTGGGTGTTTGTCATGCAAGGCAAGGTAGATCTAGACCCAATGGATCTTGACAAGGCGCCCTCTCTTATATGGGCGAGAAGCTGATTTGAATTGGTCAACCTAAAGAAAAAAAAAGTGCGACGAGATCCACCCTCGATGCACTGACTGTCGCCGCTTGAATCTTCCCTGCCAATGGCCATCGTCATCAAGGAATTCTACGCCCGCACCTAGTGGAGATTCACCGGTTTCTTATGCGACGGACTCGCCGGATGAAGATCCGATGGACAATGCCGACGGAGATCCGCTGGCTATTGACTGGAGCACACCTGATAACGATGAGGAGTTTATCGCCTCACTTTTCCCGCACCCGTTGTCGGGCCAAAGAGCGCGAACGCTATCGATTGGGTCGCCGGTATCTACAAATCCACACTTGCGGAGCGAAGAAGATCGTTCGCTGTTTAATCACTATATCCACGTGGTGTCGCGTGCCTTGTCCCGATCTCATGATTCCGATCGGAACCCATTCCTGGTCACGCTTCTACCACTTGCTGCCACATCTGATACAGTCACTAGTGTGATCTTGAGTTTGAGTGGGTGCCATTGGAAACGCGTTTATCCAAGCATCTGGGGGTGTGCATTGAGAAGACAGGGGCAAGGTGATTAACCGTATGGAAGGATACTATTTGTGTTCCTGCTAACGAGAAAAAGCATTGGCTCAAGTAAACAACCTGCTCGGCAAAGAGGATGTCCGATGTATATTTGAAGCATGTGCAACCGTACTATTGTTATGCTTGACCGAGCTATTCGATGGAACCTCCAAAGTATGGAAATGGCATCTCAAAGCTGCCAGTGCCATTCTCAAATCTCCTGCATTTCACTCTTTGATTTCCAGTGATGAATGGACATTTTGCATCAGCCTGTTCCATTATCTGGACTCAATGTCCACTATCTCTCGATGCAAACCTCCACTTTTACACCCAGGCGCCAGCATGACCGAGCTTACCACCAGCTTTCGACGAAGCAGCGTACCAGAACTCGAACAGGGCCAATCTACGACGGCTATCTACGGAATATCTCCGACGCTTTTTGATTATCTGGGTATGGTGAATGTGCTGGCGAACCATCGAAGTAAACGAGTCGATGAACTATCCGAGATTGGCTTCCGAGCAGCAGCCACCCACGTGGAAACTCGGATTGACGAATGGCGCGTGGACCACGACCAGATGGCGAAAAAGGAGCCAGATACAGAGTCCGCAACCATCGCTTTTGAATGGGCTATCCGTCTGCGTCTACATCAGGTAGTAGAAGGATATGACCCCCTGCATAGCTTTGTTGAGAAAGCTATTGTCAAGATCTTGGATGCCGTGCAAGAGATACCCTATGCAAGCCGAGTGGAGGGTTGTCTTCTATTCCCACTTGTCATTGCGGGATCTTCCAGTGTGACCATTGAACGGCGAATGATTGTCAAGGAGCGATTAATGGTTATGGAAAATACTTTGGGATTCGGCCATATCCAGTACGCCCGACAGCTCCTGGAAAAAGTGTGGGAGAGCAACAGCACGTCGGATTTAAATTGGGCATCGGTGAGATATAGTCAATTTCCAGGCGTGGTCTTCATATAGATCAGCTCCCGACATATGATATGATGTAAAATAAATGTCGACGAATTCTGTACATATGCCTTGTCGATTGAAATATTGATTCACAGTGCTATAAAAATTCTTTACTGCTTTTTCCCTTGTTCCACCAGTTGGGCCAGGTCTTCCCTCATGTTGTACCCACAGACCTCTTCAATGGTCAATTTCCCAGGTCGATCAGACGAGGAACTCCAACCAATTCTCTCACTGAGATCCTCGCGCGCTCTGAAGCTAGCTTCCTGCACTCGCGTGGCTCGCGGTTTGCGCAGTTGCTCATATAACGATAATCCCTCACTGACTCCATAATCTTTGCGGAAGTTCTTGTGAAAGACTAGACCCAGTGCCCCGGCATCTTCAAATGCCATGCATGATCCCTGAGACTGATCGGGCATCATTGGGTGCGCTAGTCTCGTTAGTTCTGATCTTGAAAAATTGAAAAATAGAACCAGCATAACTTACCTGCGTCACCAAGTAAGCAGACCTTGCCTTTGACCCAGTATGGATAAGGGTCGTGTCTGTATACTGTTTCGAGAGCTGTAAGTACCCGTTCGTCTGTCTGTGGGGAGATGACCTACGTCGCCACATCTTGATATCTTCAGCGTTCAGCATCAACTTCCGCATTCTGGGGTCCAGGTCAGGGAATGTCTCGACCAATTGTTCGGGTGTGGCGCCGATATTCCATCCATCCTCGCGAAGGTTGTTGACAGAGGCTGGATAGAAGCAGTAGCAGCTTACAACTTCGCCGTTGCTACAGGGTGACATGACGATCTTGTTGATGCCGAATCCGCCCCAGTACTCGATGGCTTCGTTGGAGATGTAATCTTCTAAATCCAGGGAGCGGAGTTTCTCTGCGCTGATGATGCAGCGGTAGCAGCATGATGTGGACATGGTGAAGTTGGGTGTGATTTCCATCATTTCCCTCGTGAGAGACTGTGATGCTGTTAGTAGAAATATCTTTTTCTGCTTAGTAAATTGTGAACTTACTCTGATTCCGTCAGCGGCGACGATGATATCAGCAGTTGTCTGTGAACCATCTTCGAATTTAATTGTGCCTTCTTCTGGGTTGACGTCTGTGGCCTTGTGGTTGACTTTCAGTATACACTGTGGTCCCTCACCGGGTGCTTCAAACGCAGATTTCAGAAGTTGCTTGTGAATATCGATTCGGTGGAAGTTGTTATAGTCCTATCGCAGATTAGGCCATGTCCACCAGTCCAGGTTCTTTGGGAAACTTACCGTGCCAAATTTGGACTTGTAATCGCCGAGCGGATAAGTGCTTTGAACTTCTCCATCTGCCCAGTTGTGCATGATCAGTTGTCGAAGAATTACCTGAGCCGGCATTAGTTGATTCTCACTTATTTGATACGCGAGTGTCACATACCGGCTTTGCTGCGCTAACATCCACCCCCCATTCTTCCAAGAATCGAGATCCATTGGACGCGGCACTCAACGATGCACCCACTTCACCGGCAAAATCATATCGCTCATACACTGTCACTTGATGGCCCTGGCGACGTAGGGAAACGGCTGCGGCCAAGCCACCGAGACCAGCGCCGATAATGGCTACTTGAAGAGGAGTGTCTGTACGTGAAGGCATCTTTACGGTCACTGAACGAATTAAGAGAATGAGGATTGCAAATTCAAGAGTCCCTTCTACAAATATATACACGATTTTATGAAGCTATTGTCTCGCATCGTCGGCTGACACGGCTCTGGTCTTATCGGTAGCGACGGCGGACCTTATCTAAGCGACGGCTGCATGACTTGGCTGACTTGGCTGAGTTCCACTGCGGATCTTTACCCAAACCCGATTCGCCTCAGTGGATGTGGAGTCGTGGACACCAACACAATCAATTCCCGGGGAAGCTTCGACGTTTCGTTATCTTGGTCGGGCTCGTATCAGTGCCCCTTGTTCTCAAAAACGTTAAAATGCCAGCCAAAATCATGGAATATCTCCCCCCTTTGATCGCTCCAAGTCAACTATTCTTTGCAATTGCATTATGGAGAAGAAAGACGCGGTCGCGATGAAGCTGGATGAGGGTGAAGATTATGCTTTGGGCAGTCTGACGGCTGATGACAAGAAACTTGTCCGCAAGATTGATGCGCATATCTTGCCCATTATGTTCTTGACTTATTTCCTGCAGATGATTGACAAGATTTCTATCAATGTATGTGTGATATCGTGACCTTGTCAAAATAGGACGGCGACCGATGGCTAACATTTGAAACTAGTATGCAAATGTGATGGGGTTCCAGGATGACTTGGGTATGACTGGGAATGACTTCTCGTGGCTGGCAACGGCGTTTTTCATTGCCTATGCATTTGCGGAAATCCCACAAGGAGCTTTACTTCAGCGATTCCCCGTGACGAAAGTACTTGGAACAAATGTCTTTTGTTGGGGAATTATTCTATGTTGTTCATCCGCGACTAAGAATTTCGCTGGTATGATTGCATTGCGTACTCTTCTTGGTCTTATGGAAGCAGTCATTGGTATCTCTCCCCTTTGATCCTTTTTCTCTCTGGGAAAGTCCTAAATACATATCACAGCGCCCTCTCTCACCATTTACACAAGCATGTGGTATACTAGAGCAGAATCCACTCCCCGCTATGGATTCTGGTACTGTGGACTAGGTGCCGGACAAATCATCGGAGGACTGATATCATTCGCTGCACAACATGCGCCCGCCAATCTATCGTTCGGCGGGTGGCGCATCATGTTTGTGGTCATTGGCGCCGTCAATGTCCTGGTCTCGCTACTTGTTCTCTTCGTGCTGCCCGAGACGCCCGACAAGGCCAAGTTTCTCACCGAATCGGAGAAACAGAGAATTGCTCAGCGACTGCAGAGTGATCAGGCTGGCGTGGGTGCTAAGACCTTTCGCTGGCGCTCTGTGCTGGAAGCATTTGCGGATCTCCAGACGTGGTTGCTGGTTCTTTTGACTATCTTGATTACTATCCCGAGTGGAGTGATTACTACATTTTCATCAATTCTGATAAAAGGCTTCGGATATGACAGCAAGGAGAGTGCTTTGCTCAATATGCCTTCTGGAATTGTGAGCATTGTATCCACGATGGTCTCTACTTATGCGATTGCCAAGGGATTTTCTCGCTGGTTGGCTATTGATCTTTTGCTCATCCCAACACTGATCGGATCTGGTTTGATGTCCTTCCTGCCATCATCTAATAGAGGGGGGTGTCTGGCAGGTATATACTTGGTGAATACGGTAAGTTTTACTCCCTTGGGTCATGTCCTGCTTCTGATCTTTACTCACGACTTGAACATAGACGGTCGCCCCGCTCGCGCTGATTTATGCTTGGACTGGCGCCAACTACAAAGGATATACGATGAAAGTTCGTTGCCGATGACCTTCCCCTTGATATATATTCTAACGTTAACCGTGGGACAGGTTGCTGGTACTGCAATCATCTCAGCTGGATTCAGCATTGCAAACATCATTGGTCCGCAGACCTTCCAGGCGAAGGATGCCCCTCGGTAAATTACCACAATCCTTTCTTCTGCTCAACAAACATTACTCACACAATAGCAGGTATATTCCCGCCAAGATAACTTTGGTCGCCGTCAATGCTGCGGCAATCGTCATTTCCACGACTCTAAGGCTTATGTATGGCCGTCGTAATTCTCGTGCAGATCGCTTGGGAACAGCTGCACGTAGCTCGATGGAAGCTCGTCTGGCGAATGCACAAACAGCAGAGGATGTTCATGATGAGACATTCCGTTATGTGTATTGATTCGGGTCTTTCACCCACAGCTAGTTAAATGTGATTGTTAGCACTTGGAAATTCATGCGATAAATTTAAACCGGATTATTATAGTACTGAACGAAACTTCGTCCGTGAAATCTAGAACAGAGAGAGAAAAATGGCCAACATTTGACAGTGGGGATCGGGGTTGATTCCGCAGGGCATGCGAGTATCTATCCGACGGCGGCGCATTCGGCTCCGAAACCCCCCAAATATCATAGATTGACTACAAAAATTATTCAAACTATTTAATATCCTACCACACGTGCAAGGTTTGAAAATCCACCATTGTATCTACCCAACCATACCCTTTCAACATTGTCACCATGGCCCCCATCGACGCTGGATCCTTGGTGCTCGTTACAGGCGGAAACGGATTCATCGCCGCCCACTGCATCGCCAATCTCCTGCAATCCGACCACCAGGTCCGAGCGACCGTTCGTTCGACCGAAAAAGCAGAGGCAACCCGGACCGCTCTTCAGGAAGCAGGGGTGAAGCACCTCGCCCGTCTCCAATTTGTAGTCGTCCCAGACCCAACCAATTTTGACGCCTTGGTTGAAGCGCTTCAGGATTGCCAGGCTATTTTGCACCTCGCCTCGGCGTTCAGCTATGATGCTGTTCCGGGTGAATTTGAAGAGAAACTCATGATTCCCGCTCTCAAAGGAACTGAAGCCGTTTGTGAAGCTGCTCGGCGCTGTCCTACTGTTCGGCGCGTGCTCATCATGTCTAGCTTTGCTAGTGTCTATGATGCGAGCTTGGGGTTGCAGCGTGGACGAGTGTACACGGAGAAAGACTGGTGTCCGTTGACGTATGAGGATGGTGTGAATGCCTCGGCTGTTGTAGGTTTCTTTTTTCTTTTTTTTCCCATCCTCGTATATGAATGAATGTTGACTGATTGATACTTCTAGCCAATCGCATATCGTGCCTCGAAGGTTGTCGCTGAGCGCGCAGCTTGGGACTACGTACAGAAAAACACAGTCAACTACCAGCTAGTATCGCTCTGTCCAGGAATGGTGTTTGGAAAAATGATACACCCAATTTCGTCCCTTTCCCAACTCAATGCAAGCAATCAGATAGTGTGGGATGTTCTGAGCGCAGGCAGTGATGCTGATATGCCACCCACAAAAGCGCCCGGTGAGAGTAACTGTTCTCCTTTGGAACGCGTTGCACTCTACTAACGCATACATAGTCTGGATCGATGTTGAAGATCTGGCTGAAACCACTCGCAAAGCTCTCATCTTCCCGGGTACAGGACATGAGCGCTTTTTGGTCACGCAATCATCGTATAACACGCAGGAGATTGCGGATATCGTTCGAGCACAGCTTTCAGATCAAAATAGAGCTCCGGTTGGAGAGCCTGGCAAGCGAATTGCGGATACGCATTACTCTTGTGATTCTTCTAAGGCGAAGGCGCTTCTTGGGGTCGAGTTCAGAGCGCTGAAGGAGTCTATTATTCCTTTGGCGCGTCAGTTGTACTCTATGAACTAGGTCAGCTATTGGTAGCAATCGTAACCTTTGAACCAGGATTGAGAATTTGAAGATTTTTTTGGTACATTTTCCCATATACTTGCATGCTGTTGATTATGGTGTTTTATGGATGTGGTCCTTGCAGAAGTTTTTTTCAGATGATAATCATTCATTCGAACCAATCGGATTTCGTCCATGTGCCATTAGTCCTGACAAGACTCCATTGCCTAGGCCCTATTCTAATATACTGTCGGCCTGATTAAATCGATCGTCGAACCTATAATTCTATGCCAATTTCTCCGTGCTTGAATAATCCCCTTTCGATGAAAAGCTATCTGTGGCATTTCGATTAGTTTCAAAGTCTTGGGCCGTGTGCGGACCGGTCACTGGTCGTCAGAGTTTTATCGAGAACGCACAAAACCAAGAAAAAGGGACCGCATTTTCGGAAGAGTTACTCACCACTTCTGAGAATATCATAGTCTCATACGCCAAAATCACCCTCAAGATGAACCCCGTCAGATTTCAGGAACAGAGTGACTTGAAGCCCGCGATGACTCCCTTTTCGTCGACCATCCCTGACGTCACCCCTGCGTGGATGCAAACCGCACATCCTACGACCGGGGATGTCCTATCTAAAGAGACAATACGCGCTATCGTCATGACGGGCCCAGAGGAAGGCAAAGCCCTCTTCCGGATGTGGCAAGAATCAGCTGATCCTGCTACTGTTGTCCCGATCATCTTGCAGAGAGCCCTCCTGGTCCTGGAGGAACGTCTTCAGAACTTAGAGACGGCCTTAGACCGTACTGGCAACCTGATGCTTCAGCGGGAGCAAGCATTTAACGCCAACAAACACCTGTTGAAACATATGGAACCGATCACCACATACTCGGGCAAGATCAAAGACCGGGCAGCGCACGAATTTATCCGGGATTGCGAACGCTACTTCGGTGACTTGGAGACCTTCTCCGGAGAAAAGATATCAGAGCGATCGAAGATAACCGTCGCTATAAATAAGCTTACGGGTCATGCCGGAAGATGCTGGGGGTCATTTGAGCATGGTGTAACCGCGAACCACTCAAGCCCGATCACCACATTTCAAGAGTTCAAAGAATGAATCGATAAAAATTTCCATGACTATATCGGCGACTATATCGGCGAGGAAAAGATGCGAGCTTCGTTCAACCCCCGTCGACAAGGTCGCAAGTCCATGCAATAGTATATGATACAACTACAACAAGTGGTGACAATGACCATTTCGATCAAAAATCTTGCCCTTGACCGGGAACCACTCGTCAAAACATACATGAGCTGTGCAGAACAGTCAATGGGTCCATTTTGTCATTGGAATGGTTTCGAGTTATTACAAGTGATAAAGGCCGACGATATCGAATCAGGGCGATACTATCTTTGGCCTCTTTTCTGCAGGATAAAACCTTTCGTCAGGAGCAAAGATCACGGTTGGGCTTGAAATTGGCTTCTTCGGTGATGCAACTCCATAGCACAGAATGGCTGACGGATTATTGGGATAAATCCGATATTTCGTTCCTGCGCTCCTCCGACGCGACTGTGGACTTTGATAACCCATTGATCCGACGCAGTTTCGGACCACAAGGAGTTGACATGGCGACTTTATCGAGCACATGTGCAGTCTACCCAGGTGCCAACTCTATACTTGAACTCCTTCCAACTTTTAACACTTGGGGTTGTTCTTTTGGAATTATGGTATCGGAAGGTGTTTGAAGATTTGAAAAATGAGACTGAAAAAAGCATGGTAGTATGGCGGCCGATACCCGCCACCCTATCACCATAACATAATGTCAACTTTCTGACCTGCAGACAGTAAATTACAAGTAATTCCAAATTCATATTCAATTTTTGATTTTGAACTCCATTATGATAGATACAATACGGGCGGGAAACAAGGCAATGAATTCGGAAATTGAAATTGGGATGTGACCCATGGGCCTTCAAAGGGTGGCCTCTATCGGCCGCCATCCATGACGGTATTGCATCTGTTCAATTTGCAAGTCCTGGAACTTCTGCATCCATATTCGCTGCCTCAATCTGCCAATCCTGCAAAGTTTTGCGCCAAGCAACTTTTTCAGCCTCCATATAGTACGGGGATCTTTCCCGTATTTCATTACATTCCATCAAAATATTGATCGCGTCCTCTAAGCGACCACGGTCTCGGTACACCTTGGCCAGATTTGTCATACTGGTTGTTGTATCAGGATGATGCTCGCCAAGAACTTTCCGGCGGCTCTGCCACGCCTGCTCGAAGAGATGCTCGGCGTCCTGCAAGCGGCCACGGTCTTGGTATACCAGGGCCAGGTTTGTCATACTGGTTATTGTAGCAGGATGATACTCGCTAAGACGTTCCCGGTGGCTCTGCCACGCCTGCTCGAAGAGATGCTCGGCGTCCTGTAAGCGGCCACGGTCTCGGTATACTAGGGCCAGGTTTGTTATACTGGTTATTGTAACAGGATGATACTCGCCAAGAACTTTCCGGCGGCTCTGCCACGCCTGCTCGAAGAGATGCTCGGCGTCCTGCAAGCGGCCACGGTCTCGGTACACCTTGGCCAGATTTGTCATACTGGTTGTTGTATCATGATGATGCTCGCCAAGAACTTTCCGGTGGCTCTGCCACGCCTGCTCGAAGAGATGCTCGGCGTCCTGCAAGCGGCCACGGTCTCGGTATACCAGGGCCAGAGAGTCCATGCTTCCTGTTGTATCAGGATGATCCTCGCCAAGAACTGCCTTCCGGCTATCTACCACCTGTATAAACAGCTGCTCGGCATCTTCCAAGTGGCCCCCAGGGTGCTTCTCATAAAATATCGCTAGATTTTCCATGCTTTGTATCGTATCGATGTGATCTTTGCCGAGGCTTTTTTCTTGGATGGTCATCACTCTAACCAATAGCTCTTCGGCCTTGTCCCAGAGGCCCTGGTTCTGATAGTTTAATGCCAAGCTCTCCATACTCCGTCTTGTATCATGGTGATCTACACCAAGACTTGCCTGGACAGACTCCATTACCTGTGTCAATATGCTCTCAGCCTTGGCAAAATCTGACTGCCATGCATATAGACTCGCGAGGCTTTCCATACTTCGCAGGGTGTCGCGATGATCTGAGCTAAGACTTGCTTTTCGAGTCTCTATCACTTGCAGAGATAGAATCTCGGCCTTATCCCATTGATTGCAGACCCCGTAATGGAGTGCTAGTTTCTCCATGCTTGATAGTGTATCGTGATGATCTTCGCCGAGGATTGCCTTGCGAGTTTCTATCACTTCCAGGAATAGGAGCTCGGCCTTGTCCAAGTGGCCTTGGTTCTGATATTGCTCTGCCAGGTTTTTCATACTTTCCAGGGTGTCAGGATGATCTGCACCAAGTTTTGCTTTGCGAGTCTCCATCACCTGCACGCAAAGGCCCTCAGCCTTGTTGAAATGACCTTGTTTCTGGTATAGTCCTGCCAGGTTCTCCATACTTGAAAGTGTGTCCTGGTGATCTGGGCCAAGACTTGCTTTTCGAGCCTCTAATACATGCATGGTGACGCTCTCGGCCTTATCAAATTGATTGTAGACCCGATAAGTCCAGGCTAATTTCTCCATGCTTGATAGGGTATCTTCATGATTTTCGCCGAGGATTGCCTTGCGAGTCCCTATCACTTCCAGTAATAGGATCTCTGCGTTGGCAAAGTGGCCTTGTCTCTCGTATGCCTTTGCTAGGGATTGCATGCTTAACAGCGAATCACCATTATCTAACCCGAAATTTGGCTGCCGAGTTTCGGTCACTGGCATCAATCGACTTTCAGCGTATTGCAAGCGGCTCCGCACATGCTCTAGCAATGCTAGATCTTCTGTGCTTGATAGTGTATCCTTGTGATCTGCGCCCAGGGTCTCTTGACGAATTCTCAAAACTTGTATCAATAGACTTTCAGTCTTCTCTAGGTTGGCTTGCCTCCAATATAGCTTTGCCAGACCCTGTAAGTTTAATACAGAGTCTTCTTTATTTGAGCCCAGATTTTTTGTGTCGTTCAAATCCACAAGTCTGTCCTCCTTGCCCAATGGTTCCTCGGTCATGTCGTCATTTTTTGCCCCGATCCCTCCTATGGGCAGAACAAATGTGGAGTCCAAACGAGGACTCGGAGTTCGTTCCACGGGGAGGGAGTCTTGGCTTGGTGTAGATCTCAAAGATTGATGATCTTCATCGTCAAATGCCAGTGGCCGATTGGATTCATCTGATGCTCCATCGCGAGATATGCCGTCAGCTTCTTTTGAATCTAGTCGCGGCAAGGCAAAAAGTGAGAGTTGCTGTAAATGCCGAGCTAGATGTTCCTGATAACGTCTCGGATTTGATATCGGGGACTTGGTGCATAAGGGGCACTGCTGTGGAGAAGACACCGCTCTTTCGGATAACTGAACTAACGCTTGTCTTTGTTCTTCGGGCACCGCCTCACCATGGGCTTCTCCAAAGTGTAACAAAATGGATTGTCCAGATTGATAGTTAGTTGAGCACAGATTGCAGAACCATTCGCGCCGATGTTGTTGCCGTTCATGCTCACTCCACTCGGTATAGCTATCGTAAATCTGGTCAGGCTTGATGCAACCTGCGAATGTACAGATATATGGTCGTAAGTCGCTATAAACATGATAATCCCAATCTTGATCCATGTTTTCAAGTTGTATTGTTTGATGACAATATGGGCAAAAGAATGGTATTTTTCCAGCGTCGCTCTCTGGGTGTTGATGTGGCGGTGGGGGCATCAGCGGAATTTGTTGATCGCCAGTCGCCGAGCTTGTTACGGAGAATTTTGTTCGCGCAGAGTCAGATCTTGAATCAATTTCTAGCGGAATGATCGTTGAAACGGTTGTATCCTGTGTCCATTTTGTTGAAATGCTTTGAGGTGCCTTGAAGATTTCTTTATCCTTCGGTAGATCCATCGGCATCTCGATTGCTTTGGCAACAACTATATCAAGATGTCTTGAGATTTTCCCAACGTGTTCCTTGTAATATGCTAAAAGCTGGCGACGCTTGGTGTTTGCTCTTCCAAGCCGTTGGGCAAGCACGCTATCTGTTGAAAGATTGAACTTGTCCGACACATGCTGTATGTCGTAGAATTCAAAATGACTCAGGTCAATTCGGGACGCCCTGGATGTCAGATCGCGGTGCGCAGGGTTCTGAAGGGTCAGAGAGAATTTGTACCTAGATCCACCAATATTTTGTTAACTTTGCTCTTGGGCTATGGGGGCATTCTTTTCAGATACTACCTACAGGCTGCTGATTGTAAATCGTATATCCTGCAGATATTCATCTAGTTCTGAGTGTATGTCGTTTTCTGCTCTTATCTGATCCCAAAATTCATCTGAATCTGAGTCTGAACTCTCTGAGCCCGAATTGATGTCTTCAGGTCGTGATTCAAGAGAAATCTGGCCGATTCCAAGAAGATTCTCATTTGAAGGGGGTTTTGAGAGATTTTGCGATAGAAGAGGAATTGCTTGGAAAAATCAATGACAAATCAAATAAAATAAATTCAGCAGCCTCGGATACCCTACCTGCTTGAATAGCTTCGGAGATGTCGTTGATATGGTTGCAAACCTCTCTATGTAGATCCGGGGCCTCTCGAAGTCGATGATCTAGCGAAAGTCTGTCTGTCGGCTTGCGATGTGCGCCGAAGTTGCCAATCCAGACTCGAAGCCTTCCAAGGTCATCTTGTACTGTCAAACTGGCATCACTTCTTTCATCTGGGATAGAATTCAGCAATTTTTGCAATTTTTCGAGACATTGCTTGAAGAGAGAATTTATCGAGATTCGAGATTCGGCCTCCATTTTCAACAAGGACTTGCGCAAAGACGTTTTCAAATGGAAGAAAACTGTAGATAATAACTCTAGTCAACCCCAGATCGAAGCATAAGTGCAAAAAGATTCTCTGGGGTTCTTAGCTGGAAGTTTCCATTCCTGCATCTCAGCTGAAGCGGGGTAGGTACAGGGGCTGATGTGCGGCGGCCGATAGAGGCCACCCTTACGACACATCCGAATTTCAACTTTTTGACCGGCAGAAAGTAAATTACATACACGAGTAATTCCAAATTCATATTTGTTTTTGAACTCCATTATATGCAGCGCTACATTATATATTGATTGAATCCTTAAACTCCGTTATACGTTGAATCCCTCTACTTCCTTCTATTTTGAATCCTTGAACTTTATTATACATCGCGCTATATTGTATTACTTCTCTTTCTGCAAATTGTCACAACAACTGGCAAGAAAGCACTCTCACCAAGTTGAAAGTACAACACAATACACAGAGAGAACTCGGAACAATTGATTCTGGATGGAGAATCGATACGGAAAACGGAACATAAAAGAAACACGTAACATTGGGGTTAATGAGAGGGAAGGGAGGAAAGTCCCCTCCGTCCGGGCTAAACTAAGAGATGATGCTTAGGTAATAATAGTGTCAGGCACTCAGGCCTCAAAACGGAACACAAGATAATGGTACACATTAAGATCATAACCCTTCTTCCTCCAATCTCCTGGTTTCAATCAATCTTCCCTCTTTTCTTATCCATTACCGTCCCAGTTTCCACCCATATTCTTTATAATCTGTTCTGTCCTGGTTCCGACCGCCATAGGGGCCTGAGCTGTGGAAATTTGGGATCTCGCACATCCCAAATTTCTGACTCTTGCTTACTTCCCCTCATCGGATTTTTCTATATCCTCTTGATCCTCTGATTTATCTTCTTACCTAGGTTCTTTAGCCTCCAAATTTATATCTTGCTTATCTAACATCTCCTCCAGCTGTTAAATTGTCCGTAATTGTGAATCCGCTCTCTGAGTAAGTAGTTAGTATTCGGCTGTTAATTGAATCTGGGCTCGTTCTAGGCACTGAATATCGGTAATAAGGTGATCCATCTGTCTAGCTGGACGAGCCAGCTTTGCCGCTTCCGCAATCTGTGCACGAGGCATGACACCTGGAAGTGTGTCGTGAAGATCCTGTTTATGTTTTGGAACCGGTTTTGTCGTCGATGATACCTTCTTGTTCTTTGTCTTTATATCAGAATCCACAACCTTAACACGGGACCGTTTCGAGGGCGGGGGTCGAGTGCATAACTGCCGCTTTCGTTCTTTCCCCAACGTTGTGAACATATGAGGATGTTCCTGGTACGTCTCGAAGATAGAGTTATTTCATTAGAGTGCCTTCTTCAAATTGGGATGGAGATCTACCGAATCCATCACTGGAAAGTATTTTGATGTCAATAACCCCTCTGAGGTATATACCCTCCAGAATTGCTTCCGGATTGAAGGACGTTGGTAGAAAGAAGCGATCAGGTCTTGAGAGATATCTAGAGGCAGAAATCCTAGTCATATAATCTATTCCTAGGTCCCTTCAAATGTTCTCAAGTCTCTTCTCAAGTCTCTTCTCAAGTCTCTTCTCAAGTCTCCCTTGAGATATTCCTGTATGTGATAAATACAATACGGGCGGGAAACAGGGCGGTGAAGCTAGAAATTGACATTGGGATGTGACCCTTGGCCTCTATCGGCCGCCATAGAGGGGGCTGAATCCTGATGCAGCGCTTAGCGAAGCACATGCAGGCCGTAAGACAATCGCGTCAACTTGTTTTCTGTCAGAGAGGGGTTAGGTTGCCCCCTCTGGGTGTATCTACATTGTGGTGCTTGCTTGCTTCCTTCCTTCCTTTTCCCCTCTCTCCATCCCCCCGAGAGAGATTGTCCATAGCCAATCCAGTTGCTTTTCTCTCTCCGTTCTTTCCTTTTCCTGAGCAGCCAGCGGCTGTATTCCTCCGCTGACATTTTCTCTGTCAGGTTTTTGCTTTGGCTTTCTTCTCACTAGGTTCCTGCTCGTTCTTTGTGTTCACACGCCAGATCCCAAGTCTGGTCCAGAAAATACCTGGCTATGAGTGGCTTCGAGGTAGTTGGAGTGGTCCTAGCGGTCTACCCGATCCTCACCCAAGCCGTTGGTTTCTGCGCTGAAGAGAGCGGACTGGTGAAAGATTTGTTTCGTTATCAACACGTCTTGAAACGCATCGGTCGGGGACTTGCCCGAGAGCAGACCAGCTTCAGCAACTCCTGCCGGCGGTTCATGGAGGATATTGCGAGCCAATGTGAGGTCGAGGAAGAGGCAATTGTTGAAATGATGCAGGATCCGACGGATGATCGATGGCGGGAAGGGGCTCTGATCAAGGAGCATATCTTCCAGCAAAAGTCCGTGCGGCAGTATCTGGATACAGTTGAGGACATGAACGAGGAACTAGGAAAGATCAAAGATTTAATCACAAAATATGGTGATAATGACACTCCCGATAAAAAGTCTCGCCGCCGACAATGGAAAAAGCTCATTCTAGTGCTCAATAAAGATGGAATCACCCAGCACCTTGAAGAGGCTGGCCGGCTGAACAACTTCCTGGCGAGACTTACTGAGCAGAACCAATCTATATTTGCTACACGCCGGATATCGCGACGAAACACCAAGCATTATACGAGGATCCGTGCCCACGCGATCGATCTATACGAAACCCTCCAGTCGAAGTTCCCTGCGTCCCCCAGCTGCAACTGCATGTTGCGCCACGACGTAAACATGAAACTAGAATTCCGCAACGCGAGCATTTCTTCAAAACATATCTACTTTCATACTGTCTTCACCTTCGGCACGGAGTACTGCTCGCCATGGAACTGGCGCGAGCTCGAGATGCAGCCTTGGGAGACGAAGATCGATCACTGCCAGGATGATCACCATACTCGAGTGAAATTCAATATCGACCCACCCTCAGCCTCACAGACCCCCACTTATCAGGATATAAATGACCTATGCGCAATGATTATGGGGCCAATGTCATCATTGGACTGGTTGGGAGCTATCACAAGTGATAAAGGCCGACAACATCGGATCAGGGCGATAGATCACCAACAGCGCCTACCAAGCTTCCAAAGTATAGAGACAATATCCTTGGCCTCTGTTCTGCAGGATAAAGCATTTCGTCAGGAGCAAAGATCACGGTTGGGCTTGAAATTGGCTTCTTCGGTGATGCAACTCCATAGCACAGAATGGCTGACGGATTATTGGGATAAATCCGATATTTCGTTCCTGCGCTCCTCCGACGCGACTGTGGACTTTGATAACCCATTGATCCGACGCAGTTTCGGACCACAAGGAGTTGACATCGCCACTTTATCGAGCAGTCTACCAACTCTATATTTGAACTCCATTCCATGTTTATTCTCCCTTGGCGTTGTTCTTATGGAATTATGGTATCGGAAGGTGTTTGCAGATTTAAAAAATGAGACTGAAAAAAGCATGGTACGTTTGCTTTCATGTTCTTGGTGTTTTCTCCGACCATCCTAACAAATTTTCAGCCACCGGAATTTTCTGATGCCTTGGCAGCTCGACGCTTGGCCAGTGAGATGGACTGTGGTCCGAACTATAAGAATAGTGTGCTGCGGTGTGTCTCTGGGCTAGATGCAGTGTATACATCACTTTCCGAAGACAAGTTCCGAGATGAGGTTGAGGAAAAGATTATATCTCCGCTAGAAGATGATCTGAAGTTTTACTGTAACAAAAGTTCAGTGGAAGATTGCATCTAAATTACGTGTGTTTACATGAGACTTGAGAATACACTTGAGAAGGGACTTGAGAATACACTTAAGAAGGGACTTGAGAGTAGACTTGAGAGTAGACTTGAGAAGAGACTTGAGCAGGGACTTGAGAAGAGACTTGAGAATGGATTATATGACATGACTAGGATCCCTGCCTCTTCTTCTTGCCGGTCAGAAAGTTGAAATTGGGATGTGACCCTTGGGTGGCCTCTATCGGCCGTCATACAAGGTCCAACCGTCCAAGTGTCGTTCCAAGTTCCAACCTAGGTCCACTGGGAGTCCACTTAATCCTCTCAAAGTCCACTAAGTCTTTTGGCGATTTTTGGAAAGTTATGTTATTTGTCGCGATGCCATTTCATCACCGATGCAGTGTATCTCGAATATGATCAGCAGTCAAATCAATGAATTCCTTTGCCTGCCACAAATCTAAAAGCCAGTCAGCAACAATCATAGTCAGAATTCAAAATACTCACATTCATCCATGTGCATAAATGGATGAGGCACGCCCGCAAATCTCTTCTGAACAACCTCATTCCCCCCCTCAACCAATCTCTTCGCATATGCCTCGCCCTCATCACGCAGCGGGTCACATCCAGCAGTATAAATCACCGTCTTAGGCAACCGCGTAAAGTCCGGTGCATTCAGAGCATTAGCATACCACTTCAGCGCCTCGACCTGGGCCTCTCTCGCCGGCGAACCCTCCGCCGCAAGGCTCTGCCACTTCAAAATATCAAACCACTTCAGTCGTCCCCAGTTCAAAGTCGGCGCATGTTCCATCTGCTGCATAGACGGCCATGGTGCTTCGGCCGCGGAACTGTATTTGGAAATATCGTCGATGGTTGGTGTGCCGACTGCGACTAGCCGAAGGGGAATGTTCGCGTCCCGGGCTAGATGGGCGCAGATCAGGGCGATGTTGCCTCCGGCTGAGACGCCGCCAACGGAGATACGGGTCGGGTCGATTTTGAATTCTGCGGCCCCCTTGGAATGGATGTGTTGGAGGGCGGAGAATGAGTCTTGGATTCCGATTGGGAATGCGTGTTCGGGGACTAGTCTGTATGCGATGTCGATTACGCAGACGTTTGCTTTGGCGCAGATGTGTTTGCAGATGTGCGATTCTGTGTCAAGGTCACCGAGGCCCCAGCCTGTTTGTCATTGGGGATCAATATCATTGTTTATTATCGTTGTTGGCAGGTTCTGCTGGTGTAAAGAGTGTTCTTACCTCCGCCGTGGAAATCGATGTGTACTGGCCAAGGGCCTGGGGAATCAGGCTCGTAAACCCGAACTGGGATTAAGTCGCCATTGTGGCCTGCGACTTGGGCGTCATAAATCCGCGCGCAATCTGGTGCTGGGCCTGTGCCGTAGGAGTAGAGGACGGAGTATTTGGTGCGTAATAATGCGAGGTCAATTGGGCCTGAAGGGGTGTTGGCGACGTGTTCGTTGTAGAGCTTCACAAAGACGGGGTCTAAGTGGGGAAGAACTGAGGGGTGAATTGGGTTAAGAGCCTCGTGAGACATGATGAGTCAATGCTTTGGGAAATGTAACAATGAAGCAAAGTGAAGAGGTAGCTATCCAGGTTTATATCCTGTTATTCAAGTTACTCAAGTTATCATCAGGTTACTCAAGTTCTTTTGACGGCGGCCGTCGCATTTTAGCCGACGGGTCGGAAACGAGGATCAACATCACGATAAACCACTTCCCCCGCACGTTATCTATGCGACGGCTCCGATACGAGATGGGGGAAATGAAACAAAAGGCAAATGACACGCTATGTCAATCATGAATATAATCACAAATCATATATGGCAATCAAAATGGACATGAAACCAGTGTTAATCGTTGGAGCCGGGATCGTCGGCCTCACACTTGGTCAAGCCCTCAAGCAGAAAAATATCCCCTTTGAAATTTACGAACGCGATGAGACACCCGATGCGCGCGGACAGGGGTGGGCTATTACACTCCACTGGGCCCTAGAGCATATGTTCAAGATGCTTCCTGCAGAAACCCTCGCGAGAATCCAGGACGTCCAGGTCGATCCCGACGTTGCGCGCCACGACAATGGTAACTTCTTGTTTGTGAATCTAGAGACTGGGGAGCCGAAATATCGCATCCCGCCTAGTAGACGGTGGCGCGTGAATCGAGAGAAGATGCGGAGGGCTTTGTTACAGGGGATTGAAGAGCAGGTTCATTGGGGTCAACGGGCTGTCGGGTTGAAAGTTCCTCAGAATGAAGATCATGTGCAATTGATTTTCGCTAATGAGAAAACTCCCGTAACGGGACGGATGGTAGTTGGCGTTGAAGGAAGTCGATCGATCGTCAGGCAGATACTGCGACCGGATGCATTCGACAATATACCTCTGCCAATCCGTTTCACCGGCGTGGCGGTCGATTTGACGCCAGCAGAGATTGCTCCGCTACGAGACATGGATCCGCTATTGTTCCAGGGATGCCATCCGCCGACGGGGGCATTTTTCTGGTTCTCCATGTTGGAGACGCCACAGGGGAATGGAACGGCGGGTTCGGGTTCCGAGCGATACCGGGCGCAGATATGCATGTCGTGGCCGGTGCAGGATTCAGCGGACGAAGTCGCGGCTACGGATGAGGCGCGACTGGCGAATATGAAACGGCGTGCGGAGGGATTCGTCCCGTTTTTGAAGCAGACTGTGGATCGTATTCCGAGTGGAACTTTGGTCACAGAGATCAAATTGGCGGATTGGGAGTGTCTCACTTGGGATAACCATGGTGGACGAGTAACGCTGGCCGGAGATGCCGCGCATGCGATGACGATGTGTAAGTTCTTTTCTTTGAATCCTGCAAAAAGAGAAAAAAAAATCGAAAACAAAGAGATCGCTAAATAGTCTTTAGATCGCGGGGAAGCGGCGAATCACGGCCTTCTTGATGCATTCCATTTAATGCAAGCTATTGAAAAGCTCCATTTAGGCAACACAACGGCTCAATCGGCAATCGACGAATTTGAGCAGGAGATGAGGACGCGGACGAGTCGGGCTGTGCGGCTCAGTCGGCAGGCATGTTTAGATGCCCACGATTGGAGTCGACTGGATGAGACCTCGGCTATTTTGACCAAGCGAGCAATTGGAGAAGAATAAGAATAATGTATTTCAACCCTGTGATAAAGAAATCAACGAAGCCTATATATTTCAGTAAAGCGCTAAAAAGCGATTCAAGTCCCCGAAAGAAAATAAAATGAAGAGCCGCCAAATGCAATTTGTTATTAAAGCGAGTCAAGAAAAAAGGAGCCATTGTGAACCAAGTGTATATACAACTAGACCTATAACAGCGGGGAGAAAAGAAGCGCCCCGGGAGAAATAGATCAAAAATTTATACCTCAACACATTGGTACAAAAATATAAAACACACGAAAAAGAAGACCTGCCAAGTCCAAATGCCGAGGCAAGTTTACAGAAGAACCATACCAATACCAGTGAACAGGGCAACGGCAGCGTAAGCACCGACCTGGAGGGAGCCAAAGGTGACGCTCTGGTGGACGGTAGTGGCACCAGCAGCGCTCTTGGAGGTAGAGGTGCTGCTGGACGAGCTACCGCTGGAGCCAGCGGTGGCAGTAGCCTCAGTGGTAACGGTACCAGTGCCAGCGGTGCCGGCCTCCTTGATCTGCGAAGAGCAAGTGCCAGTGGCGGCAGTGGTGGCCTTGGTGCTAGCGGAACCGTCGAAGCTGCAGGCAGTGGCGGCCTCGTTCTGGGCGCTGTAGTACTTGTTCAAGGCGAAAGCGAGCTGGTCCTTGACACCACACATGCTGTAGGCACCGTAGACACCGGTGGTGCCGTTGGAGTCGAGACCGCTGCAGTCGGTGTAGCCGCAGACAACTCCGAGGAGCTTTCCGAGCTTGGCGGTGGTCAGGCTGCTGTCGGCGACGCAGGCGGAGGCATCGTAGATGCAGTCGCACAGGTTGGAGTCGGCGGCAGGGGGCAGGGGAGAGGCCATGGCCTCCCAGGCGGTGCTGTCCTCGGTGGGGCAAGACATCAGAGCGGTGTTGGTGGGGGTGTAGGCGCTCTTGCTGGTGCTGGAGGGGTCGGCGCTGTTGATCTGGCTGGAGTAGTACTTGAAGTCGGTCATGGTGCTGACGCTGGTGCTGTCAATGACGGAGACGAGACCTGGGGTATTTGGTTAGTTTATGGGGACTTTGTAAGGGAAACGAAGAAAGGGATTCTATGGAATCAATATCCGGGATTGCCGTCTCTTACCGTAGTCGTTGGTGTTCTGGAAGTACATGTAGACGATACCACCGGACCAGACGGGGGTCATGTTGTCGCCGTAGAGGGCCTCGACCTCGGTGAAGGTACGGGGGGAGACGGAGTTGCAACCATACTCGGCGAAGAAGACGGGGACGGTGTAGTTCTCGAACTGCTTGGTACGGGCCTCGTAGCCGGACTCGGAGTAGGTGGAATCACCGCACCAGGAGTAGATGTTGTATCCGTAGAAGTCGACAATCTCATCGGAAGATTCACAGTCCAGGTAGTCAGCAAGATCGACACGGATGGCGGAGACATCAGCAGTGGCGTATCCGACACCCATGGCACGGTAGTCCATATCCTTGATGTACTTCTTCATGTCACGAACGGCAGCCTTGGCGTAAGCCATGCCATCAGTGGTAGCGACGGAGTTGGCGATCTCATTGCCGGCAAAGAAACCGATGGTGTTGTTGTACTGGGAAAGCTCATCAATGACGGAGGTGTAACGCTCGTAGAGGGCGACGTTCCACTCGGGGTCGTCACGGTCAATGGCCTCGCTGGTGCTGGACAGATCGGAGACGACGTAGATACCAGCATCAGCCAGCAAAGCCATACACTCGGAGTGGTCGGCAGTGGGGTCGATGTAGTAAGTACGGATCACGTTGGTGCGCAGCTCCTGCATGTAGGGGATATCACGCTTGCAAAGAGTGGCATCAATCAAAGGATCCACAGTTTGGGAGTCTATATTGATGATGTTAGGTGTGAATTCATGTGGGGGGGTTTTACAATCAGATAACGGGGTGGGGGAAGGGAATGCCTACACTGGTAGGCAACACCACGCATGAAGCTGTGATTAGGGGGGTCAGCTTGGTTTCTTTGGAACACTTGATTCTTAAAGATGGTTGAGGGGGTTACTCACAATTGAGTCTCATTGCTGGAGTAGTAGAATTTGGTTCCCTATCGTTCCGGGTCAACATCGAGGACCTTTCCTTCAGAGTGATTCCTGGAGGATTTTTACCTTGATGACAATAGGGTCCAGGCTGGCCATGGCGGCGCCGGCCATGGTCGCCAGCGACAGAATAGACAGCTTCATGTTGTATACAGTATACGGAGTTGACCGTTTAAAAATCGAGAAATATAGCGAATGGATCGGAAGAAAACCTCCTGTTCAACGAAAAGAGAAAAAAGGGAAAAAATAAAAGACGAAAGGGAGCTAATAGAGAAAGAGACGAGGATAGGAACGAGTGATATCCAGGTCAAGATGGAGAAAGGAAGAAAAGCCACAGGGAAGAGAGAATTGGAGACAAAGCAAAGTCGTGGCTTGCCCATCGGCCCTTAATACCCTCTGGCTATTTTTGATCAACATGATTTGTTCGCCCCCCCTGACCCCTAAATGGAGTCGCAAGTGGTTTCTGAATGGGGGGACGCGTACCATCTGACCCAACCTTGGCCTCCACCAGTGATTTCCTTAGGGGATGCTGGGGATGTCACTTTTTCCCGGAGATGATATGGACCGCGTCAACCAACGTTTAGGGCTGGTTTCTAGACTCAATCGGTCTTAAATCGGTTCACAGGCCCCGAATGGCGATTCTCAGCCAATCATCTGGGACCCACTAACTCAAAGTAACTTGGCTTTCTGCAGTCTAACACCCAGTTAGACCCAAGTGCTTCATTAGTGCGTCCATGGCCCACTAGGCCAGCGAGCAAAGTGGCTCTTTAGGTGAGAAAATGGGATTTATTGAGAGATGAGGAGATGAGGAGATGAGGGGCGGCAAAAATTATAATACGAACCCCATCTGCACATTAAGACATTCTCCATTTATAAAAATAAGTCACCAGGTAGATCCGGAATAATTCAACTATTCAGAGACATTTGCTGTTCGGTTGGATAAGATTTTACAAGATTTTTTTTTTTTCTTCTCTCTGTGCAAGTGGGAAAAATGAAAAAAAGTCGAGGCTTACGCGGTAGTGGGGCTGCTTTTGCTTTGGATGGCGTCGGCAAGTGCGTATTCGTTTGATTTTTCATTATTTTATTATTTATTATTTTTTTTTAATTCTCATTGATTTATTTTCTTTTCGCTTTCGCGTTCTGTTAAACAAAGGCCTAATCTATAATTAACCATTTGACCCTGAAAAGTGGCTGAGGGTCTCATAATTATCCATGGATTTTAATGTAGATGTGTATAGTAGGTTTAAGATAGAAATAACAATTGAGCCAAGAAAATCTCTCGGATTAAGGTCAATCTCCGTTTGCCTATCAATGTCAATCTGACAATCACTCGGAGATCATTCCTTTCCGCAGCATAGACTAGCATATATTAACTCCGAGTTGAAATATTCTGAGATTCAAGGAAGATGATTACTCCGTATCCGTAGAGCATTGAACAAGGAGGAAAAGTAAATTGTGCCAATATGCAAAGATTCCCAAACTGATCCCTAAAATCAGCCTCAAATTATTGAATGAAATCCGATTCGCTCAAGGAAAATCCCTCGGTTTAAGAGCCAAAGAAAAAATAGTAATAAAATAAATAATAAAAGGGCAATTCCCATGGTCGCGTACTCGGCCCATTGGAACCTAATTCAACACTAGAGAAATAGAGAAATATTGGCGATGAACACTTTCCATGCCAAGGCGACGATCTGGGGGAGAACGAGCGCCCGGTGGATTCTTCGATAACTAATCCAACCTACTCTATTCTTCTATCTTTCTATGATCTGATCAACTATAACATCAACTGATCATCTTCAATTTCCAAGTTTTCCTCTTCTTGCTTCTTTTTTGTCGTGTTTGCACTCCCGAGTCACATGACTCTTCCATTGAATTCCATGGTTTTATTACTGTATTCATCGCAGGGACATCCGGGTAAGATTACAACCTCTTTACAAAGAATACAAGGCCAATACAAGGCCTCTTTGGCCTCTTCTAAGGCTTCATTCAATGTCTCAGGTTGTGAAAAATCCAAATCAAATTTCATAACATCAACTTAATCAAAATCGCGTTCAAAGGTATCATAAACATGTTCATCTCGTATAAACCCACGCTCGCATCTTCAAATCAAATCTTAAAAATTATCTTTCTCCATCACATCTGGAAATTCTGCTTCCGGTGGGTATCAATCGCCGTCTGGAAAGATCGAATAGTGTCAAGTGGGCGCTCCATACGATTCCGGGTTGGGTTGCAACGATCAGGGTCCGCTACATCAAAGAAACAAGAAATGTTAGATGACTTTATCTTGCTTCAAGGAAAAAGATACGATGAACTCACCAATGATCTTTCCCTCCCGGTCCTTGTGTTGCATGCTCCCAAGGGAGAGTCGGTTATAGTCTCCGTTAATGGCCATGGTCACTATTCATTAGGCATGATTAGTTCATTTGCACCACTAGAAGAAGGAAATAGTTCCAACATACTCGGCTGTGCTTCATGAAGGGCCATGTTGGGATCGGCCTTGGTTTGTAATACCTTGCTCTTGTTGGGCGAGTCGATCGAGTGCACTGAGCCAGTACGCTCACTGGAGGATCGTGATGAACCCATTATGAATCAAAATGATAAGGGAGAAGTAGAATGAGCAATGATGGGAGAGAGCCAAGTAGCTTTGGAAGTGGAAATAGATTGGAGAATTGATGAGAAAATAAGTATATATTTGTACTGAAGGTAGATCAGTAGAAACAGCAGTGAATTATTGAAGGCTGAATCCATGGTCCAACCAGCCTTTTTAAACACCAAACATGTGAGCTCTCATCTCCAAAAGCCTACTTCCGTGGGATAACCTTTCCGTCGAGAGAATCATGGCTCAGAATAGCTGGCAGATCACGCAAGTGGCAACATTTGACGGCATTGATCGAGCTTGATTGGACCGATGATCTTCGCTCTCGCAACATCCAATTCCGTATGACGTTACACCCCCTCTCTCCCTCAGCTGGGCCTTCCCAGTGGCTGGCCAAGCTTCTGCTAAACTCCGTAGTCGAATGCTTAACATCGTTATTGCCAATGAGCTGCTTCTGGAACACGCAATCCCTCCGTGGCTGATGCTGATGTCTGCCAGGGACGGCACAAAAGTGATTCAGGTACCCGTGTGCCAAGTGGAGATGTCAAGGGATTTTTGGAAATCTGAAACAACTGAACATGGATTGCGCATGTGCACTACTGTATGTATGTGTAGCTGAAAAGTCCAAGCCTTATCATGTTTTGTTTTTTATTTTTTATTCTGTTCCGTTCTGTTCTATTGCTATGATCTTCACAGAGCGGGATCTTCCCCTGACGTCAAAAGTGGCAGAATCGAACATTCTTTCCCCAATGTTCCAACAACCAATCCGTGGGGTAAAAAAAAAATCCATGTGTTGATGATTTTTTCATTTTGTCATGGATTGAGAATGCTGGGGTTTTTTTTTCCAAAGTTTTCTCTCATGTTTTATTCATAAATCCCCCCCATTTTCACTCCCGCATAGCCGGGTTTGCGCACAGATGGTCAAGTGGGTCCGACGCGAGGCTCGAGGCTGCAATTCTTAGGCAACTCCATTACCCACGAAGTGCTACTCCATACATCCTCCATTCATCAATGGGTACATAGAGAACAGAGATATCATTTGATACATCAGAAAATGACTTCAGTTTGTTGTCATAACGCATCATGTTGAAGAAAATCCCACGCGATTGCCTGCAAACGGTCGTGGTGGTATTCACTTGCGCCACGTCCAAACCCGCCACATTCCCCGTGAACATTGCCTTGGTGACTTGATCTTGAACAAGTCCATTCATAGTGAACCAAGAAATCGAACACGCGGAACATCCACTGTCACTTGTCCCGTTCGTTCGTCATCGCCTTAGCCTCTTGGCAAACACGAATCATTAAACGGGTCAGGCCAAGCCAAATCCGGACCACCAGTCTTCACACAAGGCGTCAAGGGTGCTCTGTCTTCATTTCACCTACAGAAATCGATACAGATGTTCGAGGTTCTGCGGGTTCAGATAGTCCGGATTCGTCAACGAGCCCGCCAAGCCCAATACATCATCGCCCTCCACGTTGAACAATTCATACCAGTCCATATTCACCGAAGGTTCCTCCAGAGGCAATGAAGGATCATTTCGTATACTGGGAGGGAAAATTGCTTGCGCATTTGGGGATATCGGTTGGCTCGTGACCTGGTCAATATCGGTCGGGGATCTGGCAGCTAACCCCTTGATCAACTGGGACGATGCCGATCCACCGCCGCTGTCACCGAGGCGGAGATCTCGGGCGGTCCGATCGTCCAAACAGCGGAAGAATAAATCCAGTACCCAGTTCTCCAGATCCCACGACTTCTGCAGTTCCTTCAACCCGAGCAGACAGAGCTTAGCTCGATGTTCGGCCAGTTTCCGTGCTGTACCCGTTCCGCGCCCGAAGTGAATGGTGTGGATACATAACGCCGAGAAGGTGTGTGTGATACTGATTTAGGACGGGGTTAGAATGGAGTCATACGCGGTCTGGAAAAAAAAAAGCCTTACAGGTGAACTGATCCATGCTGGACTAAGTTTTCTGACAACATGTCTTCGAGGATACGCGTACTTCGCGTCGCGGCTTCCAAAGCCATGTTTCCTTCCATGTTGGTTGATTCACTTGGTGGCTGTAGGAAAATGGGTCGGTATAGTAGAACGTAGAGATTACTGTAAAAGATATTAGCGCGTGTTTTTTTTTTTTTTTTTGGCAGTATCAGGTGCTTGAAGAGGGGCATACTTGTAAGCCATATGAAGCATACCAACCAGAAAGATCACATCTCGACTGGAGGAAGTTTGGAAATGCATATCCGTCGGCAGGTTGGACTCCCAGTCTAAAAGACGCTGATGGAGCATGGGCCGCGATAAATTATCCAGCTTTGCTCGACCAGGAGAATACTGGCTGGAGACCACCTCCCGCACTAGACAGATCGTTAGATACATCACATGAGTCCAAACTGCTCACGATAAACCTACGTAGCTTGGCCAGTTGGGCCATTCCAATCACATAGGGTATATGGGCTGCAGGTGGCTTTCGGAAAATCTCTGAAGGAACATCCTCGTGTTCGACAAAGTCTGCTTCTTCAAGCTCGGCGACTTCACAGTCCTCGTCGCGAATTCGAGATGGGAGGCCAAGTGCAGCAGATGTTTGCTGGTCTCGAACCTATAAACTGGTGAGCCTGACGCTCGCTCGTTGCATGTGAGTAACAAAAACGACTTACATATAAGGCCCACCAAATTCGTTTCCAGACTTTCTGATCCCTCGCGCCGAGAAAGGGTAATTTTGACCTATATTGTGATCATCAGTAAGCTTTGAAACACTTCCAAGTCAACCAACAATTTAGGAGAAAATATCACGAACATCACATGCATGCCCTTTTTCTGAGCGATATTGGTCGCCGCGCCCAACCAAAAACGAACATCTCGCTCTTCGGTCGGTCCTCCTCGCCAAAAGCTCAACAGAAATAACGATTGAAGCTTTATTACCATATCTGTTTCCCATCCCACATCATATATTTCTTTCGCCCGTTGATAAAAAAGGCCCTTGGCCTGATACCGATTTGTGAAACCAGTACTTGACAAAGCTGGATCCGAGCACAAACTCACTCCAATAAACAGCATCGCTTGAAGCAAGAACGGTGAGATGGTGTGCTCGTTGTATGCATGATACACAGTCTGTCTATCAAGGATCGGGAAGCAGGGATGAAACCATTCAAAGTACGCCTGAAGAAGCGTGTCGCAGATGGCAGGCGACGGGAAAACCAATGCGCTTTCACGGATGAGACGATCCTGAAGAATCTTTCTATGCTGATCATCGCTAAGCTCGCTGCCCCGAACCTCGGGAAGAGCATAATGCAAACGACCTTTCTGAATACTGCGCGCGTGCCCTTTTTCGGGCGATCGTCGCCCCTCATCTACGACGCATGTTAGTGGACTGGATTCGCCCAAAAACACCGTCTCGTGCACCGCATCGTCCGGGATGCCGGGTCGAGCCGACGATATATAGCGTAAGCTATTATCGGCTGATGCATCTTGCCCAGACGCGCTGAGAGGTTCCGGTATATTATTGCCCGCTAACGGGGATACTTTGGTGTCTATGGAGCCTTTTTTCTTGCGCCGAGGATACCTATATCAAGGTTGGCATTTTGTTTGCAAAGCAAAGTTGGAGGCATTTTTTGGGAGATTCATGTTCAGTTCAAATGTTTCAAATATTGGAGGACATGCTTACTTTCCCCGTCTTGATATCCCTACGTCACATGCTAGATTCCACGCCACACAGTTCTGACACGGCTGCATTTCAAGTACATTACATCGCACGCGACGCGAGTTGCACGCCATGCAGGCTTTCTTAGCGCGTGTGCGCGGTCGGTCTGGGTTTGGAGTCGCCATGGATTTTGAAATAGGCTGTTTGAATTAATTTTGGTAGGTTTGTTAAGTCATGTAGAAAACTTGAGTTGCTCGGTGTTCTCGGTTATACGGGTGGGTCTCTCGGCTTCTTCGGTTATATGCTTGTCTCCAACATTGAAGGCGGGGAACAACATTTGAATGGTTTGAAGCTCAATGTTAGAGTCAAGACTGGTAAGCCAACTTTTTGGATTCAACATTTGAATGTTCCAATATCTCCCATCAAAACTGGTCTTCAAAGGGTATGTAAACACATTTTGAATGAACTTCCCATGCACATACATGCAACCTTAAGGTTCAGTACAGGTCTGCCGTATTTGATTGATGTATCTATACTGTATGAATATATATGTTCGTAGCATCCACATGTGCAGATGTCAATTGATGTACATGTATGTTTTCAACTTGAGCGTCTATTATAAATTTTGCAGTGATCGATTTTTGGATATTTACAGACTGCGATTTGGGTGTTGGAACATCGTTTGAATGATTCAAATGTTGATGATTTGGGCTAATGATTGCTAAAATATGGCAAGTGTAGGGGTCAACTGGTTGGGAATGCAGGGCAAAAAGCACGGAGTTGAATCATCAAAACATTCCATGTTCTAAAAATGGGTTGCATTCTCCAAAAATTTAATTTTTTGGTCGCCGAGAACTCCAAAGTCTCACATTCATAGAAATCGGAGAAAATTAGAAAGGCAAGAATATCATACTTGAACGCTGTATGTCCCAGCTGAAGTACCTTGCGCTTAATCATAGAAGCTGCCGGGATCATCAGCATTTCTATCTTGGATGATTTCTCGAAAACTCGGAAAAGTGGGCATTGCCACCAAGTTTCAACCAATGGAATCTCCTGTGCAAACAATATCAAGAAAGAAAACATCGCCAAATCAGCAATCGTTGTCATATGAGGCTGATGCTGATCGAATGACCGTAGCAGTTTGCTTTTACGGCGTAGATCCCTAGAATTTGGATCCAGGCTGACAGCAGATAACATGATGATCAGGGCGCTTCCTAAACGGCCAGAGATTGTAAAGAAATAATGCATGACCTGTCAATAAGCCACATAACATACTACTAGTAGTCTAGGGTGTGCCAGCCTTATAGCTCAATTTTGTTGCTTTGCAGACCGGATATCCACCCTTCCATCTAAGTCCGTGAGCCGTCGGATTTACGGAATAGTGAACTGCAAGTCCGAAGGTACGTTCCCCCACATGTTCCCGAATACTGAACCGGGAGCCGACCGAACCGAACCGAGATCAATAGCGATTCTCAGAGGTGATACCTGGCGTATAGTATATGCGAAAACCTCATGACATAAGCTAATTGCTATGATGAGATCCTTTGCAGGGGAAAAAAGGTGACAAGGGAATCTGGGGAGGAAACGCCACCGGTAGATACTCAGGGAGTTATTTGGGGTATTTTAGGTGGCGCCATCGGCTCATGTCCGCTTTGACGCGGATATAACATTGTCCGGAGGCTCGGAGTTGCTCTTAATTAGGCAGTTCATCTCGGATTTAATCAGATAAGGGATCTGATAAACCCTTCAGTCACCTGTCTCTGCCGAGCTTCGGTATTTATAAAGTTGCTTCTGCCTCAAAACTTTCCCTTTTCACATATTCCTTGCACGTTCAAAATGGCTAGCACTCTTCGCAATATTATCGTTGTTGGTGGCTCATTTGTCGGCCGGGTGAGTGCATTTTACACACGCGATTGACGCGACTTGCAAGTTGAATACAGGAACTGACTTTCCCCGCAGACTACTGCTCAGGAGCTCGCAAAAGTGGTTCCTCCCACACACAGAGTAAGTGGACTCAACGATTCTGGTTTCACCTGCGACAAGCATTAACATCTTTCAAGGTGCTCTTGACCGAATCCCACAGTCATTTCCACCACTTGTTCACTTTCGTAAGTGACACTCAATTCCCCCGCACAAGGCGAACATTTCAACAGGATCGGAGATTAACATGTTGATAGCCTCGTTTCGCCATCGTCCCCGGACAAGAACACAAGGCTTTCATTCCATACAGCGGTCTTTTCTCGGTCGTCACCGACTCCAAATTACACGATGTGGTTCAGGCGCGCGTGACATCGGTTCAATCCCAGCATGTAGAGCTGGATCGCGAATGGCAGGGATCCACCAAGATTCCATTCGATTACATTGTCGTCGCGACAGGAACCCGCCTGTCAAAGCCCGCCGCAATGGACTCCGACGACAAATTGCCCTCAGTTGAATACCTACAAAAGCACCAGGCGGATGTCAAGCGGTCGCAGTCAATTCTGATCGTTGGTGGTGGTGCCGTGGGAGTGCAAATGGCAACCGACCTGAAAGAGTTCTACCCGGAGAAGGACATCACAGTGGTTCAGTCACGACCTCAGCTTATGCCTAGTTTCCACGTTGGGCTGCACGAACTTATCAAGACTCGTTTTGATGAGCTGGGAATTAATCTCATCACCGGAGCCCGAGTGACTGTTCCAGAAGGTGGATTTCCCACCGACGGAAAGCCCTTTGAGGTGCAATTGACCAACGGAAATACCGTATCCACCCAATTCGTGATTCTGGCCACCGGCCAAACACCCAACAACCAACTCGTTAAGAACCTAGAGCCCTCTACTTCCGATAGCCCATCCGTGCTGAACCCCGACAATGGCTACATTCGCATCCGACCCACCATGCAGTTCCTGGATGAGAAGTATTCCAATCTCTTTGCCGTTGGAGACATTGCAGATACCGGAGCACAGAAAGCTGCGCGACCTGGATCTGCTCAGGCTGCTGTGGTCGCAAAGAACATTTTGGCGATGATCGAGGGTCGTGAACCAGAAGATACATATGTCAAGGGTCCCGGCGCAATCCACATCACCCTTGGAATGGTAAGTGACAACGTTCGTCTTATTGGTTCAAATTCCGTACTAACGGGAAATAGAAATACAACGTGGTATTCCGCAACCCCAATGTGGCAGAAGGACAGACCGAGCCGTGGACCAACCCGAAGCAAGAGTAAGATACATTCAACCCTTCATCGAGTCATCAAAAGCGTAACTAACGATCAAACTCAGTGGACGAGAAGATATGAATGTCGAAGGGATGTGGCAAAGGATGGGCATTTCAGTGGACAACCCGCGCCAATACCATCTCTAGGGGAAGAAACAAGAAATAACCTCTCTGCATTTTGTAAATACCTCATGATACAACGGTGAACTTTTTTTTCGGCTTGAATATTCTCCACTAGAAACCTTGGCAAGAGATAGACCAATGGGAGGTTATAAACGATGATCAGCATTGAATTAGGCTAGTCATGGAACCAGGGTCCACGGCAGAGAGAATAACCCCAGATCTGTTTACCCTCTGACCCCGCAAGATCGACTTCCAACTTCCAACTTTCAAGTTTTCGGAGAGAAAGCCGAGGCATAGGTACATACTAAGTACTCGAGATGAATATCTAGTAGTCAGTACTCAAGATACTTAGTACTCAGTACTTGAGATAGGTATCGTACTCAGAGGGAAATCATGCGACGGGGGAAAAATCGCAGGCACCCAAGTAGTAAAGGGGGAGATAAAGGGGGAGAATACCACATGCACCTATACTAACTTGAATCTATAAGAGGATAATCGCTTGTCCGGCTTCTCCAAGAACTCATAATCCCCCGCAATGGAATGGCCGTTTTATTCAGTGTCCACTGGGGGTTCCCCATGTTTACCCCAGGATTCCCTACCATGTCCACTTTTCTCCATTGACAATTCATCTCTAAGAATCCTCTTACCTCTGGGTCATACCTTTGACAATCCAAGCCACCATGCCACTCCAGGGTAAGAGCCTGACGTGGGGAATCACAATTTCCTGTGGTGCAGGTTTCTTTCTTTTCGGTTATGATCAAGGAGTATTTGGAGGCATTCTCACAAACCAGAACTTTTTGGACACATTCAACAACCCGGATGCAACAATACAAGCTCAAATTACTTCAACATACTACCTTGGCGCCATATTTGGAGCCATCTTCTCGAGATTTATCGGCGATCGCATTGGACGACGACGAGCAATTATTCTGGGATGTATTTTCCTCACCATCGGCGGCGCACTGCAGGCTTCGGCTAGTGTTCTCCCTCACATGCTAGTTGGTCGCATTATTGGAGGTATCGGTACAGGACTGAACACGACCGCCATTCCCATGTGGCAGGTGGAAACGTGCAAGCAGCATCATCGCGGAAGACTCGTAATCATGGAGCTGGTGTTGAATATTTTCGGTATTGCAATCACGAGTTGGATGAACTACGGCTTCACCTACCTCCCGAACAATTCGGTTTCATGGCGTTTCCCACTGGCATTCCAATCATTCTGGTCCATCGTGACCTTGGTTTTGACGACAATCATGCCCGAGTCACCCCGCTGGTTGGTGCTCCGAGGCCGTCGAGAGGAAGCCCAGCATATCCTGGCACGCTTGATGGACAAAGACTCCGATGATCCAAACGTTGAAGATGCCCTGCGGATTCTTGGGAATACCGTGGATCATGAGACAGAGGCCGAAACAGCTGCCTTCACTGATCTTCTCAAAAATGACCGCACGCAAACCCTCCGGCGAATCTTGCTGGGTGCTGGTATTGCATTGATGCAACAGGCCTGTGGTGTAAACATCATTGCTAATTATTTACCCGTGGTGTTGACCCGGTCCATTGGCCTCAGCGACCGACTAGCTCTGATTTTATCGGCAGTCTACTCGCACCTTTTGACAATATGGGCCATGACCTCGATGCTCGCAATTGACTCCCTGGGCAGAAAGAACCTGCTTCTCCTAGGTGCCGTGGGCCAAGGAGTAGCCTTTATTCTCATCGCCGTGGGAATATATATCGATACGTACCCCATGTCCATTTTCAGCGTGGTCTTCATATTTGTTTATAACTTCTTTTTCGGGATCTCGTTTCTGTCCATCCCTTGGCTCTACCCTGCGGAGATCAATTCACAGGCCATGCGCAACGTTGGAACGTCCGTTTCGACCGCCACAAATTGGATCTTTGTCTATGTCATCGTTTTGGTGACACCCACTGGCATCGATAACTTGGGGTGGGCGTTCTATCTCATGTTTGGCATCTTCAACTTTGTCTTTTTGCCATTCATTTGGATTTTCTATGTCGAGACGGCGCGATTATCTCTCGAACAAATCGATCGGGTCTTTGAAATTCAGTTTGAAGGAGCTCCTCGGATGACATTCAAGGCAGCACGAAGGCAGGTGTTCTTGGAGGCTGAGGTGGCTGGTGAAGGTGGTCGAGAGTTGGTTGTTAATGCCCTAGATCAGAAGGGTTCGGTGGACCATTTGGAGAGTTTATAGACATGATTGTATTGGGATTAATCATGCTGGGAGTTGGACGGGTGAGTCGCGTTGGGAGACAGATGTTCACTTATTTGTGAGTCCCCGACTCCTGGGTGTCTTATCTTATCACATATGTTATCTATGGTTCCGGACTTTATTGCATCGTGTACTCCGTACAACTACTATTACAACTTCGAGCAATTACTCAGCACTTGGTGTCATGCTATTCCATTTTTTTTTCACTGTCAATTACTCCCATGTATAATTGAACCATTGAATCAATCCTCGTTGGCTCGCGTTTTGGAACACTCCCGATCGTGTTGAATCATGTGACTGCTTAGTCAGGATCTTGGTTGGAGTCGCGCCAAGAAATGCGACATCCCAAATCCTTTGAATTTACTTCGTTCGTCAATGGTCAAAGGATAGCAGGAAGTTAATGGATTTCCAATGTTGGGGAAATTGGCGCCTCGGGGCACAAAGAGCACTTCATTCAGAATAAGCAAGCCCCTCCATCAATATGTCCAATCAAGGTCATTCGAACGTCCCTGTCAACATATTCACACTCTTGTGAGGCGACCAATATCGCCCAATCGCAACCAAAATATCATATGGGGAAAATCGAAAACACCAAATTCGCCACGGACATTATTTACCGATTCGATTCCGCCTGTTCTCATTCCACCCGTCATATTTGTTGGGCTGCTTGTCACTCTCTGGACATGGAAATGTTTCTGGATCATTGTTATGCAAAACAAATTATTATACCTGTCATGGCTGCCCCCGTTCTCTAGATCTGAGAAGATATCAGAATACGAGCGGGATTGCAAACCCGTGCAGTGGCAAGAAAAGAGACTTCGGAGTCTCGATGGAACCAAACTAGCCATATGTGAGGGACATATCCCAGTCAACGAGCAACGACAACAAATCGAGATAAAGAAGCGAGAAAAGCTCGTGGTCATTTGTTACTTTCAGGGAAATGGTGGATCAATGCCACTCAGGCTGCCATTATTGTCCCAGTTTCTAGCATCCCTCTCGGCGAAGTCCAAAACTAGCCAACCAGAGTGCGCCGATGAAACACGCTATGTCATGGTCGCCTTGTCATATCGTGGTTACTGGACATCATCGGGGACTGCCACACAATCGGGTATTGAACGAGATGGCTTGGCATTTTTGAACTGGGTATCAGCCACCTATTCCTCGCCAGATACAGATTGTCAGATGTTTCTGTGGGGCCATAGCCTTGGTGCAGCTGTTGCATCGTCCACCATGTCCAAATATCTTGCCCGCCTGGATGCTGAACAAGCTCAACATGATACCCCCCTCCTACCCATATCCGGGCTGATCATGGAGGCACCTATCTCCAACATCAAGGATATGCTGATTGCCATGTATCCACAGAAATGGCTTCCTTACCGATATCTTGGACCCTTCTCCTGGAATACTTGGTGTAGCTCCAAATCATTGGAGAAGTTGGCAGAATGGCGCGACCGAGGGAAAATCCAACCGAAGCAGTTGCCACACCCTCTATGCGACCAAGACACTCGATCGGTCCCTCCGATACTTATTTTGGCTGCCGAAAAGGATGAAGTGATACCACCTCACGTTGCTGGACAACTTGAGCGCAAGGGTCAAGAGCTCGAATTGGACATTTCACAAAAGGTCGTCATGGGCGCAATGCACACAGAATGTCCGATCAGGAGTGATGGCAGGGAGGCTTTGGTCAAGTTTATTCTTGCACACAGATTCGAGAATCGCGAATGAACAAAGTTGAAACCGGGCATCATTGATTGTTGAAGTCCACGCCTGGGTTGTATATTCCCAATCCCGACATCAATACGGGAATTCCCGACGTCTGGTCCGTGCACATGTGGTCTTTTCGCTAACTTCCAAGGGACAACCTCCATGGAAGGCTCGTGCACGTGTAAAGCCCCAGCTACTGAGCTTTTTACTCTCGGCGAGTTTTTTTAGTCACGACATGCACTAGATGCAATGTTGACTGGACCATGGATGTCGTCCATTCGGGTCTAGATGGTAGATTGACCCACTTAGATAACAGGGGCTGCGGGATGCTCCGAGCTCGGCCGCACGGTAGTTTCAGACAATTGAACATTTGCAGGAAGAACATACCGCGGTGATTGCAAATTGATTGAATAAATGAATTCAAATATCGGGATTGCCCAGGTATGAGCTTTGATCCTAAGCCCAACATTCAAAACTAATTTTCAAAACTAGAATCATTGAGATGTTTATTCTTATCTCCGCGGAATTGTTCAAGTGGACACTCCAGGAGATCGACGGTGGGGCAAGTCGGAGGTGATATGAAAATTTTCACCGAGTAACAACCGGATGACTCGACGAAGTGAGGAGGATTGAAATGGAAATCAGCAGTACATAATTGAACGTGGTGCCTCCTCCTTTGAAGGAACAACCCGTCAACATTGAATCGGAGAAATTCTGTCCGCTCTCACGATGAGCCACAACGAACCAAATAGAGGTTTGCCCTATCAGTCTCACGATGACCATGAGAAAGATACTGTGGTGAGCAGCACAGCTGCAGAGGATGGACTTGATAAATATCATCCGACCAAAGCCCAAAGCAATATCACCATTGTTAGCTGCGTAAGTTCACGATCTCAATTGACGATTGCTCCTCAAACATTAACAGGCGAGGTTCTAGTATATCGCGAACTTCAGTGATGGATTCCAAAACACATTGGCAAATCCAACCAATGTGATTTTCAAAGATCTGCTGGGGGCAAGTGCCTTCTCTTCTGCGATGAAAACGCGCATCAGCAACTCGCTCATTGTCGGTGCCATTTTGGGAGTTGTGGTGTTGGGATACACCTCGGACATGTATTCTCGAAAAGGTGGACTCTTAGTCACCTCGTCACTCGTGGCGATTGGTACTTTGATGTCGACAGTTGCGTTGCATGTGAGCCCATCACAAAATATGCTCTGGTATTTTGTTGTCGCACGTGGAATTGCAGGCTTCGGAGTCGGAGGTGAATACCCTCCCAGTGCAGCAGCTGGCATTGAGGAATCTGATGAGGTGAGTGACATTGAACATTCACAAGAAAAGAACTCGACAAGAGTTATTTTTGGATTTGGGCAATTGCTAACCAGATCTAGTTAATGAGGAAATATCGCGGGCCAATGTTTGTCTCTTTCACGACCCTCATGGCTACGCTGGCGGGCCCAATCTTGCAGATCATTTACCTGGTCTGTCTCATTGCCAGCGACAATAATCTCAAGATCACATTCCATGCCATATACTCGATTGCGACCATAATTCCAGTGGCCATTATTATTCTGCGACTGTTTATGGTGGATTCAACGCTATTTCGCCATTCCAACCTGACGAGCCTCCGTCGTTCCCCCCGCATTTATCTGCTGCTGGCTCGGCGTTATTGGTGGAGGATCTTTACGACTTCATGCGCGTATTTTCTATACGACTTTATCAATTTCCCTAATAGTATCATGTCAAGCAGCATCCTGTCGTCCCTGGTCAAGGACAATGATATCCGACAGACGGCTATTTGGCAGGTCATTCTCGCCGTGCTACCGGTGCCTGGAGTTTTGATCGGAGCGTGGCTGACCAATGTCATCGGACGACGGAATACGGGTATTCTAGGCTTTGCAGGCTACATGATTCTCGGATTTATCATCGGAGGTACATACTCTAAACTGTCCAAAAACATTGCCGCATTTGTCGTGTTATACGGGCTGCTACAGGCCTTTGGCCATATGGGCCCAGGGGCCACTATAGGTTTGATTTCCTCCGAGTGTTTCCCCACCGCGGTCCGAGGAATGGGATACGGAATCGCTACAGCCTTTGGGAGAACAGGGGCAGCTGTGGGAACACAGTGTTTCACTCCACTAGAGGATGCGGCTGGAATTAGCTCGACGTTCTACCTTGCTGGTGGAGTCGCCGTTGTCGGTATCTTGGTTTATTGTCTTTTGCCCGAGAGCAGTAAGCTGGATTTGGCAAAAGAGGACAGATTGTTGGAGGAGTATCTGGCTGAAAATGGATATCAGATTGAGAAGGGAGATCAGATTGCCTCGTGAAATTGCGAGTCGAGTGTGAGTGGAGCGCACTGAATCATAATCTCTCAGAACATTCCGTGTGTGTAAACATGGAATTGACTTTCTGCTCTTCTTGGACTGAGTTCTGCAAATATTCACATACATCTTGAACTTTGATAAGAATAATCATGAAAATTACACCAAAACTTCTGAAACTCGTTGCAGTCTAAGTCACAGCATAAAATTGAAATAAATACATGAGAGGGAAGATTTCAAGTAAATCACACGAAATTGTCTAGTGAGATATTGTGGATCAAGCCCTCGGCTATGGCTGCAGCCATTTGCAGCTTAAAAGGTATTGAACCCCCCAAATGCCGAAGGTGGCTTTAGAATGGGCCTTCAGTCCCGGTAGTTTGGAAAGCGGAGACTATGATCGACGGCCAAGAATCCGATGCTACCAGTAGCCTGTGATATCGAGATAAAGTGTCCCTAAAAAGTCGATGGAATGTGAGATCATCGTAAGATCGAAGGTGGGTCTGGATCAAGGGATAGAGTACATTGTTTCCTCCCCTTGACGAAAGACTTACCCTTTTCAGTTTCCCTAGTTGAAATGGAAAACCACCCATGGAGGGTGATGGAGGGTTGGGATTGGACACATTGGATTTCCAATGCTACTTTGTTTCATGAAATCACATTGTGGTGGTTTTCATTATGTGTAGCTCTCATTTTAGGGCTGAGAATGGTGGGTAGTGTCGCTGACATCAGGTACAGATACGATCTCCTTCTTTTCGTAGTGATCCAGGACTAGTAGAGAACCTATGACGTATCGTTAGAAAAACGCCTGAATCATGTGGTCTCGATTTCGCTTTCTTTTTCTTTCTTCTTTTTTTTTCCCTAAGAAAAGCGTGCGGGTCTCTTTTCCAGGGCGAAATAGCTGTGTGAATGGATGAAGAAGTGGAATGTGCATGCATGGCAACCGGGAGTGCCCGTTGATCTACATACCATTGCTAGAGAAATCGCGGAAATTTAATCCTCTTATTATACACACCTGGCTCCAAATTTTCCGATTTTCCATCTCTATCTGTGCACAAGATGAGCCATGATGCGTGCGCTGTTGATGTTAGGCGTGCTAGTTCAGGCGGCAAGCGCACAATTATCGGACTGCACTTGCTCATACACAACTACAGTCACACAGACCGTGGATCCATCATCTGCAACTTCGCCATCAACTACAGGTGGGTATTTGAGTTGGCTTAGTACTAACTTAAAATGTGATAAATTTGGCTAATGTGTCTCAGGAGCTGGCGCTGCAGTCACCGTTGCGACTGATAAGTCCGGGCAGTTTACGGCTATTGGTGATGCTATTTCATATGCCCAACACAATGATATACCCACTGTCACTGTCCTGGCGGGAACATACCCAGCCGTGACCGTCTCCGCTACGCCGTCTGTCGCAGTGATCGGTCAAGGGAAAGACGTCGATGATTACTCAAAGAACAAGGTGGTGGTTTCGCAAGACAGTACTACCCTTGATATCACGGTGAATGTGGATGGCATTACCTTTGAAAATCTCAACTTTGTCAACACAGGGTCCGATGACCCGGCGGTGAATATCATGGGCAGCAAACTTGCATTTTACGCCTGTCAATTTATTTCAGCTGGAAGCGTGGGAATCGAAACGGGTCTTGGAGTCGGTATCATCGCGAACAGTTATATCGAAGCCCAGGAAACGGCTATCGACGGCCAAGCAACACTGTACATCTTCAGCACGGGCATTGTGGTGGTAGCAGACTCGGCGGTTGTGGCGTACACAACAGGGACGGACTCCGGCGGTACACTATACAACTCAACCATTGTTTTCGATCAAAGCACAGTATCTCCCAAACCCGACGACAAGAGCGATCGAGCATACTTAGCGAAGGCAAAGGGGCTGGGGTCCGTGGCAGTCTATCGAGGCTCTACTCTTGACGGATTCATAGCCGAGAGCGGAGTCTTTGTCGATGATATTACCCAGGATGGAAGTAACTTCTACGGCGAATATGGAGATAAAGGAGCGGGAGCGTACGCCAGCAACAAAGATACGAGATCCAAATATGTGAAACTGCTGGACGACGCAACAATCTCCCAATTCGCCCTTGGAGCAGTGTTCGCAGGAGCATACCCGGATTTCGCCACGTCGGATACAAGCTGGATTGATCCAACCGTTCTATCTGAGATCGAAAAGGCGGATGGGACCAGCCCCACAACAACCGATGATGGATCGGATGGTTCAGATGGTTCGGGATCTTCATCACCGTCTTCAACAAGCTCAACTGCACCCGATTCATCGTCACCGTCTTTTGTCGTGGTTCCCAGCGACCCAGCAAAAGGTCAATATACCAGTGTGCAAACAGCTATCGCTGCACTCCCCGATGATGGCAAACCATACACGATTGAAATCAAGAGTGGAGTATACAAAGAGCAAGTCACCATTACAAGGGACGGAAAAGTGACGCTTATTGGTGAAACGTCATTCAAGAACGACTTCAGCAAAAACACCGTCACAATTGAGTACAACGATGGTGTCCCCACGACATCCAACAATGATGACAAAACACCTGTCATCGATGTAAAGGACTCGAATGGCAAGACCGTGGTTGCATTATACAATATCGACTTCAAGAATACCTCTCCCCAGAAAGATGGCACATCGGGACTTGCTGCAGGCTTCACGGGTCTGGTAGCCGCATATGGCTGTTCATTCATCGGTTACGAGCAGACTCTCTTTGCCAACAAAGGCACACAAGTACTTTCCAACAGCTACATCGAAGGCTCAATTGATTATATCTGGGGTTCCTCTATCGCATACCTGCATCAGTCGTTCATTGCCACAAACACTCCCGGCAACTCTATCGCCGCACAGGATCGTTCGTCAGCAAAAGGAACTGGAGGATTTGTGTTTGACGCCAGTGTCATCACATACACTACCTCTTACGGCACCACTTTTGGAAAGACCTTCCTTGGCAGACCTGCCGGGAAGTATAGCACTGTTGTCTATATGAACTCCTTCTTGGATAAGCTGATCAGCCCCGTTGGCTGGAGTTCGGAGGGCGAGAGTACCGATGATGTAACATTTGCCGAGTACAACAATTCTGGACCGGGCAAATGGGGCGATGAGCGCGCGGAATTTGCCAGCAAATTGACTGAAGGAGCCGCTAAGGCTTACTCGTTGACAAATTTTGTTGGCGATACCTCTTGGATTGATATGACTGCATACAATTACGTTCCGTCTTATGATCTATCTTCCGGGACTGACGGTGCATCTCCCGCAGCCCCAGGCTCTGCTGCGAATCCCAGCGGAACTGATGGTGCGTCTCCCACAGATGATGATGATCCCGCAACAGGAACATCAACAACTACTCCAAGTGGAACTTCAGCGTCTAGTCCGAGTGGAACAGGCACAGCAGGACACCCAGCAAGTGGGACGAAGCCTCCGACTGGAGCAGTTCTGGTATCCGTGTCGGGAACTGTCGACAACTCATTTTCTTCTCTGACTGCTGCGCTCAAGTCGTTGCCATCTGATGACTCTGTTCAGATCATCTTCATCTATTCAGGAACCTACAATGAAAAAGTACCATCGATCGATAGACCAGGCCCGACAAAGATTATTGGGTACACAAAAGGAAATCCAGGTCAATCCTACTCGGACAATACCGTCACAATTACCTTCTCTAGCGGAGTTTCTTCACCCTCGGACTCATCCAGCGCAGGGGATCCATCGAATACAAGCGATTCTGATACGGCGACTATTTCAACAATTTCGATTAAGATCGCTTTCTACAACATTGACATCGTCAATAGTGACAACTCCGACGGTTCAAAAGCATCATATGCCGATGTTGCTGCGTCCATCTCGGGCTCAAAGAACGCATTCTACGCCTGCAGCTTTATGGGTTGGGAAGAAACGCTACTCACCAATGGTGCGACTACCTTGCAATACTACGAATCATCCTACATTGAAGGTGCTGTGGATTCAATCTCGGGACCTGCAACCGCATACTTTAAGGGATGTACACTCGGCGCTAAGATGAAGGGTGGAGCTTTCACAGCACAGAACCGACCATCCAAAGATGCCGGAGGTTATGTTTTCGACCAATGCCTTTTCGAAAAAGCTCCGTCTTCTACAGCTGATCTCACTGGCTCTGTATTTTTGGGACGCCCAGGATCGGAGTACGCCCTTGTTGTGGTCAAGATGTCTTATTTGACTGATGTTATAAACCCATCAGGGTGGACAGAATGGTCGTCTACTGACCCTCGAACTGATCACGTCACCTTTGCCGAGTTTAAAAATACTGGACCTGGAAATTGGGAGAACAATGCGGCGGCCAGGAAGGCCCTGGGATATGCTACCCTCCTTACTTCGGATACCTACACCCTAGGCGACGTCATGGATTCAACGGACTGGATTGACATGACCTATTTCGATTCGATAACCACGCCGACCCCCAAAGGAGGCGATGATACCCCATCTCCGGGGAGTCCGAGTGCTACCACAGATAGCACAACACCCCCGGATGGTGCATTCATTGTTTCCAAAACAAGCATTGCTGGAAAGACAACATACGATATGATCGGAAGCGCTCTTGATGCTTTGCCGACTTCACAAACGTCTTCATCAACCATTTTTATTTATCCTGGCACATATGATGAGCAGATCAAGGTCACAAACCCAGGTACTGTGATTCTTGTTGGTTATTCAGAGTCCCCGACAGACAATGAGAAGAATCAAGTCACAATAGAAAACAATAAAGCGGGCGATCCCACCTCGGACAGCTCACTAATTGACAGTGCCACTTTGCTTTCAGCGGGAGGCAACTTGCAAGTGCTGAACATCAATGTCGCGAACACCAACGGTGGCGAGAATGATGCATCAGTAGCACTTGCTGTTGCATCAGCCAAATATGCAAGCATTTACGCGTGCAGAGTCATTGGCAGTCGGAATGCTTTGGTGGTCAATGGGTTCTTCTTTGCTGCGAACAGTTACATTGAGGGCAGTATGGATATGATCTCTGGAGGTGGCGCAGGCTACTTCCTCAATTCCACCATATCTCCCAGTGACGATGACATCAGCATCACAGCAGATAAGCGTGCATCTAGCTCTACACCAGGCGGGCTTGTCTTTGATCAGTCCAAAGTAACTCCTGTTGGTGGCGCTGGGGCAATGGTGGAGATATCACTTGGCAGACCGCAAAACTCCAATGCACGAGTTGCCTATATTGATACGCATCTAGGGTCCTGCATAGAGCCCAAAGGATGGGAGAAATGGTCAGATGCTAGCCCGAGGACGGATGGTGTTCTATTTGGTGAATTTGGAAATGACGGTCCAGGCTCTGATACCTCCCGGCGAGTATCCTTCGCTACCAAGCTGGACAAGACATCCGTTGTGCAATTTGAGATTGCGAATTTCTTCGACAGCCTATCGTGGATTGATTTTACACATGTTGTCGGAAAGCCATTTAGTGCTGACCCGGATTCGGCCTCTTCCTCGGCGGATCCATCTGGTACCGGAGGGTCTACATCGACAGCACCCGCAGATGGGTCGGGGTCTTCCACAAGCTCACCAGATTCAGCATCCTCGGCAGCGGATCCATCTGGTACTGGGGGCTCTGCATCGACAGCACCCCCAGATGGATCGGGGTCTTCCACAAGCTCACCAGATTCAGCATCCTCGGCAGCGGATCCATCTGGTACTGGGGGCTCTGCATCGACAGCACCGGCAGATGGATCGGGGTCTTCCACAAGCTCACCAGATTCAGCATCCTCGGCAGCGGATCCGTCTGGTACTGGGGGCTCTGCATCGACAGCACCGGCAGATGGATCGGGGTCTTCCACAAGCTCACCAGATTCAGCATCCTCGGCAGCGGATCCGTCTGGTACTGGGGGCTCTGCATCGACAGCACCGGCAGATGGATCGGGCTCTTCCACAAGCTCCCCAGATTCAGCATCCTCGGCAGCGGATCCGTCTGGTACTGGCGGCTCTGCATCGACAGCACCCCCAGATGGTGCAGGCTCTTCTTCAAGTTCGTCTGGTTCAGGGTCCTCGTCGACAGATGCATCCGGTAACGGGGGGCCTGCTTCAACAACGCCCACAGATGGATCGGGCTCTTCTCCGAGCTCAACAGATCCTGCGGGCTCAGGAGGGTCTTCAACAACAGACTCAGCAGACCCCGATGAACCAGATGCCTCTCCTGCAGCCTCATCAGCGACAAATTCCATTACCACCAGTACAATTGTCGTCACAACGACTACATCAACGACCGTCACAGATGCAAAAGCGACCTCAACAAAGACCGAAACGAACACCCTTGGCCCAGATTCTACTATCACCCCCCCTCCTGTCATTGAAATCAGTACACAAGATGGACAAAGCACTGTTACCGAAACAGAGACTAGTGCAGACTCTACCAAGACTGTGCAAAGTACCATGACCGTCACAAATACTGTCAATGAAGCATCACAAAAGGCAACATACACTCGAATTGTCACAATAACAACGACTATAACATCAACTCCACAGCCTTCGAAAACAACTACAACGATTACCTCTGGTGCCGGGGATACAGTCACAAAGACTGGGAAAGCCACAACTTCAACGACGACCGTGACTTCAGGCACGACGAAGACGGAGAGCACAACAACAACAGTCACTTGTATCCCGGCCAGAAAGATGAAAAGAAGTCTCCTCCCGCCTCGGTCCAATCCTGCTACCAAGCTCGCTCATCCTACTCAGAACACTACAGAAGCTGTTATAACAGTGATGGCATTCTCTCATCCTCTTGAACGGGGTCGTAGCATCACAACGACGAGCATACGCCATGACAAGGTGACCATCTCATTTGTGACATCAACTGCTACGAAGACAAACACTGCCACCGTGACTGCAGATACTGCCACTGTTACAGTCACCAAGATAGCTGGTGATCCAGTAACTTTAGACCCAGAAACTTCGACAACAACTGTCAACTCGCTGTCGCCAACGACATCCACCACGACTGTGACGACCTCTGTACAAACAACCACAGATATAACAACCACCACTGTTGACTCCATGGTCGGACCAGCTCCCTCAACAGTGATTCTTGTAGTCGAGACGGAAGTAGCTACAGCCACGGTTTCTCTACCGGCAGCTACCTCGACAAAGACCGAGACCACTACTGACACCAACGCTCCTTCAGCGACTGTCACCTCTACCCCCACATCTACGAAGACCAAGACTGTCACGACCACGGCTACCACCACTAGTACAGTCACTTCAACCGCAAAGGATGCCACAACCTGTACATCTTGATCACAGGAGAACAAACAAAACAAAGTCTTGACCGAAAAGAGAACGAATGAGACTTGTGATTCTTATTTTTCTTTTGTTCATGTTTTTTTTCAGCCCACCGAGTCTTACATTGTCCGTTTATTAGCTTAATCATGTGCATCTAAGGGAGTTCAATTTCAAATATTTTATGAATTCAACTTTCTCAATCATTCACTGTAGAATAGACGTAACTAATTTTCAACTAAGCCTATACTAGCAAGTTTCCTAGGGAATTTATTGGTTGAAAAGGTGCTTTCTCAAACTTTGCAGCGACAAAGGTTTAGGCAGAAGGGATGCCGCTCTCAAAAAGGTTTCGTACTTGACTGCTCTCACGAACCTTTAATATTCTACTTTTCGGAGCGCTTTCTAGCTGAATCACTCACTCACCTTTATTCGTTTTGCAAAATTGGCGCGTCGGCCAAGAGATCAAGACAAGATGGTGGGAATACGCGAAGAGTCGATAACATCGACAAGCAGCAGCTCCAACTCCTACGATCCACTTGGGTTCACTGTACCTGCGGATGCTAAAACTATAATCGCACCCTCCTTTAGCCAACTCGTGGCGACTTTAAAGATGCTGCAGGCCCAGTTTGGCACTCAGAGCCCCCCGGAATCCCAATACCTTCATGTTTCAGGCCTACACCAAACAGTCTTTGAGAAGATTGTAAACGACGAAACGATCTTCCAATCCGCGTTGGCCATGGCCACGGTCTGCAACCAGACGAATGAAATCCTGTACAAAGTCATTCCCAGTGCGCAGCATGCAAAATTTGCGCAATTATTTTCTAATACCATGATGGAACGATTGGGTCGGATGGGTTTGAAGCCCCATCTGGGCCACTGGGTGGGGCGAGGGTTGGGGAGGGCACATGGATGGACTTGTAGCAAGGAACCCAATGGGTGGTTTGAGCCCAACGACGTTTTGGTCAGCAGCGGTGGGGGCGGATACCCCTCGCTGATTCTGGAGGTCGGTCTTTCACAATCCTACGCTCAACTGCGGAATGATGCCTATTGGTGGCATGGAAACTCCGATATTCAAAGTCCGAATGGGGATCGACAGACAAAGATGGTTGTTCTGGCTTCTCTCACGGGTGAGCCCGCTTGGCGCATTGATATTGAGGTTTGGACCGAGGTACCTGATACCCAGCCCATGAGAAACACACGGAGTAGATCTACCAGGACCCTTGAGCGGACTCAGCATGTGTGCTTTGAAAATGGGGTGGTTCATGGGGGACCTTTGGTGTTGAGCTTTGACTTGATGATGCGCCGGCGGCCTTCTGGTAAGGAAACCGACATTGTGCTCGATGACCAGATACTGGCAGATCTGTGCCATCAGGTAATGTCATAGTTTTTGGGGGTTACTCAAGTTGCTTCTGTTGAGGCTATTCTTGGATTGTCTACGGGATACTGGGCTTTCGAGATTATGTCTGCTTTAATTCGCTTTGATTGTCTATCTGGCTGGTAAATTTCAATTTTTATTGAAATAATCTGAGTTCAAAGAATCACAGTAGGCGCCTAGAATCAATTATTTTTAGTCCCAACATGCCAGTGGACGGGTAAAAGGCCCGGATCGTGGCTTGAACTTGGGGATTTCAGTTCAGCCACGTCCAGGTACCCGGTCCCAAAACAGCCAATAAAGCGGATATGATGATATTCCAGAAATTCGCCATGGAGAAAGAGATTGTGAAAATGAAAACAGGGACAATGGGCTGGAAAACTGCCGCATTAGTTAAGTAAATTGGACGTGGTGTTGTGGTAGAAACAGGGACACAGGAGACTTGAGATAGGAAGCTATTCAGTGTTATCTTTGGAAGAAGTCGATACAACATTCTTGAAGCGGCCCAGCCCCGTTAATATCCCCAATCAAACTTCATTTCTCGACGCATGCGGTGTTTTCGGTGTCTTTGCCCCCCGGGAATGCAACTCTTCAATCCGGAATGCGACCGTGGACATTGACCCACTTTCCCTTGAATCAGCGCACTTTTTGTATAATGGACATCGTCACTTCGATTTCCAGGCTATCAAGTGCATATTATCTGATCTGAGATGCATAGAGTCCGGTCGTAGTGACAAATGGTCTTTTTTCCCTAGTTGTTCGTATGGTCTTTTTCTCTCTTTCACTGCCCGTCCTATGTTCGCCCCACCCAAAACGGGTCTGCAGCATATACAGCTCAGAACCCTTGACAGGTCCAATGTGGATATCCTGTTAATCATCCATGGTACTCAGGTTCGTGAGTAACCTGGTTTGGTGACTCTTGACTCCCCTTTCTTATCTATTCCTTCCGAGATGTCCACTCGACCCGTGGGAAGGCAACCTGAATTGGGCCAACTTGATGGAAAGAACCAGAGACCCAGCTCAATGTAACTGTTAGAATCAGATTCTCAAGAGTTGAAGACTTTATATTCTCAATATCCTCCCACATTGAATGAATAATCTTGCTTTGTCTCCGTGGAAATAATCATCATCTCCAAAACGTGGAAGTGTACCTGCTATTGTTGGAACGAATCCAGACATAATAACATAAGAACACACAGGCTCCGAAACAATGCACTGCATAAGAAGCCCCATCGCGTTTCTACTTGTTGTATCAGTAGGGCTTGTCAGCGCTCAAGATGCGACACCCAGCCAGAGTCTAGCCCCCAGTGCCAGTAGTGGCGGACTATGCGCATCGCAAGAGTATGTTGATCTACACTCTCACTAGACTTGAGAACCGAATTCTAACAAAGCCACCTTTCAAGGGTCGTTGATACATGTGTCACCGTTATGCAAGGTTCACTCTCTAAATGCACGGATAACGATTGGGATTGCAAGTGCTCTGGAAGTGCCAACATCGCCAAGTGAGGAACCCGTTCGGACCCGTGAGATTGACCCGCTGACTGACCAACGTAGTTGTTATGAGGATTGTCCCGATGACCCAGCGCGATTTTCGGCGATATTTATGAGCGAACAAGACTGCGCCACGGCGAATGCATACGACAAGGGTATATCATCGGTTGCGACGACTTGGACGACGCCGGGCCCCAACACTGTGACGGCTACTCCCACGGATGTCGAAGTGAGCACCACCACCAATACTGCGGGCCCAACAAAGTTGACTGCATTGGAGGATGCTAGTCCATCAAAAGGAGCGGCAGCTATGAAATCTGCTGGCAGTTTATTGGCATTGTTGGGGTTGGGAGTTGGCGTCATGATTTGATCGCGAGTTTGATGAATATTTCTTGGATTCACTTTTCTTTTCTCCATATTGTTTTATAGAAATTTGCCGGACGCTCATCCCAGTGCATGTGAAATAGCACTCGGGCGTTTTTTAGGGATAATTGGTCGATTCTCAAAAATCAAAAGACGATCAAAATGTCACTTTTTTGGAAACCAGTGTTCTAACGTGTATGAATGTTGTAGACAGTGGTGCATGATTTGGAAATATTGGACGTTTCATGGACTCATCCATGCGCCATGAATCCTTTATCGCAAAAGGGACGATGGAAATTGTTCGTTCATGATGGTTCGAGGTTCGGGTGTGAAACTGCTCAAGATTAAGCCCGACATAGCCTCCCATCCGCTTTTTCCACCCAGAAATCACTCCCGACGGCCTTGGTCCCATAGAAGATGTTCCTCGGGTCGTACTTGTTCTTTATTCTCAGCAGCCGATCATATTTGTCGTTGTAAAATGTATACTTCCAATTAGGCTGATAGGGATCTGCCTCATTCAGATAGGCTGCCCCATTTGGAGTGAGTTCCTCCAATTCGGGGAGTAACACATTAGTGATGAGCCTTTGACCCTCCCTATTAAGAGATTTGTTGGTGCCGCTCTGAGTCCTGTTCTCCGTCAGTTAAATGAGTATCGGCGACTTGACAGGTAAACGGCGTACATTCCAACGACAATGCCAATTGCTAAATCGCGCCATGCTGGATTCACCGAGTTCGTAGGAAAATACTTGGTAGCATAAGATATGGATGCGTTGACAGAAATACCCGAGACCACTGCTCCGTAGTTCACGATGTTACGGAATCGCTCAACCAGGGTACTAGAATCAGTATCGACGAGGGATCGTGGAATGAATCTGCCTCCCAGGTCGTCTGCAGTTATGTTAACATCTGGGCTCATGGTCTCGAAGCTCGAGTACCACGTAGGGAACTCCTCAATGAAGTAGGCTGTTGCTTGTTAGTAGGAGCTCTGTAGTCGACAGGGGAAAAGCGAAAACGAAGAAGAGAACCCTACAGTAGCTTATATTTGCCTGATCCAAACCCGTAAGAAGCGGAGCCATGATCGCCTGTAAATCCTTCTTGGATCCACTGGGAAGTGTGATTGGTGTTATCTCAAACGCATCTCTTAACATGTACCAAACGGCAGCTCCTCGAGCATCCAACAGAGGTCCCAATGTGGAATTCAGAAATAAGTGGACAGCGTCATCAAAGGTCGTCTCAGTCACTCCAATCGATGTGAACGTCAAGTTCGCTGTTGCAGTCCGCATCTCCTTGTGTGCCTTGCTCGTCATGGAAACCACCACGCCATATGTGCCACCCCCACCCCCTGAGAGTGCCCACCACAAGTCCTTGTGGTCATTGTGCGGTGTAGCTGTGACCAGCTTCCCGGTACTAGTAACAACTTCCCACTCCAGGACCTGGTCAGCGGCCAGGCCGTAGAGTGAGACAAGCTGACCATGTCCACCGCCTTGACTATACCCACCAGCCAATCCGACGGTCCTGCAGTTTCCCCCCACGACCGTCAGGCCTTGTTTAGAGGCTGCCGCATTGGACTCAAAGATTTGCACGCCGGCGCCCACTTTGATCGCCTTCCCGGTGTAGGACGAGGACTTGTAGTCGATAAACTCAATATCTTTCAAGTGGTGCATCCAGATGGCGACGGCGCCTGCTCCCGTTGACTTCCCCAAGTAGTCATGCCCCGTGTTTCGAATTACCAAGCGGATGTCATGTGCCGTGGTGAATTTGATGGTCTTTTGCACATCAGCAGCAGACTGCGCACGGACGGAGTATTGGACGTACGTGCCAATGATACAGGCCGCGGAAGGGGCTAGAAATGGGTCACAGCTTTGGTTGGTGTAGAATCTGGACATAATAGACGAGGAACTCTCGTAGTGAGTTTGAGGGAAATCCCATTTTGCGCGGAGGGTATCGCATTCCGATGCGTTGTACGTTGCAAATTGATCATTTGTGTGACAAAGACTTGCAATGGGGGTGGTTGCAACGAGTCGATAATCGACTGTGCGATTGAACTCACTCCACTGTGATGGGCTGGGCCAACATGAGTCACCCGGAAAACAGTGACACTCGGAGTGTTTTCTGATAGAGGCAAGCGACGGGATGGGAAAGAAGGAAAAGAAATATAGAGCAAGTATAACGGACGAAAACATGATTACATAAACACCCTTCTCACGATCGTCAGCTGCTTTGGAATTTGTGAATCTCGAACATTGAATGCTTTTGCCTTAGAATAATTGAATTTATCAATGTATGAATACCCCTTTTTATATTAATATTGTGTTAATCTGACGCAACCCCCCTGTTACCATTCAGGCAGGTGGTGGATGAGGCTTACTGCACTGCTTACGATCTTAAAATACCTTATTATGGGCCTCGGTTGTGATACTGGAGTAATTCTATTTCCAGGTTCGCACATGTAACGACGATGATGATGGAAGATCACTTGGTTTGTTTCACTAAATCCTCGCTGGACACAATTAGGGCAATTGGCGAGCCACAATTATTCCATTTAGGATTTGGTTTCTGAAAAAGTCGACGAATGTTAATCGAACTGAACTGCTTGAGAACCGGGTCATAGACTAGACTACATCGACCACCAGCCAACTTCCACCAGTGGTGCAGCCTCTTCACGCATTGGCTCGTACAGAAGGTCGATCGTGGCTGCTAAATCCTTTGGCAAAGGACCAACTTGACGGGCAGTCAGATAATCCTCCAACTGAGATACTTTGGTTGGACCGATAGCCACTTTATCCGAGCTCTTGAGACCAGAGTGGAACAGAAGCCACCGCATGGATACCTGCGCCAAGCCATCACGATCCCCATCCACCGCAGTTACAAGTTGTTGCACCGCATCGTTGAATACGGGCTTATCGTACCACATTCGGTATAGGTATCCCATCATGTTGCCATCGGATTGCTCAAATCGAGTCCCCTTCAGCTGCTCAGCATCCTTGGCGAAGGTGAGCTTACCGGTCGCGAAGCCACCAGCCAAGGGGGAGTTGGCGATGAATGTAATTCCGTGCTTCCGAAGCAAAGGAAAGAGCTCTTTCTCATACTGGCGACAGAAAATGTTATACTGGCCCTGGTAGACGGAAGGTTGAATGTAGTTTTTCTCGGTCGCGATCTCAATCCACTCGGTCAGTTGGGCGGGGGAGTAGTTGCAGAGTCCCAACTTATCAAAGTACCCCGCTTTGTGCAGTTGGTTAAAGTTCAAAGCTTGATCGGCGATCGAAGTAAGCTTGTCGGGGGCATGCGCGTAGAGTGTGTTGACCTAAAGAGTGGAGACAATGTCAGGGCCATGGGCTATAGGAGGGGAAGAGCAGAGAAGGTATTAAACTTGGATACCTTGGTCAGTCCGAGGTTCTCAAGACTGCTGCGAATTGATTCGTCAATTTTTTGCTTCGACAACGCCTCGGGGCGAAAGAGAATCTTGGTATCGATCACAAAGTCCGGTCGCTTGATGCTCCTCAGAAGTCGTTCAGAGCCTCCCGGGTTGGTGATCGGATAAAGCTGAGCGGTATCATAGTGCTTGATTTCAGCTTCGTCAAGACGTACGACGAGCTCGGAAACATTGCTGTCAGTCCAGGCGCCAGCAAAGCCCTGGGTTCCCATGATATACTCAGGTGCAGACAACATGATTGGGCAAAGTTTGCAACGAAAAGAAGACTGCGACAATAAGTGAAATCCGAAGTTGAGACTTGGAGGAAGTGTTAGTTTTGAAAAGTTGCAGTTGAAAAGGAAAGCGCACATGTGACATTTGTTTGTCAACTTCCTAGTCCCTGGTCGTGGCGGTAATTACTACATACTAGTATGATCTACATCCACTTTAAGATATGACTTGTTAAATTTTACCTGCTTATTTACTATTCACATTGTTTTTATACCCTTTTCTGATCTAAACAATCATGAGCCTCTAAAAAAAACGGATTTGTAGTAATGATACTTGACATTGGTGTTTCATTTCCAAAGGTTGAAGCGAGCAACAATGAAAGAGACAAGATGCGACATAATAAGGTACAGTTCCCCTGACTCATGAGAGCCTCTAAGGTCAGATTTCCATCTAAGCGGATACATTCTTGATCTGATCTATAAATTCGGTGACCCTTCCAACCAACTGCTCAGTACAGGTGAGATGTGCGGAATGTCCTGATGCCGCGTGAAAGACAGTGAAAGTATTACCGTTTGCGCTCTGCAATCCAATCATGGCCTCTTGGCCCGCCGGCGGTAAGATGAGATCGTCATCGAGCACGAGATATGCACATGGCAAGGCCGAGTATGGATCGTTGGTCAAAACGCCCGTGTTGATGGGCGATGCGGTCAATGTGGCCGACCATTTCGCTGCTGATTCTGCATCGAGGCCGTTGAACAGGTACTTTTCGGGTTCAACCAGAGTTGCAACGCCAGCCGCACCATGTTTCTATGCAAAGATGTCAGTGTTTTATTTTCGCTCAGTGGTCGAAGAAAACATGAGGGAAGAAAAGCGTCTTACTCACGTAGAATTTTAGCCAGGGGGGAACGATGAAACTGCCATCTTTGGGTTGGAAGAAACTGTTGATCGACTCGTTGACCGGAATCACAAATGCCGAGTAGTAAAACAAGCCAATCAAACCTCCGCTTTGGCCATTTTCTTGTCTGGTCTTACGCTGCAGCTCGGGAATAGCCGCCTGCGTGGCCACCCAACCCCCAGCTGAATGGGCCACCAGCAGTACCTCCTTGCTCTCTTCCTTGATGAGTCTTTCCAGCACTTTATTCACCATAGCCACATCCTCGTAGTCGCTGGGCAAGCCGTCAGGTCCCGGACCACGGTCATAGTCTGGGTTCTTGATATGCCCCACATTGTGTCTGTTGGGATCGGCGGTTGGTCGCGGTGGACAATAGGTCTCATAGCCTTTTGATATCAAGGACTGCACAAATGGTTCGTACGGAGCGGGGGTGTGGTAAGAGCCATGGCAAATGACGATTGCTAATCTGCCTTGAGTGGTCATGATGAACTCACAATCGAGAGAGCTGGATTTCTTGATGGGAATTTGAGAGAAAATTGACGGGGGGCCTGAAATGGGCTCTTTCAACAAGTTCACATTTGGCCCCCAAACAACAATATTGTCTTTCCCCGCATCACCATGGACAGTCGAGATTAAAAAAAGAATTGTTGAAATGAATTCCAGTTTTCCTGTTTCCAGTCATCCAGGCAAAAGCTGACTCTTGGTTTAAGATGATTCGGCACCAATGCAACCCTACCAAATTTCGCGTTTTTATCCTGCAAGATCCAATCCATCGCACCGTGTATACCAACCCGTGGGACCAATGAACCTTTTTTGAATTATTTATTACGGAGTTCATCATTCGGTGGTTACGCCGAGATGTTGATACGAGAGCCTTCATAGTCAGCCCCAAGTGGAACAAGGCAAGGATTACGGCGTACGGCTTATATGCTTATAAGCTTATTGGCGAATACTTTCATTCTGGAGAACAGATCCCTCTCACTGCCATCCCTCAATATAATTGAGTTATAAGTTTATTTATTCGTGGCTTCTCCTGTATCTTGGTTTTTGCAACGAGTCAATTTCAAGGTTGTTTGTTCTTTTTTTGTTGTCCTTTCCCTGCGCGGTTGAGAGACGTTTGCATTACCGAGCAGCGGCAACACCATACAATGTCGACCGTTCAAGAGCGAAAGAATAAACTGATCATCCTGTCTGTGATCTTTTGGGCCTTGAGTACCGTGGCTTTTGGGCTGCGGGTTGTCAGCCTTCGGATCCGACAACGGGCGTTCAAGATACACGATTATTTCGTCACGCTGTCATTAGTAAATCCCTCCGTGGCATGACCTGACTAGAGCTGGGTTTCCCTTCACTGACAGGCTCGACTTCAGATATGTCTTTCAGCATATGTGATTGATGTTATTGTTGGTATGGGCCTTCATATCCATTCGTAATTCTTCACATTTGATTTTGGGTACAATGTTAACACTTTATCTGAAGGCAGTACGGCTGGTGCCTATGGCGCCGATGTCACAACGGTGCCAATACCCCAATTGATCACATCTTTAAAGGTCAGCCAAATTTCTGCGACGTAAGAATGGGCCGAGGTGATCATTGTCCCTCACACCATCCTAGGTCTTCTTCGCGTCAGAGTGGTTCTTCGTGACAGGTGCTGCTGCATTTCGCCTCGCGATCATTCTCTTATATATCGAGTTATTTCGAGGAGTTTGGTTCTATTGGGCCTCAGCGCTTACCGGAGCGCTGGTGATTCTGTACTGGGTTGCATCGATCTTGACAATTACCTTGCTCTGTCGCCCGATCAACTCCAACTGGAACTTAAATGTCAAAGGCACTTGTGGAGATGTGCCCAAGACCGAGTATGCGTCGGCGGGATTCAATTTGATCATTGACTTTTTAGTTGTGGCGCTCCCCATGCCGATTGTCTGGACTTTACAGATGCCGAAAGAGAGGAAGGCCAGTGTAACTGCGGCTTTTCTCCTCGGCCTGGTGTAAGTCTTTCCGTCTCCACTTACATTTTGTTGATTTCCATTTTCTCCGCATTTCTCACCGTGGCGAAGTTGACCGTACAAAATCTGACCACCATCATTCCTAGCACCTTTTCGATCAATATCGGCCGTCTCATGCAAACGAAGCTCTGTGAGCAGGGGAATACTACTTACTGTGCTCTCGACGCCTCGATTCTTATCGCGGCCGAATTATCTTCCGGGATTATCGTTTCCTGTGCTCCGATGATGGGTGCAGTGTTCTTGCGCCATGGTGTGGCATCGTACGACCGGAATGTTGCGAATAATGCGAGGGGGCCCGTTCGCACCATCGGCTCGACTGGGCGCACATGGCCGCGCCGCCAAGCTCAACCCGATACGTTGTTATGTTCGCAGGATGAGGACGTGGAGCTGGATAACAAGCAGTTGTCTTATCGGACCCACATCGTGTCCCCGGAACGGTTCCACCACGCGAACTCGAGTAACCAAGGGATTATGGTGCGGAACGAGATGACTGTCTTTGAGGGTAATACACCGGAGATGAGGGTATAGCGCTGGGGTTCTGCGGAGAGTATATGGGCTCGGAAGCTGTTTCCGGTGAATCTTAATTTTGAGACGTTGCACAAGCAACTAGGCGTCAGTATTATGGCTGAAAAAATTGGGAGGGGCGTGTAAGATATATAATTTGAAGCCGAACGATTGTTGGTCGATGGTAAATAGGGTTATCCGTTGGACATCATTGATATGGATGGGCTTCGATGGATGAATATAGCGTTTGGCCACAAAAAATATAGCGTACAGGTGAGTTGAAGATGGAAATGTTGAGAAGATACATCTGCAAGATGTTTGTTCCAAAGCTCCGCAAATTTACATTGGAGAGGTGTGAGTTTGAAATTACAGTACTGTAACTTAGTAGTATACGTCAAATTTAGTGTCAGGTGACTCAGGTACATTTGGAATCCCAAATAGGCTTAGGCCAATGTGTAGGACATTTGAACGCTACTCGTCGTGTAAGATACAGTACTGTATTATGCGTATGGAACATGTATGGAATTACACCGCCAGTATGACTATAAAAAGCCGACCTAGTACGTACTCTGGGGGTTTATGAGTTATCATAAAGTCTATGTTACAAGGTGGAAACCGTTAGTTTCGATCGCACAGAGGTGCAGAAATTGGAGGTTTATTCCTTGGATCCGAGATCTTCATTCACAAAACATGGCGGACGTTTACGCGCTGAATCTGCGTCGCAACGAGGATGAGTCGCACAGGTACAGTCCTTCCTTGTCCACCATAATTTTCATTTTCCAGACATATGCTAACCTGAAGCAGACTGGATGAGCAGTTTGATTTGCTGACGGAGTAAGTAAAACTCGCCTCGTACCTGCCTTGTGTTCACATATGGAAATGAACTGAATGAGCAACGCAGAAATATTGGATATCTCATCCACCCGGTCATCCACCAGTCTTTCCCGGCAGATGAACCACTCAAGATTGCCGACTTGGCCACAGGAACCGGACGTTTTCTTCTACGTCTGGCCGAGACCAAATTACTGGACGACAACGCTATCCTGCACGGGAGCGACATCTCATCATCTCTCTTTCCACCACCGACAGCCCTGCCGCAGAACATGAAATTTAATATCCTGGATATCCGAGAGCCCATCCCCGATCACCTGCATTGTACGTATGACTTTGTGCACGTGCGGCAAGTCGCGGCTGGGCTGACGTCGGAGGACTGGATCGACACGGTGATAAATGTTGCAAAGTTGTTGAAGCCAGGCGGTGCCATGCAGTGGGAGGAGTGCGATTTCACCAGCGTGGTGCACCTGCGGGGAGCGGGAGTGACGGGAACAGCAGCACGGAAGCTAGGGAAGATGTTCAAATCGGGGATGTGGGAGTACTTCCGACACGGGTGGAATCGTCTGGAGGAAGGAATGACGGCCGCTGGTCTACAAGACGTGGCCTCGGAGATGGTAAGCTCGGATCGTGTCCCGGAGACGAGGGAGGCTTTGACGAGGAATGGGATACGGGCGATTGTCGCTTGGGCAAATGACAAGGCTCAAGCTGGCATTTTGAAGGATGAGCATGGACAAGTGATCTCTCTTGCAGAGCTCCAGACCATTGAAGAACAGGCGTACAAGGATATTGACTCTGGATGTTATGTTCGATTTGATATCCACGCAGCATGGGGGATCCGTCCTAAACTGGAATAAACTAGGGAGACCATTAAGTGTGACCACGTTACCTAAGAAGAGTACTCATAGTAGCTCGTATTTTTTACAAGTAAAGAGCGACGCGTAGTTCAAGCTCCATGTATACTAGTAGTAAGTAGTAGCTCTGGATTGACCGAACCTTCAAGCCCACATATTCCAGCGTGCTTAATACTTGGGATGGGAATATCCTCAGTAGTCAAGATTAATACCTACCAGTGTGATAGTAAAGATGAAACTTGTCCGCAATAAGGTCATTTGAATCACTACTAGTATCCTTACGGAGCATCTTGATGACAACCCGTTGGTCAGGATCATTCTCTTTATCAAAGTTTAGCGAAATCATAATCTTTAGCAAGATCATGATCCTGACCAACTTGTTGTGATCCTAGCTAAATATTCAAATACAGGCGGATACAGGTGGATACTATGGTGCTTGGCGCAGATGTTACTTTGGAAATTTGCAAGTCTCGGACTGTACTCAGTAATTGAGATACTAGGAGGTAGTGAGGGTGTTTAACCAACAGGGGAAATCCTGGACAGTGGTAGAAACAAACAACAGGCAAGTAGTGTAGGAGATCCCTTTGCTTCAAACCTGTTTGGATCCCCGGTAAACTGCATCAACTGCAGACCCGATACCGCTGGCAGCCGTAATCAAACAAACCGGCAACCGGTGGACATGCATAATTGACTAAACCTATTCAAGATTTCGACCGTGCAGGTGGAGTCGACACCAAGCGTGCCTTACAGTGATTTGCCGGGAACCTGCACATGTGGAATCCCAAACAGGCTTAATCGAATGTGCAGGTGGGTCAGGAAAATTTGAACTTTACAACCAACAGTACTTGAAACTAGGTCGATGTATATATGAACAACGCGTTTCAAAGAAGCTGGATAACTCTTAGGTATCAATACGTATGCCAGCACTGAATACTGCACTAATGGGCTGGCGCTGGAAACAGAAGTAAAACTTGTGATGCTCATTGAAATCTATCGATATAGGCCGGGCAGGCAAAAACCTGTATAATGGTGCGCAATGTAAATGATCCCACTATGCGTCACTCAATAAACATGCCAATATAAAGCCATAGGTCCAGAGATGATGTATTCAACTTTGGAAAGGATAAAGAAGAGAACTTTTCTCAACTCAAGTGGGAGAAGAGGGGCATAATATAAATCGTAGCAATCCAGCAGTTCCAGACCCGAAATGTTGCCCGATCGCCGGCTTCATCTCGGATAGTGAGTACACGTACTGCAACAATATAGGCCAGGGTAAGGCTAAAACGGAAGAGACCAGTGCTCACTTTCCAAAAAAGTGGACATACGGCACCCCAAACTATCATTGGGACTGCAATGGTCCACCTCGCAGGCCCATCCCCAAACACTAGGGGCATGGTGTGGCGGTCACGTACCGCGTCTCCCTTTTGGTCGTACAGATCTTGCAGATGTACGGTGGTGAAGATTATTCCTGCAATTATAAGCAGCCACTGCATCAGTTGAAATTCTGGGCGTGTTTTGCCCAGAGGGTTCTGGAAAGGGAACGGAAGGATTTCCCATAGAGCAACCTCAAGGGCTCCGGAGATAAAACACAGATATCCTAAAGCGTTGATACCATTCCGAATCGCAGGATTATTGTCTGCTCCACCGAAGTTATTATACCAGATATCAAGGACGAGAAGGAATGTGGACTGGCGGTGCCCGATTCCATTGCTGATGAGACCGTGAATCTGCACGAGGGCCGCGAAACCCCACATGACACATTGTGCTTGTAGTGGGGTGATTCGTCGCTGGGGTATCGGACGCCAGGGTTTGTTGATTTCATCTTCTTGAATGGCCGATGGTGTGCGTTGGTTGTTAATCGAAAACGGAATGAAAACCAAGCTCACCCAAAGTAGTGTCCGGGGCAATCGATTGAGCAATATATCGGTAGAAAACGGTGTATTCGCACCTAAGCCATACGCGCCGGCTGCGAGGGAGTTAAAAAAGCCGAAAATTGTGCTGGGCACGACAATGGTCTTGAAATCACTGCAGGTGAAGAGGAAGAGGGTATGGATTTGGTATAGCAGCCATCTGGCGACGTAACTGATCTTTTTTCGCGCGTACTTGGAACCATTGTTCATGATGAATCTATGACTATGATCAGTGACTTGCTCGCGAGCGGGGGGATATTTCACCTACTATCTTTCGATGATTTATACCTTGATGGGAGGGTGAGAGATGATGAATTTTGGGGTGTGTTTCATTGTGGAAAGGGATGTCAAGACTTGCAGGACTCCGTGATTTAATTCTCACGACATCCTTTTCCATACTTCTCTTGCTTTACTACGTGTTTGCGGTTTTTTTTGTCACATGATTTCCCCATGAGTACATTGTACAATACTGTACCTATCTCAACTTCTGAAGTACTGAGTAGGTACTAGTACATCTTGAGTACTGAGTACAACATACACTTCAAGGTCGGATACGTACAAGCCTACTACATAGCCAGGACCTCGAGATACCTATGCCTGGAACTTAGCTGCGTATCGCGGAGTTCTTTACTTGTCAAATTTATACTTGGGTGGTCGGGCTCATTTACCATACGGGACGCATGAACTTTAGTGTAAAACGAATTTTTCAACCTTCTCAAATGCTGCTATTGACGAGTATTGTGTATTTTTGCGCTGCTTGGTTCTATTGTTTGTTTTTATGACAGCCACCTGACAGTATTTTCGAATTTAAGACCAAGTTTCTCTCTTTTTAGAGAACAGGAGACAGCACGCTCTTCTCCAGAATTCCAACCCACAGTCATTATATACCAACCGATCATGACAATTGCAATATTTCTGGCCATCTTGTCAGGTGTCCTTGCTCATTTGACCGTTTTCATTCACGGCGAATGGCATCTCAAGATAGTGAATCTCGGGGTCACGCACCTTGTTTTCTATGCTTTGCTCTATGTCATACGCAGAATTTCTGCTAAATACTATATCACTGACGAAAACTTCCCCAGTTCAGCAACCCTTATGCTGTTTTACTTTTCATCTCTTTTCACGAGCATTGGTATCTACCGCTACTTTTTCCACCGACTATGCAACTTCCCTGGACCACGCTTAGCCGCCATTTCCAAGTTGTGGCACGTGTGGAAGTGTCGGACATCGCGTGGGCACCACGTGCTTCATGACTGGAAAAAATATGGCACATTTGTTCGAACAGGTACGTCCGCGAGCAATTTTACCAACCTGTCTCGTGTGTGAGGTTGAACTTACAACTGACTGTAGGGCCTTCTGAGATTACGGTCTACCACGCTGCGGCCTACGAGGCAATGGATGGCCATGGAAATCAAAACACCCGATCGGACTGGTACGATCTCTTGCATCCTCGAGTATCGTCAATCTTCACTCGTGATCGAAACCTACACAGTGTTAGACGGAAGATGTGGACCAATGCCCTGAGCAGCTCCGGTAAACCCCCCCTGGCAGGCTCGTTGAAGGCACTTGGCTAAACAGGATTTAGCCATCCGAGGATACCACGAACGCATCATCGCGAAGGTCAACACGCTCATCAGTCTGATCCAAGAGCAGGAGTCGCAGCCTGTGTATCTCAATGACCTCATGTACTGGTTCTCTTTCGACTCAATGGGTGACTTTGCTTTTAGTGAGGACTTTGGTATGATGAAGAGCAAGCAATGGCACCAGGTTATTTGGATGTTCCGATATGCTCTGGCGCTATTGGGCCCGTTTAGCCCAGCAATCTGGGTCCCCCGTCTGGCGTTCGCGATAATCCCTGGTCTGTGGTGGGCTAAATGGTGGTTTGAAATGTTAAGCTTCTGTGACAGGTGTATGGCCCGGCGCATGAAGGTAAGCGAAAACTGAAAGCTGCTTTTTGTGATCAATTTGCTGATGATTTTGGTAAAAAGCGAACGTTGCCCGACAGAGATATTGCATCATTCTTTATCGAAGACCACAAGAATAGTGTTGATGCGCGCAAGGAATATTGGCTGAGCGGTGATACTGCTACCCTTGTCGTGGCGGGAAGGTATGTTGAACAAACTCCACATTTTCTCTTGTCTGGATGATAGAAAGCGACTAGTGATACCAACGCGCCAACTCTTACACACCTATTCTATTTCCTTACTCGGTACCCGAAACATGCGGACAAGGTTTATGCGGAACTTGAAACTCTCTCCTCCCTCGAAGACGCAATCGGCCTATCGAAGCTGCCTCACCTGAACGGGGTCCTCAACGAAACCATGCGTCTACTTCCCGCTGTCCTTACATTCGGAACTCGTGTGACTCCTCCCGAGGGTCTGAAGATAGAGGGGACCGTAATTCCTGGGGGTATAAAGATCTGTGCGCCCAGGTACACAATCGGGAGACGTGAGTGTCCCCATCTTCTAATTCTACATTCTCTTCGTGTAACATGTGTTCTCACGCCGACTAATCTACCACAAAATAGTGGAGTCAGCCTATGCCCGACCTGAAGAGTTTGTTCCCGAGAGATGGTATGCTCAGCCAGAGCTGATCCTAGACCGTCGAGCCTTTGCCCCATTTGGACTTGGTGGGCTCTTCCTTCTGTCATTTCCCCTACTTCCCTCCCCCTGACATCCTATCAAGATCTATCACTTTAAATAGGGATGCTAAGGCTTTATTTTGACAGGCAAAACATCATGTGTGGGGAAGAACCTGGCTCTAACACAGATTCGCTTCGTCGTCGCTGCACTTGTCAGTCGGTATCACTTTGAATTCACACCGGATGACCCAAATGGCGAATTGGTAGAGAGGGATATGAAGGATCAATTAACTGCGCAGCCAGGTCCATGCCATGTGGTGTTTAAGCTAAGAAATGAGAAGTGAGAAGTGGGGGGCCCTGGATTGATTTTTTACAATTGCATCATATGACCTGATGGCTGCCTCCGCGGAGTTTTCAATGACACAATGAATCCGTCCACCCCATGGCGGTAGAACGAACGCACGCTTTGATTGCCACAGATGCTCGCTAAAGAGAACTCCCCCCTTCCTCCATTGTAACTCTTGCAGCGGGGAAAAACCCCCAAGTTTTGTCTGGCTTGACGTCCTTTTACCGAGTCTGCTACTAAGGCAGACAGGTTGCGCCTATGTAGGCCCTGTTTGGGTCCGAATGGCGGTTTATTGCGTAGTTTTTTCGATTTGAAGCTGAATTGGCAGTAGGGATAGTTCCAAATTCAACGCAGCCGCAGACATACTCTTGAACGCGCCGGCGATCATAATGGCCGCCCGACGCCGTAATTTGGTGAAGGAATTGATGATTTGGTTGTGTTTGGGAACCATGCCGTAACGCCGTACAACATTTGAGAAATAGCCACCGCTTGGTAGGCTGTGCGCATTGCTGAGAGCGTAGCCACCCAGGTCGAGCTCGTGAGGCTTTAAAGCGCCTCAAGGCTGGCCTTCTCCTTCCCTTCCCGATAAGTCTTTGGCGGTGGGTGTCGAACGTAAGCTGCTTGTCGACCCAAATGCCGAGATATTGAGCATGTTGAGACGGTTCGATGACCAGATTAGAGGCTGGGACGGGCAGTTTGTCGGTTCCTGGGTCCTCGATGGTGATGCCGTAGATGTTGGTTTGTTGGTGTTGTTCTTCATGCACATACGTACTCGGTGGCGCACGGGGATTGTCGAAGTGAATGAATGAGTTCAAGCTTGTCGGGCGCAAACTTGGCAGCGCTGCGGCGAGCGGCTAGCCCATTCTGCTTTTTGAAGCACTTCCTCAAGCGCTTCAACGTTCTTGGTATAGGAGTCATGTAGATGGCACTGGTACGCGGCAATTTCGGGTCAACTGACTCAAATCTAAAGTTCACATGCATCTTCGATGCGGCGGTACCTACGCGGTACCGTTCCAAGAAAACCCACAGCGCCACCTTCCCATACTTCTCATATGCGGCGGCCGATACCCGCCACCCCTCTGCCATAACCCAATTTGAATTTTTAGCTTTACCGCCCTGTTTCTCGCCCGTATTGTATTTATTATATATAGTAGTAGGATTATCTTAAGGAATTTGATCTAAACATGGGTTACTTCTAGAATAGACTTGAGAATAGACTTGAGAATAGTTAACTGCATGGAAAGGGACTTCAGAATGGATTATATGCACGTGACTAGTCATACTACATAGGATCTCCGCCTCTCTTTCTTGCTATGTAGTTATTGTGATGATTTACTTCAATCTTGGAGAAAGAGAAGTAACATATATCATATAACACTATATATAACGGAGTTTCAGGATTCAATATATAATATAGCGCTGCATATAATGGAGCTCAAAAACAAATATGAATTTGGAATTACTCGTTACTGATGTCGTAATTTACTTTCTGCCGGTCGGAAAGTTGATTTGAATTGGGTTATGGCAGTAGGGTGGCGGGTATCGGCCGCCGTATCTCATACTTTCTTTCGCTATTCGATTCTGAAACTCTCCCTGCTCTTTAATTCACTCAGTACTGATCTTTGTTCCAGCTCCATTGCATTCCCATCGATCGCTGACTGTTGATATTCCTGATCAGCATCATCCTGAACTAAATTCGGGCATGGAAGACGCGGGCAGTCCGGCTGGTTCATGTGCATTGAGACTAGCAGCCCACCACAGCCAGTACCTCTTACTATCGGTTGCATGCCGGTTTACTTCGTTGGAACTGGCGAATCCCACTTTGAAACCCTTCCTCGCACCCCTCATCCAAATCATCGGATGCTGGACCCATATCCCGCTCATTTTCGCTGGCCAGAAAGGCAATTCCCATCAAAGGAACAAAGAATTGCCATGTTAGTCGCTCTGGCACCACTCGCAGATGTGCGAGCGATTATCTATCTCCCCAACTGGACAATTGTGGAACTGGCACACGGGGATGGCCGCAAATATGATCCAATGTTACTGCCGGGGGTTGTCGCAGGTCGGACGACCCTATACCACCATGAAGCAGAGCCATTTTACAAGGCGATGAAAGATAACAGCCGAGTGCGAGCGATAGATCCTATGGATGCCAGTCGACCTCTGCCCCAAGATGACTCTAATTATCTGAGAAAATCGTTTCTTACACCAGGTTGTCGATTGGAGTGTGGTCTTGGAGAACCAGGATCGATAAATGAGTTTGCGAATTTCGCGACAACTTCGGGTATGAGAATGATCAATTCTCACGGCGAGCATGCCCTCACAGTGGCACGCCATGGTTTCTTACTCTCAAAGGAGGTATATCATTGATCCGCGTGCGAGTGGAGATAAAGTCGGGGATGTTTTCGACACACTGCCCGAACTCGACATATCACTCGTCAGCCTCACACCAGCAGCTTTAGATAGTTATAGAAACACTTCATACTTTCAAGCAGAAACCCCACGTTTTATATATGAAGGTGAACAGATCATGCAGGGCTCATGGAGCGAGCTTGATGGAATGAGCTCAGGTCTTATCAGCGTGATGGCATATGGGCTTCTTGATATGGAGCCGGTGCGCCCCCCTGGCCATCCACCAATCGATTTCAGAAACTGGCGAGCCTCTATTGTTAGTTCCATATTCGGTGTTATCAATGGCCCTATTTTGGAGGGTATCTATAGTGCACCTATTGTTAATTATGATACAGGCGGAGTCGGCGGCTTCTTTCATTTATTCGATGGATACAATTGTTTGACCGCACACCTAGATGATTTGGTTGCTAAAGGATGGCAAATGGTCTAGAGTATATTCATACCTTGCTAAAGGCTCTTGAATTGCATATTCTTATTTGCTTCCATGACATTCATATTGAATTAACATAACCAGCACTAAATATGGCAGTATTCGGTGGCGAGACTATTTATATTGATCCATTGATGGCTTTTGGGCATGGTAGGCGACTAGTCGTGGTAGTATGTGCTTTTGCCCCATATATGAACATTTGAATAATAGATTTGGGAGTTCAGGCAGTACTTCGGTTGCTTTACCTTGTAGGATTCTAGCTTCGTTTTTAGAGAATGCATCCGCTTGATGATTGATCAGAGCACACCACAGCCTCACACATGTGTGCATGCATGTGCATGTGTGCTTTTATATGGTCCGGGCTAGTATGTAGCTGATCTTAGAACCTTCTACTCCTTCATGCTTAACCAACCACCTGGAATCAGTGGTCATCAAATCACGTCATCCATGGCCGAGTTGTTAGAGTGGGAGCTTAGCAGAATACGCTGTACTTAGATCCATATGGATTTACTTTGATCTCGATTTGATTTAAGATAAACCCTGGCTGTACTAGACAGCTGGCAACGGTTTCTAAACACTAGGTTCAGGTGTAACAGTTGGAATTTCGTGCGCAGGCTTGCTTCAATGTACCTTTCATTTCAAGTTCAATGACAACCACCATGATAATAAAGTAGAGGCCCTGCAATAAAACCAAAATAGATCCAATACCGAATCAAGTTAAACTTTTTGCCCATCCAAAACTTGCTTAAAGGTTGCAAAGTTGCCATTGCTCATTGGGTCATAAACGGCAAAGTACACCTCATGCCACCAGTTCCCATAAAACTCTTTGTCTTGGAGTACCTCAAGCCAGCACTTTGCAATCTCATTGGGAGGGTTTCCATAGACCCCACAACCCATGGCCCCGAGGACTAGTGTCACGTGATTGTTCATCGCTGCGATACGAAGTGCAAACTTCATTTTGATCTTCGTAAGGTCTCGGTCCCTCTCGCGCCCAAAGACTTGATCGGTAGGCCAAGGGGAATCTGGTGGAGAGGATGTGCTGCGGTCCACGGTGTAATGTGAGCGTGTGTTGTGGCCACGTTGCCATTTTTGGAAGTTTTCTACCCCCGCTGTCCGAAGCGCAGGTCGGAAAAGAGCAGCTACAGTGACAGCACTGACAACGGGAAGATCTTCTGGTGCCTTGCGTGGACTTAGTAGATTGTGTCCGGATTTCAAATCACTGCGCATAACCAGAACGTATGGGCTGTAGATCAACTCATCGAGAGCGAGCGGGTAATGGCTGGCGTGAAGGCTTAGTGCCAAGGAGCTTCGGTAGCAGATTGATTCTTCTTGTGCCATCGCACCATTCAGCCAACCGCCACCTGGCTTCCGGTGGCTGGCAAAATTGATTATCATCGGACGTGGATTCGGGTGGCCTCGACACACAGGTAGAGCCGCTGCGGAAGAAACCAAATTGACGGCGACGTTGAGGGTATCTTCATTGACAACTTTGATCGTTGCGGGAAATTCAAAGGCTGGGCAATTGTTTGATTTCAGGAATCTCATGGATTTCGATGAAAATTTCGTGGAGCTGCTTGCGTGAGATTTCGTGTGAAGGTGCTTTAGTAGACTCGAGACAACATCGTTAGTCTCTTGGGCGGTTCTCTTGAGAGCTTGCTTCTCGGGGCTTTCTTCAGCATCGCGCAAGTGGCGATTATGGTGTGGCAATTCCCACTCCTCTTCAGTCACCAACTCCCATAACATGGACTGGCACGGGGAAGGCATACTAGTATCCTCCATCTAGTGCCACTGGTTCGAAGCCAAAGAAGGAAATTTTAAAGATTGATCTGCTCCAGAATACAGGATGTGATTATGTGGTGTGTTCAAAGACAGAGCGCAGAATGTTGATTGCAGTCGGAGCGACCGGGAGTTCTCAGCAAACTCCGCGTATTTTGTTTGCTGTTTCCCTCTATTTCTTGCAGTCATGGGGTCACGGGAATGGAATAGCCATTCAAATTGCGAAAGAATCGGGGTTTTACGCTTGATTGCTACATCGAGCAATAAGAAAGGCTTATCAAATTTTGGTGGAAGATGAATCCTCCCAAAGCGCCACCTAACAGCCCAGCGACGGACTGCAAGATGGTAAGAATCATCCTGGTTAGCGATTAAGACGTATTCTAGTTGACATCTCATGCTTGTCATGATTTCCCCTCAAGGAACTGGTACATTTACATGAGAAAAGCCGCTTCTACAAGACAGGTGCGAGATCAACGCATCTGTTGAAAGATAGCATCTAAAATGAGGTAAACAGTCTCAGAGATGTTCAATGAGGGGTGGAAACATCCTAAGACAACGGGTCAGATAGTGTCGATTTATGTGATGTATGTATACCCTCCAGGTGTCACAAAAAGAGCCTCGACACTGGGCTGACCTCGGAACATATACTACCTTCCCTTTTAGAAAAGATACGAAAGGCCCCAGCTCGAGCTTCGATTCCATGGAACGCGACGTGCCTGCAAGATTGGAAGTACCACTCTAGAACCCTGTGATAATACGGAATGTTATCTCTGTAGAATCCTCAAAACTGGGTTTTCACTGAAGCACGCCAGTGAGCCAGAACCCCACATTTGCCCTGGCCGCATATCATGAATTGATTCTTATGCATTGGTAGACCCTAGATGCATGTTCGGACGTGGGATCTATTCGAGTATTGTGTCCTCTAGTACGTTCTCTACGTTCCCCCCTGATTGATTCTAAGATCACTGTCTAACTGTACCCTTCCTGGTTTCGGAGGCCAATATCTATGCCAGCAACTATCACATCCATTCCTACAAACATGTTCTGATTCTCTGTGGTGTCAATACGGGAAATCCTAAAGAGATGAAAAATGCAGGAGTTCCGGGTTTATGTGACTCAGTATGTCGATGGATAGTGGAGCAATGTTGATCCAGATTAACTGACTATCTCTATAGGTGGAAGGATTGACAATTGCCGAAGGTGGTGACCTGAATTATGTATCCTGAGACTGTCGTGTATGATACAGAAAGAATCAAGCCTATTGGTTTGGTTGTTTACACGCGAGAGGGATGGAAGCCACGTTAGTTACTCTAATTTTCTACAGCTGATCCTTGTTACGATACTTGCAGCAGTGTAGTAGACAACTTAGGCTGTTTTCATTATGTCTCAGTTAATTTATTGTTATCCACGGATTTCATTTACCTGTGGAGGACCGGCGTTGGAGCATCATTATTCTCTTGCACTATAAAAATATTAGGAAAACCGTGTCCTACCATTTCGCTGTATTCCATAGCCTTGGGAAGACAATTTACGGGACAGGGCTGGCCCTTTCACACGCCGTTGGAAGACAGCCACTATTCAGAGATCTGGATTTGATAGACAAACAATTTGTTTGACACACTTCTGTACAAAGAGTTACCCTGGCAGATCATACCAAACCATACATCTGATTCAAACAATTTTTCCTTTTCTAATTTCTCAATACGATGCGGGGATTTCTTTGTTTTATTTCCCCTATAGCTGTCATCATGCGATCCCTTGTCGAAAGACCGCGACGCATCGACATGGATGCTACTAGGTGAGTTGGTACCAGTCTTGGTCTCGATTTCAAGAGATACACGGATAATGCTGAACTCCTATAGGGATAAAGATCCTGCAGAGATTCCCTTACCTCCCTCACCCATTCAAGAGGACGACACCAAAACATGGGGCGATTCAACAAAGTCTAGAACTGAAAATGGAACTGACCTGACAACCGTTAGTCAGGTCCAAAGGAATGCATGTCTTGAATATCAGACCCACGACTCAGAGTTGTTTGGACAGCCATTGATTCTGTTATCATAGGTCTCCTTAAATTCCGTGCCAACGATGATGATTCCAGTAAATATAAATTGAATGAAACTTTACGGATAAATTACTGAACACTTCTGTAGGAAATGAGCGAGGTTGACAGGGACACAGCATTTTGGAAACAAGGTAGGTGGACTACAGTTTTCTATATTTCTAGGCTAACCAATCATGATGTACAGTTGAAGATAGGTTCCACGGCTCGTGGGCCAAGAAAGACAAATCAGCTTGCTTCAAAGGGTTGATTCTCTTCGATATTAAGACTGTTCCTCGCGAGACGCCTTCCGGCATGTCAAGCATCCTCGGGACAACTAGCAGTAGCAGGTATGGATCTCATCACCGTGGAGCATTCGGTTATAAAATTAATGGCTATGGATGTTCTAACTTCGTTCTTAGCAGTGATTTTGAGCTCCTCGAACGGCTAAAGGTCTTCCCATTACATTTCCACGGTGCTCGTCGCGCCTGCAATATTGGAGAGGGCGGCGAGGGGTCGCTGAAACTGTGCAACCAAGACGAGTGTCAAACCTGCGCGGTATTCAAGGACCAGTGCACAGCTAGGGAAGCCGGTGAGTCTTCCAAACATTGCATGGGGATCTGATATATCAAGATAATCCGCTCACCAGGATAACAGGTGCGAGATTTGGATTGGACCGCAGGCTTAACACCACTTCCAACTCATCCCGTGCGTATCTCTATCCCGGCCTTCTATTGACATGTTGCATTCTGACAACTATGATACACTACTAGAAGCCGATACCTTCGCAATCAATCATCATGTCCGGTCGAAATTGCATGCCATGATTGTCTGTGCGTGTCCAAGCATTGTGAGTTATTTCGATCAAGGGGTGCCACGGGCATACTAAATAAATTACAAACAGGAACGGTCAAATACCCAGTCAGCATCTCCAGGTGCTCCTCTTTCATACAGAGGATCGGCCTCCTTCAGTAGACTGGATATTCCAATCGGGTTGATCATGTATACTCGGAAGGGGTGGACTCATTCATAGAGCGTTTCCTCCGGGACCTGAAGCACCGGTCTCCGATCCACGTGGGGTAAGTTCAAGTGTGAAGGGAGGGTTATCGGTTTTGAGTACCTCGTTTCATTGCCCAATACCAAATTGATGTTTGTTTGTTTCTGCCTGTTTCTTGATGAAAGTTGGACGTGGATGGCTTGAATCTTTTCTTGTTCTTTCTTGCCTTTAGAACCGAGGATCTATTTGTTCTACAGAAAATCACATTCTGATTTCCAACAATGGTAAACAGGATTGATAATCGAAAGATTTAAAGCAAATGAGTCCTTGTCCTGGGTAATATTCATCGGTTTAAGCGGACGGTATGAAATCCATTTACAGACATCTGGATTGTGATATTTCAAGATTGATCCTTGCATAGAGGAAACAATCTCGAACCTCAACGTTCCTCGATTACCCCTCTACATAAGCTCTTTATGTGGACTCGCGCGCAAACCGTGCACGGTGCGCGTTTATCAGGTCGACTGGTGATGCGCCAAGTCTTCTCCCGGTGGCCGTGGCCCGTGTATGATGGGCCATGCATATATAACATTTGAAACATTGGATCTAAATTAAGAAGCGTGATCTGGATCTGGGGCATCACCGGGGTTGCTAAATCTGAGGCTTTTCCGTCGTAGAACCAGGCGCCCATACCCATCAGAACCCATCAATCGAACTTTAGACTCCTCTGCTTGCGCTTCCATACTAATAACAGTTGACAGGCTACCATCCTCTTGCTCTTCCAATCCGTGGTAAAAGGACGCCAAGGCCGATGACTTCCATAGAGGCATTCTGGATTTTCGATTCACAACCATTGTTGCTATGAAGAAAAGAGACCCGGTGAGAACGAGAAGGCCCGGTAGAATCATCCACTCCCATTTGACCTCCACAAAGACTTCGCTGCTGTGTGCGGTACCGCTGAAAGTCTCTTTCGTGTATACCAGTTGCAGCTTCGTTAATGAAGCGGCAACGTTAGACATTATTTTCTCGAAGCCAAGATTATCAATGCGATCAATGAAAGAGTCAATTTCTGTAACCCATTCCCCCACACCATTATGTCTGGGATAAAGAAGAGTTTGACTTTCTGAGGCCGGGACAAAGCCAAAGTCGCCTTCCGAGATTAAGGGTAAGGATGAATTGAGCCAGGGGACACAATATGCAAAACCCCCTTTTGATTTATTATCAGGGATCCAGCAAGTTGTGAAATCCTCTTGAGTTGGTACGAAACTGGAAGTTCCACCGGTCTTCGTAAAATTACCAGGCCGTTTGTTATATCTCATGCCAAACTCTGGGTTTCCGGTGTGTATGGAAGCTTGGCCATTGCTCGTCGAGACATTGTAATTGCGCAAACAATCTCCGAGACCACATACTGTCAGTTTTCTGATAGAAATGATGTTGGAATCAACCAGCACTGAAGAGTTGGTTGGTTCTGGAAGATTTAATTTGGCATAACCGTATGCTGCTATTGGGGAACGCATTCCACCGAAGGTAGTAGCATGGGGCGTCAGAGATATATTCCCAACACCCACGTATCCATTCAAGGTGTCATAAGTCCTCCAGAAAATTGAATTCTGGACGGTCAACATGACTTCGTCATCCAGCAATTGGTTGGTGACAGAGAAAGGATAAGCAGCACCATCAGTTATGTTGATTCGACAAGTTATGTTGAATGAAGAAAGATTGAGGCTTGGCAGGTTGCAGTCCAACCGAGCAGAAGCCGTCATATCAGAGCATTGACTGCAAATGCCGGCTGAGGTGAACTCTTCCCAAGTACAATTCCCTGATGAGCATACCGGTGCAACTTCGAAGCCATCGCTCGACACAGGACTCGACCAAAGGCCCTGCGCCCAAGCCTCGGCGAAGTAATCGCCCAGGCTCCAATACTGTTGGACAATTTCAGCGAGTGTTGAGTTTATCAAAGTTGCAGATGACACCAAAGGCCCATGAAGTTGTTTTGTTGTCGCTTCGCCATCAGCAAGAACGACGGGCAATACAGGATAGCTGATGACTTGTTGCACGAATGGCTCAAACGCGAGGAGAAGAACAAGGACTGCCGCGCCAAGGCAGACGAGAGACTGTGCCCGATGAGCTATGAGGATATTGAGGGATCCTAGCGGCCCTCTGCTAGCATTGTCAAAGTCCTGCATGCTAGATAGCCTTTGTTGCCTCGGACCGCAAAAATGGAGCCACTTCAACTGACAAACAGCCTCTCCGATCACGAGAAGTAGCCCGGATTTGCAGGCTGTGGCAAGGACCGAGATTATCGCGTTGAATGATACGTTGTATGCTAGCTGCGGTCGCACTTTGTTCTCGTATACCTTGAGTAGAGTACAGATAGCGATGAAACAAGCCACGCTAAATGCCCATGCGAAAATTTCAAATCGCCATGTGTCAAGCCAAAAGCGTTTCCAACTCTTCGTGGTGTCAAGTGGCGGTTTCTTCGGTGATGAGTCGCGTGCATCACTTTGGTGCGTGTCGGTCAATGAAGTCATTTCGGTTTCAGTATTCATGCACATGTGGTGTGCGACAGGTCCTTTCGGACTGTATAGAAATTATAAACTGAAACAGCACGAGTGTTAAGGAGCTCGAAGACTAGAACATCAACAGTGGTAAGAACAAAGCTGTAGTATATTTTGGTAAACTTTGGTGGTAGATGGGGAGAAGTTTTCCTTTGTCCTTGTGCACTAGGAATGGTGCATTGCAAGGTATTCGAGCCCTCTAGCGCCATGAGAATATGCAGGGATGCTAACTTGTTACTTGGTGCCCGAGCTGCATGAGTCCACTGCAATGTGAATAGGGGCCAGAGTGTCTTGAACGTGGATAGGCCAATAATACTTGAGAGATTCTGGGAACCATCAGCAAGGCTCTGGTAAACTTCGTGTTCAGGTGTTCAGCTGGAAAAAGCAAAGACTCCGGAAATGTAGATCCATTATGCAATTCTCCGTAAACAGGAAATGAATCGAGGGGAATTGGGGGTCTGGCAGGCCCCAGATGTTTGATTTTAGTGCATCCATATTCTAGGTGCCCACTGACATGTGTGCAGCGGAGCACTGAGAGGTCCATTCTGTGTTCAAGATCGGATATAACCTGGGTGGTTGTGATTCGTGAACAAGTCTCGGCTCTCTTAAACTGGACAGTGGAGGCCAAGGTTGTTCCCGAGATCCACTTTTATCTGCGTCTCCACCAATCTTGACTTCCTGTAGTAACGAACGATTGCGCTCTGGTCCAGAGATCTGATTGGTCCATCACTGATGCTGTGAACTACATGAGCTGCGATTAGATTCCCGGGACCTAATCAATTCCCAATTCCACCGGCTTCTTACTTCCCCCGCAGTCTCTCTTTCCCCATATCACTTCATGTACACTACCATTATGCAATATGACCAACGTTACTGTCGAGAGCGAGTGCGCCGCCAACCAATTAGACGCACAAGACACAGCAGCCTAAATCTTCATTGAAGTTGAGCGTGATCTGATCAGCCCCGGCATCGGCGAGAAGAAACTCAACGACGAAATCTACGAACTCGAATTCGATCGCCACCCTCATAAAAACCCACTGGCGCAAACGAGTTATCCGCAGTGGTCCTAACAACCCAAGTCATTTCTCCGAGAACCCTCCCCCCCCCCCCGACCGAAGCATCGAACCCGACGATTTGCTAGAGGCATATCTGGGCCCCGTGTTCGAAGCCTGGGAAGCCGATTTCGGCCGCACCTATGTCCTTGGTGACGACCCGCACAAGATCAAACTACGTGATCCCTTACAACCGATTTTCCAGATTGTTAAAGCTAAATATAATGATAATACGGATATTAATGGTGAATAACTTTATGTTATTTCGTGTGCAATTGCAAAGAAAATGGGTTTGATTTCAGGGCGGGTATTGCGGGGCATATTGTTGGGTCTTTTCCGCATGAAACCCCTCCCGAAGGATCGTACCACTATTTATTAAGAAGGGGAATAATGAAAGTGTGAATAAGCCTGGCGAGCCGCATTGGATCTTAGAGATTCATTTGCGGGATAGCGTGCGGGGGTTCAGTGGGTTTACGGAATAGTTTTTCACTGTTGGTTGAGTGGGACTGGAACATAATGATACTTGATTTTACAAGCTATGCATACTAGTACTAGTAAACATTGAAGTGGTGGACCGCGCGATGGGTCTTAAGCAGCCAATCATTCGGCATGGAAATAGTCACGTGCATCATCCATCACACAAGGACACCCCGGACGTAGGATGAAGAAAGCAGGTTTGTAATATTTAGCAGTCATAATACCGTTAATCTGCTATCTAATACCATTCCTCCTACCCTGTATTCCATGACGCTTGTATTCATAAGGCAACATTTGAACATTGCATATGAACATTGAAAGGCATGCACGCCCGGCGGCCCGAACATATATACTGGCATATATTGATTGGCAATTGCAGATCAGTGCTGCTACATAGAGGGGGCAAAAATAGTGCTGGGCCCTACGAATACAAACATTGAATTATTCAATTGATACCATTCAAAGTTCCTCAACGGTCTAATGGCTCATATATAAATGTGAGGATTTCTTAGTTCAATCTTGTTTTTTTTTTCGATTTGCCAAAAAAGCCCCAAAATCTAGAATATTATATCTATTTGAAGAGTGAGCTAACATTTGAAATTTGAAGACTACCTGCAGTGCAAAATACCACAGGCTTTATGCCAAGAAAAACGAGTACTTTATTCAAGCATGCTCGAAATTGATCATATGTAGTATTCATCACGCATCACTTGGCCAATGACCGAAGCCGTTCAAATGAATATGTATTTTGCAGACATCTGGAGTGACGGTGTAGCTCGCATCTCTTGTGCGACAGTGCATGCATTGTGATACCTAAGCAAGTATTGACGAGAAATAGCTGCAGAAACTTGACCAATGACCTCGACAACAGGGCCAAAAGTGGGAAGAATCGGAGTAGTGGGAAGGATGAGACCATCGCACAGGGCCAAAGGCCGATAATATTTGGAGTTGGTCTTCCTAGATGACCCCTGCATCTTACGTCGGGGGCAAATGCTAGATTTATAAAAGGGAAGGGTATGTCCAGAGTTTTACAGCCTGGACAGATCGAGCCATATCTCATGTTATTCCCTCGAGTGGCCTTCACGATGTATTCTCCGCTGGTTTCCGCTCTCGCGCTTGCTGTGTCCTTCCCTTTTCTGGTATCAGCCAGCCCTATAGACGTTTCAGATCTTCCGGCACAAAACGCAACGGAGTTTGCCCTAGTGGTATGATCTGTGTCCTAATGCCTACAGAACCTTGGCTAACCAGAGGGCGAACAAGTACGGCTACCCACTTGTTCCATTCAGCAAACTCGCGTTGCCGATCCTGAGCGACAGCTCTTCCAACACGTTTCAACACACAAAGAACCTTCCAACTCCTGATTCCACATCTGTTGATTTTCCTAATTTGAATATCCTTTCGTCAACGGCAATCATTGATCTGGCTGCTGCCAATGTCATCGTGAACATTCCTTCCATTCCGGATCGGTTCTGGGTTTTCGCATTTTACGACATGTAAGTGTATCTAATTATTTCTTGCATTATTATTGAGATTCAGGAAGACTGACTCTGGGTCCTATTTCCTTGGGGGATGATATAGCTACGGAAGCAATTTTGCTAATGTCGGTGTTGTTGGGGGCTATGCCGAAGGAAAATACCGTATATCCTATCGGCCCGGCAAGCCAGGTATTGAACGAGGCGATGGGGACTATCAGGGGTATGTGTATTCTCCAACTCCATACGGAGTATTAGTGGCCCAGCTGCAGGTCAAGAATGCCCCGGATGTGGATGAGGTAAATCTGCTACAGGAAAATATGGAATTATCCGAAGTGCCAATTCGAACCCAACTTGCCCCTCGTCTGACGAAATATTTACTGGATGGTGGATCTTCCGGAAACCCCACGGAGGAGCTGTTACAATTGACTGCCAGGCTCTCGTTCTTCAACCTACCCAGTGTTGCGTCCGAGATCCCAAGAGTCACTGCAATTTTACAATTGGCCGGCTGTTCCCAAGGCTCGTATGCAACGCCCTGGGGTGTTGATCTCAACCGGGCGGCCAAAGTTGCCAACAGCAGTGTGTTGGGAGTCCCTCAGTCCCCGGAATATTTCCAGGATTTACAGAACGGTTGGCAGGGACCACAGTCAGAATGGCAAGGCAAATATAAGACATTTTATCTTGCTAGGGCCTGGTCCGCTCATGTCAACTATTTGGCATTGGACGCAAACCAGGCATTATACCCCTCATACTCTGATGGGAATAACAAGCTCAGTCTTGAACCCAATCAAGCATATAAGCTGACATTCGAGAGTCTGCCTCCGCTAGCAACATCCGGGTTTTGGAGCTTGACCGCTTATGGCGCTAATAAGGGGCTTGTGGAGAATTCTTTGAACCAATACTACGTTGGAAGTTCCACTGGTCTTACCTCTTCGGATGGGAAATATGAGATCTTCCTTCAATCTGAACAGCCGGCCATCGGGGCATCTAAGTAAGAACTTATATACACCCAAAACCATCGCAGGTTTGAAGTAAGCGACTAATATTCTTATTTCACAGCTGGTTGCCGACACCTTCTGGTGGGGGTGAGGTTTCGTTCGCTCGTAAGTGAATTCAAGGTTACTTTGTAAAGAAGTTGTCTGGTGCTGATTAATCTAGTCCGAATCTATGGACCTGGAGACGGACTAAAAGATGGGTCGTGGTCATACCCTGTGGTTGAAAAGGTGGATGCTACGACTGGGTGAGTACTGAGCAAGCCGATAAGAACATTCAAAGTAGTCTCAATTTTGTTATTAATCATTCCTAGATTGTCTCTGCCATCTACCATCGCTGGTGGCCAACAGGTTTTGGATCACGCTCGTTTTTTAGAACTCTAGGGTCATGAATTTATTCTGGTGCGGATTGTTTACCTGCACATGTGAGGACCTCACTGATAATTGGGATTTGATGGATGGATTCAATGTTTTGTACCAACCATATTGGCTGCTTCAATCATTCAAGCAGTAATTGATTATATGTAGCTTCAGATTTTACAAATTCAAATATTTCGGTTGTCTTATAAAGTATGCTATCATTGATTCAAATGTTCTAAATTAAGAGATCAACTCACCGGGCGGCGTTCAAATCGCCACCGCATCATCTTGCAACACCTAACTAACACTAACGGGGCCGGTCGCATTCGTCTGGAAAATCTCGAGGTTATTCCAACACACCAATCTGGAAAATGAAAACTACGCGTGCGTAGAATGAAAGACACAGGAAAGGGGGTTTTGTATGTAGCTCTTGCAAACTATTACTTCAATGTTTGATTGAGCTTCACGTTCAAAGGCTGATCACATCCATAAACATAACATTTGGGCAACATAAAAGGACTAGCTGTTAACCTAACATAAAACAAGTTTCATGTTCAAGATAAAAATCAAGTTTCGAAACAAGATAGATAAATATGCATGGCCGTATCCTCGAATGCTTCGAGCACTGGAGTATGTTACCGTGAAGGGGTTGTCTCAGTGTTCCCGCTGAACTGTTCATCACCCACAGCTGCCACACTGTATATATACTCGTCATCGATTACGCTGTCAAACCCTTTCAGAGGTTGGAACCTCCCAATGGGCTCCATATCAGACAGCGTCTGTAATGGTTGAAAGGTTCTGTCTTTTGACTCGTCAGTAGAGTGAGTCACCCGACTGAAGCGTAAATTCCCCCCTAGGAATTTGAAAATTGGGCGATAAAGAGGTAAACATGCCGCAACCTGATAGGTACCTGCCTCGGCCATGCACCATATCAAAAATGGGGTGGTATTCCAAGTGCCATCGATTCCTGCGTTGATCACAAAAAACGCATAGAATTTAATCACTGAGCAGATCAATCCAACACCCCCAAGAAGAAAGGTCAATGCAATGCCTAGTTTGAGACGCAAGGAAGTCTGCAGCCTATATAATGTTGGAATTGGCAGTACGAGGATGATCAGATCCGTGACGATATTCGGAACCCCACTCCAGCGATAAACCGCATTGATATTGACACAGGATCCTTCTCCAGTCCAAAAGTAGCTGACGGGTCGGCAGGCCAGAGCCCATCCTACCGTGCATGCTACCCAGTTGCTTATCAGAATCGTCATTGTAACATAGCAGATGAGCCGCGCTCTTCGATTTGTAAAAATATGGAGGTAGAGGTGGAGGACTGCGAGCTTCGCCGGGATCACGGCAGCGCTATAGATGATAGGGATGGTGACTATGAGCTGACCCCATATCTTGATCATTCCAGGATTGATCTGTATAACGCGGACCTCATGAAGACCGACACCACCACGGTAGGTATCGGCTGGTGGATGTTAGACTGCGTAACGGTTTCCGGAGTAATTTGGGACATACCCAGCCCGCAAGCATTCAGGGCGGTGCAAAATATGTAGCCAAGGCCGATCAGCAAGTCATCCCACCCCATGCAAACTCCTCCTATTCTCTTTGAAAGCTGTCGTAGTATCAGCGTCGTAGACTCGAGGACAAGGAAAATAATGGCCACACTGATCACAATCGGTTGCCGGTTTTCATCGAGGTACACATCCGGGTAATCACGACTTGTTTCCATTTTGGGTGTTGGATGCTACCAAAACTGGAACTGAAAACAAAGGTAGAGTCAGTAGTGGGCTTGAAAAGTTTGTTTTATAAATCAAGAAAGGCATGGATTGAACTACCGCCATTTTATGCTCAAGCCAATGCTGAAATAAATACCAACTTGGGGTATTTGGAACACAGATAGCCCACACTGCATACATGCAGTTTAGGGCGAAAAAAAAAAAGAAAAAGAAAAAGAAAAAGAAAAAGAAAAGGACAACATCTGCATCTGCATCTGCATCAGAGTTATCGCTGTAAGGAAGGGGGAGAGACAAGCTTGAAAGTCACGATCATGATTCATGCGGTTTCTGTCCATGGGTGCTGCTACGGAACAGGGACAAACACTCCCACTCAACTGGCAGTGATGAGGCACGAAGCTGGCGATGACCTTGGAACTACAACCTCGACTTCGTTAGGGATTGTCTCTGCTCCCCTTGCGCCAGAGCTATACTTTTCATCCTTGTCTAGGTTTGTGGTTTCTGTGGGGTCCGTTAATCATGATAAATTCAGAACCAGGCGGTTGGTATTTTCCCATCTCAGGGAAGATACTCTGACTATTTTGAGCATAACTCCGCAGACAGCGCCAAGGTCCCAGTTAGGTACTTTATAGCTAGTGCGCGCAATGTGGTTGTGGCCCTCGAAACCACTGCCTGTCAAATCCGCTGTCTTCTTCTATGACGGGGACAAGTCGTCTTTGTTGATGCCAAGCCAGAGCAAAAGGAAACGTAGAAGGAAAGAAGCCTCAGACGACAGGCTAGATCAAGACCAAAATAGCAGAGTTTCGGCAGTTATTTGCCCAGTTGATCACATGGATGTCACATCATCCAGTCACCATGAAAATATTCAAATCAATTTTGAAATTTGTTATACTCTCAATTGGGGGAAACATGGATGTGAATGCTGCTGGATCTAGCTGAGATTGGAAGTACTGGCAGGGACCTCGATGTTGGTTGGTGAATTCAAGTTTCAATCGAGAACGGTTTTACATACTAGTAGAGTATACTAGTTGGCTGATTTAACTCTTCTTTCAACTTTCAATCTGGACTGCTTTCTCACCACAGAACCGACCCCGCATTAGGTTACGCGCCGCTCCAACATTCGCCCCCAATGATCGACATTGTAGATCCATCAGTGGACCTTGGTACATCCGCATAACATCGCTCTCAGAAAGTCTCTGTTGAATCGATGTTTGCCATATCCACCGTGGAGCTGCCTTGCCTCCAGGCCTTCTTGCTCTTACGCATATGCATGTTTACTCCTTACTCCAGAGTTCTTACAATTTTCCAATGTTGATCCCTGTTCTGTTTAGTTTCAAATGTTGGTTTGCGGGGTGATTTGCTTCCCACATGAGCCACGATTTCAAAGCTGGAGCTTGATTTTGTAACGTTTGAAATGCAGGAATTTTGATCAAGAGGTTTCTCTATGTTCCTTTGAAAAGAGAGCCCGCCCATAGTAATTTATTAACACCCTGCTGCTGGAAAACCGTATCTATCGAGGCTCGTACCGACTCCAAGCTGGGCGTCTACGTTTGATTCCTGGCAGGCAATTCTCCTCCCAGATAGGAGAAAATGTTTCCTCGGCGGATGTTGGTATCATGTGGCGGTTCCGTACAGTGCGCAACCCATTTCCGACATCGAGAAACGAAGTGCTCACACGGCCTCTGGCTTGTCCACACGCAAACCGGTCCGTATCCGCCACCTTGACTTAATAGATTCATCCATTGAGTCTTGTCTTGCCAGTCCGAAGTTGAGCCAACACGCTTGTCTCTTTCTACAATAAGCAAGTGTAGCTGTCGGGCGTGTTTTTTTGGCAGTGCTGCGTCCACTCATTTCGGATGTCTTCCTAAGTTCTCTGGAAGGCTTTTGCTAACACCCGCTAGGGATCATGCGATGTTCAGGGCGGTTGACTTCATTCGGGGGACCTGTGCCTGTGGGGTAGTATCCTCTTGGGTCGCGGCCCGAGCTTGCTTTTTCGCCCGACCCAACAGTATGTTATCCTTCACATCTTCTTCCCCTCGAAACCACTCACAAGCCTCAATATCTGGTTGGATACAAAGTGGCTTGCAGGGAAATTGGCGGCCAATTTGTTCGAAGTCCGGTGAAGACGAAAATCAACGTTGGGCCTGCCTTTGTTCTGGCTGCAGGTATTTGTGGACGGACGCATAAACTTCCAACGATCTTCTGGGGCATTCAGACTAGTGTTCCGATCAAGTCAGGCAGTATTTTGCAGTGGGCAGAGGTATTTTCTCAGTTGTCGAGCGAGATGATGTATCGACTCTCAATGACCGGGAGAAAAAGTTGAATGAGCTCCGTGAACGTAGTTGGTCTGCTGTGCTTTTCTGCCCGGCGCTTCCCTTCTGCTTCCTGCTTCTCACCCTTGTCTGCCTGGCCCGCCCATTTTGCTTCTTGATTTCGCTTGTCGTCCGCCTGAAGGTAAAGGACTTGTAATCTGGGGTGCTGGAGTCGGCCCTCGGCTTTCATGGATCAGAGAGAGCACTTCTCCCAAGAGTCAAGACTTCATCGGTTCGGTCCACCTGCTAATCGCAGGATGACCCGGCTCCCGGCGAAAGTACTCTCTTGGACACAAACACGTTGTTGGGCCGGTGAGTAACGAGTTTATAGGATAGGGAACTCAGGGGAGAAGCGCATGTCACAGGGCGGTGTGTTTTTCATGGTTGGTGTTGGCAGTACCGGGATCTCCCCACTTGGTCTCGCGTCTCCTCTCCTACTCTTGACTCTTGAGTCTAAGGCTTTAGCCAATGAAAGGAGTTACTCCAAACATTTGAACCTCGGTTTCTGTAATCGGTAGCACGTTCCATCAATGCACAGATTATTCGGTACTATTAACCACTGTTCTGTGTAACTCTCATCTCGATCCCAATTTCCTTCAGCCGATACCGGTCCTCACAAATGTGCCACATGATATAGCCATTGATAAAGTCCCTCCAAAGTTTTCCAACAACGCCTTTTTCTCCAATTTCATTCCTGACAGCATCCATAGTCTCAACTGTTTCCTTGCAAATTTGCTCTAGTACATGATGAGGTTCGCAACATGATGTACGGGCTCGATTCATGATGTTTGTGTTCATCTCGGTCCCAACCACAGACTCCTTAAAGAACGATAGAATGTCATTCACGTCATCAATGATGTCCAGCATACAGGCAATAAAGGGTATATAATTTGGCAAGTGCTCATTTTCTGCTGCAAGGTGCTCTGGAAATAGGAAGTGGGCATACACTTCCCCAGCTCCGGTCTTGTCGCGTATAAGTTTGGATGCTCTTTGTCCAAGTCTGGGTGGAAGCTTCAAGCCTGTCGCAAACATCGATTCAACTGTGCTTCCCAGCATGAGATCGATCAGGCCTTTGGTAATCACACCAGTTGAATAAGGGCCATAGAGCTTTCTGGTTTCAGTAGCAACAAGCTCCAGCCACAAATTCATAACAGTGTCATCACATTTTATAGTATTGAGACCATTGCCAGCACCAGTTGTAACTCTCTGAAGATCGGGATGGAGGTGGTCAGGATTCTTTTCTGCTTTCTCGTCCACATAGAGGAGAAAAGTGGTATACAGCGCAATATATCGTTTCAACTGGGGGCAAGCATGAGGATACATCTTATCAGCGGCGCTGGTACATGCTGGCAAGAGCATCAGAATGCGACTTAGTTGATTCTCCTGAAGATTACGAGAGACAATCCATTGTTTGAGTTCCGTGTAGAGTTCTGTGTGAAATGGCCGTGCTCCTTGTTGGAGATCAAATCCAACATCATGCAACCAAGTCCGAAGGATTTGTTCTGTCTCGTTGCGCATGCCTGTCATGTTGAATCGGACGAGTGGTCTCTTGGAATAAGCGGGAACATTGAAAGAGGAACAATGTAGGGCTCTGTTCCAAGGTTCAAATCTCAAGAGAAAAAAAAGTGTACTATGTGTTGATGTAGGAGTGGTGCTGTAAGGTAGATCCTTGGAATGAAATAGTTTATATTTTGAACAAGAGAATAGTATGCACTGCGTCATATGTATGCAGGACTGGTGTGTTGGTACCATTGAATAACAATTCATCCTGGTTGATTGATCAATGTGATACTGGGCATACCCTAGGTAAGAATTTGGTAGGGAATATACTATTTTAAGCACTTACTGAGCAACGTTGGAATCCTGCGGCTTAGAAATCTGATAATGCTATTGGGCACACAGCATTAGAATGGTAGATTGTATTAATCAATTGATACCGTGTAACCTAACATCGTCTGACAGCCAAGCTTGGAAGTGATATATAACTAATCCCGCATTGCATTCAAATGTTATGATTACGTATCATACATACACGCTTATGCACTATAAAGAATTTTCAAGTGTTCTGCACTTCTAAAGTTATGCCTTGGCCAGTCGGCCTTAGGAATATGACCTCCGGATAGACTTCAAAGCATTGCGAGTGGATGAATGCCTTTTAGCGTGGTCGACAGTTGTCGGTGACTCGGTGTTGGGTACTGTTTATTAGTTATCAAACCTTTGAACTGATTGCGGACTCTGCACCAAATCTTCTCACCGCCTGTAATTCTGCCTTACGCCAAGTCAAGGACGGAGCTGCCTTCCTTATCCCCTTCAACCCATTGAGCAACACACATCCTCTCACGTAGGAAGGCTCTCTTCTGCATCCCATACCTCACCAACCATACTCACAGTTTTACTATCCACTGCTTGGATCCCTCAGATCACCCTGCTCTTCCTCTCCACGTCCCATAACCATGCCGTGCAACCCCCAACCGCTTCCATAATTCCATTTCCCTACGGGAGAGCAACCACTTCGAACCCGAATCGAAGGTCCATTGCGTACACGCAAACAATCATAACCCTGTTGAGATCGAAAAGAAGGAACATACTGGGAAGAAGGTGCTCGCTGTGCCGAGATGCTGTCAGAACAGGAATGGAACGACAGATCGGGTAAGACTTAGTAATGATGCAGTGAATGCTAGGGATGGTACACGACACGTTTTATTGATCGAAAGAGGCGATGATATCTAGAATAGTGGAACAAGAGGGACAATATGCTACTAAAAGTTTACGTCAGGATCAATACGAAGACAAGCGAAAGAACTCAGACTTGATTGTGGAAGAAGAATCAACAAATTTGAGCTCTATCTCGAGCTAAAGACAGGGGGGAAAGGGCTTCAAATCTCGCAAGCACACATCCTGATACGCAGACCGGACATATAATGTGGCTACGCACATGTGTGTGTGTCTCAGCTGAAAAGGAAAAGCGCATTGTTTGTCTAGGACGGCAAAGGGCGTGGGCGGAGAAGCAGATCGGGGAAGCAGCTTTCCCTGGCACTCAGCACAGAAGCTATCACCAGAAGGCCTCATTGCCGAATCCCCCCGGGTGTTCCCTCTCCCGCATCCTACCCAAGTAAGGCTGTTGAACAATTGAAGCTTGCGCTCTAATCCAATACAACCTTTCAGATGTGGTTTCACATATCCGAGTTCCTGTTCCAAGATTGGGGTATTAGATGTGGCCCTGACTTCAGGATTCCAGAGCGTTTCCTTTCTTCCGAGACTCATTCCGCTCCATTCTGTTGCCTTGGTTTCTGCGCCTCCTCCGCATCTTCAGTTTGTCCTTCGTCGACCTGTGAAGTCGATGGTCCCTGATCCTGATCCTGAATCACATCCATCTTCAAAATATCCAACAATTGCGTTGCCGTCAAATGATCGTTCGTTGCTTGCATTCGATGCGCATATTTCAACTTTCCCTTTTGAAAGATCCATTCACCACCTTGTTGATTCCCAGGACCACCTTTTAGCGCCCCCCATCCACGTTTCCATCTTTGTTTCAGATCGTTAAAGAGCGCATTGGGAAATGACCTGCTCGAGTATGGTGGCGGTTCGTTGAACCCGTCCCAGGTCCTGGTCATCTGCAGTTTCTCCTGTAGTGTGCCCGAGGGATCGGTGTAGATGGGAAATTCTTCCGAGACTTCCTCCATGTATGGGCCAATCAAGGTATGGTCGCCACATCCAATGATGATGATTTGGGCTGGTTTAGCGTGGTGGGGAATCGTGTCGAGGAGCCTCTGGGTGATTTGACTAGATAGACTGCGTACGTAGTCTTGGTCGTAGATGCAAAAAAAGTGACGGACTAGCATACGGTGTTAATAGCTTGTTCCTCACATGTTTTTTATACTCTGCCTCCCAGCCAAGTACGTAGTAGACGAAACGGTCTTACCAAAAATGACTATAGTAGTCACCGAATCTCCTTTGCCAGCCACTAGCTCGCCGAAGCGCACATGTTCCCCACGCCTGTCGGCAATATCTAGCTCATAGGTCTCATGTAGTGTCTCGTCGGTGAGAAAGGCCGGGTCGGTTGAAATGCTCACGTTAGTCATATCTCACGACGCGATTCCGCCAACTTCACGTCCATGAAAATGGAAGGGGCCAGCCAAGCAAAGAATATGCTGAAGTAGAATAAGTATGGAGTTTATGGGTCGCTGATTTGGGGGTTTTCTTGTGAGCAAAAGTAAAGAAAGATGTGAGCACTTGGGCGCGCAGTTAAAATAATCCGGAAACGGAAACCAACACGACACCCAAGGTCATGATGTCATTGCCGACGAATTTCACAACGCTGGGTATTTGACAAAGGACAAAGGTACATATGGCGATGACAATGTGTTATGACCCACATAGCCCCTGGAAAGACAGAATGGAAGGTATCCAGTGGCTCGAGTAGTACACGTCAGACTACTATACATGAGGTCTCCAAGTTTCTTCCAAAAATTGCCGAGCAGTCCTGGGTTTGAAGCCTGGGAAACGATCTCCAATTCGCCCCTTGACTGGTAGCTCAAATCCTCTTGAGAGGTAAAGCTGATATGAGAAAACACTGTAGTGCAGAAGCTCTTCTGGCTGAATGCCGGTCTCTTCGGGATACTTTAGTATAGGAATATTGGCACTGGCAATATCCTCCTCCTTTAAGTACTTGGTATCAAATTTTTCACCTGAGAAAGATGATTATTAGCAAAAATGCATGGTGTGTAAAGGCGATGGAATTTACCGCAGATATCCTCTGCTATCCTTAGGACCTCCGCCAATGTAGTATCATCCCCGTTGCAAATGGTGATCTCCGACCATTCTTCGAGCTCTAAGAGCTTGGCAACCAACGTCGCCGCATCAAAGCTGTAGATCATGGATATGGGCACATTGCCATCTTCGGGAATACAGGCCTGTCGATGGATGACATCAAGGACGATTTGCATTCGGGGCATGTTCGATCGCGTGTATGGAAGCCCTATGAAATCCATGAATGCACCACAGATCGGACGCGTCCAAATCAGCCCGGTGGTCCTGAGGAGGTCTGCGGCATCCAGGAACCAGTTGACGCCTGGATCTACCCCCTTTCTCCTGCCAGCGTGTCAGCGGCGCGTCGAAGAGAATAATAAAAATCAGTCAAGGTTGAGCCTACTCTTCACTTGTAAAGTAGCCGAATTCACTTGTTATGAATCTTGTTACTGTGCTGGCAAGGTCGGCAGCTTTGATCAACTTGAGTTGAGCTTCGGAGGAATCGTCTCCCAACATGCCAATGGCACAGATGACCGTTTGTACTTCATGGCGCTCTAGCATTTGTACAAGCGCTTCCTCGTCATCATAATCTACCTGCACGTACTTGGCGTTGCCGATTGGCGAGTCGACATTTTCCTATTTCAAAGTTCTGAATGGTCTGTTTGGCTAGGGGGCTGAGAGGGGATTGTTGGGACATACACTTCGTGTGAGAGCAATCACGGAGAATTTTTCTTCCTTCAGGATCTGTTCCACGAGAGTTTTGCCTACGGAGCCCGTAGCGCCTGCTACTGCAACTGTTGGGGTCATGATGGGGGTCATGATGGGGATACTGAAGACAGAAACCTGGAAACTTGAACACGGGTGGAGAAGACTGAGCAGCTCAGTGTTTGTGTGGACTGCAAGCTACTAGTACGAAGTGAGCTCGTACCAGCGGCAACCGAAACCTTAGAATAGCCGGCAGACCCCACCTCCATGTCTAAACACAGTAATAGGTTACTCCACGTACCCTGTTTTTTACTCTGATACACAAGTGATACATGAATGGTATCTTTAGAGGGGGGGCCACTTCCCAATCAGGTATAGCGCGGGCGACCGAGTAGAACCCCATTTGGAATGCTGACTAAGGCCCGCTTTGAACTTCCTCGCGGTTATAACATTTTCCGAGCATGCCGCATACACTGCCACCGCCACCACCGTACATTCTTGGTCCTGGATGAGTTCCATCATAATGGTCTCCGTTGGAGTAAATATTTGTTTACATAAGGTAAGGATATTTCTTAACATGGCATATATAACCCACCATATTATTCCTATGAGGTCTCATATGTATACTGGAAGAATGGAAGGGCCAGCTTGAATAGGATCTTGTCGCTATGAAATTGAAGGGCTTATCAAGATTCAACACGCTAAACCCATCGGTTGAGTTATTTCGAATACTTTGATGGCTTTTACTTTTGAAAAGTGTTGATATTATTTGACAAGGAGAGTGTGAATAAAGACACAAAGAGTAGTATTCATACGAAATTACAAAGCATTAGTGCCTGGCGGAGTCAAATCAAGACCACTGGTAGCAAAGGGTAAGCGATGGCACTCTATTTTCACCTCGATGGAAATGAGAGCGGGGGAATCCTAAAAACAAATAACACAAAAATGACGATGACTAGAAATTCAAACTTGAGCATCTCCCGCATACAAGCGAATGTCGGCCGCCCCAGACGTGGCCTTGATGTCATCAAAAAGGTGGTCCATTCGTCTGAAGTAGCCAATCCCGTCAACCGTACTGCCAGCAAAGATCATGCCTAAAACCAGCCCTGCCGGGCTGTAGACAAAGGAGCCAGAATCCCCAGCGAGCGTAAATGTGGATCTGCCCGTAGGCGGGGTCACGCTGTATTCCAAGGTTTTGACCGACTGCACGGTCTCGTTCAATAGATCCGTCTTGATGACGACTGATTTAAGGCCATTGTAATAACCCATTGCTTGACCAGAGCGAAAACCGTGCAGAAAGACATCACTTCCATGGAAGCTTTTGTAATCCGGTGGCTGTGCCAAGTCTGGGGGTGTATTCATCTTCTCGAGCTGCAATCGCTTAGTTATCCTATTTGAATAGTAAACTGCGGGCAAGCTATCTTACCTTATTCCCTTGCACCTTTGTCCGATCAACCCGAATGACAGCCCAGTCAAGGTGCGTGGGTAAGTCACAATCCGTCATTGTATAAAATTTCCTCAACTTCATTCCCGACGCCAGGAACACTGATCCAACTTCCTGGTGGCCGTCGTTGACGAAAGTATTGATCGGCGAAATCATCGCCTCATAGTTCGATATCTGATTGTTGCTCACTCGCCATCGGATTTGGTCGGCTTCGGGCAGATACTCAAGGCAGCCTTCTGCAGCCATCAGAGCACCGTGTTTGTAGAAGGCAAGGGTCTTTGTGTTGTCAATGACCTGTTGGATGCGTGCCATTTCCTCGGTCTTGGCCTGGAGGCTGGGGTGGCTTATCTTCAGTAGACGATTGGCTTCTGGGTGCATGTGCATCCCATCGCTCTCCCATTGCCTAAGTACTATAAGGCTGGGTTAATAAATTTCAATCATCGGAAAATATCGAATGCTTCACTTACGTTCATGGTCATGTGTGTCCTCTTCGGAGTCTCGAGGGAGAACACAATGGAAACACGTAACTGCACCAGCCACCCATTGATCTGTACCTTCTATCGCGCTTTTGAGTTCAATGAACCCTCCCAGGGTTCCGGGCGAGAATGGGGCGCGTAATGGAGCGAGTGATTCACCAGCCATGACCTTTCCGGTGAGAATATTGTGGTCAAAACCCGAACGTTGATGAAAGCCGGCTAGTCAATTGATACTATCCTTGGTGATCTCGAAAGCGACCATGGCGAGATCATGTTGTTGGAGAATATCGATGATTCGGTCTCTGACACCCTTCCAGTTCCGGTTGTTCTGCATATTAGTGGAGACAAGAACGGTTGCTGGATTTTCTTCCACAACTGGGTTTCGTCCCCTTCGAAAGCAGCCAACAGTCTCAATATCCACTAAGGGAACTTCCTGACAGATTTGTTGCCAAACAGAATCCCACTTTTCGAAGACCGGGTCATTGAAAAACACAGGGGTGGTATTGGGTGTTGTCAACGCCGCAGTGTCTGAGATCTCGACGACAGTACGAGGGAAGCCTTCATCATGGAGAAAGCGCCGGAGTTCACGGACACACTCCAGTCAGTTTCCATCGATGACATCCCTCTCTGCAATTATAAGGAGTGTTATGACCGCCTCTGGGCTTGCATTGAACAACGCACGTCGCTCAACAACTTCGACCGTGTGGTACTGAACATTATAATTTTTCAATATGTTGTCGATGTTATTATTGTGGAGGGTACGGTCCCATGAGCTGGAGAGTGAAAGTCTTCGATGCAAGAGATTATCTGTGGGGGTGCTGTTTGCTGCGGGAAGGGAACAGAGGTCCGGCCCACCAACTCGGAGATCCTCGTTTGAGAACCCATCTGAAGTCAATTCTCCATTGTCGTCGCTGCTGCCTCGAAGTCTTTTAGTCCGTCTGTGATGCTCACTGAGGGAGCCAGATTCAGTGGTGAATGATGATGATCGGTTTTTTTTCTGTGAACCACACTGTATAATTTCGTCATCGGCTCCTATGGCGTAAAATACTGCTGGTGAGGCATAGGCTAACTCGAGGTCAGACCCACAAGAGTTGGGGCGGGCTAGGAGAGTAACTGTCGACATTTTGGAAGTAGGGGACCGTTCTTAAGTACCGTTCTCAAGTAGGGGGTCGTTCTCAAGTAGGAGGGAGGCGCAAATGGTGTGAGGTGTAATCGAATTCCAATATTCCTATCTGTTGTAGATCAAGAGCAGAGATGGTCAAATAACCTCAAGTGCTTGGAAACCAATGCCAGCGGCTATATATTATGCAACTGTATTAGCAATAGACAATATTTCTCAGGGGGATGAGAAGGAAGAAGGGAAAAGGGGGGAAGTAGGTACTGGATATCTAGAAGCCTGGGGGGTTACTTGACCCCTCTCTAATAAAACGCATAAAGAACAGTATTATATCAGGTATCAGGATTAAGAAGCAGGAAGAAAAATGTTGGTCAAGGGTGGAGGAGTAGAAGTACGGCGGCCGATACCCGCCAACTGCCATAACCCAATCTTAACGTTCCGACCGGCAGAAAGTAAATTACGAGGAATTCCAAATTCATATTTGTTTTTGAACTCCATTATACGTTGATACCCTGTACTTCCTTTTATTTTGAATCCTTGAACCGCATTATACATTGAATTTATTGCACTCTATAATCAAGTCCCTTCTCAAGTCCCTTCTCAAGTCCCTTCTCAAGTCTATTCTCAAGTCTATTCTCAAGTCTATTCTCAAGTCTACTCTCAAGTCTATTCTCAAGTCTATTCTCAAGTCTATTCTCAAGTCTATTCTCAAGTCTATTCTCAAGTCTATTCTCAAGTCTATTCTCAAGTCTATTCTCAAGTCTATTCTCAAGTCTATTCTAAAAGTGACCCGTATTTGGATCAAATCCCCTAAGATGTTTCTGCATGTGATGAATAAAATACGGGAAACAGGGCGGTGAAGTTAGAAATTGAAATTGGGTTATGGCAGTTGGCGGTTATCGGCCCCCGTAGTAGAAGGTTCTAACTTCTAACATTGATCTCCTACTTGCACGGACCAAACTTTGAAAGGTAGGTCCTCTCCCGCAGTCAATTTTGTCACAAAATATATCAATTGATTAAAAGCAAGATGCGATAGGAAATCCTATAAAGTGTAAGAGTAACCAAGGTACTTCTTGAACTCTCAAATTTGAAAGCATAATAGTCTACCAAATCCAAAAGCAGTACATCATTCTTCACAAGTGTTATACATCCGCGCACACAGGTTGCTGTTCGGGCCCGACGGATTTCACGGTGATTGCTAGCGTGCCGCGCTCAGGGCGATGAACACTTGAGACCTTACGGGAGATTTGATAAATGCATTCCATCAATGAATTCAAATGACATCCACCTTACTAGCACTTGAGTAGTTGACAAACTCGATTATACCAGCGATGTACATGAATATCCAAGGGCGCCCTTTGCCGACTCGCTGCTGTTGACTTCGCCACTATAGCTTCGACGGAGAATCATTCGGATCTTTCAAGTGCTCCATCTGACTTCTTGCCGCAATGATCATCTCCTCAAGCCTTTTCTCGGCCAGATTGCGACTATGTGTGAACAGCTGCACCAAGAAGTCATGGCTTATACTCTCTTTAATCACAATACATGTGCCGCCGTAAACACCCTGAGCGACCGAAGAGTAAGCAATTGCTCGCATCGAAAATGATGGGAATCTCACCTCATGCCATTTCCATGGTAGTTGATAGTTCTCAAGGGTTTCGGGCAAGACATGTCTGGTAGCGACCTGATTCCCAATAAGCTGGAGGTATCCACGATGAGTGCGCCGAACATACTGATTTCCACTGATGGGCCAATTTGGCATCCATTTTTTTTCTCTCTCTTCTTTCAACATCTTCTGAGGATAGCTGTCCAAAAGACATCGTCTCACAAGTCATACGGAAAGCTCGAAGCTTACGCTCATTTTCGGCTTTCTCCCATTCGGCTCTGATCGGTTCCCATGTTTCCGCGATAAGAGTCCAGAGCGCTTCATTCCAAAATGGGAGGAATTCTTCCTGTGCTCTGTTTGTCGTACTGGTCTGCCAAATGTCGTCTTCTTTGAAGATTTGGTCTTTGAGTTGGTCAAATGATTCTTCTCCCGCTCCAAGTGCTTGCATCTTGGCTCTTGAGGGTTTCCCTGCGCTACATGGAGAAAAGAGGGGAATAAATAGGTCGAGGACACGGGAGACTAAAACGGTGGAGGAAAAACGACGATCACGAAACCCCGCCTTCTAGCGCAAATATTGCGGCTCATCTAGGCTACCGTTGGAGAGAGTCAGAGACACGTCTGCCTTGTTGGTTTTTTGCCTTCCGCTGATTGGCTGGAGTGGACTATCGCGGCAACGAATGAAATCACAGTGCATAACTGAAAAGGAGTTTCGTCAACGAGACTTCTTAATAAACTAAACGTGGCTGAAGTGACAACCGCTATAATTATTTACCGTGGTAAGCAAGGTACCATCGCTCTTATCAGTTGGCTTCAAGTCCGCAGTACCAATCTCACACAAAACATACATATGGAAATCCAACGGAAATGGCAGGGGTTTAAGATAACTGAACAGCACAGCTTGGTTATGTTCCAAGAGCTATACCCGTTCTGTTGAATCTTTTCCGCGCGGGAAGTAGCCAATACTAATATTTAAGCACCCCTTCTAAATACCACTAACGCTGTACACATATTAAAATGCTAGTTAAAGATTAAGCTATTGAAGCAGGTTCATGAATTCAAATGTTCTGTCATGTTATCGATTTAATGGTGCAAATTGTACATCAACAGAGAAGTATCTCGAGGATCTTTATGAACCGGAATATTACCCCCACTGTGATCATCGATGTAAGGTGGCTTAGTAGTGTAACCATTCAAATTATGTATCTGACGGACATCGCCATTGACTCGTGCTTGGAAAGCGGGTCCAGCACTTCGAATAATCATTGTCCTGCGAGAGTCAACCTGGAGAACAGGGATTTCGGCTTCTGTCTGCAGATGTGCTGTTTCATAATTGTAATTGGCGTGAAAGAAGTCGTAAATCAAGAAAATGCGTTTATTCCATTTTTGTTCCACCAATAAGTTCGCGTCATTGCCGTAGGTCAAGTCGCAGCCCAGCTCTCCCAAAAACTTTTCCAACACTAATTCTGGTGGTTCATCCCAGTATGGGTTTGATTGGGTAAGACAAATGCACACGCGAATAGGTTGTTTTGACTGCAAACGCTCCATCGCGTAAGACTGGGTGTGGAATCAGTGATGGGTTCCACAAAGGAGCAATGATTTTGGTACTTACTTGATTCCAGGCGAGATAATTAGTCTGACTTTCAAATGTTGACTTTGAGTTGGCGAACCCGACATAAGAGGGCTTTGGCGGGGGGACTTCCTTACAAGTTCATCAGGTGATGGCAGATATACCAGCCTTGTACCTAATAGCGGTGAGAAGCTTCCCTTCTTACCTGCTCTTTCGCTTGTCTCATCCTCTATTCCATTCTTCTACCGTTAATTATTTGCGCAGGTATCTTCTCATTTTTTTCTCCAAGTCAAGTCTAGACTGACAGGATAGGACTAATTGACTGGCACGGTCCGTCGGAGAAAAAGTTCTAGGCTTAACTGCACGATTTCAACTTTCAGCTTCGTCATTATCGTCCTCCCGCGCACGTTTTAAGATCACACTTTGACAGTTTTTCAGAAATGGATGACTCTTGTCAAGATCATAAGAAACTTTTGAGGTCTGAGTTTTGTGTATTATGCGGGGAACAGATCAGGGGCGGTTTGCCCTTCATTGCAAGTGCGGTTTTCTGCATCCGTTTTACGATTGGTTGCACCTAACGATCTCAAAATCTAGTGTTCTTGGATACTAAAAATAATTGCATTTCTCTGACTACTCCAATCACATTGACAGCAAAAGAGAAACGGTTTATGATCCAACACGAAGAATATGAACTTTACCCACCAAACTGCCTTCATCAAGCTTACCCCCCCGCTCCCTGCTCGCATAGTACGTGCTGGGGCGCTCTGAGAGGTCGATTTAGTCCAGCTTCCATCTACTACTACAGCCTGGCAATGACCCCACCATTGGACGTGGAAATTCCTTCGAATCTGTACACGCTAGCAAGTGAAAACGTCTTGTCTTTTTCCTTGCAAATTCTTGCCAATGATTCTTATCTTGATATCAATGCCAGTCAGTCAACACTGGCATCCATATTATATCGGCTTAGGCTACTACCGGAGGAGCTGATATGTTTGATCTGGAAGAGTCTATCTCCTAGTATAACCAGATGTTTGCTTTTGCTGCAGATGTCCGTGGAACTGATTCAACAAACTCAGCCCATCAAACTGAGAATCGGTTCATTCCTTTTACATGGAGACTTTGCGGTCTTCCTCCGGGAGCTGCATGGCGAAGATTATATTTGTGGGTTTCGGAATGCGTCCCAACTGTACGGACACGAAAGCAGCCATCGCCAAATTGTCTCGATAAAATCCCCAGTCATCGCTCTTTCTTCAATCAACGGGCTCTTTGGGCTGAAAGGAATTCGATATCTCATGAAGAATAATAAGGAAGGCTACATTGGGTCCATTGTTGGTGACACAGCATTCACAGGATGTACGAACATCCGTATATCGAGCTCCCTTGAACCCCTGTTCGTGAGACTGGAGTGGGATGTATGGAGAGACTGCTCTTGCCCCTTTAAAATGACTTTGCAAATAACAATGGTTTTAGGGACTTAAAATACGGGGAATATATTCCCAACCCAGCAAGGTCGCGCGTTTTGGAGAGACCTTCATCTGGAATAACAGTCTGCCCCTAGGTTTTCTCGGCTGCGTGAGTAAGGCAACGTTTTTTATGCACTTCCGGCAGAAAGACTTTATTGGTGCCAAGAATAGACATCATGTGCGATGTGTATCGTTTGTTCGCGAACGGGCTACTCTGTCTGGCTTGACTGTCTGTTGCTCTCCTACTGGAGGGGTTGTTGGTTTTGCATCCCACTTTCTTCGGCATGACAATTTTGGACTCAAATCGACCCAGACGACGTGGCAAGGTCTAACCAGTGGCTGCTTGCTTCATTTTCGCTTCAAAGCCAAAGAGCGTCTCACCTCCGTTTGGGTGTTGACCCGCGACAATGATGACTGCTTCCAATATTCCTACCTCGGAGTGAGTGATGTATACTGAATATCAAAATGACCTATAGAAAATCTTCTAATCAGTAGCACCGCCTTCAGATTGGCACAAACCAGGGCCATCATTTCATGTTTGCGCCACTTATGCTAGCGGGGCAAGCCAGAACATGGCCCCTAGCAGACGAAAGTTGCGGAGAAATTCTTGGGGTCTATTATGACGATACGCCTAATAAGCCAGCCTTGCTGTATAGCGTCGGAGCAATAACCACCCTAGAGGTGATTGGGGAACGAACTTTTACACCCACTCCATTTCCGGTCCCTCCCTATTGCCAATATACGAATCGGCTTCACTCCTCAATTTTGGACCAATTTCAATCGCAGGCGCCTTTTGAACATATTTCATGCTTAGAGGCTTGCTACCTCGACTCTCGGTGTATAGGCTTGATGGTATCCTATTCCGATGGGCAATACCGGGTGCTTGGTCAATGGTGTGAAGAACATCCTTCCAAGTCACTTTCCATAACCCCGCTGGAATTGGATTATACTCAAGGATTGCGGTTTATATTTTCTCGTGACGAATGGGACCGCCAATTTGTCGATCGAATTGAAATCGGAACAGCCGAGCAGACTTTATCACCAAATGATGCATTCACCCATGCCTCGGTCGAAGTTCATTACGGGGTGAGTGCCACGCCCTTTTTAGACTTATGGTGATGAAACTGACCAGTCTAGGATGGGATTGTGTGGCTGTTTTCAATGGACTCCGATATAGTGTTTCCTACGTTGAATTATCATTCCAACGAATGACTGAAGGTGCCGAGAATCTAAGGAAGTGTAAATGTAAAGGTAGGCGGTTGGTCAGGGTAAGGACAATACCAGATGGGCCAATCAGATGTATACAGGAAGGGGATATAAAGGGTTTGAATAATGGAAGGAGATGACCCGAGGAACGATATCTTCTATTCGAACAAATACTGATTGTTGAGGAATCTGTGACTTGATCTCACGGTTATCTCTTTTGTGTATACCCCCGCAGGCCCAAGCACTAAAACCCATCATTTTGCGGGGTGGTCTTGGTAGGTAGATGTTCTACGAGCCCATGAAGGTGCCAAATAGCGTAAAGCCCCAGGACAAAGTGACGGGTATCCTGGGCCGCAAGGACGTCCCTAGCGTGCCTAACCAAGTCAAACCGATAAAAGCCCCATCAACATAACGATCAGAGATGAGAATGATCTCTGGTGGACATGTCTAGCTTTCCTGGCACCACATGCTCTCCTACTAGATTTGTGTGCCGCTAGTCGGAGATTCTAGCAGACCTTGCAGCAACGGCGTGGTACAATACCTATCCTCTGGCGAGGCTTTGCTGACACGATTTTAGGAAGTGTCTCTTGTTGTCTGCAAGAATTTTGATGGCCTGCAATTATAAGAAGCCGTTCAAGATATCCGGCCCCAGTTACACCTTTCATCAACCCCTTGCTTGTGTGGTCGTTTATTCTTCTGGTTCATAGTATTCTTGTGTTTGCTTTGAGCATAGGGTGAAAGATTTTCAACCGACAGTTCAGCCCGGGTTCGTTCCTGGAAGATATCGATGGATTTGAATTGAATTTGCCGACGGTTAATAATGGGGGAGGTTGCCTGCAGCCTGTACCGTGGCGGCTGTCGGGTTATCAAGCATCGATAGGAGTTCGGAGTTGATCGTGGCCTCATAAAGATGTATAAATTCTCGGGCCATGGGGCTTGCTATGAGAAGCCAGAACATGGGTATGTGAGCGGTGAAATTTAGGATAGTTCTCATCGGTAGGGAGCACTAACCAAATAACTTGTTAGCCTAGGGGCATTCACACGACCCTGCTGAAGTTGAGCAAGAGATGGAAGGATACACAAAAAGTATGGATACTCTCTCCATTCCTTTAAGGTGACTTGAGTAGCCTCCTCCTTGAGGAGTCGGGAAGCGGTGGCATCATCATTTCGGTCAGAACGGAGGCGAAGTTGACATTTGTGCTAACGAATACCACTGATATTTGTGTAATTCAAATAGCCAACCACAGGCACAGTGAACAGACAGATTCGTTGTGGTGGTCGCGCCGATGAAATATGGTGTATTGTGGTCGATGAGCAGGGCGACCGGCAAAGAAAAAGCACGGCCCTTGCTATTCCCGTAAGATGTCAGTAATAATCAGATAATCATAGATGATAGGATCCACTGAGCAACAACTTACATCTCACCGCCTCAAGCTCTGACTAAGAATGCTCCCCAAGGGAACAAGTGGAGGTAGGGTGGACTCTGCACATGTGGAGTAATCCCCCGCCCCTAACGTCAATTTATTCTGTTCCTCTTCTCACCGCTCTCTGCCAAGGCAATTCTTTCAAGCATGTCGACGACAAGGGTGATCATTTGCTTGTTGATGAGAATTTCAACATAAACGGTATTATCGATTGGCAATTCGCCCGTGCTGTGCCAGCATCAGAGGCGTTTGGCCCGTCTTATATCACTGCCGACCTCATGTCGCTCTACAGTAGCAACACTGGTGTGACAGGGGATGATCATGATTTAGCAACTGCGCTTGGGGGCAAAGGCTCTTACAACCTTGCTTTAATTGCCGAACGAAATGAATTTATGCGTCGTTTTCATCATGGACTTGCAAGCGAATTAAACAAAGATGAAGCTCGTAAAATGTTGAAAGGATTGATCAAACGTCTGGAAGGTGAACTCATAACCGACCTTGATGCGTGGATTGCAGAGCAAACTAAAGCTCTTGATGAAAATTTGAGATGGAGAGTTTTACAAGCCTCACTTCTGGATCGGCAACCGGCTCTAGACAGTTCAAAGCAGCTTGTTCTTAAACAAGAACCAAAAGTCTGAACATTTGAAGCACCTGATTCACCACTACGGGGAACATGTGGTGCTAGGGACCAGATTCAATTCTTGCTTTGCAATTGAAGAAGCCAAGACCTGCGCCTCCATCGATAATTCATTTAATTAGGCACATCCCACAGGCGAGGAGGCTAATAGCAGGGCCGTGAGACCATATAGGCCTTGTTTTCACTCCAAGCACATCAATTTATAGAGTACAATTGAATCTTGTATTGTGCTGTTACCTTTTTCGCCGCACATACATTGATCCATCAATTAGTTGTATCCAGCACTTGAGATGTCATGCCCAGAACGTGACCTTACAGGATATATACACATATTGATACACTTGAGGCCGGTGACCCGGTCGGCTCAGCCAACAACCATCGGAACGGCAACAAAGCATGGTTCATATCGGTACTATCATACATGTATGTAGGCCAGGAATATTGAGATGACTGTTGAAATAGGGTTGATAACTAGTGAGAGCGTAAACATTTGCGGTGACCAATCAAGGATTTAATATATACGTAAGGAAGTGCAAGAATTTGATCATTATAATAATTTTTTTGATATAATTCCAAGACTTAGGCACATGGGGACTGAACATTGAATCCGACCAGTTCAATGTTGACTGATTGATCTTAGTGTTGTACTATATGACTCGCGATATATCACTTCGTAATTCCCGGGGCTGACGACAGACCAATCAAATAAGTTCTATTGGTACAGTTTTTCCGTCTCAGGTGTGCCGACCCTATCACTTGTGAAGCTATAATGGCCTACAGGCCCATTAACAGGCACTGCTCCCCATTGGACAGACAACAGCGCCATTTCTTCATCCTCGACCTCCGAATCCATATCTGCATTTACCTCTTCATTCCTGTATCCATCCTGAGTATTGGGATCGAAATGAGGATGGCAAGCTGCCGCAATGGCAAGACTACAGCTTCCGGCAATGGGCAGCGCAGACTCGAATCGTCGTAGGCTAAGTCCTACAATGCCCGATAAGAACAGGATTCCCACCATGATAGTGATTAATGTCCCGACAGCAGACCAGCCACATGTAATAAAGTCACTTGCTGTATCACGCTGTCCATCGGAAGACCAGGCTTCAATACCGACCATGAACAGGCTTTCCGAAATGAGCCAATGGAGAAGGGTAGATGTAATCATCATTGGGACTCCGTAGCGATATGGTATAGAGAGGAAGTAGTTGGATCTCTGGTACTGCTTCGGATTGTGGGAGACGCGAAGGCCCTTTTTTTGGTTGGCATAGCCGCTCCACTCGGCGCTGAGGGTCATTGATGTTAGGAGGCTGTTGAATGCGAAGTAGATTAAGGAGAAGATCAACTGAGGTGAGTTGGCGATCAGCACGTTGCCGATTATGGATGAGGGCCAATTATCGCCATATATCAAGGTACTCGAGCCAACGGACCCGAGCCCTTCCGTGAAGGGACTTGATCCATCCTGGTATTTGCTAAGCCCAAATGTTAAAAGCAGGATGCAAGCTCCTACAGCAAGTCCCCAGAACAGCATGCTTAATGTCCAACGGGAAGTAGAAGCGGCTGTGCTCCATCGTTTCCGTGAAGGATCAAAGGCTCTGGGCTCGCACCGTGGCGAGTTCGAAGTGTTGACTGAGCCGTTATATTGTGAAGTCGATTTCACCTCGCGTTTTGTCAGTAGACAGCTGCGCCGGGAATGGGGATCCGGGTCTCGTAGAAAAGAGGCGATCGCGTCCCCGATGGTCAGAATAGGGGAATTCTGTATCCCCAGCCACATAAAGAGCAAGATAGCGATTTTGCTCAAATTAAATGCTATCACGACTATGACAAGTTGGAATGAATATTCCAGTTTGCAGGATTGCGGTGCCTTTTCTACCAAGCAGTATTCGACTGTGTATTGACTGTTGTCACTCAATCCCACTTTCCAATTATCAAGGGAACGTGTCCAGAAATCACGGCCTGTGTAACAACTGGTCGCAGAGAGACGAAGGGATTCAACTCCGCATAACCACATGTATGGGTTTGTCGATGCATCACCACGCGTGTTGAAGATTGGTTGAAAAACGCCGTTCGTCATGACATACGCATATGTATCGTTATCCCCAACATCTTGGGTAACAATTAGCACCTTGCTGTAAGCTTCTTCAAAAGTCACTGCAAATGCGTCGACACATGCTTGATTATCTAGACGCTCCAAGTCTCCACTCTTTGCCGATGAATAGAGCTGCATGAAAGAAGACGTCATATTAGCCTCGCTAAAGGGATAGGTGAGATTGAGATTAGACTGGAGATTTTCTCCAAGTGAGCTAGAGCCGGCAAAAACATCGTACGCGTGGGCGGATGATGTGGAGTATATTGCTGAATTATACCTGTATCAATACATGCATAGGAGAGGTTGTTAGCGCTCGGTTGATTTTGAAGTTCTGGTTTGTGGGAATATATATCACTGTGCATACATCAAGTGGAAAGGCAGGGACGATAGTGCCAGGAGTACCCATAGAAACGAGCGTGTGCGAGGCACTTCGAAGAGGTTTCGAATACTGGGCACGCCAATATCAAGCCAGCGACCTTTCATATGTGCTTTGTTGATATCTCGTCGGCTTGGCGCAGCCAAACATTGCTAGGTGCACAGTTTTGTTAGTGACTCTTCGAGCGACAAAAAATACGCCAGAAAGCACTCGAGAGACTCCTATCTTCCAGACTTACCATCCCAAAATTACTAGCACCCAGCAATGCGGTGCTCAAAATGTTGATTACCAGATGCAAGACAACCCCTAATCGATGTGACTCGTCACAGTCTCCCTCATACAGTGTTGTGTTAAGACTTTGCCCATTTTGGCGGTGCGTGAGGCAATAAAGCAGGAATCCCACATTGAAAAATAGCACAACCACGCCAGCAACGATCGCTAAGAAGAGGGTGAATTTCCAGCCATGGAATTTATTGTTTTTGTTGTGTTTCATTGGTTTGCTCCTGTCCTCCTGTCTCCTTTTTGTGAGAATGCTTGTTCGGCTGGATTCTTTATTCGGGTTTTCCTGGGAATCGACCTCCAATAGCCGATTCGATGCATTGGGAAGTTTGTCAATCGATACAAGCTCGATATACGCTGGCTGAGGGGAGGAGCTGTGCAGCATTATGTGGGTATTTTTCAAGCGCCTAAATTTTTTTTTTCGTATACATAGATCAGCCGACTCAAAAACCCAGGTAGGATTTTTTGAGGAAAGAGAATATATTAAGGTTGACTTCACATGTGCAGGCTGCGATTCCGGTGGGAGGCTAATCGTTTATTAGTATTTACAAAATATGACAGCAGCAGGGAGCCATGGCCCCTGACTCATGTGGCGACGCTAAGTGGCGCGGGGATAAAAATAGTGATGGTGAAGTTTAACTTGCATAAGCGAGAAATCGCCATTTGCGGCACGAGGGGGGGATTCCGAATCCCTGCATGGATATTAATGTTATTATCATCAACCGTTCAGCATGGATAAATGAGAACATTTGAACAGGTGATTTAATGTTATCTCCGAAACTCGAGTAACTACTAGTTAATTCCAGAGTAAGTTGGTGGGTTGACTATTTAGAGAGTTTTGGTTATTAAGCAATCTCTGACTTCAAATATTGACCAGAGATTGGACCTCAGCCTCACCGTTGTCTAACCAATTAGGAGTCGACTTTCTATTTGGAATTCAGATGCCAAGAGTGTGCACATGTTCAGTATATGTAATCGATGCTATTCAAATCTTTGTATAGGTCGGTACGAATATATATTCAAACGCAATATTGTGAGATTGATATTCGCGTTCCCATCCCCAGTCAACATTCAATGCTATAGGTTCCCGAATGTTCAAATGTTCATATTCGCGGGCACAATATAACATCAAACAACCACCCAATAAGAGAAGGTGTATCACGTGCAGTTTGTTTATCTAACTCGCATGACTCGCATTCGGATCTGGCCTGTTCAAATGTTCAAATGTTCATTTCGAGCCTCCTTTAGATGCCGGATCAGGACATCAACATGGTTTGACTCTGGGACATGGTGAGTTGCGGCTTCAAACACAAAAGTTTCCAGCATCTCTCCTTTCGAACCTCCACCACGCCCGCAGCAAATCTTTTTTTTCTTTCTTTTTCTTTTTTTTGAAATCATTCATGGACCACGGAGTGATATTTTCTGTTGTGTGGCTACCTCAGAAACATGCAGTAAGCAGAGATAAGGTAGATAAACCCCAGCATCACCCAACGAACGTCTCTAATGGCCAACCATTGATTGATAAATCTCAGAGAATCTCTCTCCAGATGGCTTCGTAGCGTTCACAATCTTTCGCAACTCTGTCAGCTCATCTTCTGTCAATTCGATATCACGCGACGCCCAGTTCTCTTCCAACCGCGAGGCTTTGGTAGTCCCTGGGATAGAAATCAACCCTTGCGCAGCGACCCAAGCTAAGGCGATCTGCGAAACTGAGCAACCTTTTTTGGTCGCCAATTTCTTGATCTCATCAACAATAGCCTTGTTCTTGTAGAAGTTCTCCCCTTGGAACTTAGGGACTAGGTTTTGCGTAAGTTAATACCGAAGAAACAATAAATTGTGCGGAGGATGGGAGACCAGGAAGCGTTAAAGACCTACCAGTGCGTCGAAAATCGTTGGGGGCAAAGTCGTCTGGAGACTTGAAGGGGAAATCGTCTACAAGCCAGCCGTGCCCTAGAGGACTAAAAGCCACAAAAGCCACACCCAGTTCCTTTGCTGTCTCAATGAGGCCACTATTTTCATGAAGCGTCTCAAAAGCAGAGTACTCGGCTTGAACAGCATCGATCTTAGCAACTGGCATGTGTTAGCGAACGCTTTCATGTATAATCACGGAGAGACGAACTCGAATTTGCTTTCCGCAAAGTTGCAGCAGAGCATTCGGATAAGCCAATGTACTTGGTTTTTCCACTGCGTCGAAGTTCATCCAGCGTGCCGATGGATTCCTCGAGGGGCGTATCTGTAGTTATAGAGTTAGGAAACCACTTTGATAATTCGAAAATTCTTAATACATACTGGGGTCAATTCTGTGGAGATAGTAGAGGTCTGGAGTAAAACCAAGCCGTTCGATAGTCCCCTCAATGTAATCCTTGATGTGGGCGGCCGAGTTTGTTACTTTGCGTTGCGGACCGAAGACGTCGAACCCGCACTTTGAGGCCACTGCGTTCCCATGAAATGTAAGAAAATGGCGTAGTGCAAACAAAAAAGTGTCAGCGCTGTTTTGCTCACCAAATAATTCATCGCGGACATTGTGCTTTCTAATGAAATCTCCCAGCAACTTCTCGTTTTCGCCGTTCTTGTAAGCAACCTAGGACATCAAGACATTAGAGACTGGAGTTATTGATTCAACCTGGAGGGGCGATTTACCGCGGTGTCCCAAAACGTACAGCCTAGCTCAATGGCTTTCAAAAGAACAGGCTCGGATTGGGCGAGGTCAAGATCGGTCCCCATGGCGGAATTGAGGCCCATGGCGCCAAAACCGGGAACGGGGACCTGCCGGCCACCAATGGAAAGTGTCTTGACCATTGTAGTGGTGGGTTCTAAAGGTCCAGATGCTGATCAGCTCGACTATATCTCGCTATAAGGCAAGTGATTCTGCGGCCCTTGAAACGCGGATGGACGCACGTGTATTGGCAGTAGAGTTCTGGGAAGGTGCAGTTGCAAAGGTGCGAATGCGCAGGATAGATAGGAAGGTAAGTTAGATGAGCTAGACGAGCGGCTTCGCGGTGCTTTATACTTCGAGCAACTGGAACACTGAAACCACATCGCAAAAGTGACATCACTAGAATCGGCTAGTCAAAGACTCAAAGTTGTATTCTGCAGTTGGCCGTAAGACCCACTTGTTCCCGGTCCCACGGTGGATTGACTTTACATATTAGTGTATTCCTTGATGACATCTTCAATGCGATTGGCTGGCTGATTCAGCTGATCCACTTGTGCTCATGCGAGTTTGAACGTGAACTAAAATTCCAATATTGAAGACCCACTCCTAGATACCATAATAGATTAGCGTCATGCAGGCGGATGACATAAGTGGGTCTCGCACCGCCCTGGGAAAATTTGAAAGATGCATGATTGGGTACCGGAGGTACCGGAGGTACCGGACTTGTAGATGGAATTAGGGAACCTGGATCTGCCCTTCTCTTTCACCTTCCTTGAGCGTGCCAAATCAACAACCCACCTCCTGTCATCAAGTTGCATAAATTGCTATATTACAAAAATTGATTTGTTACTGTGGCCAGATCGCAAAGATGAATCGATCAGGAGAGGGACCATCTGAAAAGCGGATCGCTCTAAGGTCCTTCTCGCTGCGTGTCAATGCATGGCCAGACGAGGATTGGTCGGGTATCACCGATCCAAAAACACGCCGCAGGCTTCAAAATCGCTTGAACCAAAGGGCTCGACGTAAGTCCACCATTCGTGAAATCAATTGGCCAGTATTACCCTGACTGTCTATACAAACAGGCCTACAAAATAAAAAACCATCAAATCCTTCGAGAGACAGATGGACAAACGATAGCGATGGTTCTTTTTCCGATGAACAGCACAAGCCCGCTGCATATACTATTATTCCACGAGATATTCACCAAAAACTGGAACGGCCTGCCGCTTTTGACTTCGCCTCTCTAGTGGCCATTGAAGATGTGTGCATACTGGAATCGCATTCTCCGGCAATGAAATCCAGAATGGCCCAATTAGAAAGAACAGCCTTTCAACACTACATAATGGGCTCTCCGCGAACCGATCTATTACTTCACCTGATTCAACTGAATTTCACCAGAGCGCTGATAGAAAACACGAAAATACTGGGTCTCAAACCCCATCAGCTCCACGACGATGCAATCTCACCATTCAACACTGCTGGCCCATGGCAAGAAGAGTCTATCTATACCCTTCCAATACACCTCAAGCCTACTGTGATCCAGCGTTCTATTCCACATCACCCCTGGTTGGACCTACTTCCTGTTCCTCAAATGAGAGATAATTTGATCCTTGCTGGAGAATTTGAGGGAGAGATACAGCTGTGTCTTGATATGAAGGGTAGTGGGAACACGCGATCGGGGAGAAGTGGAATAATTGTTTGGAGTGACCCTTGGGATCCCACAGGGTGGGAAGTTACTGAACCCTTTGCTCGTTCTTGGGGTTGGGTGATAAGAAATTGTTATGATTTGGCCCATTCTACGAACCAGTGGCGGGCGAAGCGCAGTGAAAGACCGCTTTTCCGTATGACTGTATAGGTTGATGTGACAAGTGATTCGTGTAGATATAAAGACAAAATGTACAACAATGGGACCGGAAAGTGACATCTTCTCATTTGATCTACTTAAGATCTGGATTAATCAAGGATCTCACTCGTAACCATAAGCCTTCCAGTCGATCTTTTGCAGCGATTCTTCAGGGCCCACCAAGGAAGCGATGGCCTCTTTAGTCATATACTCCTGAGCCTCTTTGACCAGTGACCCGTACTTATTCATAGCGCCGCTCTCCTTGATGATACGAGTGAACTCCCATTGGCGCGCCTGTTCCTCTCCCATATGCCCAAATAACTCGATGTATGTCTCAGGGGATACCTGGATGATCTGCGTGGAGCCTGGATTTGGCGCAATGCCACTCGCCCTACCCCACATGGCTAAGTAAGATTCCAAAGTAAGATCTTCCACATTGCACCTCACGTGAGTGCCTCCCGGGGGCTTGTTATGGACAAGCCCGTGAACGAATATTCCCGAATTGATACGATGATCGCCTAGAGACGGGTACATAGCTGAGGGATCAGCTGGGTAAATTTGCACCCACTTTTTGGCCGCATGCTATCTTTTCGTTAGCAGGATACTTTGCCATCGGGGGATATCCGTCAGATAATTCACGGCATACCAGGTAAATGGGCTTAAACACCTCATAGTCGGTGAGGTTAATCACGAATGTTGTGAAGAAGCAAAAGGTCGTGAGTGACAAGAGGTGCTCGTCTTCCTTGATAAACTCGTCCACTCGGCCCTTTGCCTCGAAATGGGGCACAATAGCTTTGCCCTCACTGACGCGAGTGCTGTGCGGAAGAGTACTCCACAGGTAGTGCTCTAAAGTGGGCACCTTCGATGCTGCCTTGGCCATATTGGTGCCTTGTGTGTACTCGATGTCCATTGACTTTTCCCATCCCTTAGTCCAGAAATTCTCGTAGTAATCCGTGATGGCGAAGATCACATTGGCACCCAAGAAAGCTTTTTCAAGGCTGGCCAGATCTCCGAGGTCACCCTTGACCATCTCAACGCCCTTCGCCGAGAGAGCCTTTGCTCTCTCACTATCAGGGTTACGAGTCAGTCCACGTACTCTCCAGTTTCCATCTTTGAGAAACGATGAGACCACGGAGCCACCTTGGCCGCCTGTTGCTCCAACCACAACGATGAGTTTCTGAGCCATGATGAAGAAAGTTTGTTCCAAGGCTTGTGTTCAAAGCTGACCTTCAAACAGTGCTGATATCGAGTTGATGTAAATGTTGGATTTGAGTCGTCATTTGAATATATAGCTTTCGCGGCTCGCCTCGAGAAAATATTACGTATTTCCTCAATGGAGACGACGTAGACGAGGTGGACCTGAAGAGGAATTCAGAATGACTATCGGCCGACTATACTGACTATACCGACTGTACTGACTGTACCGATTGCACCGATCGCACCGATTGCACCGATCAATTATACCGACCGACAATGCCGACAATGCCGACTGCCGAGACCCACCGCCCCCGCTTTTTTTGACTAAAGACACTGGAGCCTAGATCAATACACACCCTCAAGTTCGGTTAAACCCCGGATTTGAATTGCAAATTGCTAGTATTGGGTGCCGGATTGATTGCGATCGTTTTGGATACCCCGCACTAACTCTTGGATAAAATTCGGAATATTTATCTTGTATTTGGAAAGACCACTCAAACAAAGGCAAGTAAGTGTTGTTAGAATCACGTGACATGACGGCTTGTTCCCGGCACGAGTGCTTCCCCGTTTGTTCTAGATATCAGGCGTCTTCTCTCTTTCTTCCTTTCTTCTCTCTCTACGCAATCAAGATTCATATTCATTCCTTTTGCTTGTTTCCCTCGCCTCTGCCAGGTGTATCTAGTAAGCAATTGTGGAGAGAAGAAACGTCAATTCTAGGATAAAGTATACGAGTGAAAATGGGATAAAGCAGTTTAAAGTTTTTCAATGTTTACCCTGGTAATTAGGCGAAGGCTTGTGAACGACTCCTGAGGGCAGAGAAAATTGAACCAGCCCATCGTGACTATGCAAAATATGTTTACTTGGTGGACCCGATTGATGTTTGGAACACGAAGAATAGAGAGAGAACTTGAATTCTTCTACTAGTAAGAGGTCCATCTCCAGTTGAAAGGTTATTCAGATTGATCTGGCTTAATCGAAAAAGCCATTAACAGAATTGGATACCTGAACCGTCGGTTAGACAGAGAAAATGACGCAGTTGTAAGAATTTGGGGCTCATACCGCCGTCAATGATAACACTTTGTCCTGTTATCAGGTTTGAGTCCTTACCAGCCAGGAAGCTTACACAGCCAGCAATGTCTTCCGGGGTCTTTAGGAATGCGAGTCAGCTTGTATGGACCCAAGTGGAGGGGGGTTGTCGTACCGATGGCTTCTTCATAGCGGCGCGCTGCTCTACCGCCATTCTAAAGGCTTCCCCCTTCGGGATTCCCAAAGCACTGGAGTAACTGTCGTCGATTTCATCCCACATCTGCCAGTCCTTAGCGCAAGACTACATATGAGTTTAATGTCATTTGAATTCATACCGGTGTCTTCACAATACCGGGGCAGTAACAGTTGACCTTTGGCAAATTTCAGTATTTCTTCGTGTAGGTCTCTGAAGAATTTTCTTCTCACGTTGATTTGATGGGTTGCGAGCTCAAGAGCTGTAGCTTGAGTGAGTCCTCTGACAGCCCACTTGCTGACCGAATAAGCAATTGCAGTTGGTTGCTTGATTATTTCTTGGTTAGATCTTCCTCGAGGCGCAATATTATTTTGGATGTGATGATACCGGTCTGAAACCTGAAATAGAACAGGCACCAATAATCTTTCCACCACCACCTTGTTGAATCATTTGCTTTCCTGCGTGCTAATGTATTAACTTCAAAGTTTTCATCGAGGGCTTTTAATCATACCTGCGTGTTTGTAACAGAGGAAAGCCCCACGAACATTCACCTGCGCAATATTAGGCCGGATCTCGCAAATAACCCTTCTAACAAAACAAGGGGCTTCTTACAGCTTGGATTCTGTCCCAATCATCAGGTGTAATGTCCATCATGCGCTTGTTGAGAATTATTCCGGCGTTGGCAACCATGACCTGTGACCTATTAGAAGAACCCCAGAAGCCGTAGCACAGATAACCTACAGTCAAGTTACCGAGAGCCTCGACGGATGTGGAGATGATGCTTTCTACATCCTTCTCAAGACTGACATCACCGATGGCGATAACAGACTTCCGTCCTATCAAGGTATTAGATCTGGGAGTTTTATGTGATTTGAAAACCTACCTTTGCATTCAATTTCGGATTTCAGACTGTTTAACTGATCATGCTGTGACTTGATATCATTTACCTAGGCCTGTTAGACTCAAGTAAAGCTATGCTTCGGGAGTTCCTGATCAATACCGTCACGTCAAAACCATCATCAGCTAGACGCAAGGCAATTGCACGTCCGATTCCCTGGGAGGCTCCTGTGACTATAGCAGTCGGCATTTTGGGCTCGAGGATTGTAATTCTGGTAATTGCTTGTAAGTTAACTCGATACTTTCAGATGTCTGGAATAATATTTTATTTACCGGTTTACAACAGTTTTTTATACAGATATGCCTTCGGTAAAATCCTTGAATGACTCCATGACCGCTCGGCGCTCGTTCGGCATCCCTAGTCTTTGAACCCGACTGCCGACGGTAGTCCAAACATAGTGGATCTTCCTGTAACCATTCGGCTAGCTGGTTGTATAGATTGCAGACAAGAAAAAAAAAACAGTTCCACACTATCATTCGCTCGGGGATCCGAAGCTCGGACGGTATAAGATCCCCGGATTTTCCCCACACTTTCCACTCGCCGCCAATTTATCGATCCACCATAACAACAATGGCAACTAATGACTCAAGTCCGACCAAGATTCAGGGACTTGTAACCTCGAGTGCTGATCATATTGAATTTCAACCTGAGCAGGACAATGAGTCACATCTTGACAAAAAGCTGGTTCGCCGCATCGATTATCACCTACTTCCATGGCTCTGCCTTCTCTACGCGTTGTCGTTGATTGATCGCACCAACATTCCCTCCGCCAAGATAGCGGGAATGTCGGAGGATTTGAACCTCAATGGTAATCGATACTCTGTCGCGCTCGTCGTGTTCTTCGCCCCCTATCTTCTCAGCGAGTTGCCTAGCAACTTCATCATTCGTCGCATCGGCACAAGGTACTATCTCTCATTCCTAATTGTCTCGTGGGGAACCATATCCATGTGCCATGGATTCGTGGCCCAATATTCAGAGCTCGTTGGGTTGAGACTTATTCTGGGGCTTTTTGAGGGGGGCTTCAATGTCAGTTGTGTTGGGCCCTAGAAGTCAATTGTCACTAATATTCAGCCAGCCCGGCTGCATCTACCTGATTTCTTCTTGGTATAAGCGATATGAAACTCAACAGCGACTCTCTGTATGGTATATGTCTGGGTCAATAATTTCGGGGTTTAATGGGATAATATCATACGGATTGAGCACACTAGAGGGACTCGGTGGACGACGAGGTTGGAACTGGATATTCATCATCCCCGGCGCTATTACTATTTTTCTTGCAATCCCGATCTTCCTGTTCCTGACAGACTTTCCCGAAAGCTCATCGTGGTTGAGTCCTAGTGATCTCGAGCGAGTCCAGGAAAGACTTCGAGAGGACCGCGGTGAACAAATAGATGATAAGATCAGCTTTCAAAAAGCCTTGAGAGATCTCCGAGACTGGCGAATATGGGTTCTGGCAAGTCTGCTTTTCTTTCCTACGGCTGGCTCCTACACGATGGCCTTTTTCACCCCGTCAATTCTTTCCGGACTTGGGTACGATATAGCTTTTTGTCAAATTCTCGTCACCCCGCCGTATTTGCTGGCTGCGATATTCGCCATCGTAACTGGCATTATCTCCGACCGCGTGCGCATGCGCAGCCCGTTCATCATTGGCTTCTCGATTGTTACTCTTGCAGGGGTCATAATGATATCCTGGGGTAATAACACTGGTTGCAAAATGGCTGGAATATTTCTTGCCGTTGTGGGCAATAATTGTGCTATTCCTACTGTCTTGGCCTTTTTGTCTAACAATATTGTTGGATCTAGCAAGAGGCAGATTGCCGTTCCGCTCCAGACTAGCTTTGGTGCCCTGGGTGGAATATTTGGATCGTTAGTCTTTCGAGAACAGGATTATCCTGCCTATCGGCCTGGTATATATGCTTCCATCGCTTGCATTGTAGTATGCATGGCGATCACTCTTGGCATTACGGTCCATTTTTATCGTGAGAACGAGGCGGCCGATAAGAATGGCAAAATTCTGGAGGGACTTGAAGGGTATCGCTACACTCTTTGATCGAAGGCCTTGGGCAACTATCAGGACGTGCATTGCCATATTCAATCACTAACTGTCTGCTCTTTGAGCTATTTGTTTCATGTATTGAAAAGAATATTAACAAAATAAATTTATGAAAAGGCCCGTTATTTTCTTAGAAGCAATGAGCACCACTAAACACATAGAAGTCATGATTCCACTCCGTTCAATATTCTACTAGTAAATTATGGCCTCGACTTGCCAGTGAATCTGTACTAAATCAAATCAAATCTTGAGCTGTAATCAGCTGCTAGCATTGGTAAATAGCTGATCTGTATAGCATTCTTCAAAGATAGAGGTCAATCCCAGGGATCTACTGGAAACTCTCACTGAAGAGGAGGATAGATCATCGAAAAGCAAGTATTGCAAGTAGCTCAATTCCAGGGTTGCATTGCTAAGCTATAGAATTCGCTTCCAACGAATGTAATTCATATCATCTTATCTGGTTCATCCAAATACCAAGTAGAATTCTTCTCAGGGTCTTCCCACGAAGAGAAGCCATTGCCCAAATAGCTAAATCTATTATTGGTCCAATGCGTGTAGTCGAAATCTTCGCCACGGAATCTCTGCAGCATATGAAACCAATGGATACGACTTCCGGGGTGTAATGCAGTCACTGGGCCATCCTGCTCCCCGTTTTTGAACCAGGAACGACAGCTTCCAGACCAAGCTGTTCGCGGCATGAAAGCTGCGATATGGACAGAAAGTTCATCCACCGCTTGCTGCTTGGGAACGATTGATTTGATGCACTCCTCCTGGCATTTCTGAATGATTCTAGTAATATACTTGGATGCAAGCTCAGTGATAGTCAACACACTGCCGTGTCCGATGGGAGCGTTTGGCCCAAGGAAAGCTAGCCGAAAATTAGCAATCGTTCAATGCCAAATGCGATCAAATACTTACTGAAATAGTTCGGCATGCCAGGAACTGCCATAGACATATAAGATGATGGCAGTTCCTGAGTCCAGATATCTTGCAGATTTCCCTTTCTGCCGATTATTGGGAACCTTGGGCAGAACGAAACGTCAAATCCAGTGGCGCAGACAATTGCGTCGACTTCAATAGTCTCGTCCTCAGTTGTGATGAGACCCTTTTCATATATAGATTTGATTCCATCCGTCACAACCTGTACGTTGGTCTTATGAAATGCTTCCAAATAAGCCGGGCTTGGAGTGATTCGGCGACATCCAAATGGGAAGTCGGGCACCAACTTTTCTATCAGCTTCCCGTTGCCCTTCAGAGCCCCTTGCATATATTTGGTCATTGCTTCTTTTATGATAGGGGCGGTTGCGTTTGAATTCACCAGCTATTTCAAATTATTAGTCGATGTTAAGGGCGATCTCCAGATATCAGGAATGGTACTCACGTAGTCGAATTTATTATTTACCACCTCCTCTGTAGCTTTAACAAATTGCTTGTATAGTTCTTTATCGTTTTTGAACTTTTCGATCTGAGCAGATGAGAAGAATTCGCCATCTAGTTCCAACTGGGAAACAACTTGACCAGCTGTACTTGTGGTCATTCTTTCCATACTCCCCGGCGCTATCCACGTGGGAGAGCGAAAGAAGTGAACGAGGGTTTTGACATCTATACTGAGTTAGCACGAATTATCTTCTTTGTTGCCCATGACTTACCTGGCTGCATCGCAGGAACAATCTGGACGCCAGAGGAGCCATTGCCTATAACTGCGACTCTTTTGTCCTTGTAGACAAAACTTTCATCCCAGTTCGCACTATGAACCAATTCACCTTGAAAATTGTCTAAACCCGGGATATCTGGCCATTTCCAATTGCTTTTCATGGTTAGAGTCTTATTTGGCGTGTGAATTGTTCCCGGAGCACGTACTTGAGAATACCCGAGCCATCTAGAAGAAAATGGGCAGAATCGAGCTTTGTAGTATCGGTCCCGAGATCTCTGACCCGAACATGCCACATACCCTCTTCTTCGTTCCATTCCGCATGTTCAACTTGATGATTAAGTCTGACTGAATCATAAAGTCCTTCTTTGATTGCCACATGTTTAAGGTATTGATGTATTTCGGGTGCAGGGGAGTAAAATTTGCTCCAGCTGGGATTGGTTGCCCAAGAAAACTGATAATTGTGCGATGGAATATCACACTGGCAGCCTGGATATCGATTCTCAAACCATGTCCCTCCGATATCAGCGTTTTTTTCGTAAACGACATTTTCAGAGAGAGGGAAATTCTTCTGAAGTGTTCGTATCATGTTCAATCCACTCGCTCCAGCTCCTATAGTAATGATTTTCACAGGAGAGATGGAGCCGAGTGGTTGTTCCAAGACGGTGTACGTAGAATCCGTAGACCCACTACTATCATTCTGGTTGTTTTTGTTTGTCATATCGAGATTCAATCAATATTGTCTGATTGATTCAAAGATGAGAAAGGAAAAATAAATTTTCAATGTTTCAATATCGAATTTGATGATGCTTTTTTGTGGTGTAACAGTAGGATATTATATTTATATATATCAAGTTGTGCTCATATCCGGTTCAAATGTTCAATGAAGGCCATGTAAATCATAATTATATCGCATGTTTTCGTCGGCATGCCTCGGTATCATACAGCTTCGGTCTATTTGAAGGTGCAAGCAGGGTCCAATAGTCCTCGGCAGTCGGCAGATGGATGACTGGCCTGACTTGACCTCGGGCTCGGCAAAGCTCACCCGGCCTTTTTGAAGAAAACCACCCCTATGGTTTAAAATGTTACTAGTCAGCAGCTTTGAAGCCCATCACAAAGGGGATAATTTTCGAACAGCAATCGAATGTTGTCCGCCAACATGAAAGCAGCTGTTTTGTCCAGTATTGGAGGCCCGGAAGGCTTCAAATGTTTGGACGACATACCGATTCCAGAGCTACAAGAAGGCACAGTCATAGTCAAAAACAAAATTTCCAGCATTAATTATGCTGATGTTTATTTCCGTACTGGGATTTACCCAAGTGCTGGGAATACGGACCTCATTCTAGGCCAAGAAGCAGCTGGGGTTATTGTGGCCGCCCCTGTCGACGAACCTCTCGGTCTCAAGAAAGGTGACCGGGTAGTTTGGATTGCTCAAGGCGCATATGCACAGTATACGCGCGTTCCGACATCCCAAATTATCAAGATTCCACAGGGAGTCGAAGATGAAGATGCAGCTGGTGCTTTCTTGGCTGGAATGACCGCGCTGACTCTCATCAGCGAAGCTTTCCCAGCCAAAGCCGGGGATTGGGCTCTTGTTCATGCAGCAGCGGGAGGCGTTGGATTGCTTCTCTGTCAAGCGCTCAAGGACATGGGTGCCGTGGTGATCGGAACTGCCGGTGGTCCGGAAAAGTGCCAACTGGCGCTTCAGAATGGAGCGTCTCATGTCATTGATTATCGGGCGGAGAAAGAATGGCCAAAGAAGGTTCTCGAGCTGACGGGTGGTCGCGGCGTCGATGTTGTAAGTATCTCGTGTTCCCCCATTCATCGCACCGGATTTGACAACGTATAGGCCTACGATGGCGTTGGTAAAGACACCTGGGAAGGTACGATTCAAACTATCGGGCTTTTTGGAACGGCTGTCTTTATCGGGAATGCAAGTGAGTTTTCCATCCGAGTCTTATAATTTATTTCAATGGAAGCTGATCCTTACAGGTGGCGCTGTGCCTCCAATCGGTCTTGAGAAATTGACCGCGAAAAACATTTCTCTTATTAGGCCAACTCTGCGAAACTACATCTCCACGAGATATCGGTTGGAGAGATATGGAAATAAGGCCCTTGAAATGGTCCAGCAGGGGAAGTGGAAGATTCTCAAACATGACCGCTATTATTCACTTGAAGAAGTTGAACAAGCCCATCGGGATCTGGAGAACCGAGCTACAAAGGGGAAGCTTTTGATTAGACTATAGCTTATCTTATGTAAATAGTGTGGAATAGATCGTTTTGAATCTGGGAACTTCATCTAAGAATCTTTTGTTTTTTGATATGGCTTGGAACTCGATAGACATGATCAGGTGCCCGTAGCACCGCCTGCTACTTCATGTCAGCTCGACTAAAGTTAACAAAACCAATAGCCTAGAGCTGGAAAATTGTAATGGAAGATCATCATTCAAGCCATGTATTGATAATCTCCGTGACTGGAATATTATTCAATTGATAATGAATGAAGGAGCGGTGTGTAGATATAGGCACTGGTAACTACTGGTGAACCATGATGATCACGACTTTGATAGGAGATACATGGACAGTAGCAAACAAATTTGAATTGAAGCAATTTCGACAAAACATTTGAATGCATTCTCGAGTTGAAATTGATGTATACTCATACTAGCATCAACAATCATCATTTTTTCAGAGCCCGCTATATGAAGTCTTCGTTTATCGAGCTTTGGTCATTCGACTAAACTTTCGGTTTCCCCTTAACTGCGGCAACAACCTCACTAGCAGTGGCAAGTGCGTCTCGCCCAGCGGGGACTCCACAGTATATCATAGCATGTCTGCATGCTTCACATATTTCTTCCTCAGTAAGGCCGTTGTGGAGTGCTGCGGCGACATGAATCCTCAGTTCGGGCCCACGGTTCAGAGCAGTGAGCATGGCAATATTCATCAAGGACCTCTCGCGAAATTTCAGGCCAGGTCGTGCATAGCTCGAAAAGCAGACCTCGGCAATATACTCTTGACTGGTTTGCGTGAAAATATCTTCACTCTGTACTTCAGTTAGTTGTCAGAAGAAAGGAAATCGTGGTAATTATCAAGCAACTTACAGTATTTGCTCGTAGTTTTGTCAAAAGCTCTTCCCCAAGAAACTCTTTCGTCATTTGAGCTCCAAGAAGGAACTTTTCGGAGGGTGGTTGGGTCATGGCTGAAGATAAAGGTACCTTGAAAGCGACTTGAGTGATACCAAACACTGATAATGTGATTCATTTGGAGAATATGGCGCTATATATTATAACAGGATATTTGAACTGAAGCCGAATGTACTACTAGTGACATCATATGGCAAAAGACCGAGGCTAATCCCACTCTTGAGTGAGGGGTCGTTATTTTAATCTCGGTATATTATGCTTGGTTTTCTGGCGTAGTTTCGCAGTCAATGGTGAGCTAAACGAGGTGGAGGATACCCGTACTTGGATGTTTGATGTCGGCATTCAAATCGGCTGTGGCCCAGGTTAACCGAGCTATGTTAGCCGAAGGCTCGGCAGTCGCCTTGTCACCGTACATATGTAGTACTCAACAATTGCCTTTCTATTACCAGCAGAATAATTCATACAATGAAATCACTCCTCTTAACTTTGTTCAGCACCCTGCCATGATTATTCTGTATGATTCCCGGCCGAGACCGCTGTACATCAGAGCGAAAATCAAAATGATCCTTTGAAGAACTATCTATAAATCTTTTGTCCATGAAAATACATGTGCATGTGGTTTTTTCAGCGATAGCAAATTTTAGGCAGTCAATCCCGTAATCATTGAAGTATACCGTGACCTTGGAAACAGCTATGAACAGTAGATGCACAAAAAGATTTATTACTAGTCCTTGAGAGATACCTTCAAATAAGTCCTAATGATTTGGTAAGATATATTCCTATAATGATGTCCCATTCCGTAAAATTATCCTAGAGCACTAGCTTTGGAGCTAGTTATGAAGTGATGTTTAAAAGTTGATATGTGTACCTGCACATGTGGGGGGATGCGCAGCCCCGGAATTACCCCGCATTGTTTTCTAGATCATCAACCGTCGATGTCACCTGACCTCCGCCTTCCTCCGAGTCATTCACCACTTTTCAAATCTCTTACCTTCAATCGCCTTTTCCTATCTTCAGAGTCGATTCAGCTTCAAGATGAATTCGAGCCTTCCTCGGGAAAGGGCACATACGGTCTGCATTCAGTGTCATGGGCGGAAGGTATGTTTTTGTTCCCTCCACCTCTTTCTCGAGATTGCTTAAAATGACCAAGCGCGCCTAGGTCAAATGCAATTTGGAAGATAGCCTGAGTAGCACATGCAGTAACTGTCTCAGATTCGGTCATCAGTGCATGTGAGTTAGACTGAACTGCTCAAACTCGTGGCTAGTCGCTCAATGTGATAGTTGAAGACCCCGGACCGCCAAACGCCTAAAGCGAAACCGTTCGAGTCATTGCGCTTCAAATCCAGCAATTTACCAATCAACAAACAACTGCCAGGCATCAGTTGCTAAATCTCAATCGCCGTGTTCGTCACCAGTGCAATATGAAAATAGATCAAATGGAGATCAAAGCCAACCAGAACAACATGCTGGTTTTATCGCCGACCACTCAGTTCTGGCATACAACAATCCCTCGCCATTGACCGCTTCAGAAGGTTGGTTATCACCTTCAACACGGATCAAAGAAGCGGTCCTGGCAGCGACAGAGGCAACCACTCTTCCTACTCCACCGTTACGACGAGCGTTGATTGACGCGTATTTCGAGCATGTCTTTCATAACTATCCGATTGTAACTCGAGAAGATGTCTCATCGCCTCATGCATCTCTCATACTACAACAAGCAGTTTGTCTTGCCGGTAGCCTGGTGATGCGTGGAATCGATAATCTTCAACTCGCCTATTCACTCTATGAAAAAGTCAAATCCCTCATCTATCTCAATTATGAACCTGACGAGCTGGCAACGCTGAAGGCAATGTGTCTCTTGTCATGCTGGAGTGTGAAGCCACCGGACAAGATTAGTTTGGATGGTCCATGGTACTGGACTGGAGTCGCCTCCAGGCTTGCGATTCAGATGGGTCTTCACAGAGAGTCAACATACACCAACAAACCCGCATCGAGTCATATCCGAGCAATCTTCTGGAATCTACATGTTTGTTTACCTCGTCCCCTATTGAGGACAGCTAGAGATTTTTAACGATGTGAAAACACAGAATGGAGATAAGCTCCAAGTCGCATGTTGGGGCCGTCCACCAGCTATCAGCCTGAAGTATGCAGACGTTCGTCCGTTGGAGGTGGGCGACTTCGAGAAGCCAAACATTCAAATCAAAGTATTTATTTACGCCACGATGCTTTCGACAATCTTTGGCGAAATTGCAGAACTGCATCTAGAAAAACAACCTGTTCCGCCTCATGAAGCATTGGGACTTACCCGGGCACTATGCAACTGGGTGAAAGAACTACCCGATGAACTTCGACTCTACAATAGCGATGGCAGTAGAAAGGCCTTTAGTCGTCCAGTCTGCGAACTTTTTATTAAGTATTTCGCTGCAATAATCCTGTTGCATCTTCTTCAAAGCGAGATAAATCGACAAAGATGTCCATCGTCAAGATCACTCATAGCAGCATCATGCATGTCTCGTCTGTACGAGGAGATCCATTATAGGGAACAAGCATGTTGTTTGCTTCCTATAAACGGATTTTTCTGTATGCTTGCATCCCTTCCACTGCTATATTACCAGCCTCAATCGACAGAAAAGAAATCTCTTCGCCAGGAGGAACTCGAAATTATTTGCACAGTTATGAAAAGCATGCAGCCAAAATATGGTGGATCTGAAATGGTGCTCACAAAAATCCAACGTCTAGAAAAGGAGGTCCAGGCTTCCCTACAGCGATACCTCCAAGAAACAGGCGCATCCGGCCTACCTGGAGATGGTATCTTACACAATCCCTATCAATATTTGCAGGAATTGTTTCCATTCCCTTCAACTATGTGTACCCATATGGATCTGATTGGAGAGTCTGCAGAGTTCGCAAAAGAAGCGCTTGACGAACCATTGGCGATAGATGAGGAGTGGGCTAGCTTGCTGATTTCAGAAGGCCACAACTTTCTTGACCTCTTTGAACTCTCCAATTATGCAGCTCTGCCTCCAGAGTGAAATGTAACTAGTACTTAGATACTGAATGGAACCATTATCTTCCTGCTGACTGCTTCAGTCAAGGTTTTCTTAACAGAAGATCGACAACCAGATAGAAAAAACAAGAGAATTCGAAATTCTAAATTATCATCTCACATCACACATTTTAGCCGATACCTCAGATGGACCATGTATTTGAAGAACTTGCTGAAATTTGCCTTGGGATTTGACTGGGGGATGGCCGCAGCTTTGGACCGACATGTAGTTCATATGGCACCATTCCGTACATCCTGAGAGACCGGATTATACCAATCCACACTCCCATAAGTGATTGCACGATGGATCATAGGATTGGCCTTATCTGCTCCATGCCAATGGACTGTTCCGGGTGGGCACCAGATAATGTCCCCAGCTTTGACTCTCCGAGGTTCATCTCCTTTGTCACATACCCACCCAGATCCCGTGGTTATTTCAAGGAGTTGGCCATGTTCATGATGATGCCAGTATGTTCGCGAACATGGAGAAAATTTGACATCGAGAATTGATAAGTTTTCATCTTTGAATAGGCGATGGAGAGAGACGTCACCGCTGAACGTGCCCATTGTTTCTTTTGTAAAGACACTTTTTGTCAACTCGGTTGCAGTGATGATATTCATTATGAATTTCAGTTTTGAGGCGCTTGAGGTGGCTCAAACTCTGGGGATGATGATTTCCAGATGTCAAATTATGGGTTCAGCCGTATGAAAAGACCATGAATTTTTGATTCCTCGGCTCTTGTTAGTAAACTCATGATCGGTGAAGTTACCCCGCCAGATAGGATACTGCTCGGCTCTCGGCATTGAGATGTAAATGCCGGTACTGCCGATGCCGAGCACGGTCTTTTCCTATTACCCACTACTAGTGAGGCAAACATCTCGAATTGAGGGGCTGTATTTTCTTTAGGGGACTATGAAGAAATACGGGGCTCAGTATATTTAAGAAGTTGTCTTGTGCCTAATATTGTGAGTCGTGCATGAGCCCGGATTTCCTAAGTTACCGGCTATTATTTTTTCAAAGAAATCATCTTGAATATGGTGGTGGTTCCTGACTCAGACCAGACAGTTCGCGTCAGGCTGCTGGACACTACAACGTATCTCACTGGCATCGCAAAGGTCTTTGTTGATCCAGTTGTTGCCGGCCATGAAACCTTTTCCTTTAACGATTTTGCGTTCCTTATTGAGAATCAACGTCTTGGAAAGAAGGTCATGTTCGACCTCGGCACGCGCAAGGATTATTGGAATCTTGCCCCTTCCGTTCAACAGATTTTTGGTACTGACAGTGTCATGACGGGAATGAGGATTGATAAGAACGTTAGTGAAATTCTCACTGACGGTGGAATTGAACTAAGTGAGATTGGTAAGTACCGTATGACATATTCAACAGTCGAGACCATTGTTCTAAGAGCCTTTTGTTCAAGACTCTTGTATCTGGTCTCATTATCACTATGATCATTGCGGGAACATGACGCCATTCCCGTCATCCACCAGTATCACAGTCGGGACTGGATTTACCACCTCCGGTCTACTACCTGGCTATCCCGAAAACCCCGAATCTCCTGTTTTGGCAGCCGACTTCGAAAACAGAGACCTGATAGGGATCAACTTTGACGAGGGTCTCACAATCGGCGGATTTGCGGCTCACGACTACTTTGGAGACGGTTCTTTTTATCTGCTCGACTCCCCCGGGCATTGCGCGGGGCATATATCAGCATTGGCCCGCACGACATCATCCTCGGCGGACGGAGATGATACTTTTGTTTTCCTAGGAGGCGACATCTGCCATTTTGCTGGTGACTTCCGGCCATCTCACGATAAACCTCTGCCACAAACTCTCCCTGTGGGCTTCTCTAATCGACGCAAGACACCAATTCAGTGCCCATGTTCCTTGACATCACACCATCCCTATGCGACCAACGAAGCAGATTCCCAGACAACCCCATGGTACAAAATGGCCAGTCAGTTCCCCACGGCCTACCATGACTTCGAACTTGCCAGATCATCAGTTCTCAAAATGCAAGCTCTGGACCAAGATGACAATATTCTAGTTTGTCTCGCCCACGATGCGATTCTTCTTGATACTTTTCCTCTCTTTAATAAATCCCCTGAAGCAGACATGAATAACTGGAAGAGCAGGGGAATGAAAGAGAAGTGTCACTGGGGGTGGCTAAATGATATTGCCTTTGATGGCAAGCCTGCTAGAGATCCCGTGGTTGAAGGGTTTTGGAGAGATGAGAAACCCTGGGACTATGGAGAATTCAAGAAAACCTTGGGTCTACCACCCCTACCAACTATTTGATTATGTATTAGTACTACTACTAGTATAATACTTGATATCCAAATAAATTTCATATTTAGCTATTGTAACTATACTACTATAGAATAGTAGTTTATGTGGATAAAGCTTTGATATTTTTGGGGAGTACTAGTATCAATTCATTACAAGTAGCTCTATACTATATACCTCTGAGTCGTGTGCCCTGCTCGAGCGTTTGAAAAGTTCGCTCAAAATTGGTTATCCGGGTACACATGTGCATACTACGTATTGCATGTGGCGCAGCCATCCGACACAAACATGTAATACGAGAGCAATTGAGTGACCAGCTCTATATGGGTGTTGGAACGCTGTGTTTGCTAAGTCTCAATTGCCACGCCCATAAGAATAAAAGCGGGACTATTGAATGCAAACAGTGCAAACGACATAAACACATCGGAAATGACATGACATGACGCGCAGCGCGCAGGGACTTTTCAACACAAATAACTCAGCGACATCCGTCAGGGCGAAGATATACTCAAAAAAAAAAAAAAAAAAACATACAACAGTCAGGATTCGCATGTGGTCACCCACCATACTACTAACTGACCGGCGTGTGGCTTAAGTACGGCTGAGCGGACGGGAAGCCCTGTTCTCCACACCCTATGGTCGTATGTACCAGAAATAAAGATGGAGTGCATTATAACCTAATTACTTATAGCCTACTGGCACATCTACAACATGATCCTTGCCTTGCGTACTCGATCGAAGGCGTTATACCAGGAGGCTTCAGTACTAAGCTCCTCAGTAAATCCTAGAGCTCGTGCTCTTCCTAGATCGAAAGGCCGATCGAAGTCCATCAGACGAAGACTGCCCATTCTAGCTCCAGTGTTGTGCATGCTCTTGTAAATGATATCCTCCTGGAGATTGGCCTTGCGACACAAGTTCTGGAATTCCTCCCAGTGACGCTCCACATAAACTGTTGGGTGAACACTCGAGTCATCTGGGCCTGTGCCTTCAAGACCAAAGTAACGAGCGAGTACGGGCCATCGCTGAGACCATGAAACGGGGGTTGCACTGTCAGCGATATTGAATGCACGAGCATGCACTTTCTCCCGGTTTTGGAACGATGCGTGTATACAGAAGCGAGCTATGATGTCCTGATTGGAATCCGTTGAAAGCAAACGCCATGTAGTCTCGTTTCCAGGGAAGGGAACTCGGGCGCCCTCTCCTTCAAGAGCCCGGTATAAGCCCAAGTAAATGCCCATAGTCTGAGCCATGCAATTTGCGTTTCCAAAGGGGGCCACACCGACCTATGAAGCTATTCATTAGTCAGGCACGCCGGGATTCGGAGTTTTGATGCCTACAATAACATCCGGTCGGACCTCGCACCACGACCAGGTCTTGCCAACGGAGAGCTTCTGGAGGAGGTCTACCTCATGATAGTAGAACAAATCCTTCGCGTACTCCGCAGGGACACGAGGCAAATCTTCCTTCAATGGGACTTGTCCTCGGAATGGGAACTTTTCCAGTAGATAAACACCGTAGGCCTGCAGAGAGACATTAGATTAATCTAATCTTCATCCATGAGTAAATAGGCCCTACCTTAGTACCCGTAATCAAGGTGACAAACTCCAACTTCGAAGAAACGGCTTCTAAGCCTTGAACGGCCGCGCGAAGCATCTCCTTGTTAACAACACATTCCTCCGCTGGCGTGTCGCTTGCGCGGTATGCTGTTTATGGTTAGCGACACAGAAGAACGAATTTCAAATAATCCCAAACAAAATCCATATCGAATAACATTATGTGGGCCCTTACCTGCATAGTAGACGTGGCTCACGGTCTCGATGGAATTCCCTTTTTCGGCAAATGCTTTTACGAGGGAAACATCATCTTTGCCCAGGAGATCAATACCGGTAATGATCTGTAATCGGTCATTTTGTGGCCATTTTGCATCCTCTGCAGTGAACGGTCGATTGGCAATCGCGGTCACTTTAGAAAAGGATTCAGCTGAAGGGTATCCCGACAGGAGCTGATTGACCAGAGCCCAGCCATTGATGCCAGAGCATCCAAACACGACGGCATGTTTGCCAGTTTCGTGATGACGAATATCCCCCATGGCGGTAGAACAGAGACTTTGTCTTCACAAGAGGCTTTAACTTGATACAGAGAACGAAAATAAAACCTCGCTGGATTTCCATTTTTCGAGTCGAATGACCGCCCAACTCATTAACCACGGCAAAAGACGCACCTCCAGTCAAAAGACCGAACCTAATGCCTAGGTGGGGAGGAAGTGCGCAATTTAATTTAGTTTTGGAGCGAAGGATCCCCTGGGTTATTTGCTGGTACCAAGGAGGTGGGCCCAAAGCCCCACTATAGAAGACTCTCTGAATCTCCGCGGCGGGCGATGATGAATAAAAAGTAATTAATTTGCATGCGTATGTACATACCTCGCAATCGCAGCACAGCGCACTTTGCACTAGCATCATCTGGTCCCATAATTTCCTACTGCAATCCTTCGTTGAACAGCCCCCAACCTTTCCCATTGATTCTTTTTTTCAGATCTGCAGAGATTGGGGCCGTTCCTCTGTAGCTCGGCTTACCTATTCCAAATTCTCGGCGACACAATAAACTGCCCACATGGTCGTCTTGGGTGTCAAAGAAATGGAATGAGTGTATATCGGTTAGCCCCGAACTCTATATAAGAAAGTAGATTGCAAAGGTTCGAACTAAATCCATTGACTCCAATTATTATAGGCAGCCCCCGAGTCCCGAGGTCCTTGGAATGTTATTCGTCGATACCTGAGTCTCATCTATGCGTATTGAACCAAAATCCATAGTTCTTGTTCTTACTTATCTTTAATGTAGGATCGGGCTTCCTGAAGTCCTGCATGGTCTTTATTCCTGATCCTATTCATTTTTGCATAAACTATATGCAGGGCCATTATCCCTTTCCTAAGTCACTGGCTCAAGGGTAGCTTCTGGAAACCCATATTCATTCCTCGGCCATTTTCAGTTCAAGTTATGGAGATATGGTCAAGGGCCACCTCCAGCGACTCTTCTGTCGATCTTAACGAGTCGAAAGTCCCGTCGATCATTATTTGCAATACGGTGCTCATAGTGGCATCCACAATCGCGCTCGCGGTGCGACTGTTGGTCCGAACTCGATATCTATCAGGGATTGCGATGGACGATGTATTTTGTGTCATTGGTTGGGTAAGCTGAAGGACTGGGTGCCAGTGGGACGTTCCTTGATTGCTAACAGATTACTTCCATCTTAGGTATTTGGGGTTATCGAATGTCTAGTGTGTATATCAAGTATGCCACTCAGCACGCCTTAACAGCGAAATTCTGGACTGTTTTCCATCGACGATTCGAACTGACATGCATTTCAAGTGACAAACTACGGGTATGGAAGACACATCGGAACTGTGACACAGGAGAGCACATTGTCAATATTTTTGAAGGTATGCATAAATTATCTCAACGAAGCGAATCGGCTAATTTTCTGAATTTATTCTTTCTCAGCTTGACTTCGTTACGGAAATCACCTATTTGCTCTCGTTGGGCGCGATCAAACTCTCGTTTTGTTTCTTCTACTTGAGGATTTTTCCAGGCGACACTCTTCGCAAAATCTCTTGGGCATTGGTGGTAATTATAATTGCAGAGACGATAGAGGAGGTCTTCGTCGTCATTTTCCAGTGCAGTCCAGTTTCAAAAGCATGGGATGCATCCGCTGAAGCGCCGGGAAAATGTCTCTCACTGGGGGCATTTTACTACATTTCGTTCGGAATTCGGCTGGTTACAGATATTGCCATATTCGTCCTTCCGATCCCCAGATTGCTACAACTGCAAATGACGGTCGGCAAACGAGCAGGCCTAGTTTTCATGTTTGGGCTCGGTGTTCTGTACGTTGTGGTTCTTTGTTTCTCCCTAAACACCCCAGGTTCCAAAAGCCCGTTTTTACTGACCCTCCCATCAGTGTTGTTGTGACGAGTATCATTCGAATTACGTATCTCAACAATTTCTCTCTGGACCATACATGTGAGTTCCTTTCTTTCAATTGCTGTATCTATATTTCGAAATATAGCTGATCGGCCTAGGGTCTCTCGTGAACACATTGAATTGGTCATCAGTGGAGCTCGGCGTGGCCATTTTCATTGCCTGTTTCCCCTCATTCAAGACGCTTGTGACCGTCCGATTCCCCGGGCTCCGCCGTATCTTAGGTCTATCCAGTAACCGAAGTTGTGGGCGGTACGAAATGTATGGGGCATCGGGTCGCCGGACGGATGATCCCCGATCGTGGGCCGGTCGGGCCCACGCAAATACCAAACTCGGGCATATCACCACATCCTCGCAGGCTCAGATAAAGGTCGAAGCAAGTCGCATTGGATCAGAGGAGTACATTCTAGCGTCGGATTCACCGGTCGGGATCCAGGTTACGACAGACGTGAGCGTGAATCGGTCGGAGAGTACGACACCTTCGGGTCCTTGTGTTGTGAATTGGCCCCTCAAGTAATGACGCGGATAATAATAATGTTAGAATAGAAGGGGTTAAGATTTACATTTTGTTTTCTAGACTAATATCCAAATCAATCAAAAGTTCGACCTTTTAAGCTAGCGCATGCCCTAGCGCATAAGCGAGGTAGCATGTTGATGGATTTAATAGGATCTGGTATTTGGGCCTACAGGGATTGTACTTCGTGGCCCCCGGCTCCGACGCTCCTGATGCTTTCGTTGTTAAAATTTCCCCACTCAACTAATCAAGCCTTGCAAATGTGGGTTTCGACCGGATAAATTAATAGACAATCTGGACCTCGTCCAGCCGTGATGTGTTGATATGGATTGATCCTTGCGAACGGCGAATTAGAAAACTCTTAAGTGAAGCCTCCAGCAAGGGAAGAAGAAGAGGAAGAGAGCTCTATGTAGAATATCAAGGGAAACACGGGAAAAGGGGAAACATCCCTGTAAGGAATGGAGAGAATTGACCAACCCAGATCGGTTTCCAGGCTCCACTGATGTACTTAAGTGGGGGATCAAGCTCAAGCCAATCGGCGCCACCGAGCGGGAGGCTGGAGCTATGGGAATGAACCCAACCCTCAAAGTACCACCGATGGATTCAAGTGCCCTGGTAGTTTTGTTTTGAAGCTTGTATACTATTAACTAGGTTGCCCATACATTGAAAAATCAGTCATCGGGCTCCAGGCCTAGTGCTATTTGGGTGGCCTGATTCAGTTTCCCGATCCTCAATCTAACATGTGTGCTCCGTATGTATATTCTCGTATGGAAATGTCGTCGGCAAACTGCCGAACGTTACATGCAGCTTGTTTCAGTATTTCCAACTTCTCGAACCTGAGAAACTTTTTTTTGCGCCATGCTAGTCCATTCCATCAAGACAAGAAGCGAAGCTAACGAGAGGCACAAACTCATGCGCTAAACTTGCGACCGGCTATTATCTGAAACCGCTTAGTCCCGATAATCAATTCGAGCTCTCCGCATGTTTTCTTTGCCTTTTTCTCATGTTCTGACTTCTGATATCCATCCCCTCCCTCACACACCAGGTAATTGGGCTCTCTCTGCCAAAGAAACAGAATGGCTGCTTTCAAGTCCCAAGCTGATTCTGAAGCTACTCCTGTGCCCTCAAGTCCAACAATGTCGAGTGGCCAGCATGAAGTTAATCTCGATGAGCTGCCAGCCGGTTACTATCACAGCAAAAACTTCATCGGGTCCCTAGCTGGTGTTTGCTTGATGGCTATCAGTTTGTACCTGGGTTACACCTTGCCGGTGAACAGTTTGACTGCTATCAATGCAGACCTTGGGCCAGACCCAAGCTATAGTATGATCACAACGATGTTCACACTAATTTCAGGTGTATGTGCCATTTCGCGAAACCGCCTCCACCACTTTGACTCTCCGTGCTAATTGAAACTGCAATCGCGTAGGTCGCTGTGCTTCTGGTCGGGCGATTTGGTGACATCTTCGGACGACGATATTTCTTAATTGGAGGGCAATCTCTCGGCCTGCTTGGTGCTATTGTCTGCGCGACTGCAAAGAACATCCCTACCGTTATCGGAGGAAGTGCGCTTTGCGGTCTTGCAGCTTCTGTGCAATTAACCTTCTCGTTCGTGATCGCGGAATTAGTACCGAACCGATTGCGCCCCCTCGTCAACGCCGGTATCTTCATAACCACTTTGCCTTTTGCTGGATTCGGGTCTTTGATCGCGAAGCTGTTCATTGCGAATACCTCTCAATCATGGCGTTGGAACTACTATTTGAGCATCATCACTTGTGGTTTATCGGTTATTCTGTTTGCTTTTTGCTACTTTCCTCCCGGCTGGGAATTGAAACATAAGGGTCAAAATAGACTCCAGGCTGTGAAGGACTTTGATTATATTGGCTTTTTCCTCTACGCTGGAGGTCTTGTCTTGGTACTTCTTGGACTTTGTAAGTGCAGTTCATGCTCAGCTTAGCCCTATAGACTGACTGGAATTAGCTTGGGGAGGCACCTCCTATGCTTGGAGCTCAGCGCATGTCGTTGCTGTTCTTGTTGTTGGATTTGTTTCACTAACCGCATTTACTCTATACGGTAAGAATCATCTGGACTCGGATTCGCCTCGCGGGACTAACATTCATGCTTCTGCAAGAAATCTTTGTTCCTCTAAGGCAACCGGTGCTTCCTATGTCACTTCTGAAGAATCGCGGGTATAGTGCGACCGTTGGTTCCGCATTGGTTGGAAACATGGTATTCTTCGCTCTCAGGTAAGACCACTGTTTTCTTCAAGAAAATGCGACAAACTTTCTAATCTAAGACCATTAGTCTTTTGTGGCCGCAGGAGATTGAGGCTTTGTTCACGACTGACAATATTAAGTCTGGTTGGTTGTCGGTATGTCATCCCTATCTTTGCAACCCGTGACAAGAGCATTCCCTTAAGTTCTTTTAGATCACTACTGGAGCCGGAGTCATCGTTGGTGAGGTTGTTGCTGGAGCTTTGATGAAGCCAATTGGACACTCTAAGTATCAACTTATTGCATCAACCGTCATCATCACAGCCTTCTCTGGTGCACTGGCCGCAGTGAATCAGAATACACAGGCATATGGAATTGCTGTGAGTATCATCCGAACTACCCAAATGCTATAACCCACCATCTTACGCGATATTCAGTTCACGGCCATTGGGGGATTTGCTGTCGGCTACCTTGAGCTCATCACCCTGATCATGTGTCCACTCTACTGCAAGCCCGAGGATATCGGCCTAGCAAGTGGCTTTCTGGGCTCAGCAAAGCAAGTTGCCGGAACAATTGCCAGTAAGAAAAGATCTCAGCCAAAGTGTTGATTGCCAATATACTAATATATCCAAGCCGCCATCTACGTTGCCATCCTCGATAGTCGCATTGCCAAGAACCTCCCTGACGACGTGTCCGCTGCTGCGTTGGACGCAGGCTTGCCGAAGTCTTCACTTGCCCAGTTATTGACGGCTGTCTCTACAGGAAGTGCTACTGCTACAGAAGCTGTTCCAGGAATTACAGAGAACATCATCCTTGTTGTCACCAACGCTACGAAAACAGCCTACTCCCAAGCATTTCGCACGGTTTTCCTTGCGAGTATTGCGTTTGGCGGTGCCGCCATTGTCGCTGCACTTTTGTCCGTCCCAATGGACGATAAGCTTAACAATGCTGTTGCGGCAAAGCTGTCTGGCACGGAAGCCAGTCAGGAAGAGCTAATTCACAATGAAAAGGAGGGAAACTGATAACAAAATGTTGAATGTTCTGATTTTTCAGGTCGGTCGGGATTAGTCTTTACCAACCTCCTATATATATATCAATAATATTCTTAAACTTCAAGTTCAATTTATAGCACTAGCTGTCAACTGGTTGGAAACTTGAAACTGAGGCTGTTATGTAGGGACTGTGACTATTGATGAGAAGATACTAGTATATGTACATGTATATTTTTACGCATCAATCCAAATGTTTCAACAGAATCAACACATATTTAGTAGACACATGATTTAGCATTCCATAATATAAAATACCTTGTACTGGCACCAGGCTGCCATTAAGGGTGCTAAACGAAGGTAAATTCAGTGGGGTAAACAATCTTCCCTGGGGGTTCCCCCCAGACCCCCCAGTCCCTGCCTACGGCAGGGAAAATTATCCTAGAGTTCAGATGTTTCTTATTATCCTAGAGTATAGGTGTTTCCCGGGGGTTCCCCCCAGACCCCCTTTTTTGGGTCACAAAGAACACCTGGTAGATATCTGGAGTCTTACTCATATAGAAGGAATTGCAGGATTTAAGCATATGATGCAGTTCGAGGGCTTCAAATAGAAGGAATTACAATCTTCCATACAGGGGGGGGGAACCCCCAGACCCCCCTTAGAGGCGCAAATCTAAGTAATTTAAGCATATAATGCAGTTCAAGGGCTTCAATATGGAAGGAATTGCATAAATCAAGCATATGATATAGTTCGAGGGCTTCAATATAGAAGGAATTGCATAAATCAAGCGTATGATGCAGTTCGAGGGCTTTTATAAAGGAACATCAGAACAAACAAAGCAATACTGTATTTAGCAAAGATGAGTCAGCAGAGGACGGGAGTCTGTGCGCTACCCACAGATAAAACAACAGAATGGAAATCCCCCAGACTGGTTCTAGCAAGAATCAGTCTCTGTCCGAGCCCGAACAGTGTTCGATTCCTGAACTATACTCAGAGCCCTTGTTATTTTACCTTCCGTACCTAGTCTACCTACCTTCCGTTACAGCTTTAATCTAGAAGGAATTGCATAAATCAAGCGTATGATGCAGTTCGGGGGCTTCAATATAGAAGGAATTACATAAATCAAGCGTATGATGCAGTTCGGGGGCTTCATTATAGAAGGAATTGCATAAATCAAGCATATAATACAGTTCGAGGGCTTCAAATAGAAGGAATTACAATCTTCCATACAGGGGGGGGACCCCCCAGACCCCCCCTTAGGGGCGTAAATCTAAGTAATCTAAGCATATTATGCAGTTCGAGGGCTTCAATATAGAAGGAATTGCATAATTTAAGCATATAATACAGTTCGAGGGCTTCAAATAGAAAGAATTACAATCTTCCATACAGGGGGGGGACCCCCCAGACCCCCCTTAGGGGCGCAAATCTAAGTAATCTAAGCATATTATGCAGTTCAGGGGCTTCAATATAGAAGGAATTGCATAATTTAAGCATATAATGCAGTTTGAGGGCTTCAATATAAAAGGAATTGCATAATTCAAGCATATGATGCAGTTCGGGGGCTTCATTATAGAAGGAATTACATAATTTAAGCATATAATACAGTTTGAGGGCTTCATTATAGAAGGAATTGCATAAATCAAGCATATGATACAGTTCGGGGGCTTCAAATAGAAGGAATTACAATCTTCCATACAGGGGGGGTTCCCCCCCAGACCCCCCCAAGAAGAGAGCAGGAAACACATCTAGAGTTTACATATCTAGAAGAACTTGCAGTAATCTACTATACAGGGGGGGTTCCCCCCCAGACCCCCCCAAAGAGAGCAGGAAAAACATCAGGTGTTATTAGGGGGGGGGGGGGGATGTTTTTTTAGATAGGGTTAATGGGGGAGGGTTATGGGGGTCACATGTTGCAGGGATGTAACATTAGTCAGCACTGTCATTTTGGACCCTAGTAGGGTCAAACTCATGTGCCCGAATCCCATAGATAGCTTCACTTCGTTCAGCTATAATAGTATGTATATCAGTTGATATGTAGTAAGGTCACTGATGTCAGGTTGTGCCTGTAAAGAGACATCTAAGCTTACTGCTGCTTACATAGTCTATTTATGTACCCTATCAAAGGCGCCCTTGAGGTCGAATGCGATCAAAGTCACTACTTTATATCCCTCCCTCCCTCTACTACGCGGAAACGTGTGTTTTCTTGCAGCACCTGATTGGCTAAGAGGTCCAAAGTGGGTAGAAGGGGAACTTGGAAGTTGGATGTTCAGGAACGAGTCCGAACGAACTAGTGATGGAGAAGATGACGGTGACGGTGATATCCAGTTGCCTCTTCTTGGAATCACATGATCATGATTGATCACATGCATGCCGGTCATCCCCGGCTTGGTGTGCTTCCTTCTTGTTCTCAAGGAGATAGCATTGTAGGTAGCACGCTGCGTCTCCCTATACTGGCATATTATATATATAGGGATGTCCTCTGAAGCCACCCCCCTTATTCCATTGGCACATGCAGGGTTTTCTGCAACCATGTTTATTTGCAAGGTCTCATCACTGTAGATCTTAAAATAAAATTTCGAGGAAAAAATATTACGAATTTTGGCAGCAATATTAATATTGCCATGCCTACATGATATCAATGGTTTTAATTGGTACGTCTACGGCTTATCCGAGCCACCGGACTTAGGTTTTCCCTTGAGAGTCTTGGCGACTAAACTTTTCGCCCTCCGCATTTCCTGTATACGTGCATTCAAGTTCTCTGGCACCATTATCACCTATGAAACTTGTTTGGTCATGTGACCTTACTCTCAATCCATCTCCTGTAGATAGCTTGTTCTCTTCCTTCTCTTCTTCTTCTTCCTTCCTTCCTTGCAGCACACAATACCATTGCATTGCGTTCTTGCCCTCCTTCCTTCATAGACTCGTTTATCGTGTCTCTTCAAAACTTTCTCTATTTTCCCGCTTTAGACTCTTGTTTATCACATTTTTTCCCGAATCACTATGGCTTACGCCATGTTCCGTCAAATTGACCCATGGTTCGAAGATGATACGAAGCCCACGTTCTAAGACAAGGATGGGATCCCAGTTTATGAGGATAGCCAAGGGGGGCTTTTCTATCATATTGTCTTACAAAACGACGTTTCAGCCCTACAACTTTACCAAGAGAGCCCCCAAACAAAGATCTTCTGGGAATTTTACGAAGATCCGTCTGGACATCCCTTATTTGTTGCTGCTCGCCACGGTAGCTTCGATGCAATCCGTGCGATGCTTGAAATTTACTTGGCAGATCCAACGTATACTGAGCCACTTGACAAGTATCTGGAACAAATTTCTTTCAGTCCAATCAATGTGGCATGTGCCGGTGCACAGCGAGAGCTTCTCTTGTGGTTAATACACCATGCTCTGCCGACAGCCAACTTGCATGACCGGGATAGGCATGGGGAAACACCGCTATTTAGCGCGGCGAATGGCTTCAAAGGAGAAGTTGATGATATAAACCTTACCGGAGATACCAGTAAGCATGAAGAATTTATCTCCTTTCTTCTCGACCAGGGGTGTTCAGTTCGTGATTCGAATATCTTCGTCAAGCAAGACTTCAAAATGGACGCCCAAATAGAAAAGACAGTTCTTGGTGCTGCCATTCGCTATGCGAGCCACAAGATGGTATCGCGTCTTATTTCCGAAGGTGCTGATGTCCATGCCCAGCAGATCTGGCGGGATCCCACGCCAAGGGATCACCCGCCGATAGATCGCTCTGATCATATTGAAGAAGGGGGAAAAGTCACAGCCCTACATATTGCGAGCATGTTTTGGAATCTAGAGGGCATCCATGCCCTACTAGATCACTCTGGCGACAAAACTGTGGCAGAGATGCTCTCCAGTACGGATGATCATGGCCGAATTCCTCTGCACTGGGCGTTACAAGGCACTCGGGATGAACCCCTTTTTAGTTCAAACGAGAATGAAGAATACAAGTCTCCGCCTCGTAAGATGGATGCTGTACGCCTCCTTCTCGGCGCAAACCCCGACACAATCAGCGCTGAGGACAGATACGGTGCGACAGTATTCAACTATGCCGTCAAATCCGATTCGGCATTACCAGGTATATTGGCCGTTTTGAAGATTCTTTTAGAAGCAAAGCCACCTGCTCTGAATGCTCGTGATCTGATAGGCGCGACGGCTCTCCAGGATACAATGGTCCATCACTCTCGACGACATGGAAATGTTCTCGACCCGCAATTTGCAGAGTTGATAGGTACATTGCTTGACAATGGAGCCGATGCCCATCTAGGTATTCACAAATTGTGTGATGGGATCTGGTTGGATTCTATCAGCACTGTGATGATTGACCATCTGCTAAAGCAGACTGATATTAATGAAACTGATGCCGACGGTTGTACAGCGATGCACTATCTCGTCAGGCATATGGACCAGATCGATGCTACTCGCTATCTCATCAGCCGAGGAGCGGGTGTTACTGTGAAAAATCACAAGGGAGATACGCCTCTTCACGATGTGATGAAAGGTACAATGATCCGAAAGCGGGATGAGAATGGAAACTGGTTGCAACCACTAGACGCCCCAATCCAAGTGCGAAATGAGTTGATTCAAATGTTGATAGATGCTGGAGGCTCGATGGATGCTCCGAATGGCGCTGGGCAGACACCGACCCAACTGTTTGAAAAACTCGAGCAAAGACGGTAGATGGCGGCCTAGCGCTGTTTACCACGTCGGGCTTGAGTGGACGGGGCTATGAAGGAGCCACAAATAAACGGCAATTCGCTTCTTGAGATGCCATGATTAGAGAAAATGCGTCAACGGGTCTACACCGATTGATTAGTAATATTTTCTAAATTTATCAGAAGTCTTGAACAAGTTCTATCTATCCATTGCCGATTTCATCTGTAATGACGCTGGTGACAAAGCCTGGTGGATACACACTAGGCTTTGGGGATCGTAGCTTATCTAAATCCAGTATGTATTCATTAGACAGAGAGATGTATCACGCGATGGCACTGAGTAGCTCAGTGAGTCTGAGCCTGGACTAAAATTTACTGAAATTTAATCAATAAGCCTGACTCTGAGCACCCCTCATAAAAGCGGCAGGAGCTCAGATAGGAACCTTGGAAAACTCAGGAAAAACCCTACATTAGACATACATGAGTATTGAATAGCTAGATGACTAAAAACGACCAGTTAACTCTCAGGACGTGTAATAAGAGAGAGAGTTCAAGATAAGGAATCAGTAAATATGCATATTTAGCTTCGAAACGGATGATGATGCTAATTACGTGTGACGCGTGTGAACATGGCAATAAACATTTGAAGCAGAACCTTTAACTCTAATGCATTCCGGGAAGCACAGCTCCTTGAGCAATCTTTTCTCAGCCCGCTCATAAGGTGCCTTCAAAAGAAGATCTCGATCTTTCAAATAGGCCGTGTAAAGTGGTTTCGGATTTTCTTGCTTTCAGCCTCCCATACCTGACATCCTACTTCCCCCCAGATTTCAAGTTGCCGCTATATATTCTCCCGCGGCCAGACCTTCTGCTTGGTCCGAATATATTTCAACATATGTGCTTGCACCCACGGCAACTTGAGCTTGCGTATCAAATAAGCAATGATAATCGTCGGCGAGCATGACTGTCACCCCGAGGATTTTGGAAAGTAGCCAGTCATAAGGTCTCTCTATAGGTAGAGAAGATTGGGTGAAGAAAAGAGTTGGTAGGCGAATTAGTTCAATTCCCGTAGGCCCAATTTCCAGAATAAGCCATACCATATTTTTCAAACAGCATAGCACTTGAGTTTCAAATGTCATCAGTACTAATAAGAACCACGAGCTTCTGAGATAAAAACCCAATATCCTTCGCTAGGACCAGATTTAAATTGATAAGAACCATGAAGGAATGGCCAAGGGGCAATTAAAGCTTCCTTAATCGCAGTCACAGTTCCGCGTCGTCATCATCAGGCAGCTGGAATCCCTTTGTTGCCTCATCCATCTCGGCCCTCTGTTTTTCTAATTCCAGGCTAAAGGCGGCAACTGGGATACCGGAGCAAATAGCTGATTGAAGTTCCTAAGGTACAGGTAAATATATTTTGCGGTAATAAAGCCGCACCGAGGCCTAAAGCACTAGATTCAAAACAACATACCACTTGTTGACCAGTAAGTTGCTCCAAGATCCCTACAATAGGTCTTTCATCCCACCTAAACACAAGGGCCGCCTCCATCAGGTTCGCTTCTGGGCCAGCAAGATATATATATGGATTGTAAAAAACCGGCGTGTCCCCCATCTCGTTGGACCAAGAGATTTCTGTTGGATCTATTGCACGTTTATCGCTTTTTCTGTAGGCCTTCCGGGAATAGATGACGACTGGTAGCGATGTCGATTTATCGGAATATTTCTGAGATAACATTATCTCTCCTAGATCAGGCATTAATCAATCATAAGCACAGAGCCAGGAAAAAAATAGAAAGGTAGTGCGGTGGGAACAGAGAGAACATACTATACCAATTGACTGCATTTTCGATACTTGCCAGGTTAGCCATATCAACCATAATAATAGCGGCATCGATATCATGGATCCATTTGGCCCTATCCTGAGCAGTGCTATGGGATCCAGAGATATCCCAGATATCAAACATGAATTCACCAAGATTCTATGGCAAATTCATATTAGAGCGGGCCTAAATTTGGATAGTACTTTTAATTAAGAAAATGAAACATACAGTTGGAAACAAGCACTGGCGACACTTGTAGCCGATTGTGGGGATATAATGAGGCGATTCCTCGCCATCAATATGTCGAGATACCCAGCTTGTCTTAGGATATCGTCAGCGATCTTGCAGCATTCTTGCTATAGCCAACCAAATGATTCTTACCTTTCCAACACGTGCATCGCCCACAAGTGCTAGTTTGATCTCTCTCTTCAGCTCCATCGCTTTTCGGCGTTCGCAATGATGCAACGGCTAAAGTTAAAGGCAGGCTTTATGTAGAAAAATGGCGCGGGTGCATTATAGGGAGAGTGGGGGTAAATAATAAGGATTTCCGAGGGACCGAGGGTGGGCGACCGCCGACCGAATGCTTGAAATAAATCCTCCAAAGTCCAAAGCTGTGTTAGTATGGTCCCTCGGGGCCCGGGCAGTGAGTGAGTGGGGGCGAGTCTTGGAAACTTGTTATCAGGCCGAGATCCACAAAAGTGGTAAGAGTACTAGGGACTTTAGGGGCCATCGAGGAAATTTGAAAATATGAAATTTTCCAGCGCCGCCTAACACACCGCCTCTCCAAACAATCAGGGCCCTCATATGGTATCACTATCGACGTGATACCTCTCGCCGCGCTAGTGAAACCGCTGTCCTCACATCATCAATACACCAAGTTTCTATACAACAATGGTTAGACTCCGACTCTAGAGGAACATAATGCCCAGTGCGATCCAGAAAAGGACGATCAAGACATATTTGGTAAGTTTTTCTTTTTCTTCTTCTATTTTTATTTCACTCTCAGTCTCAAATCGCACGGATCTTGGCCACGAGGGGTAATGATATAGTATGGGAAACGCCCAGGCTAGGCAAAGCATTCGTTTGATTCTGCCCTGGGCATCTTACATTCGGGCAATTTATTAATTATCATCCTACCTGTGACGAGGCGAGCAAGAAAACAAGGTAATTGTTTTAAGGTCTTAACTGCATGGAAAACACAGATAGAGGGGAAAATGAAAATGGAAAAGAGAAAGAGACAGGGGGAAGTCAACCCTTAAGTACCTAAGTATGTTAAGATTTGACGAGTCACGACAGGAACTAAGCTTAAACCTAACCCTAACCTTCTCAGCCGAACAAAGGAAACCTCTGAGAAAACCTTCTTAGAAAACAGCAACTGTCCAGTGCCAACTCGTGGCGACTGACACGATGTGTGACACTACCATGGCCAAGAGTTCATACCTTGGCCGGTCTTCCTCGACCAACCCTCTTGTTTCCTATTAGTCCTAGTATTGACTTATCTCTCCTGTCCTATCTACCTCTCATCATTATCATCATCCGCTTATCTCTCGTCCCCTGAAGGCTGAGTATGTTCATCTACCCCGCAGTTCACACCATCAGTCTCCTGTTTGACCAGATAAGACGCTCATACCCGACTCAGGGAATAAAAACCGTATCATCGTTTTGAGTCACTGTCACCACGCCTTCCACTCAACCTGTCTCACATCCTGGTTTGAATACCGGCATTATAAACGTCCCATCTGTCAAGCGTCATACTCGCCTTCGGACTCGGGAGTCGGTATAACTTATCAAGGTATCACGAACTTTGTTCCCGATAAACATTATATACATTTGTCTATATGTCTGCCACTAGCTTCAAAGGTGCTAATTTTACTACTTAATTGCTATGTACTGGGTTGACTATATACTCGCATGTGGAATTTAGTCTAATTTTGTAGCTATAACCTTGAAACAGGCTTAGAATTGATTATACAGGCACTAATAAAATGAGCCGTGGACTCGGCTTGTTCCCATGTACGATAAATTATAATCAGATCCGATTTACGTAAACTTATTGCATTGGCCAGCAGAGAATGATTTGAATCGCAAAACTGATATAATCTACCGACTACGTAGCATGCTGCATCAGTCTTAAGCTCAAGTACATAATTTTAATAAGAAAGGGAATTTTCTACAGGCTCCCAAGCATCGACGTGATATTTAATTGGACTTTGTCCACAGGGCCATCTGCAGCGACCAAATAGTGCGTGGGAAGGACCAAGATCACCACATCCATGAAAAATTTCGGCAAAGCGCCCCAAGTATATCCTCGTGACTATATTAAAAGACTAAGTAAATTCGACAAAGACATCCTCAATCTCGCTTGATCTGCTGCGCGTTCAATTAAGATCGTGTTATCCTATCTTTGCAAGGCAACATAACGGCTCTCTTCACTCGATCTCCTCACTTGAAGCTAGTAGATTCATGGAAATCGGCCCGGAGGAATGAATGACCAATTGGGGTGCGTGAAATTGGGGTCCATCACACTGATCATAAGTTTAACCTGCTTCTTAAATTCTTAATCCCCTCGATTGTGTCTGATATAATGATTATCTTATAGTCTAGATCTTACTAAGATCTAGATCTCTTAATATCAATCACCTAAACTTTTTAGGGGATAGTATACTACTTCTACTGGCGGGAATAACGGCCATCCGGAAAATAGAGAATATGACATAATCAAATTTTAAATTGGCAGAATTTCAAATTTCAAATTTAAATTACAAACAAATCTACCCCAAACTGGGATACCCAAATTTTACCCCACTTAATCCTACCGCTTCCTCATATTCTCTTTGTATATACTCCTCCACCATCTCAATCGCTCGTATCAAGCGCGCCCTATTTATGCTCCCATTCCCATTCCAAATATTCGCTCGAGATATTTTAATCCGACGGACAATCGCTGGCCATTCTTCCAGTGGAATACCCATTCCTGGAGGTGGAAATAGCTCCCAATCATGATCAAGCCCAAGACCCCTTCTTGAGCTTGAGCCTGAGCCTGAGCCTGAAGCTTCTCCTATAGTAGAAGCTTGTACAGGTGATGATCGGTATTCACATGAAGTTGAAGACTCCCCAGGCGTCACAAATTGTATAGTACGTGCTGTTGCCCGAGGTGTTGGTAGCTGTCCTTCTTTTTGAGGTGTTTGGGGAGCTTTTCCTTTTCCTTTATCCGCAGCATCATCAGCTATTAGCTAGATCACTTTATCCTGGTGCATTTTTAGCCATTCATCGTCAAAATATTTGCCTGTTGTCCGATCTCTGTACCGGCTAATCCTCGTATAAACTGCATTTTCAGACTGCTGTTCAGTATCCTTTTTTCTAGCCTGAGCCTGTTACCGGGCTTGTTTTCTTTTAAGAGGGCTAGAAGATAAACCCCTATATGTACTCTGAATAGGGGTTGTAGAGACTGTAGGAGTTTCCAAAGAAAGATCAATAGGTAGTATCATATAGTGTGAGAAACTAGAGTCTTCTGAATCTGGCTCTGACCCTTGATCTTCTTCTGATCTGATATTAACCCCTTATACTGTGGTAGAGGAATCTGAATCTTATGGAACAGTTTGTTGCTGTTGTTGTGTTTGTAGTTGAGTTTGAGTTTAAGTTTAAGTTTTAGTTGGTTGTCCGAAACGTCTTGCTAGTACAACTCTTAATATAATATTTCTCAAGTTCCCTTTATTGCTTATAATATTAAGTGGAAATGCTGGGGCCTAAGGACTAGATTGGTAGGAGGTATGTGGTATATAGAAGCTAGGAGGAATAAGCTATTGATGGAAACAGCTTCTATATAGTGACCGGAAGTGAGCATCCTCTCTCCTAAATCGAATATTAGTATAATATCATAGTACTAAACAAGCGCTTAATATATGTATGTTGCTTAAGTCTATCACACCAATGCCTAATAAGACTAGTTTCAGCCCCTCGACCAGGCTTAAATTGGTATACTGCCTCTCGCCAGCTACCTGTGAGTACCTACTTCATAATGGTGTTGTGTCCATATCAGATCTCCTCTGGGTGTTTAGGCTTCCGATCAGGTATGTATGTTGCGCCTGAATACTCCTGTCTGATATGCCGACGTAAAGCATCTTATTTCTTAAAGACTTGCCTATACATTATTATACCGTGTAATATGATATCATATATCTTAGTATTCTCCTTACTAAGAGTAACTTGTAGGTGAGGTGGGGCATATGGATAAAGAACTATATCGAAGTTTGTATTACTAAAATCTTTTGTTAGGAAATCGTAATTTGGCCTATCAGCTACTAGTAATATGTAGTATACTGCTGGATGCTAGCTAGGGTTATAATTAGGGATCGGTCCTGTATAGCTTAAGCTTAGTATATATATTACTTATGTGTTAAAGAAAGGTTCTTACTATGGGTATATCCCTAACCTGGGTAAGGATTTTGAGAAGTTATGACTTTAGCTTGTTCAAATACTGTAAGCTGAACACCCAAACCATCTTATATAGCAAGTTGGGATATTTTGATGATTGATAGAAAAAGTAGAGGGAAAGGATATCTAGAGAGGATAGATAGAGAGGAACTCTTAGTAGTGAGTAATGCTGATATATATATCTTGATGTCTGCCTTAGGTATATATCTAAATGTATATGATTAGATGATTTATCCTTTTTTTTTTTTATATCTATATATATCATTATTAGATATTCTGAGTTTGTCTCTAAGGATATTTTTAATTTATTTTCTAAGTTTTTATTAAAAAAAGAAAGAAAAAAAAAGATACTGGAAAAAAATAAAGGAAAAAATAAATAGGGAACCAAAGAAAAACCAAAAGAAAAACTAAAAGAAAAACCAAAAGAAAAACCAAAAGAAAAACCAAAAAGGAATACACTAAGAAATAATATTTCCACTTCTTGTACGGCGAGGGGAAGGTTCAATAAGATCTTCAGCAAGTTCAGTCTGCTCAGTCTGATTCCGAGTCCGCTTTAAACCTCGAGTTATAGGCTGTGGTTGTTCTTGAGAACGTGGCTGTCGGCGAGGTTGAGGCTGTGCTTGTCGGCGAGGTTGAGGCTTTGCTTGTCGGCGAGGTTGAGGACGTGATTTTCGGCGGGACACTTGGCTTTGTGTAGTAGATACTTGGCTTTGTGTGGCTTCCTGTGCTTCCTGAGCTTCAATAGTGGTTTCAGCCACTTGGGATTGTAAGGATTGATCCTGTGATTGATCCTGCGATTGATCCTGCTTAAAAAGGTTAGATCAAGTTAACAAAGAATCTACTAAAGTCTTACCTGCGGAGTTTGTATTTGGGCTTCTTCCAACCTAGCCTCTAGCTGAGCTTTCTCAGCCTGCATTCTTTCAAACTCATCTCGGATATGTTCTGTTCCGGGAGGCCAAATAAACCCACTTGTAGCAAGCCGACCATCTCTGATTGCCCTTTCTCTTGCTGTAGGTACTAGGGGGCCTGCTGGTGTTGTTGACAAAGGAAAAAGAGGTGAAAGATCATCATCAAGAGAGCCAGGGAGTTCTGCAATATATGGAGTATGAGAATTAAGCTCTGGCTCCTTATCTTTAATCTCTGTCTCAATCTCTGTCTCAATCTCTGTCCCAATCTCTGTCTCAACCCTCTTATCACTTCTATCCACTTCCAATACCTTATGTTGAACAATGATCACAAAAACGTTATATTTATCCTTTAGCTTAGTAAAGCCAAATTCAAGAAGATCAGCAAGTTTGCACTCATTATCCTTTGAATTCGAGATAAATAAGGGCTTTTTGGGATTTCCCTGAACTCCAATTGTAAGTTGTAGTTTATCGGTCGGCTTGTAATGTTTATATAGGAAGTCGGCTGAGACTGCTGAAAAAAGATCCTTTTTAATAAAATCTTTAAAATTGTTGATTGTTCGACTTTGGAAGGAATGGAAGGTAGTTGCTAGAATTCAAATATCAAATATTAGGCTCTGCTCTTTGATTAATAGCTGAGAGGTATATACTAAGTTCCCTTAGGCTCTTCCGACTGTCTAAAAAGAGTTTTTAAAGGTAGAAGGATAGAATAACCTAGAAATTATAAGGAGTGCCTGGTTGAATTAGCTGCTCTGCTTGTGTTATCCTATTCAAATGTTAAAAGGCTGAGGTAATACCTTAATAAGCTAGCCTAGATGTAGTCTTATAGATATACTCTTACTGAACACAGTTTATTAACCCAGGTTCAAAGCTTTCTCTAGTATTCTGTAAAGTAGAATGCTGGTTTGTTAACCTAGGTTAAAAGCTTTCTCTAGTATTCTATAAAGTAGAAAGCTTATTATAATCATTATACCTATTATACTTATAAGGACTAGGAGGTAAATCCTAGTAGTTAGACTAGAATTGTTAAGATATGGTCTAGCTTCTTGGATTTGATATAGTGCTCTATAAGTTTAATCTTTCTAGTATAGTTAGATCAATACTATTGTTAAAGCTTAATATTTTAAAGTATAAGATAAATAAGGAGGGATAAATAAGAGAGAAAGAATAAATAAGAAAGAGGAAATAAGAAGGAAGAGAGAAAAAGAGTACCTTATATTTCTAGCTAGATGATTTTAAAATATCTCTCTTTTCTAATAATAAATGCTGTTTCTAACTTTCCCTAGATAGTATTATATGATATTTTTAAGTCTTTGTCTTATATACCTAGTATATACTAGGTATATGGGGACCTAGGTGTTAAGTTAAGGTCTCTTATAAATAGAGAACTCTGGCTCTTGTCTAGATTCATAATATAGATATATATAGTATTAAAGTTCTAGATATTCCTTATAATATAGCCTTAAAAGGCTATAAGAAGTAAATTCATAGTAAGGTGGCTGATCTAGGTTAAATTCTATCTCTTGTAACTATAGATGATACTATTTTAATATCTTATGTGGGAGATATTTATCTTGATCCTAATCCCTAATATTTTACTCTTAAAGCTTATAGATTTAGAGTGGGTTAATAGAGATTGTAAAATCCTATTTATTTTATGGAGGGTTATGGTAAAGTATCTATGGCTTTCTAAAATGTCTGTGAGTGTTCTTCTTTTGTGTTCAGATTAAATACTTATTCTAGGTATTAATATATAAGTTAATTGCTAATCTTATAATTGGTATATAGATTATAAGGAATATAACTTGATTAGGTATACTTGTATGAATATATTTATGATCTTCTTATAGTTTTTGGAAGTGATACTAAATATAGAGTTAGTTATGAAAAACTACTTGAGGTAAATTTGAATATTTTCTTATATAGTAGATAAAGGTGTAAGATTTTGAAAGCTGGGACTAAAAGGCTTCAATCCTCTGGTTATCCATACTTTATCTAAACTAGTAGTATTGGTTAAATTCTACTTTAGGATCATTTACTCAACAGAGAGTATAGTGTATATTACTGATTAATATTGTCTCTAATCCTAAATCTAATTGAATGATCTTAGGCTGGTAGTATTGAGTAGTAAGTATGGTAAGATACTAAGAGATAACACTTGTTGCTATATAAGCACTATACCCAATATAGATCTAGATAATATATTAAGAGAAACTATTGATTATAGTATAGACCTTAATCCCAAAATTCACTAACTTTATATAGCTATTAGTATACTATATAAAGTTTGGACCTAGTGAGGTATATATCCCATATATATGTTAGAGGTTGTAGGTCCGGGTTTTTAGAGTATTAGGATATAGAGTATAATATATATCAAATATTTGTTTTATTAGGAAGTTATATCTATTTACTCGAAAATAAGTATATAATAGACTTCTCCTATATCCCTTAATTTTTCTAACTCTAATTTCATGGATAAGGATCTAGGTAATTTATACTGATTGTTGCTCTTGCTAAATAGGATAGTCTGTTTGATGAGGAATTCTAAGCTATATTCTGATCCTTCGAAGACTTCATCTAGAAATAGGTAGATTTGTTTGATCATAATAAAGAATATCTATAACCTTATTATCTGAAAGGCCAATCTCAAGGATAAGCTTTTTGATATAATCATAGAGAGTAGTGTTGTTGAAACTGATAGATTTTTGATAGGATCCCCATGCTTTTAAGTAGTTTCGAAGTGTGCGAGTTGTAGTTTTGATCTGGTAGGTAGTAAAAAGGAGATTACAGACTTCATCTTGTGTCATTCCTCGTTGTAAATAACATAGAATATCGTCTTTATGACTCTCAAGATCAATCTTCGATGGCATCATGAATAACTAGAAAGAGATAAAAAGGGGGTTGTACTTCGTTGGGATTGTAGTTGCACTTTGTTGGGATTTTAATTCGAAAATTACAAAACCTATACGTTTGGATAGGGCGGTGTGTTAGGCGGTAATGTCAAATTCTCTATTTTCCGGATGGCCGTTATTCCCGCCAGTATACTTCTTACTACTAAGATATATAGTGTGATTCGGCCAAGGGTGTATGGATTTCTATGTACTATGGGTCAAGAATAACTAAGTCTTTCGGGTCCGGCAGAACCCATCCGGGCGGTGGCGGGTACGTCCGGACACTCCCGTCTGTGACCGGGCAAGTCCGGGTGTAGCCTACTGGGGATAACATCCGTTATCATAATAGTAGATTCAAGCCTAGATACAAAGTAATCCTTAAGCTATTAGTTTCTCATCCACAATTAATAGTGAGCCAGCGCGACACTAAAGGCCACTCGCTCTTGTAGTATATAACTTTCACGTCGAACCAGATGCTGATCGTGCAGTTAGTATAGAGCTGTCTTGATTGAAGGCCCGGAAGCCTTGGGTTTTTCCCGTTAGGTCGGAACTGTCGGAATCACATGACCATGCGGATTCCACCGGCTGATTCCGGTTTCTCCTGATCCTGCCGTTCTTCACCGCCTGTTGTTCTTCCTTATAGATAGCAGGCTCTCTCTTCTCTTCTTCCTAGCTGAGAACACAATCAAGATTCCATATTCATTCCATTGCTTGTTTCCTTCGCTTCTGTTAGAAACACGAGAGCCGGGCTGGAGAGGGACGGCATGAAGCGACCAAGCCACGACCACCCACAGAGCCGGAAGTAGTTAAAGTGCGACTAGAATAGAAAAGGCCATACTACTATACTGAACCGCCAATGCCCTCTGCTGTTTGAGGTTATTAGGAAGATGCCGGGCGCGACGCGTCCCACGGCCGTGCGCGGGCCGATCGCAGAGTGACGAAGTCTTCACGCGTTCCGCCTTTCACCAACCTGAGTCTGGCGTGCCATGACATGCACGCCAGTTAGCCGAAAAATTTGAACACTCTGAATTTCGGACATAACTCATGTAAAATGTTTAAATGGTTGATTGATTGGCAATGCTCAGTCCACCAGTGTATGTCCCTCTATCTAGTCTTTGTAAATCACTGGCAACCATTGCCCTTCCGTCACTGAACCTGGAGTTATAGCGACTATTTCGGCATCTTTCTTGATCTCAATGCCTGTTGTCCTTTGGTCAGCACACATGAATTTCAGCCCATTAGCTGGAACAAACATACTTTGGATATTCCATCCGTCAAATTGGCCAATAATGTCACCATCATCGGCTTGATCCCCGTTCTCTCGCTTGGAGTTGGTGTGACCCGTAGTCGATCCAGTAAATACAACGGTACATTCAACCCAGGATTGAATATTCCCGTACACTGACCAAAATGTTAACAAACTGTTTTGCAGGGTCTGGGAGAGTTGCCAGACTTACCGAGGTCTTGTTTGTATCCGCTCAGGCAGTATCCATTATTTCCAGTCCTCTCGTATCGAGTCGTCTGGTCAAAGGTGTTGACTGCACAGGCAACCTGAGTGGCATCAGTCCCGCTTTGGATTTTTCCTGGCGCGGAGTATGATGACAATGACTGCACGCCCCAGGCCGCGCCATCTGTAGGGCCTGATGGAGAGGCGAGGGAAAGGGTGAAGTTTCGTTTATGGTTATAACCCCCGTGGCCATTGTTGTATTGCTGGTGGAATGGGTTAGAAACGGGAAAAGAGATAAGAAAATCCAAAAATCATCCGCATGTGGAAAATTCCTGGTTCCAAGAGGGAAACTGAACTCACGGCTTTCGTGATTCCGGCGGCTTGCGGAATGTATGAATCGTAATGTGCCAGGCCTTGCCACGCAGCACTAAGACTCGTCCACCCCGGATTGGCATCTCCGCTTCCCCAAGTCTGCCAGTTGGCGTCACCGGTGGCATTGATATTGGCTTTTATACCGGACAGCAGAGCTATAGATTTGTTGAATTAGTTCAAGTGATATGACGAAGACTCATGTTGGACAATACTCACTATGGCATTTCCCTTGGAGAGTCTGCTGATATACCGGTACACATTCAACGCCTTGTGGGGTTGGGTTGGTAGGTAGCGTTGGGAAGAAGTTCCCTCCTTCTTCGGAAGAGGCCATTGGAAATTCATCACAGCTCACGACCTCGGTGGAAGATGGCACATTGATACCACTGGTGATGACTGTATTCTCAATACTGCAGTAGCCAGTATTCCACCCTTGTCCACTTGACTTTGTCAGTGTGGGACATGCAGCCCTGCGTCGCTTGTCTGAGCGGGTTTTTTGAGAATCCCATGTGAGTGTGATTCCTGTACTGATAGCGAGGCCACGATTGTTGAAGAAGTTATTCACATTGGTACAGATTCCAGGAATGATCTTCGAGTTCCCATTGGTGTCGACGACTTGCCTATCAGGGAAAAAAAGGCAGTTATCTAAAGAATATGGCCCGTTAGTAAGAGCTTGAAAGAGGTCCACGGATCACTTACACCGTAATTCAGGTAAGATCCAAGAGCACAGTGGCAGGTTATTGGGATTGCTACCACCCGGGGTGACACAGTTATTCGCGGGGCAAGTGACTGCGCTTGCAGGGCTGAAACTGGGGTCGTCATCATCCGAGTCGACATCCATCATGTCAACATCGCTGTCGTCATCGCGCTTGCGAACAATACCTGCGCTGTTGGTCTTGTTGATGTATTGAGGTGCCGATCCCCAAAGTAAGTCACGGCTGCTGTCAAATGCTATCAGGCGACCCACACCCCGACTTTGAGATGGCTGGGTCACCGCATCGCCTCCTTCGAAGATAGGAGACTCGTCTAGGGGAAGGTCTCTTTTGGCTGAAATACTTGTTGAGGTTGAGCCGAGATCTCCGTTCTCGTAGAGCGTGATTGATCTCGGACTGCTGAACAGAGCCCGAGTCGACATGTACCATTCGTAGAATGGAATCGTGGCATGTCCACCGTATCCCAAGTTATACAAGAGATAGATACCATAGGTGTATGTATATCCAGCACTTACAGAAGTGGAATCGCCTGAGACTTCAGCTGTCGCGCCAGCGTGGAATCTCAATGTGGTATTCACAAAGCCAACCATCTGGGCATCGACAAGCGTAACGCCCCCGAGAAGCGATGAACCACCAATGGTGATACCGATGTTAGCCTCTGGTGTGACCAGAACGTCTAGATCGGCACTGGCCTCAACAGACGCTTGGAATGAGGGTTCCAGGCCAGATGCGACAGGCTCAGGATCACCAACAAGGTCATTGATTTTACTGTAATCCGTGCTGTCGTCACCCTGGGGCCAGTAGACCTCCGATTTCTCAAAAGTATACTTCGCACCAACGGACATCTTGCCGCTCAATTGTACAACGCCACGAATCTGTCCATAGATATCAAGGGTAGGGCCGACAGCTGCTATTCCCTTGATCGCAAGTCCAGGGTAGGAAAGAGTTGGGATTAACTGCTTTCTCTCGGATTTGTAATCCATGCGAGCGACACCTTCAACAGTAAGGCCCAGATACACACTTGGTTGCATGCCAAAGTATGCATAGGTACCATCCAACGATGGAGGAACCAAAGTACCCGAAAGATAATAGGCGTATGTACTTTCCATGGCGATTTCAGAGTCAAGATAGACGTTCAGCTTAGCATTTGCCTTCGGGCACCCTGTAGAGGCACTGAAAAGGAGCAGACTGCTCTTCCAAAGCTGGGACAAATAGCCAACACTGCTGCTCTCAACAGTATTCATCTTTTTGAGCCAATTCTTGAAACTACCGAACCATCTCTTTTGGATAGCATGTGGATCTTGGTCACTGGGATGTTCAAATGAGGTATTGGAGTTCATCACAGCTTCCTGTCGCTTGCGAAGAGCCTCATGCGAAGTTTTGGCCCAATCAACCTTTCCACGCCATTCATGGTACGACATGTGCTCGTCACGAACTGAAGTGGTTGAGCGCTTCTTTCGACGAGTGGCAGGAGTGTCTGTAACATCTTCCCAGTAGTCGAGTAAGTTGGTGTAGTCCACACGCATGTTGATAGCTCCGGAGTCTCGTTTAATCGCCTGGAAGTTGTAATCAATCTTGATCTTGTAAACAGGATTGTTATTATCCTGCGCAACTCGCTTGTTCAAGTGATGACCAGGCAAACTGTATGAGCTATGGGCCGGCTCTATAGATACGAGACGTGCAAATGGTCCTTCACCAATGTGCTCTGGTAGGCGAATGATTGTGTCTTCAGCCCCATCGATGAATACGTTTTCACATTTTGCGGAGCCAGTAGGCAACTTGCAAAAGACGTAGTGTGTTTCTTCGGAGTGCTCGAAGTTTGTAACCAGACGAGTGCGATTGGTGGTGAATAGGGAGCGTTTGACGTTTGGAACTTCCTCACTCTGACGAGCGAATTCGTAGGTCGATGCAAATGAACTGTCAATGGAACCAGCAGGGCCATCAAGCATAACAAATCCATATGGGTCGTCCCCATCGTCGTCGCCAGGAGAGCTCTGTTTATCGTTGTTCCCATAGTTGTCCACATAAGCCCATTCCACATCGTCTCCAGTGGCTTCGTAGTAGTCCTCCCACAGATACTTAGGATCAACTGGCCATTTCTCACTGTTTGCCTGCGGGGGGCTACAGCAGTATGGCCAATTGGGGTCCTCGCCAGCCGGAGGGGTGTATGGAGTGCACTCATTCACCGAGGACAAGCCGTTGCCATAGTGGGGCTGGCTGGGATCAAGAGCAGTGGTATATTTCAACTTGGTAGAGTCGCATTTTTGCGGATAGCATAAGTATTCTGCAGTGTGAGGAAGGTCCTCAAATGACCAAGAGCAATTGGATGGTACATCTTCGCTTGGACAACAATATGCCTGGGCGTAAAGAATCATTAAGTCACCATCTTCGTCCGAAGAGCACAAGCTTCCAGTTCCATCATCGAACCGGGTGGTCATATAAGTGCTCCCGCTCGGGCAGCTCGGGTTGTCCTCGACAGAGGCAAGCTTCTGACATGAAGTCCACGTGCATTGATTGATAGCCTGAGCACCATCGCAACACAACGCGCGGTCTCCTTGATAACATGGCTCCTCGCCGGTAGCGTCAACATATGAATCAATATTGAGCTGAAACTGGTCGCTTCCACACTTTCCGTTGCATCCAACTTCACTGCGAATTGGGGCGCCAGTCCATTCGCAGTTCTTTGGCATAGCGTCTGTCGGACAGCAGATATGACGATACTTGCCAGTGTCACAAGTCTCACCAATCCAATATGAGAGTGCCTGGTGGGGTGCATGTGCAGTCGCGACCGAAGAGAAACCAGTGCCGCACACATACTGCGCGTCGTTTTGATGGGAAGTGCCATCTGTGCATTCTTCAGTGACATAACAGTTTTGACCGGTGTATGCGGCTAGTTGATCCGTCAATTCTTCCTTCTGTTTGGTCGACAGGTCGCCTCCTTCCATAAGCGAGCCAGCTAGCGCATCCTCACCGAGGAGTCCAGCAAGAGCTCTGTGCATTCCGTCATCCTGATCAAGTGCCCAGATCATTACTCCAGAAATGCACTTCCCTGTCAGGTATCGCATCTTATCCTGCCATGACTGCGCATCGTCGTAGGAGATCCACTGATTCCCGTTGTAAACATTATATTTGACTGTCGAAACAGGGTCATAGTATGTTTGAACGTCACTGGAACTATTACTCGATTCAATCTCTGAATCGCGTTATGAGAATTAGCAGTTGAACATCGAATTTTTGTTGAGATCAAAGGAGCGAGGAAACTCAGACTCACCTGAATAATATAGGATGCCCGCAGACTGTGAGCAGGGACCAGCATCTCCCACCGCAGAGAACTCGCAGTCTGCTGTGTGGCAGGCGCTATCGCTCATCCTGAAGCTTCGACCATAGAAGCCCATGCCCATAACCACCTTCTTGGGGTCGATATTATTACGCCACAGTAAATCCATTCCTATATCGATCTCCGTAAGGTTGGTATGCCCTCGCAGGTAAGAGCCGGTATACTTATTGCCTTGGTCCCACATGCCGTGCAGATCGTAGCTCATCATGTTGAAGAACGAGACATACTTTTGCATAGACTGAAGATCGAAATTTTGCATGTACCAGTAGCTTGATGGGAGGGTGCAAGTGATTTCCCAGCCGGGATTCACAGCATCGAAAGCTTCTCTCATTTCAGCGAGTAACGTGACAAAATTGTCTGTATCGCTGGCATCACCACCACGATCCGTCGCTGCTGGATATTCCCAATCTGAAGAAGACATTCTTGTTAAAACCACTGAATACTCAAAGAGAAGGTATAATTATGGGAAACTCACCTATTTCAACACCGTCTAGTCCATACTTTTGCAAGTACAGAATAAGAGAGTCAATGAATGTTTGTCGATTCTCATATGAGCCTGCCATTGTAGAGAAATAGGTTGCTGACGGTGGATCATTGAAGTTCCAGCCACCGATGGCAACGTTTACTCGCAAGCCAGCATAGGTGGTTTTGAGACGAGTGACTCGGGCTACAATATCGCCGTATTCATCAACCATTTTCCAATCGTCTCCAAATTGGACAAATGCTAGATTAATGTGAGTAAGAGCCCCAGCAGGGATACTCTCTGGCTGCAATGTGTCGCATGGCCGACTAAATTGAAAAAGTTCGTAGTAGGCAACCACCCTTTCAAGGGAGCTGCTATTGCTGGAGCTCGTACACGATGGTTCACTATAGGTTGGAGAGGAGAATGCATTAGTTGCTGATCTGGTGGTCAATCATGCATGTGAGATTGATCACTTACTCGACAGGATCACAGCCGCTCTGGCATCCAGTGCCACAGAAATCACTTGTTGAGCCGCAGAAGCCAAATGGACTGCAACAGACACCCAGAGGGCAACTGGTGAGGTTTCCACCATCGCCACATTGCGCCTTTGCATTGCAGTTATTCAGACATCCATCTTTGCAATAGGAATCTCCAAATCCACAGCTGAGATGAAAGATTAGTCTAATTGCTCATGTGCTCATTGTTTGAATAAAATCTGGGCAGGTGGGTGTATACAAACTTACCTTCCAAATTTACTACAGCATCCTTCCAAGCAGGGGCTTAACTCCGAGCAAGTAGCGCCTTGTTGTGCTTGCACAAATGTAACGAACGAAACAAGAAACAAAAAGAGTGTGTATAGTTTTAAGGACCGCATCATGCCAACGTCCTACTGCGTGGTGAAGGCACTAGGACTAGGCGAATCGTAGAATTCAGGGCCTCAAGTAGCAAAACTAACGAGAGGAACCACACACTACGTCCGTAAAGCGAATGGCCATGCGAAGGCTTTATGTAAAAATAACGATGAATACATTTTTCTTCCATAACTCTTGTGATTTCTTAATTCGAGTCCGGTACGCCCTCGGTTGCAGTGTTGGGGCCACAAATAACTAGCGCCCAAATCGACCAACTACTCCGTAAGGCTTTGTTACGATACGTATTGCCTCTAAAGAATACTCTAGCCTTGAAGGGAAAAGGCCGGTGGCACTGAAAAACTCGAGTCCCTTTTTGTAGCTATGTTTGTATTTTTCCACATTGAGTTTCTTGTCGTTTTCCCCCTACTCTTTCCTTCGGTACCTGCATGTGAGGGCCTAGTAGGATAACCTTGGAATCAAACATTTGGAAGCAAAAACAAATTTTAGAACGATGGTTCTGGATAGTATCGCAGTGATATTTGATCCGAAGGGCGCTGCTTGTTCAACCTTTGAAGTTTCAATAACACAACGGTTGAGAATCGGAGACACCGGTACCGGGTTCTGCGGCAGCCCTGCCCAGGTGGAGGGTTCTACAGGTGCAGGACAGAAGAATTCGAAGCCCCACGAAGGCCCACTTACTATATACAGTATGTATTTCTGCCGATATAAACTACATCAATTTGACGTAACTGCTTAGAATACAACTTAATACAGGAGTCCCAAAATTCGAGCCATGATTCCTATGCCCTACTTGATGGTAAATCCCGTGAGAGGTGACAACTCTATATATAACTGTTGTAATTTATATGGTAATTTAACAGCTTCTAACCAATATTACTGGCCTTGTAATTTAAATAGTTAATTATGGGCCCTTTCGTGGGGCTTCGAATTCTTCTGTCCTGACCCTGTATTCCAAGGATCGAGGGGGGTTAGATCGAAGTGATAGACCCACCTGAACCCTGCAAAGGGCGGCTAGCCATATTAGGCCTAGTACCTGTCGCAAACATTTTGGGCGCCACCGTAGTGCGAAAGTTTGTCCCCACTTCCAACATTTGAAAGTTTCCTGCAAAATGGGACTCCGGGCATTTCCAAAATTTGGAAGCTTGAACACCTGCAGATGCATCGATCCGCAATGTAGTGCCTACTGGCAGCCTGCATACATACAAGTTAAGATATAATTTTGATGTCTTCAAACTTGAATGGTTCAAGCCCTGGAGTTGAGCCGCCTTTAAACAAGGGGACTTCCATTTCGATCTGAATGCTGTCTTAACCTCTGCAGGTGCGCCTAGCACTGAACAGGATCGGTAGAAACGTCCAACTAAAACCTTGGGAGGATTCGGTACCAGCTCTAGGTTTAGCGCAACATTTGGAGAAGAGAATTTCAGTAAATTTCCGGGAGCCCTCGGAGAAGTCGTCCTATGTAGCGTAGATGCAGGTCCCAAGTGCGATTGTTTGCTCCACTCAGAGTAGCGTGGTTTTGGAAGACTGACAGGATCGCGATAGGGCAAAGTGCTGGGATCCACAGCCATGGAAATGCTCGGTCAGATACTCGATTGATTAAATTAAATGAAGCTGAAATTAGTTCCAAAGTTTTATTGGGGCGGATCTATCGATGGGAAATGGGCTACTCGGAGGTTTCGTCTTTCGAGTTCTCCTCGCCGTATGGGGGTCCTAAGGGTGCACCCTCTTCATAGGATTCACAGATCTCAGCATTCTCCCAGCATGCTCGGTCTCTGAGAATATAATCGAAAAGGCCAGTCTCGTCAACTGCCTTATCGAGCTCTTGGCGATAGTAACGTATTCCTCGTCCACACTCGTCGTACCATACCACTAGAACCTTCCCAGCGTTCCGATCCTTGGAGTTTGAGGCTAGAGTCGTCGCATCAACAATATAGATACGCCCGGCAGATAACCGCCAAAGATACTCTGAATAAAAAGTCATCCACGGCATTGCATCCTCCGGATCACTGTCTTCCTCTTCATCGAACTTCTCTGCCTCAATTCCTTCTTGTAGAGCCTCAGCAACATCATCTTCGTATTCTTCAGCTAGGCAAGTATTTCGAAGTAGTTGTGGGGTACGAAGGAAAATCTTTTCCCAATTGTTGTCAAAGTTATACAAAGCCGGGTCATTGTAGATTGGGGGTAGATCACCGAAGTTGAATTCAAGTTCACTTTGAATTTTAGTCCAAGCTTCCTCAGATTCAGGCTTATAGCAGGTACGCAGCCAGTAAGGTTTAAAATCAGTGACCGGTAGACGTTCAGTTGGTAGGCGAATACGATTCAGTAGCTCTTGGCTATGTGTCGGAAGATCACCCAGTCCAATTTGCTGGTGGTAATATGGCTATTCAGATACGGTGATAGGTCAGTTTTCCTGGACTAACCAGGGCCCAGGGGTGTAATTCCAATTACCTCGCGCTCACGGGTTCCGAGTGCCACCCATTTAGCGAAGATTTGTTCTCGTTGGGCATCAATAGATAACGGCGAGTCTTTTTGCCAGTGTTCCTTGAGATTTTGTTAGAAATAATGCGCACACAACTGATTGAGGGGGTTTTACCAAGAGAAACAAATCTGGCTGCGATATGTAAAAGTCCGTCATCTTGTCAAGTAGCCTCAGGCTCTCGAAGGATGATGGTGGAACAAGTGTTCGTAGGCTCACAACAGGTGTGGTAGGCTCAAAAAGGTCACGTGGGCCCTACCAAACCAAATCCGGGCGGTGTGCTGCTCTCTGGGAACGGGTGGAATGATTCGAGAAAATCTCGGCGGCACTTAAGATCAAATGCCCAGTTTATTCTTGGCAGGAGCTTGGTGGGGCCAAGCGATAAGAAGAAGCAACGCTAAGAAGCGAGATCATGTGGGGATGTCTTAGAAAGAGCCGAGAAGTTGCAAGCGAAGGGTGTTCTCCGTAAAGTAGTGAGTTCAGGGAAATGAAAAAAGGGACTCAGGGTCCAATCATTTGGCCTCAGGCTCGGCTTAGCGTGTTAAAGAGGGCTGCCCCACGGCCCCCACCCGTGACCTGGGACCCCTAAGACCCTAGTATAGTTTAGTATAGACTAGTATAGCCTGCTCCACCAAAGTTAGCCTCACCGTTAGACGGAATTTCTAGTCTCGTATTTTACGATCCGTATAGAATAAAAAACCATCGGATACATTTTGGGAATCTTCCATCCAGTGGCGATTTGTTCTCGTCGTTTCCATTACGAGATAATCGCCCAATGCCCTACCTTTTTTTGGAATTTCTTTTCATCTAGCCCTCTATTGATTCAAGAGTTTTCCTTTAATACTGAGTCCATGTTCAGTGCATTGATTTAGGATCAACTCAGGACTATGGATCTCACTTATTGGTCGTTCTCGACTCTGGGGCCGGCAGCGGTCATCCTAGGTCTGGCTGTTGAGACGACCGCTTATCAATTATTCAATGCGACTCCATCCGGCATTCCCACGACTTGCGGTGATGCATTGATGGCAAACATTACGTGTGATCAACTCTATCCAGTCTCTGCAATCTCAAATCAACAATACATCTGGAACAAAACGCTTGAATCGATTTGCGTGTCAGACTGCAAGGACTCCTTGTATGACTATCGCACCAATGTGGAGAGTGCTTGTGGAACCACAGTGTATGATTTCTCGGGAGTCAATCAAACTGTACAAAGTTTCTTGGATCCTCTGACATGGGCTTATAACGTTTCCTGTCTGACGAGTGGTGGTGAATACTGCTATTCAGACATCACCAAACGCAACACCACTATCGAGCCTTGTTCTGATTGCTTCTTGCAGTATGAGGCATCCATGCTAGGCTCGGTATATGGAAGACAGCGTGTCGATCCTGGATCTTTCTCCTCTCTCCTCTCTTCCTGCAATGTTCCAGCCTCAAGCTATCCCTATTCAACAACAACGAGTACCAGCACTTCGACTACTGCATCTGTTACTAGCTCAGCTGCCACAACGTGCACCGGGACCGCTTATACGGTTCAAGATGGTGATACCTGCAGCTCAATTGCGGCGGTCCATGACATTGCTACAGATAGGTTCATTACTGAAAACCATTTGGATGCAAATTGCACAACTCTAAGCGTTGGAAACAACGTCTGCCTAGGCGCAAGCTGTGACTTGTACCAAGTTGATATGGGCGACACCTGCAGCTCCATTCTTTCAAACCATACATTTTACATGAATCAGATTCTATCTTGGAACCCGTGAGTACAATCTCTATTTTGATTCAAGTCGGACATTGGATTGTTACTTGTCTCCAAGTGTTTAATGTTTACTCGTAATACTAAGGACCTTTGCAGAACGATCCACGCAAATTGCGACAATCTCGATACCATGGTAGGAAAGGATATTTGTGTTGGGTAAGAAGATTTAACCACATACCAGGACTTGACTGTGAAAGAAATGAGCGACTGATTTCCATGCTTCCAATCACAGACCCCCTGGCGGCGAGTGGGATGTTACCACAACTAACTTCACCACTTCTTGGAATGTGTAAGTTGCAGAAACAATTCAAAGTTTCCAAAAGATGATCTAATGGTCTGGTAGCACCTTTGTTCTGCCAACAACTTCCTTCACAACCATCCCTGCTCAAACTGGGGCACCGAATTATACCACAAGTTGGTTTGTCACCACAAGTACGCTCTCGAAATACACTGAGACTGCTACTGTCGCTGCTTCATCAGTTATCAGTGCCTATAACAATCTTCTCAAATATTGCCCACTTACTTTCAGCGACGTCATGTCTGGCTGGGACATAACCTCCCTGCCGGATGATTGCTATGACGGCCTGGTAAAATACTGCCAACCTTCTGCTAATGCGACAATGCCTGTTAGCACCAGATTTCCTGCTACATGCTCGCCAGCATACTATGACGCGACTTCCACCAGCGTAGTGGCCACTTCTACGCGAGTTACCCTACCGACGCAGTCTGGTATTGCGAAGAATTGTGAGTGTCTCATCTTTCACTCCGCACCCCTCTAGCCTCAGTGCTGTGGCTTAATATTTTTCCTTGAAGAATTCGCTTCCTATTTTAAGCCAATGACTAAAACCTTTTCCAGGCGATGCATACTATATGGTCAAAGGAAATGATACCTGCGCCAGTATTGTCAAAACATTCGGGAACTTCACTTTAACCCAGTTTTACACCTGGAATCCGGCCATCGGTACGGACTGCAAACACTTGGATGTTGGTACGAAAAGCCCTTTACTCCATAACCAATCTCCAGCAATAGTCTTTTACTCATACTGTTGTAGATGATGACGTCTGTGTCGGAGTCCCCGGTGCATCTACGCCAACATCCAGCGGCGCTACGAGCACTGCAACCAGCACCACCCCATCACCCTTAATGCCTGACACAGTTGCGGACTGTACGAAGTATTACTATGTTGTCGACGAAGACACCTGTGAATCAATTGAGAAAGCACACAATATTACAGCTGCTCAGGTATCTTCACCAGAACAAGCAAAATAGTGTATCTGCCTAAGCTAACATGGTGCTAGTTCTCCGAGTGGAATCCTTATGTCTCGAATGGGACCGACTGCCAACATCTCTGGTTGCATGAGTACATTTGTGTTGATGCTTCGGACTTCAGCAGAAGTACAGCAACGACCACCGTCACAACCAGCACCCAAACTTCTACAAGCACCAGTAGTGCACCCTCGCCTTTGATGCCTAGCACAGTTGCCGACTGCACCAAATATTACTACGTTGTCTCAGATGATACCTGTGAATCAATTGAAGCGGCCTGGGATATCACAGCTTCTCAGGTACGTAACAACGAAGATCTAGATTTATAAAAAGCTAACCCGATGAAGTTCTCCACATGGAATCCGTATGTCATGAATGGCACCGACTGCCAGCATCTCTGGCTAGATAACTATGTCTGCGTTGATGCTCCCGACCAAAGCGCTACAACCACTACATCAGCCACGACTACGACCCAGACTGCTTCAAGCACCACTCCCTCCCCGCTCATCCCCAGCACTGATGCTAACTGCGCCAAGTACCACTATGTGGTTGAGAACGAGGACTGTGAGTCCGTTGAATCGGACTATGGCATCACTGCGGCCCAGGTAAGCTTCCCAACACCCTTACTCTCAAACAGAGCGCAGAGACTAACTCATTAAGTTCAACGCATGGAATCCTTATGTCGGAAGCGACTGCGCGGGCCTTTGGCTACATTATTATGTTTGTGTGGGTGTTTAAAGGTGAAGCAGTCAATGATGCTACACTGAAAGCTACCCAGGTGATAATGTCTATCCCTTTTGACTTTCTTATATTATTTTATGGCAATATTACATTTCTTATGTTCTTTGATAATAGGCTTGGCAGTCTGTGTTGCCTGGTGGTATATGACCTACCTAGAAATATAATTTCATATCTCTTTTAAACATTTTTTCGGATGAAAATAGTTAATATATAGGGAATTAATTGATTGATTAATTAATTGATTTTATTTAACATTAAGAAGGTAAGAGTAATAACTCTTAAGCCTAATGGCTTGAACGGAGCGAAGCGGAGTGAGAGCCTATTTTTCTTACAGTACCAAAATTTGGGAGGGGGGGGTAGGCGTTTTCAGTTTTGCTTATCAGATCGGATTCTTATCAGAGGGCTCTGATTGGTTGAGATTTTTGATTTTAAGCCCTCTGATTGGCTGAATGATGTTATGTGACTTACCAATGTTAGGTGACTTACCAATGTCAGGTGACTTATGCTGGTCACGTGATACATGATTTTTGTAAATATGACTGCTGACTTATCCTGAGTATTATGTGACCGGTCTGGTTATGTGATCTGCTCTAGATAATAAGATAAAGCTGATTAAGTGATTTAAGGTAACTGGTTAGTTTTTAATATATACTTAGATTACTTAGATTTATACCCCTAAGGGGGGTTTGGGGGGTCCCCCTCTAGTATAGAAATATAAATCCTTAAAGACTTAAACTTAACTATAGAGTTAATTTAGTTTATGCTCTTATAGGGGGGGTCTGGGGGGTCCCCCCCTTAGTATAGAAATATAAATCCTTGAAGACTTAAACTTAACTATGGAGTTAATTTAGTTAATACTCCTATAAGGGGGGTCTAGGGGGTCCCCCCCCCTAATATAGAAATATAAATCCTTAAAGACTTAAACTTGATTGTGGAGTTAATTTAGTTAATACTCCTATAGGGAGGGTCTAAGGGGTCCCTCCCCTAATATAGAAATATAAATCCTTAAAGACTTAAACTTAACTATAGAGTTAATTTAGTTTATGCTCCTATAGGGGGGGGTCTAGGGGGTCCCTCTCTTAGTATAGAAATATAAATCCTTAAAGACTTAAACTTAACTATAGAGTTAATTTAGTTAATACTCCTATAGGAGAGGTCTAGGAGGTCCCCCCCTTAGTATAGAAATATAAATCCTTAAAGACTTAAACTTAACTATACTATAGAGTTAGTTTAGTTTATACTCTTATCCTTAAAGACTTAAACTTAATTATAGAGTTAATTTAGTTTATACTCTTATAAGAGGGGTCTAGGGGGTCCCCTCCCTAATATAGAAATATAAATCCTTAAAGACTTAAACTTAACTATACTATAGAGTTAATTTAGTTCATACTCCTATCCTTAAAGACTTAAACTTAACTATAGAGTTAATTTAGTTCATACTCTTATAAGAAGGGTCTAGGAGGTCCCCCCCCTAATATAGAAATATAAATCCTTAAAGACTTAAACTTAACTATAGAGTTAGTTTAGTTTATACTCTTATCCTTAAAGACTTAAACTTAATTATAGAGTTGATTTAGTTAATACTCCTATAGAGGGGGTCTAGAGGGTCCCCCCCTAATATAGAAATATAAATCCTTAAAGACTTAAACTTAACTATACTATAGAGTTAATTTAGTTCATACTCCTATCCTTAAAGACTTAAACTTAACTATAGAGTTAATTTAGTTCATACTCTTATAAGAAGGGTCTAGGAGGTCCCCCCCCTAATATAGAAATATAAATCCTTAAAGACTTAAACTTAACTATAGAGTTAATTTAGTTAATACTCCTATAAGGGAGGTCTAGGGGGTCCCCCCCCTAATATAGAAATATAAATACTTAAAGACTACTAAACTATAAATTTATACTCCTATAGGATATTAAATATATATCCTTAGGTATTATTATTATAAAGAGAAATAATAAATCTAAGGGAAATAATAATATAAGATAAAGAAATTTAATCTACTAAGCTATAGCTAAGTAGATTATATAATATAAAAACTAAAACTCTAATAAAGAAGTAATTACCTTTTAGCCCTCTTAATCTAAGTTAGAGTAATAAAATAGTATTTACTTCTAATTAGTTATTATAATAGATTAGTTTATAGTAATTAGGATTTAGATTTAAATAAAAATCACTTATAGTAAGAGTAATATAGCTTATTCATCTAGAATATATAATTTATATAAGTCTTATTATAGACTAGATTCCTCTTAGAAATAATAATAATTTTATAGGACTAGAATAAGCCCTATCCTTAATAATATTACTTATAGGGTGTTTAGGGTAATTATCTTCTAGCTAATAATAAGATAGTCTAAACTACTACCTAATAATAATAACTAGTATAATATAATATATTAGGCCCTTATATTTTAGCTTATTATTTATATACTCCTTCTAATCTATATTAGGGTAACTAGAGTAGATACTATTAAAATATTTAGTTTTAAGAGATATAATAGATAATTAGTATAGCTCTATAAGATTACTATTACTATCTAGCCTAGTATTTCTATCTATAAAAAATTATAAAATAAATACTTATATATAAAATAGTAAGAATACCTATAACTTATTATATAAGATCTTATATAATAATATCTTAGTAAAAGCCCTTAATCTACTAGGTATTTTTATAAAGCTACTTAGTAATAATAACTAAGATAGGTTTATAAGATATAAGCTAGGCTATAAAAATCTATCCCCTTAGGAGATTACTTTTATAGCCTTAATAATCTTAATCTACTCTATAGTAGGTTTTATACTTTTTATAGGATTTTTTATAATAATTTTAATAATAAGCTTTATTAGTAAGATAATATTTATAGATAGAATAGTCTTTATAAGTATTAGTTTTATTAAAAAGATAGTCTTTATTAAGAAAATAATCTTTATTAGGGAGATAGTCTTTATTAAGAAAATAGTTTTTATTAATAAGATAGTCTTTATAAGAGTAATAGTATTTATAGGTAGGATACTAATTATATTAATAACTTTAATAGGCTTATTAGACTCTATAGTAGCTTTAAGTATAGAATCTATATTACTTGATATAGATTTAATAGATAAATTTAGTAAAATATTACTAGATATATAAGTAGATTTACTAGGATCTATTAAAAGGCTCCTAATATACTTACTATCTATTTATATATTTACTATTATAAAAGGAGAAAGATTAATAGTAGGTTTTAGAAAAAGATTAATAATAGGTTTTAGAAATAAGAGAAGGAAGGAAAATAAAAAAGGAAAATAAGAAAAGAAAAAGAAGAAAGAGGAAGAAAAATAAAAGATTTAGATAGAGTATTAATTTAGATAGAGTATAAAAAAAAAAAATATAAGATTATAAAGGAAGAAGAGGATTTTACTTCTTCTCTTCTTCTCTTCTTCTCTTCTTTATCTCTTTATCTCTTTATATCTTTATCTCTTCTATTCTTTTCTAAACTACTTAGTCCTTTTATTATATAAATAAGTTAGTTACTTATATCTACTAATTATAAGCTAATTTTATAGCTTTATTAGGTAATTTATACTTCTTAATATAATATTAAAAATATTAATAAACTAACCTCTTACTAAGAAATCTTATACCTACTCTTAATATAGATATAAGAAGCCTTTAATAGATTTTTAGCTAGTAAAAAGAACTAAACTAACTTAATAATATCTTAGATATTATATTTTATTAAACCCTAAGAAGCTAAAACTAAACTACTAATATAAATAATCTATTAATATAGCTTAGCTTTCTCTACTATAATAAGAGCTATATCTACTATTCTATACTAGATCTTAGCTTACCTAAGGACTATAATAATCCTTATTATCTAATTAGGGCTTCTCTATTATTAGTAGATAGTCTTCCTTATTATAGAGTAACTAAAATAACTTACTAAGCCCTTAATTATAATACTATATATATTATAGATATTTAAAACCACTAGATAGCTTTCTTATATCTATAAATCTATAAATAGCTAATATATACTATTTATATTATAATACTATATAATATCTACTAGAATTATTTTTATTATTCTTATCCTCCTTACTAAATTTATCTTTATAATAAGGATTATTTACTCCTCTCTTAGTACTATAGATCTTACTCCCTATACTATAGACTTCCTTCTTACTAAGTTTATACTTATAGTAAGAACTATTTACCCCCCTCCTTATACTATAGATTTTACTCCTAGTATTATAAACCTTCCTCTTATACCTATAGATTAAGATATATATCCTAGTACTATCTTATTTATATATAGATCTAGGACTAGAATTCCTATTAATACTACCCCTATTAATACTATCCTAATCCTTACTACTATAATTATAGTAGGACCTATTCCTTCTTATATAATAAGATTTATTCTAATATCTATAGATTAAAGTTTAGATTCTAAAACTAACTTAGATACCTTAGCCTATTATCTAGTATATTTCCCTAAGAAAGGACTAATAAAGAAATATTAATATAATATAAATATAATAATCTAATATCTAGTATAATTACTATATCTAAAGATAATATAGTAAATTATTATTACTAACCCTATATATATTATAGCTAATAATATAAAATATAGATATATATTAGAGCTTAATAATCTCTAATTTATCCCTAGTTCTCCCTATACTCCCTTAATCTATAAATCTACTTAATAAGATTAATACTAAGTTAGTAACCTAATCTAATATATCTATATTAAATACCTTACTACCTCTATTCCTTCCTTCTACTTAGTTATTATCTTAGTAAATAATAGATTTCTCTATACTAGCTCTCTTAACTATAAAATAGAACCTATATAAGAATTTCTAGACTAAGCTATATAAAATATATATATATTTATATATAATATACTAAAAGAAATAGTTTAATATAAAACTTAATTAAGATAAGATATATAAGTATTATAAAAAAATAGATAAGAATAAAAAGTATCTATTTTTTAGTATTACTAATAATATATAACTAATAGAATAGCTAGAGCTTAAGGAACTTACTTAGGTAAAAGAGATACTTATTATCTATATTTATATATTTATATAGATCTATCTTTTTTATAATTAATAATATTACTACTATAACTATATT